ACGTTCCAACGAGCCAACTTTGATGTTGATCAGTCGGAAGTCAAATCAAAACCGCCATGGATAGCCTGTCTTGTACATACAGATGGTCTCGACTCAATTCTGGTGGCATCAATGCACAACCCGTACAGATATATCTTCGGCAACTGCGTCACATCTAGAGCACTTAACGGAACTCGTTGGACGCTTTGAGAATTTTGTTGAGTCGAGTTTCATAGACTCCAGGGTCCGACCAACCCCGGACCAGCTTGGACGCTTCGTTCGCCCACAATGGACCCTGGATTTGTTTCTGCCGAATAGATAGGCGAAATATCCACGATGACTTTTCTTCATGTGGGAAAGCCAATGTTGTCAATTACTTTACGAGAACCAGAAAAAGTTCTTGGCTTATAAGCTTAATTAGATGTCTATTTTATGCATAATCAAAAATATACAGGTGAATCTTGTGTAAATGTTGACACTAGGCACATGATGGATCTTGACCGAATGAAACTCTTATCCATGGTTAGCTTAGCCGACGTTCTTGTCTTGGTGGAGCTTCAGCTAAGAATACGAAGACGTAAATACCGCAATTCCATGTTCAGGTCACTTCTTGGCGCTTACAGCGCGTCATCAAGAGTTGTTTCTATCGCCGCCAATAAGCGCACCATTGGAGAGAATGAGGGTGATTACAATTACCTGATCCGGGTTTTGAGTTGGCCATGATTCGACTCCTGTATCGGATACTTCGTAGGAAAGGCGGTGGCGGTGTTGATGAACTTTTTCAGTGCCTGGACGAAAGAGGAAAATGCCCTGGAAAACTTGGCGTTGCTCTGCCGTTGAGCCGCAAGCTAAACTCTGGGCATTTTTGACGACAAGCCATGGCATTCAAGAACAGAGAAGTCTTTATTATTATATCTAACATTCTTTTTGTTTTATTAAAATGAAATCGTATTGTTTCAATGAACCCTTTGTTGTTGAATACCAGCATGGGCTTTGGATGAATGTATTGTCGGCTGGTTATTACTGTATTTGTTCAAGTAGTCAATTCATTATGTAAATGAAAGACACAGTTCGTTAATGATCCATCGAACTCTTCCTCCAAAGGATCGGGGTCCATGCAATACCCATGCTTGTTAGTCCGGCTCGAGGCGCCGCCTAAGTCTCACTGACCTGACCTGACAGAGACCTCCTCACTCGAGAGAGCAGCGGAAACCCCGTTTAGTCCAAGCCGCACCATGTCTTTGCCTTGTATCCACAAACGACCCTTTGGCAAATCACGTATTGAAGTTGCTTGAAAACTCTGAGGCCTGAAGGTGGAGGGCCCACTCGCTCGGTTTGCGACGCACTTTGAGTCACGTGGAATGGCAAGAAAAATGCTCTGAGGGTGTACACGTGACCATATTTCCCTTGACAGCTGAGAAAGAGACTGACGCTGTGACGTCAGATGTCCTGACTTGTTGCTTTGCATATTTTCTGGACTAGCAATTACCTAATTTGCAAAAATCTCCGATCGACGGTTGAAGAAACGACATTGTATGAATCGCATCTTCCAACAAGTACCTATGTCTACTGCACAAAAGAAACAGACAAAGATCATCGAAAGACAAGCTTATCGTTATTAGGGTCAAACATGCATTTGGTGAACGGACTCGTTCAAAAGTGCTTGTTCGATGGAGTATCATCGTGGTCGGACGAGTTGAGTGTTTGATGGTGGAGAAAAAAATATGTTGCCTCCACCTCGCCAGGCTCGTTCAATATCGACCATATCCACACTCTCCTCCAACTACTCTTACACGACCCATTATGACGCGATGCTTCACTACAATTCTGGGTTCAGAAACGTCCTCAATTGATGTTGACCCACTGGTCCTCTTCTCTCAGTACTCCACCAGAAGAGAACCATGTCTCTACTCGACTCTGCGGAGCGAGAGTCGGTCTTGCCTCTGAGCCTGTTGAATCGTCGATAAAACCCTTTGCTCTCGCTCTTACTTCATCCTATTTCTTCTCTTTCTCCTTCCTTTCTTTTAGTATCTCTCTCTTCATTCTTCTTCTTTCTCCACATGTTCTTCAACCCCAGATCTTCATCTGAGGGTAGTACATGGTTCTTGATCTGAGCTTCAACTAACACCAACACCTCCCGCGGCCGAAATCATGTCTTCCGACTCTGAAAAGGTCTCCAAGAGGGCCGAAAGCCCCGTTGCTGACTCTGAAAACGATGGCGGCAACACTGATGGTCTTCATCGCCGACTCAACAACCGACAGGTGCAGCTCCTCTCTATCGGAGGTACTGTTGGTACCGGTCTCTTCATCGGTATCGGTGCCGGTTTGGCCAAAGGTGGCCCCGGAAGTCTCCTCGTCTGCACAGCTCTCTACGCCATGGTCCTTGGTCTTACCAACAACTCTATCGCTGAAATGAACACTTATATGCCCGTCTCTGGTGGTTTCATCCGTCTCGCTGGCCACTGGGTCGATGACGCTCTCGGCTTCATGGTTGGCTGGAACTTCTTCCTCTACGAGGCCCTTCTGATCCCCTTCGAAATTGTCGCCCTGAACCTGGTTGTCTCATTCTGGAGTGATAACGTTACGCAAGCTGGTCCAACCGCTGGCTTCATCATCGCTGTCATCATTGCTTACGGGTAAGGCTTCTTCTCGAACTGCGAGTCGCATCCTGATGTGCATTCATGGATGGGGCTCCATAGTTCACTTTTATCCTCTCTCTCCCTTGTCCATTGTGTTGTGAAACGTATGCTAAACTCGTCTCCTCTTCTAGTGTGCTGAATCTTCTCGCTGTTGGTGTCTTTGGTGAAGCTGAATTCTGGCTGGCCCTCGGCAAGGTCCTGCTCATCTTCATCCTCTTCATGTTTACCTTTGTGACTATGGTCGGGGGTAACCCTCAGGGTGACGCTTATGGCTTCCGCTACTGGTCCAACGTGCATGATGCATTCGCTACATTCCGATCCGAGGGTGATCTCGGCCGTCTTGAGGGCTTCATGGGTGCCCTGGCTTCTGCCGCCTTTTTCGTCGTCGGTCCCGATTACATCTCCATGGTTGCCGCCGAGGCCAAGCACCCTAGCCGATACGTCAAGACTGCCTTTAAGACTGTCTACTTCCGATTCGGTCTCTTCTTCATCGGTGCTGCTCTGACCTGCGGTATCGCTCTTAGCCACACTGATCCCACTCTTGTCGGCGTCCACTTGGGTGATGGCTCCGGTCACGGCACCGCTGCTGCTTCTCCCTGGGTCATCGCCATGGCTAACCTTGGTATTGAGGGATTGCCCCATCTCGTGAATGCCCTACTTTTCACCACCATTTTCTCCGCCGGCAACACCTATACCTACTGTGCGACCCGATCCCTGTACAGTTTGGCCCTCGAGGGACGTGCCCCTCGCTTCCTTCGCAAGACCACCAAGAACGGTATCCCTATCTACTGTTTCGCCGTCACCATGGTCTTCCCCCTGCTTGCCTTCCTTCAGCTCGACAGCAGCTCCGCCGAGGCTCTGACCATCCTTCTCGCCCTCATCACTGGTGGAGGTATTGTGGACTACATCACCATGAACATCACCTTCATCTTCTACTACCGCGCTTGTAAGGCCCAGGGTATCGACCGTAAGACGATGCCTTACTTCGGTTACTTCCAGCCCTACTGTGCTTGGATCGCCCTCGTCCTCCACACCATCGTCTGCTATACTTACGGCTACACCTCTCTGGCCCCCTTCGACGCCAAGAACTTCTTCTCCAACTACACTATGCAGATCATCGCCCCCTTTTCCTACCTCGGATGGAAGCTCATCCACCGTACCAAGGTTGTCAAGCCCGAGGAGTGCGATCTCGTGTGGGAGCGCCCTGCAATTGACGCTTATGAGGAGCGCGCCATGATCGTTGACCCTCCCACCGGTTTCTGGGAGGAGATCATCGGTCTTGTTGGTATCAAGAAGAACAAGAACAAAAGCGCAGCTGAGGCGCAAGTCTGAGTGAATTGAATCACCTGAAAGAACTGGCGAAAAGAACAAATGTCATACCGCAATGAGATGAGAAAGTTAATGAGGAGCGAGCCAGTTGGCGGATCATCGCGACTGTGAGGAGTAAGACTTGGCCGATCATTCATCACCACCTCGATGCGATCGGCATAGCAACACCACGCTGCTTCGCCTGCTTTGTGCAGGCCGTCATTGAACAAGATACCCCAAATCGTCATTCCCGAAAGGAGTGATTGTATTGCATTGACATGTATTAAGTTGTATATACCATAGAAAGAAGAAATGAACTTAACGTATTATGCTGAAACATCTACATATTACTATTATTGTGAAGACCATTATCCTCGAGACTTCTCTTTAGTATACCAAAATTTCCAAGACAGTCTCCCTGACAGATTGGCTTGATTGGTTAAGAAGTTCTTCGTCAAGTACCGAACGGCTCAAGTGGAGTTTGACGGCCCGAGAAGCCACCTCCGCTCGGCACTGGCCGCCGAGAAATGGGTCTCCGTAGAACCGGACCGACACAGAACATTCAGCTTGACTTCTCGGGTCATACAGAGTAAACATAAAACTCACCAGACTCAGTTCTAAGAGAATGATCTTATGATACAGTCTCTTGGCTAGTGGGTAGTAGAAAAGTTGACCTATTACATCTCGGCGATATCACGAAAGAGGGCCCGCAAAGCGGACTACCGACAGTCAATAGGTGGTCTCTAAGAAGCTCGGAGAATTAATTACAGGGGAAGCATACGGTCCATTTGTGAAGAAGATGGAAGAGTGCAATGACTACCTCTTTTTTACATTCTTTGGCATATGAGAGGAAAATTTGGTGCCCATCTGCTAAGACACGATTTAAACTCCCAAGTTTTCTGGAAGAAGTAAATACCATCAATTAGACCAAGAAGGCTTGACAAACTAAATATCCTGGTGCCAAATACCAACATTACAATATTGACAAACATGATTGCCAATGTACAAGAACCCGTAAGTGAAGACAAAGTCTGTCATCAAGAGATTTGATGCCAAGTACAACTAATGAGTAGACTAGTTGTCTCCCTGCTCTTCCCATATGGCTTGGTGCTGAACCCGGTGCATGATCGGATTGTCATACTCCTTGCCCGATAATAAATAAGGGCGTCCAGAGGCACCACACAAGGATGTAAACATGCTGCAAGCCCAGTGCACCTTGACAGCAGACTTGAGATACCGGACATCCTGATCTGGCACGATGACGTGAATGAGATGCCCTGATCGAAGCGGCTCACCTGACGTGGTGGTTGGCTCATTCTCGCAGGAGGACGGTGGAGGATAGCTCTTGTCTTGGGATGCCTGAAGCTCATCCATCAGGTGTTGCCAGTCGTTCTCCATATCAAAGGGCTGGCCAAATCGACCCTTTGTCCGGGGCATCCAGTAAAACTGCAAGGCCACCTTGACATTGCCATATTGGAGCTTTGCATCCTCATAATGCTTGAACGCGCATAGTCCGCTTGTGAGGGGCTTGTAAATAGCTGGATCGATGCAGATCATATTCCACGCTTTGTGAGATCCTCCTAGTTGGCGCTTGTTGCAGAAAGGGTTTGGTCTTCGGATCGTCGTGAGGTCAATATCCGCAATGAGTTCACCTGACCCCGCAAGATTCCCCGTCATATCGTTACGTATCACGGTGTTGTTAAGAGTGGAGGGGAAAAACCAGAATATCTTTGGGTTGGCTTTCCCAGTCACCACACAAACATTCCCATCACGGTTGCGGCACTTGTCCTCCTCGACTGTGTCTTGAGGATAGTCTTGGAGACCAGCATCGGTCCTGAAATGAGAGTCATAGTCTTGAGCCCGAAAGTCGGAAGTGAGATCATCGGTATTTATCTCATTGCCCTTCCAGAGTTCCAGTGTCTCGGGCAAAGCGTGGCCCCAGTCTTGGTGAGCGACATTCTCGGTGTCAAGGTGAAGCATATCTATAGATAGTTAAGTGGTTAGCTGGGCAAGGTCCAAAGTATTAGGGATGATTTCTTACAGCGCTTGCAGAATGCATCAATGCTGTTAAGTGTGCCCTTTAACCACCCTGGGTCGTTGAACACTGCACAGGGATCATTCCCGGGACCCAGAGCACCATTTGGCTTAATTTCCCGAAAGTTGACGAGAAGAATAGCAGCGACGTGTTCAGTGCGTAGACGGAAGAGGTCCTCGTAGATGGTTCGAATGTATGTTTCAAGTGGCTGAGGATACGCGCGCCGCAACTCAAGCTCAGGGAAAGAGAAGAGGGGTTCAGGTTCACTAAAGTGAGCTCACCCTATGTGCTGGGAAGAATGATCCATTTTGTGAGTATAAAAGAATACTGGTAGGTTGCTGATGAGGCTCGTCTTGCTGCTTACCTATCTGGGTTTATATAAATGATCATTTGAGGGTGGATAAGGTTGCGTGGTAAAGTTAATGATCTCATCTAAGTTCAGTCGCCTTGCTATCAGGAGAGGTAATTGGGCACAACAGGAAGAACAAATATGAGTGAAAAAAATAGAAGCAGGTGATTTGCCGTGCGTGCGTTAATCTCGGGCTCTGATTCAGCTCAGCGCCACTGAGTAACACAAATGAGAACAGACAGCAAATGAATTGGAGGCCGTGGAATCAGCGGAAGCAAGAGTCTTCTTCTGTCACAACTTGGCAAACTTGGTGATGAGGCATGAGTCTCACTTTGATTGTGGCTTGTGCTTGCGTGACGTCGGTCACCCAAATCGCTTGCACCAGGGCTTCAGATCAGCGTGGCGTTGAAGACAAAGAGACCTAGGTAGCGACAGGATGGGGGATGTGCTTGTGACGGACTATGATTGATTGTGCCTGGAGTCTAGGTAGTAATCGGCGACAACAGGTGAAGTATCTAGGTAGTTAAAAACCAGGTGATGATTGAATCTAAAATGTATAATATTTGTGATGGGTTCAGGCTGGCAGGGATTTGCAATCTAGAATAGCAAAGGCCGGACGCTCGCATAAAATATGATGCGTCTATCGCGGCAAACGGTAGACCATCATGCATTAGCCCTATGCTTGATATCGATTGCATATACATAGGTACATACTACCTACCTAGGTATCGTTACCTCCATCCTACAGTCTACCCAAACGAGCAAGCTGCCAAACGAATTATATGCAACGACACCAAAGTCAATATACAAATATAGTCACTCACTCTGACAATGCAATCGTGCTTCCAAGTAGCCTGGAAATCTCTCAATACTGTAACAACCCTCAGGGTATTGGATAAGCCGGCTACTGGGATCACAAGGGACGAAGTAATCTAATATCTATGACCAGACCCTAGACTATTTAACCCTTATTCTAAAGATTACATTCTCATGCTTGGACTCGATATTACTGAGGCTGTGTTAGGGATTCTTCAGCTGCCATTGCTGCAAGTCACACCTTGACAAGATACTCTCCAAGCCTCTCCGCTGTATGATACTACCTGTCACACCAAGCAATCAACTCTCATTCTTTTCGTATCCATTGGGGGGCAACAGGAAATCGTTGAAGCTCTAGGCTACAAACGAAAATAAACAACCAAAGGACTTGGCTAAAACTTACAGATTTACCTACCTAGTTGCCAACTGCGAGTGATGTCAACGATACAAAAGACAAATAAATGACTGTAATTCGTCCTTCCTCTATATAACACAGGCTTATGCCAGTTGCCTATTGGCTCGGAATGACCCCGGCGTATGTGAATTGAACACTGCGCAGTGAGTACGTTTCATTTGCTTCGGGTTTGTCTTGCTGTTATTGCAAATATGACTAGAATTACGAGTCACGGAAGAGGTTTGGGATAACAGCCTTCTGTTCTGCGTGACTGACAATCTGTCGAGCGTGAATTAACAAATGAGGGTAGGAAGACTATATTTCCTTGACATGCCAGAAGCATAAAGTCATTCTCTGATATGTCAGTAAAGCATATCAGTCATTTTATCATGGATCTACTGGAGACTGTGTGTAATGCCTTTCGAGGCTACATGGTGGAAAACCCACAGCGGATACCCGAAGCACTTGCGAAGATTACTCACGGCCAAGTGCACCCGTGGGAGCAACCCGGACTGCTACTTTCAGCTGCGGTTAGTTGCCTGCCTGTGTTTACCTATCTAGGTACCTGAAAGTCTCAAGGCTAATGTGGATTAAACTTAGGAGACAGCAAATTTGACGTATGCACGCAGAATTGAAGATCTGTGCCGAAGGCACATTGACGATGCTTTCACTTTGCCACATACCCATTTATCAGTAATAATGGGCAGTGCAACGAATGAGTTGCTCGTCTACATGGTTTACACCGTTGAACGGGGGTTTCTTGATGAGAACAACTATGAGGACGCCGGGGATGAGAACCCTGATCCTGAGGAATCATCGAAAATCGACAAACACAACACACGAGCCGCCCAGCAAATACTGACCTTCCTAAACCGTGTGGTTACATTCTGTAACCTATTTATGGGGGAAGTCAGAAGATAGAGGGACAACGTCCGTGGCCCATGATACCCTACCTTACACTGCCGCACCGACCCATATCTCCGCCGTGCCGGAGTTGTTCCCCCCGACGTTTCTGACGCCCATTCCCCAGTGCAAGAGGGTAAGCCAAAGAGAAATGACAGGGAGAAAGGCCTAGCAAGCTCCAGAGATGGAGTGGCTTGTGTCATTTTGGGAACAATCGACCCAGACGTGGCACATATATTGCCATTCGCGACCACACAAAGCCACGAAGCTGCAATGCAGCTGAAGGCCTACTGGCACGCAACAGCTTTTATCGTCAGCCGAGATTTTCATCTTTGGAAGTCTCGCCATGTCATCAAAGATGGATTTGATAAATCCTTTAACATGAACTGTTTAGAAGCGCAAATGCATCGCTGGTGGGGGAAAGCCTACTGGGCTCTCCAGAGTCTGGGTCAGCCCACGGCAATGACAGTCGACGGCGGCGACACCAAATGGGTGGTCAGAATGAAATTCTATTGGCTGCCTAATTTGTACAACAGTTACAGATATCCAGAAACAGCCAATCTTGATGGTAGTGACAACACTTTCACGCGGTTGTGTAATGACTTGAACCAAGCGTTTGCTCACGGGTTTCCTGCACGAACCCCAAGTGGCAATGCCGTAAGAGACAATGTTCGCGCGAATCTTGCGACTGGCGAGTTGCTCTTGGGTGGGCATTTATTTTCTGTTGCTTTTGATACGCAGCAGGAAGCGTTCAACTATAACGACATGATTAAACTAGAATGGGCAGTGTTGCGTATCGAGATGTTTCGCGCGGGATGGTGAAGGAGGGAACCTATTGCATATAAGTTTGAGACAGGGCCTTGTGAAAGCGTTACTAGACTAGGTAGACTTTAGGAAATTTCTTTCATCTGAGCCTTATGAGTCTGAACTGAATTACCATTCAGAATGGAACTGAATTATAGTCCAGTCTTGAATTTACCTTACTCGAGTTATTCTCGACCGTTTCAAGGTCAAAACAAACATTCCTAACCAACACTATTCACATCATCCAACTTCATGAAGTAATCAGTATCCATCATCGGTTGATCCATCCCAAGATATCCCATATCCAAAAGCGTATAGGCATCTGGCATTCCTGTATCCATGGCCTTGAACCAGTCGTCCGTAAACATTCCTGTATCAATAGTCTCTTGCATCTCCTGCAAATCGGGTGCACCCATCAACGAGTCAATTTGACACGCGAAGAAGCGGGCGAGATCAAAGTAGAGATGTGCTGCTGAAGTAGCGGGAAGGAGTTGCACGATTTGATCGAGCAGAGGAATAACGCCGATGACTTTCCCTGCAGCAGTAGATTTCTCTTCAGGCGTGAGGGCGCCTCTTTTGATAGCCTGTTTTAAAAGTCAGCAACATGGATGTGATTTTGTAGCGTAAAGACGAACGCGTAAAACCTCGCTCATGACGTGACAAATCATGAGATACTGGTTGTTTTGGAAGCCAAGGGCAAGCTCAATAATCGTTTTATCCGAAGTCAACAGGTCCATAACGCGACTTGCTACCTCGATCGACTCTTTCTCGATTTTTAGAAGAGCTTTTGATGAAGAAGGGGAAGAGTTATCATCTGCGGCAGTAATGTCCCGGAGGGCTTGGGCATTGAGGACTAGGATACTGTGGTCCATGTAAAATGCCAGAACAGGGAGTAATTTTCCAGATGGTGAGTCGTCTGGTATGCAACGGTCGTTGCGTAGGCGTGTTAGAGCGTCGTAGGACTCATTGTGCCATTCCACAATGGAGGACGTGGTCGAATTTGGTTGTTTTCGTTTGTCTACTTGACTTAGCTATTCAAAGTTAGTTATGAATGTTTTTGGTGAGAGGGGAGGGGTTGGCTTACCAATAGTCTTCTGCTTTCAATAATTCCACTCAGCATACGGTCCGTCGGTTCAGCCAACGGAGCCTTCCACCATTGTGTTGCGGAACTGGGAATTTCTTTCCAGTTGACAGAATGTAGCTTCCCATTCATGATGCCGAATCCTTTGTCTGAGATAAGAGTACGAAGCCACGTCCTTTCGTAGTTGCGGATATATCGTCCTATGTTTTCAGGGGATGAATTCTCGCATTCTGCGTTGACATATTCTCTTATGACATCTGATTTGCTGATTCCCATCTCTCTGGCCAGTTGCATGGCCTGGATCTGTTAGCATTTTGAATTATCAAACATCAACCTGGACTTTACTCACATAACTAAGGGATATAGATGAGGTATCGTCTACTTGTGTTGGGGACACAGGTGTCCAGTATTGCATGTTGACGATGGCTTGTATAGTTGCAAGAGACTTCACCGCGGCAGCAATGGACCACTTGACGTTTCCATTGGCTAGGTGTACCAGAACAGGGTATATCGCTCGATCGCGAGGGCGAGCTGACATGGCGCATCCAAGTGCGCAGATAACGGAGAAAAGGGTGAATGAATTCGCGTAGACATAGTCGACTGTGTGTAATGTGGCGTCGAGGAGGCCTACTAGTGGGTTGCGAGTAGAGAAAAACCTGGAAATAGTCAGATTTTGATATTATGAGAGTGTAAAAGAGGCCGACTTGCAGTTGAAAGTATACAGTCGCATCACTATCCTCGATCAATCGAGAAGCAAGCGGATCACAAGTGGCCTTTTCTAACTTGAAAGGGCAGTCAACTGACTGAGCGGCTAAAACATCCCAATCTTTTTGTTGCGCTCTATGTGATGCTTCTAGATGTTAGAGACACCCAAGAAATTACGATGGATATTTGTCTCAACTTACAGAAATAAGCACCAAGTCGTTCCTTTATAGGCGCCATGATGGCTTCCCTAACGCCAGGCTGCATCGGCATCTGGGATCGCAGTCTCTCACACTGAGCAGACGTGTTTGTTGCGATAGCAGTCGTGACAATACTAAGCGGTGAGATCAGGTCTTCAGGGTGGTCGTAGCTATCATCTTCAGGCGGTGAATCTGGTTGAGCAGGTTGAGACGTGGCGCGACTATCAGATGAAGACTGTGCTTGCGTCCACGGCGTTCCTCTCACGGAGACAGTCTTGTTCGGGCTTGGAAGACCTGCTCCAAGAAGAGCAGCGATAATTTCGTCTTTTGCACCGCTTTCTTCGATGCGTGAAAGGAGCTTCTCTACACTGTCAGGCTTGCTGTGATAGTAGTTAGAATAGCGTGTATGTTTGGACAACAGGGTTGGACTCACTTTGTACTTCCATGCTTTCGACCGCGATTAGATCGAGCAGGGTATTTGCAAGCGCGATCATGGGAAACACAGCGAGAACTGAAAAGAAATGTATCAGTAGTTGCCAAGGTGGACCAGCACTGGTATCTACCAAACACTCACCAGGGGTCTTGACGGTCGCATTTTTGTCTAGAGGCGCGACAACTAAAGCATGCGACCTGATGCTGCTGGTTCTTCTCCACTGGGGCCTCCATGGTTCAGCCTGTAGCGTGTTTGTTATGTCTTAATTGCGGCTCGGGGTCTTCAAGGGTCTCAGGAGGTTAAGTTAGTAGCCGAGTCTGGGGTCTTGTAGGAAGTCGCTGTTTTGATCTAGTCCCCGACGAGTCAATTGTCACGTGATAATTAATAAGCCATAATAGAACGATGTAAGTATCAAGATATAAAAATAGGTACTGATAAGTCTTATGTGAATAGAATATTGAACTACTGGTTTCATCTCTGACAATCCTAGTACCCAAATCTTCGAATGAATTGATTTATATCCCTGTCTTCGGACTTCTTTCCAGTGCAGTTGTTGAAAAACAGATGCCGTAATCATCAGACTTTTAAAATCGACCCTGTGGTTCAAAAAGGATCAAAAGAACTCTCGCCTGCGCTGCCTGTATCAATCGATATCCCAGCATAGGTACCGAATCAACGTATATAGCGCCTGTCACTGTTCTTTGTATCGCATTAGTGAATCGGGGTCACATTGTTTCGCGCTCTGACCGGAACATCCAGACCGAATGAAAGCAAGAAGCCTTGAACATCACAGTACAGCGCAGCAAAACACTCAATATGGATGCTCTTAACACTATATGCCATAAGCTCTATGCGCATGCGGCACAGAACTAGCACATAATTCCGGAGTACATGCATCGGATCAACAACAGACAAGTTCATGAGTATCAGATACCTACACCGCTTCAAGATCCAAATGACGCTGAATCACTGTCAAACATGAGGCTGAATCACTGTCAAACATGAGGCTGAATCACTGTCAAACATGAGGCTGAATCACCATCAAGAATGGGGCTGAATCACAGCCTGATCTTGAATTTGTCTAGTTATACTGTGAACCATCCCTGATTTACCAACCAACCTGCTTCATTTAAATAGCAGTACTGCCTACTGCAATCTGATTATTTCCTCGTAGGCGATAGCGTCCTTCTCTGTATTATAAGTAATACTAAACACGTATCTACTCAATAGTCACTCATGAGTGATAGGATTAGCTTAGATATTGCCTCTGGCAGTATTATCTCGCGGCTTTCGTAGTAGTAGACGCTGTCGATAAGCTTCGTTGAGGTCGTCTATTTAAGCAATAGTATTATCTCGAGTATCTAGATTTGTCCTTTCCGGGTATCTCAACTTGTGAAGGAGATCTGGTACCCAATAGAACATAAGTCGTACCTCCCATTTCATACGTCCTCCATCGACTATCTTCGGTCTAGGATAAACCATGCTCTTGAATGCCCAGTCGCATGCGCGACATCCGGATCAAGAGTCGACATAGGCGTCGGGTGCCTCTTTGCTATTTGGCTTGGATCCGTTTGGCAAATTCCTTTTAGACAATAGCCTAAATTTAGTCCATATTAGCTTTGAGACTTAGAGACTTTAGTATAGATAAGTCTAACCTCTTCTATTGGAAGAAGTATTGGGCGTGCGGGTGGGCTTGCTGATCGCCTATACCACGTATTAACTCTAGATATTGCGGTACAATGTGCGAGTTCTCTTCGACTAGTCGGCAAGTGAAGTGATGTTGAGTTGAGTATGTTTGGAATTTAGAATTCTTTTTTGCAGCATATCAAAGTAGGTAGATAGATGGATGGTCGGCTACCCCTTCTTCATTCACTATGCCTCGGCTTTTTGGCACTGCGTGACTGCGCGCACATTAAGCAATCATTTCTGGCTGTCGATACCTGAGTACCAGACTAGAGCTTCAGGCTAGATTGGGCTAAAGATTACAAACTTAGCTGACGACTTTGAGTGAAATTGATGGCTTTCAATGTCTTTACCCTTCTTGCCTACAACACATGCCGGTCACTCATTGGCCTGGAAACGCAAGATGTGAACACATGGACGGGATTTTAGATAGAAAAGCCTCCCACAAATTTCTGAAGGCCTATTGTATACCGAAGTACTGTTTCGCGTGACTGGGAGTCTGTTGCCTCTCAAAACGCCAAGCCTAAAAGATATCATGGTTGTGGGTTGACGGGAATAAAACAAAGACGAATAAGAGAAAGTGTTTGGTTAAAGCTGTGATTCACGACATCAGCAGCTGCAGAGTTCCTGGCAATGCCACAATAACAACAATTCTAAGGATAGGCACAAAAGAACAAAAGTCAGAAGCATAAACGCAAACGCAGCGCAAATATTATCTTGCTAATTTTATCACGAGAAAAATTTATCTTATCTGGTTTTATAGACTGCAATTCATTTGCATTCATTTGAGCGCTCGATTGCGTCGAGTCTGTATTGATTTATAAGTTGTCTGTATGTCCGTATTCATTTGTGTAACTCAGTGATGCGATGTCAGAGTTCGAGCATGAAACCTCCTGTTGATAGAAGACGCTTACCTGCTTGGAACTGATGCACTGGTGAGCATATGCCTATTCTTTCTCTTAGGCAACATATAAGTAGGCTAATAAAGGACAAGATTTGTGAAAATGAGTTACTACTTTTTATTTATTCTTTTTACTCTACGCCGAAGCCCAAGTCTTCTTAAAGTTTCTAGTAAATTTTGAACTGAAGGATTCATACGGATCAAAAACCCAATATATCAAACCTAATTTCTTCTCAATAACTGACTTTCCCAATAAGACTGTAACTGACACAGCAACAACTAAACTCTATGATGGCAGGGCAATAAAAGAGGCTTCTGCCGAGCTGTAAATGAGTTATTGCAGAAATCCCTAAATCTAGGAACTCGCACTGAACTCTATTAACTTCCGCCACCACATTAAGTTACAATGACCGGAAAAAATTGCTTCCAATTACTATATATTCTACCTTCATTCTCGCCTACCGTGACCTCGCAGCTCGGCCTGATCCTCCACACTCTACATTCGCCATCATTGTTTCTACAATTCATCAACATGGCAGAACTCAACATGACAGACCTTGTACTTCGAGTTAGAAGGCCCGACCAGCAACACGGAAGTACCGTTTTGGGGTGGAAAAGAATCGGCTGGCCAAGTCTTCTGCCCGTTCTGGAGCGTCGCTCACTTTACCATCAGCTGCCCGAAGATGCACGGCGGATATCACCAGAGTTGAAGAGCAAAGCAAGGGAGGTTCTTTTGAAGCACAACCTAATCACTGTCGACCCCTGGGGCGTGTCTGAGGAGCAGGTTTTGGTTGAGAACAGATGGAACCAGATGACCCTACCTGGAAGACCAACTCTCGTCATGGTGATCAAATGGTCGGATGAGAGGCAAGAATCGAGACGCCTCGCAGCCCAGGAAATAGCTGACTACGTCCAACACGCCACCCAAACATTCCCCTACACCTTTTACGTCGAGATCACTTCGGCAGAACGAGTGAACACGGTGTACTATGATTTCATCAGGGACCGGACCCTCTCACGACAATGGAATGACATCAGACACCGTGTTGTTGACTGTCTTCGCTCCATGGAAGAAACGCGAGGCTACCTCACCTGCCTCGCGTTCCAGATATATGGGTGCGATCCAGATTTGAGCATGAACCCACCGACTGTCTATATCGCGGTGGATGATCGCTCTGACGAAAGAGGGTGGTATGGTGTTGTTTCTGCTGTGAAGGATATACTCCGCGCAGCAGACGGGTTGAGCCATGTCCAAGTCCATATAGAGACCACCAAAAATGATCTCTTATCCAATTTCGACTAATTGTTAGCCCTTTTGAGAAAGGAAGGGGCCCTTACAGATAGTTAGTTCCTGAGGTTTTATGGAACAATTTATGACATTACTGATATAAATTGTGAAGAACTACTGTTGTAATAATGCAATGCAAAGCTATGAACCGAACACAAGCGCCTCTACCCACTCTTAACGCCAAACGTAAGCCCATTAATCATATTAATTCCATCACAAATATCCATATCCTCCTCCAGGTGACGTTCCCATTCCACCAGGTGCAAGACCACCACCGCTCGAAGTCCCCGAGACGCCTCCGTAAACACCACCATTGACTCCTCCGTTGGGGCCTCCACTGACACCAGAATAAATGCCTCCATTCACTCCGCCATATATACCACCATGTGGTCCGTCATGTGGCCCGCCAACGCCCAATGATCCATTGCCAGAGCCATGGCCGTATTTGTGGTTGTCTGAAGATGATCTTCTGCTGGCGTCGCTGGAGAATTTGCTTCCTTGGAGTCTGGATGTGGCTTCTGGTGTTCTTCGACCAAGAGTTGTAGGTCTTGGTGGTGGTAGGTCATTCGTTTCTTCGTGTTTTGAGAAGAGGTTGAATAAGCACATTGGAATTGATAGGGTATGTGTGTGGGTAGGTGTAGTAGGTATTGTGAATAGGATTGTAGCGATACTGTGACGTTTCTATAGTTGAGGTTGAGTAATAGTTATGTTGCGATAGTTGAGATCAAACCGAGAACAAATTGCAGGGCAGGTCGAGCATTTAAATGATTGACAACACGTTTTCGGCAGTCATACCTAGACCACGCGTACCTGCTTAAAAACCGGGCCTAAGGGGCTATGACGATCATTAGCAGCCTATAATAAGGCCTGATGGACCGCTTGCACCGCCCCATGTTGGTCCCTGATTTTAAGCACAGCCTTGAAGAATCCCTGCATTTTTGCATTGGCTCAGCGCTTGGTCATGATCACGAGGCGGTCAGGTCACTCATACGAGGCTGGCAGAAAAGCTATCCTTGCAAGCATTAGCATATAAAAATAAATGATCTAAAGTCATCGTTTAAACAACATAAAATGACCTACTAATGTCGTCTGATGCTTCTCCGATACCATGAGGAATTTTGCGTGGGATGGGTGAATTATATAATGCTGCCACACAATAAGTTGCTGGTCTTGTGCGAATTTAAGCTTAAATTAGCGAACGTTGGTGGAACATGGTGACGAAAATTTGCACATTTGATTTGACAGGCCACGAAGCATCCCGAAATTAAAGAATGCGTCAAATAAATAACGTAGTATTATGTCAAAAAACAAAAAATAAAAAAAATACCCAGCGAAATGTATGACAGTTGAACTTCCAAAGACTCGTTGACCAAACTAGTCAATCTGCTGATGCCTCTCGTTACAGTTGGTACAGTAATTGGCTGTGACACGGCAAGTGTTGGACATATAGCCAGTACCACACTTGCTTACGCCAGTATTATCCTTCATGTACTGGTACTCCTCCTTGATCTGCTTCCCGTTCAGACCACCGACACTCCAGTCATTACAGTCAAACTCAACAACACAACCAGCTTGACCAAAGGTGGGAACAATGATGAAGCCGCTCTTAATGCGAGCATAGTATGAAGCGAACTCAGTGTAGATGACATCATCCCTGAAGTTGTCAATCGCACGATCGCATGCGTTGTCGATAGAATGGCATTGGCTAGACCCCTTGTTGTTACCGTCAGTCTGTACGGGGTCGGCGGGACGAATTGTCGAGGCAGTGCCCGAGCCTTGAGTATAAGTGTAAGACCCGCCGGGGTAGTTGCCGACCTTGACGGACTGATCAGGGTATGCTAGAATAGCGCCATTATCCATAGTGGTAGTGAAGGGGGTAGGCTCTGGAGGAGGAGGAGCCTCGGTGGGGGCCAGAGTGACGGGAGATGGGTACTCGTGGTAGTAATGGCACTGGCCAGAGATGAGAGCGGCCGTAGTGACAAATACCTGACCAGCAGTTGTGGTTGAGCACTGGCAGTGAGGAGTCTCGACTCGGGGACCGCCAAAGTTGACACAAGGGTAAGGGCCGGTATAAGTGTCAGAGGTGGTATCGGGGGCCGAGGTCGTTGTGATGAAGGATGTCATGAGAGTGGTAGGGGGTGAGGTTGTAGTCTCACCAGCTGTGGTGGTCTCCTCAGCAGTGGCCTCCTTGGAAGTGGTCTCGTCGATCTTGGTTTCGGTAGTGGAACCGACCTGTGTCTCAGTGCTCTTAGTATCCTCTGTAGACGTAGGATCGACCGAAGCATCCGTGCTCTCTGATGTCTCGGCAGCCGAAGTAGCATCAGAAGTAGCATCAGAAGTGACAGCCTCTGTGGATGTGGGACCAGATGATGCTGTAGCGGTCGCGTCGCCGCGTACCAAACAGCTATGAGCAGCATCCTCATCGGCCCGCTTCCGCTGGCCGCCGGCGGGGGCGGCGGGGGCAGCAGGAGGGAAGACAAAAAACTCATGCGAAGTGACTAGGTTATCCTCAACCCAAAGCCTCCAACGACCCATAGCCATACCTAGACCCAGGAGCTCATCCTCTTCAGCGCTCTGGATAACCCGCTCAAGCATATCGAATTCAACAATCGCACGACCCCAGTATCCAAATATATCGGTTGACTGGTCTTTGTCAGTGCGGATGTAGCCGAGTACCTGACTTGTGGCACCGGGTATGATGCCTGTCAGTTTGGTAGCCAAATCATTTGCACGCTGCTCGTAACGATAGAGTGTGTTGATACCGTACAACGTGGTATCAGCAAGACTAGTAAAGGGGGTGATGATGAAGACCTTGGGCTCGTTAAAAGAGTGCAGATAACCTGGGTTTTCGTCTGTGCCGATAAGGGAAGTGACACTCAATGCGTTCCCGTCAGTCGTGCCGTCACGAAGAGCGTTGAAGGCCTTGGCCTCAAATTCGTCATCAGGCTTAAAATTCCAATCTCCATCAATGAAGACGGGGTTTTCCCAGATGTGAGAGAGATAGGTACCCACGTTCGAAACGATCATAACAGCTGTGCAGCCATAGATACCGTTGACTCCGGCCGAGCCCCTGCCTGCCGGGCCGGGGGCGTTATACCAGTGACCCGATGTGTCTCCTTGCTGACTAACCCAAATGGGATTCAAGGAGCCAACATACGCAGCGTTAGGAGAGGTATCATCGGCGAATGTGCGACGGTTTAGAGGCGCATCTCTCTTTTCGGAGGGACCAGAACTAGGTCGGGAGGTAGGAGGCGCGTTGAAGGGATCCTTGAAGCCACCAGGCTTAGTCGGCAAGGGTCCGTCGGTTGTAGAGGTAGGAATGTCCTTACAATCAACGACTCCTCCCTCGTCAGACATCTTTCCATCCTTTCCTGGCCCGGGACCCATAGGGCAAGAGTCACCACCGCCACAGATGCCTGAGGCACAAGGCAGTGGCATACCGGTGGTGGTCTCAGTTGTGGTGGACTCCTCAGTAGAAGTAGGGACTTCCGTCGTTGTAGGGGCTTGAGTCGTCGTTGGGGCTTCTGTTGACTTCTCGGTGGATTTTTCTTCACTCTTCTCTTCTGTCTTGTCATCCTCATCCTCGTCATCATCTTGCTGTTCGTCAGTCAACTCGTCGTTCTTGCCTTGAACGCCCGAGACAGCACCCGTCACAGCAGGGACGTTGCCCGCGATGATACCGCCCGACACCTTAGTAAGGTCCTCAGCCATACAAGCTAGCTTGTTGATGACATCTCCAATTGGGCCCAGAAGTCCACGCTTCTTGTTAGAACAGCCAACATCGGGACTGCCGCCGAGTGCAACAATAACAGCGATGATATCATCATGAGTGTCCTCGACCTCCTTGTTGGTTTGGTCCTTGAGAGACTCGGGATCCTCTTTCCACTTGTCGATGACGGGGATTAGGGAAGCGATCTGAGATGATACTGATGATACACTGGCGGTGGCTTCGGGTGGAGCTGTAGTGGGTGCAGGAGCTTGTGTAATCACAGGCGAGTCCTCTTCCTTGCTGGAAGGATCTTGTTCAACTTTGTTTGTTGTAGGCTTGGCTTCCTCAGAAGTGGGCTTGGCTTCTTCCTCAGAAGTGGGCTTGGCTTCTTCCTCAGAAGTGGGCTTCGGTTCAGGCTGTGTGGTAGTCTCGACGGGCTGCTGGTCGACCGCGGTTGTGGTATCAACGAGAGCCTCCTCAGACGTGGTCTCTGGAAGGCCCGGGATGACCTCTGACGTTGTAGGCACAACTGGCGCTGGCGCATCTGTAGTGGTGTCTTGTTCAACCACTTGAGAAGTAGCCTCAGGCTGGTTGGTGGAGACATCAATCGCAGGTTCAGTAGTCGTATCAACTGGAGGCGGCAGCCCGGTGGACGTGTCAACAAGGGCAGGGCCAGTAGATGTGTCAATGATGGGAGCAGGGCCTGTGGTGGTATCGATGATTTGAGGCGGTAGCTGAGTCGATGTGTCGATAGGGGTAGGGACAGTAGTCGTATCAATTGCAGGAGGAGGCAACCCACTGGTTGTATCAACGATTTGAGGTGGCAACTCAGTCGATGTGTCAATGGCAGGATCAGGGCCGCCCGTTGTGTCAATCACGAAGGGGATTTCTGTGGTTGTATCCACGACAGGTACGAACTGTTGAGTGGTAGTGTCTTGAGGTAGCTGCTCTGTGGCAGTGTCTGAAGAAGGAGGAGGCGGGGGCAGCGAAGAGGTATCTTGGATAAAAGGTTGCCCAGTAGTCGTATCCTGGACGTCGGGCACCTGAGAGGTGGTCTCGGGATTTTCAGGAACGACTTCTGGGGTGGTCTCTGGGATGAAGATAGCTTCGCTGGTGGTGGTGGGCAGAACAGCAGGTGGTACAAAAACCTCCGAAGTAGTAGTAGTAGTAGTAGGAATAGGCTCAGGAACAGGGTCTTGAGCGATGGCAAAGAACGGCAAAGCTGCCAAAGCAAAGAATGTGGTACGCATGTTTGCGCAAACGAATGACTAATAAGCAAATGAATGAATGACTAGACTAGACTAGACTGCAAGTAAAAGACTGTAAAAGGCCAAAGAGCCTATGGTTGGTAAAGACTCGAATGAATCGTCGCGCGACATCTCTATATGTAGGGCTGCTTTCCTAGAGATCAGTCAGTCAGTAGTAGTGAACGTCTCGAGGTCGTCTCGGTCAAGGCTCACAGGAACGTGCATCGATGCGAATCCTTCCATTGCTTGATCTCCACGCCACAGGGGTAGAAGTGAGCTCTGTGATTGCTTGGTGTAACACGGATGCAAAGATCAGCGTCTCATCTCATCTCATCTGAGGCCTGGGCTCATTTGCTTCCAGGGCAGATGGAAGCTGACGTGGGTTGTAATCAACAGGTGCCGTGTCAGTGTTGAACGTTAGCCTCAAGGCTTTAGGATACAAAAATAAATAGCCTAAAAAGCCTGATCTAAGTGGCATAAACTGACCTACTGATTTCGTCCCTTACACCCAGCGGCCAACCCTTCTGTTACTATGAGGCCACTGAAAGTTTTCTTTTTTAGCGGTCCTGCAGGATCTAATTAGCACTGATCCTTCTGCGTTTCAGAATAGGGTGGCTTGCCGCAGCCTCAATGGGCCCCAAATCTTCCGATCCGTAGAAGCCGAGAAAAACAATTGGAAGATAAACGAACGCGATCAAGAAAGCTTAATTACAAGAGACAATGATTTTATCTATGCCTTTGCCTTTTCTTGTTTCTCAAGAGGGCATACCTATAAGAATGCAACTGTTAGTGTATGTCCATAGAGGAACAACAGGCTCAAAAGTTAATACAATATGTACTACAGCTCAAGCTTGTGAATCAAGATCCTGTCTTCATCCAATACTGGTAATTCGTGTCTTGAACGTTTCTGTTTCTGTTGTCCCGCCCCCAGAATAGGCTCCATTATTTGTTCCTTCGGCCATTGTAAATGGAGTCGTCGATGATCGATATCACAAAATCCCGATAATCGCTACCAGGCTTGATCCCTGCTCCCTAATCACTTGAAATTGGCATCGGCAATGCATGTCAGCAAACCTCGAATCTCATGGTATACGAACCCTCAAGGTATCAGAAGACTTGGCTGCCGCTAGCATAATGAACGAAATCAGTAGCCTAACTTATGCCATTTAGCTCAGGCTTCTTAGTTTACTTATTTTTGTACCCTAAGACTTAGGAGGTCACAGTACAAGAACCAGCACGTTTTTGTAGATCACCCTGCAATTCAAATTTTCCGATACAGCCACCAACTAAACCTAAACTAACGCTACATTATTCCAAGCGCCTGTTTCATCTCGTCACTGCTCAACCTGCCAGCGTAATCTTTAGCACTGCCGTAAGGTCCCTTCTGATCAGGATCCGCCCCCTGGTCCAAAAGCCATTTCACTCTCTCAACAGCGCCCGCCCATACGGCATTCACAATCGGGTACAGCGCTACCATATGGCGCGTCTCAAGCTTGTCGTTAACTCCGGCACCATTCTCCACAAGTAGCTGCATGACGGGTATTCTAGAGACGTCAAATTCTCTTGTTGGCGTGACGCGTCCAGCATGGGGGTTTGCGCCTGGTGGCAAAGCACCTACTGCGTAGTACAGCGGGGCCCCGTTGGTGATTTTGGCGCCGGCGTTTAGAAGCTTCTGCACCAAGTCTGCACTGCCATACGTTGCTGCCAGCTCCAGTGCCTGGCACGAGCTTGTGTCGGGTCCGCCTAGACGGTCGCGGTAATCTTGCTGGCTGCCCAGATTTGGGTCTGCACCTTGCGCGAGGAACCAGTCGATGAGTGTTTCGTTGTTGTACTTGATGAGTCTTGTGAGGAGGACCTCGCCGTAGAAACCTGGCGTATTGACAGTCCAGCCATGTTCGGCAAGAACCTCGAAAAGGGCGATTTGCTGATCGGCTGGGGCTTTGAGAACAATCTCTGGTGTTTGTCGTGAGATGGGTGCTCCAGATTGGAGCAGATATCGTGCAATTTCGACGTTTCCGCTTTCCAGAGCGTTGATTAGACCGTGGTGAAGAAAGACTGGCGTGCGAGCTTGAGAGGTGATGATTGACTGGATGGTGAGCATGTCGCCGGCTTTGCAGGCAGAGAAAAATGAGGCGGCTGCGGGTGACACATTTCGCTGATAAAGGATGCCGTTGTCCTCGGGTGCTTGCACTGGAATGTCGTCGAAAGGACTACCAATTTGGTGAACCTGCTTTGAGCCCATCTGGTTCATTGTGGTCCCCATTTGACTTCCTATCTGGTTTGCTGCTTGTTGTTGTTGTTGCAATGCGGCCATTTGCTGCGCTCTCAATGCCATTTGTTGACGTTGTCGCATTTGCAAATAACGCCGTTGTTCGGCTTGTTCCTCTTGTAAAGACATTTTTTTAATTATTTAGTTGCGTGTGTTGGTTGGGAAGTGTAGGTGAAGCAATCTCAGTTGAATCCTTTGTGATTCATGCAGCGCTGAGATGTTCGCTCAGCTGACGTAATGTCACTGGAAATCGACACAAAGGAAAAATGCATCTTGTTCCCGGAATGTTCAGTACAGCATATTCATGTATATTATTTTAACTATAAGCTGAAGTTTAAGTCTCTTCAACTAACTTCGAGTTGTTGGTGATAAGGTTGGTTTATCTGCACAGATTGACGACTCAATGCCGCATTGTAACAGCTCCATATACGGTGATCGGGTTCTTTGATGAGCATAAAACAGTGCAGCTGCCCAAGTCAATACAGTGATAACTAAACTTTATAACATGAGCAATAAGACAAGCTTCTATTGTACTGTATGCACTGTAGCTATGTTTTTCTTCGATTTGCTTGATCTACTAGAAAGTTCACCACTCGTTCGATGTTCACAGCTCCCGGGTAACCACAATTAAAACCACCAAGTACAAAGTCTTCAGAAAGAAATAGTGTACAGTTCTTCTAAATTATCCTTTCACCTAAGCCTGCATAATCGCAGAAGCCAGCCCAGCCATAACCATAACACAAATGACTCGGACAGCACTCAAATTTGCCCCATTGGTCTCCCGTGGCGGCGAAGCATCAGTTGAGCTTCCAGTAGCTGTTGGTTCATCACTCGCAGCACTATCACTCCATGTATTTCGAGCAGAGCTTGATTCTTCCGTAGCAGTAGCCATGACCTGAGTTGATTTGATCAAACCCTGTCCCCCAGTAATAACAACAGGTATCGATGAAAAGGATAGTTCAAACGCCCCTGTGATCTCTGCCAAACCCGTAGCAGTCTTCGTCAAACCCTCCCCATCCGCTAAAACAGCCGTTGTACAAGCCTTTGCTGTTCCGCTGCTCACAAGGCATTCGATTGAACTGATTCCAAAGTCGGCCACAGATACCATCCAGTGAAACGTGCCCGTCGAAGCAGCGCCCTTGGCGACGGTCTTATCAGCCCATGGCCCCACAACGACGGTGTTGTTAAGAGTTGCACCGTCACATTCTTGGCCCAGGCAAACGATTTGGAGTGTAGTGGCGGTTGGGTTGGCGGATATCACTGTTGCAGTGGGCGTGTTTTGGCGGTAAAGGTTGAAGGGGGGCATGAATACGGGGGTTGTGAGTGCTGATGTCATTTTGGTGAAATGAAAGAGGTGCTATCGGTATGCGATTATGAGGCTTATTGTCGATAAGGTGTTTATGGAAGCAAAATCAAGGGCCAGGGACAGCAGGTGTTTTAAGGCAAACAATGCGGCGTAGGAGAAGGATTAATGATCGTGAATGCGATCGTGATACTATTGGCCATTAGAATGCGCTAAGGAGTGATGTCTTTAGCTTGGGATGGTAATTTCGGGTATTTGATTCGAACCGGCTAATACTTTCACAGTCAGCATACAACCGAGGACTATTTCTGATCAGATAGTACGAGTGGATTGGATATAGAGGTTTGAACTTTGAGGACGAGATAATAATAAATGAGAATATAGCGTCTTAAAACCCACAGAAAAGCTGGCTCTAAACATTATCGTACAAAAGAAATAGCTTGAGTCTTATTTAAACATTATTAAATGAGATCTCTTGTCCTTGTAGCGACTAACTTTGACATGTACTCCAGCAACCCATGAAGGGATCAAAGACCCTCTCTCCATCTTCAGCGCCTGGCTGTTGTAGCGACGACATAGTAGGTGGCGTAGGAAAGTCAAACTGATAGAACGGCACATTTTTGTTCTCCTTAACATGGATATCAATACCCCTCTCCCTGCCTATATTAATCAACCTTGAGTAATCAAACTTAGCAATCGTGTTCCCCTTCTCCGGGTTGGGTTGTTGCTGGATGAAGATGGCCTTCAGCTTCCCGCCACTACGTTCGTTATTTTCGACCGTGAGATAAAGAAGGAACTCCAGACGTCCCATCACTTCTAAATCCATCATCTCGTCATCGCGGTAGCTCTTTTGAACCAGGATCACCTCAACGTCTGGCAAGGTTAGACAAGATCTCCCATATGGATTGTAGCGCCTTCTAGGATCTTTCCATTCATCAAGCTCTTCCTTGTGTGTAGCTAGTCGTGGGAAAGCTAATGCCATAGGGTTCAAAGCATTGACAGTGACTTTGGTTGCTCCTGTGTACGACTTGCGTATCGGCCTGGTTCTACCGAACCATCCCCACGTGCTCTCGCTCGGCCGAAGACGACAATTGTACTCTATAACATGCTCTAGGCTTTTGCTCAGATGCAACATGAGCACATATAGAGCTTGGTTATTGGCCGCATTGGACAGCTGAAGTTTCAGGCCACCACGAACAGTTAGAGTCTTGAGTTTCTTGGGAATTAGCAAGAACTCCATGACAGACTCGGCCGTATAATCCTGGTCCGAAATATCATATCTGTCAACGAACTGGTCAATAAAGACGTGTTCTACAGAAGAGCAGCCTGTCAGGGCAGCTAACTGAGGGGGCCTTTCTTCGGACTCCAACCTCAACATGTTTCTCTGGAGATTCATAGTCCCAAAGTAGGCGGATTTGAGACGAGGAAGAAGCATTAGGCTGCGGAAGTGTCGCGGTCTATGTAAACCGGACAGATTGCGGTCCTCAAACCATAATCCTGTTGGGATACCGACGGAGACCTCTCGTAGACTTTTAAGGCCCGGCGCCCAGGAGTTCCGTCGCCAACTCTTAGTAATAATTTGCGATAGCCACTCCATCACTTCCCTAAGATACCTATATCAGTATCTCCCTAGTGAACCCAGCAAAAAAAAAAAAAAACTTACAATTGAGAAAGATCACTTGTGTTGTCTTTACTGCTCGCGTGTTTTAAAACGTTCAGCCGGGGACATAGAGTGACTAGCAGGGCTTTCAAAACACCATCATTGCCTTCGAGAAGTTGTGCTGAAAGCCGCTCGATTTCATCATCATCGCGGCGAAAATGCCCATACTCTATCAGCAGGTCGATGTAGGTGGTCAAGTGTTGTCCAATGATGCTCTCTCGATATTGGTCCCCTCTTTTTGTTCGCCATACAGCATAGATCATGCAATCCTCAGTCAAGTCTTCGTCTTCGTCTGTTTCCTCATATTCCCACAGCTCTCTCCAGGGCGGTTTCTCGAACACTTGACGCCATTGAAAGTCGTGGAATGTCTGACCACCTTGAAAGGTTGAAGACATTGTGTCTTCTGGAGACGGCGATGGAAAGATTTCTACTGTGGACGGCACCTCTGACCTAAAGTCTCCCCAGTACTCCCATCCGTACCTTGTACCGAATATCTCGATGGTGCGAATATTCCAGGCAACATATGGATCCGTAATGACTTTCTGCAAAACAGACGGTATAGTCAAGTACTTCCAGTCAGTTACGACGCCGTACTCTCGGTAGGCAGCCCTATGGCGTTTAAGGGTGGCGTCTCCTCCATTGGCGAGCCGACGACATGTAAGAGCAAGGTTGAAGTGGTCGGATACATGACATAGCTTGAATATTTCGTGAATCAATTCATCCGGAAGCCTCAGAAAGAACGCCGGCTGATCTGAATGTACAGCCATTTTTGAGTTGGAGCTGAAAAGGGGAAGTAGGTAGAAGCCAGGGACGAACTAGGCAGAGAGTAATAAAAATGGCCGCTAGTCAAAAACATATTAGCGCATTAATTCGGTATATCTTCCGGCCTTGGCAATGGAATCGAGCAAAAAATATGCCCAAATCTATGCAGTTTCATCAAGGGCTGCAAGAGAGGAACATGATTTGTTTAATTTAGCAACTTAGATAAAAAGCAATAATTCAGCTTCACAATCTTCATCACGAATCATTGCCATTGATCCATTACTTCTGCCTTATCTTCTGGCTCCTGTAGCACCATCTTGACGTACTGTACAATAGACAGGACTGTGAATGCACTCCCATGCAGGTGATTAGGCTCTGTTGACAAGTGTAAGAATATAACTAACAGCCATCTGCCGATAAACCCAGAGTTTCTGCCGCTCAATTCCAGTGAGGCAGACTGATCTCTCATAGTATTTATCATATACTGAAAGCCCAGTCTCACCTCACACACTCATCTCAATAACTGCCAAGATTGGAGGTTGGCAGCGACAAGTTGACAACCAACAAAAGATTGCCGAAAATGTTGGACAATCACCCAGCCTCCAAGTTGTAGATGTGAACTCCAAAATAAATCAGTGTGAATCTGCCAGCGACTCTACCTTGAACACATTCTAGATGTAAAGTTCACTAGTGTGGACTCGTTTGGAGGCAAAACCTGGAGGGTTGCTATCTCTGCATCTGTGTTGATTCTCTTGGACCTACCCAACTACATACACAAGTACCACAAGCCGATTCACGTATAAGGTTGGCAGATTGAGATCATGCACGAGACAGGTTGAAATTCTAGGTTCGTCATGAGCCAAGAATAAAATCATTACGCGTCTGCCGAGACCCTTCTTGGCGATGCAGAGGAGTGACGTTGGACAAGGCTTGGCGTTTCTGGGCGTTGCAACAAGGTTTCCCTCTAACGGCAGCCACAACTCTTCAGCGATGGCACCATGACATGTGCCAACGTACTGAGCCTCGCCATTATGGCTTGGGGGCTTGTAATGGCTGCCATCGAGTGGCGTCATGACGGTAGTTGCCATATTGTGAAGCAGGTTTCTCAACCTCGATTGGAGGGTGACGTCGAATCACTTCATGTCATAACCCATAATCCAAAAATACAAATACTCGTTGGTTTCCAGCTTGTAGAAGTACCATTCATTATCCTCATCAGACAGAATAACTACAAATCACCTTTAAAAGAACTACCACAAGAAACTACAAAGATCAACCAACAACAAACTACTACCAACCAACCAACTCTACTCAGACACAATTCGACCTCAAATTACCCTCTAAAACTCCAAACACCACACAAATCAATCCAATCCAATCCAAAAAAAAATGTGTCTTCCTTTCGGACGAAGCAGCAACAACCGTCGCTACGGTGGCAGCAGCGGAGGCATGATGGGAGCTCGCCCTGTCAAGGAAGTTCACCACCATCACCACGGAGGAATGGGCGGCGGCCGTATGGGTGGTGGAATGGGAGGCATGGGAGGAGGACGTCGAATGGGAGGAGGTATGGGCGGTGGACGTATGGGCGGCGGACTCGGTGGAATGATGGGAGGTCGACGAATGGGTGGACGCTGCTGAGAGGAATATTGCGATTAAATGATTGAGATACGACTATTCATGTGAGGACGTTAGATGTATAATAGAGCGCAGCGCTTAATTGATTGCACGAAAGATTAAAGACACCAACCTAAACATGGTCAAGTTTCAACGTTGTTGTAAAGAAGTGTACCAAGTCGTCCAACTCTTCAGGCGCCTTAATCCAATGGCCCTCCAACTCCGCACCTTGGTACTCCTTCCACTTTACTGAATAGCCAATGCGACTGAGGGCATCCCGAGCTTGTCGTCCCAGCTCCACATCGACATAAGTATCGTCTGTTCCATGACCAAGAAAGATGGGGGTAGATAGATCTGGGTTCTGTGATGTTGGCTGACCGAGTATATCATTCACGAATGTTGTGCCCTCATGTTTCTCGGCCATCGGGGTCTGATTCGAGTAATCCTGAAGACTCAAAGCGAAAGGAAGCCAAGTGTTGGTACCGAAAAACGCACCCAGTGGTGTTTCGGTTCGGCGGCGAAGAAGAGTCCACATCGCTATCGCTCCTCCTTGACTGATTCCGCCCAACACCGCTCGATTGCTTTCTCCATCAAGGATATTAATTTCTGCGTCGATGATTCTTTTGATATAGTCGGTCGACTCTTTTATGCCTGGTATTTGCAGATCCTGCTTCGCTGTTGTATCCGTCAAAGAATAGGCCTCGAACCAAGCTGGCATATCTTCCTGGAACATCTCACTCCAGAGTTCACGCGAAGTCGGAAATACCCATCGCCAGTTTGGAAGCTTCTGGGCCAGGTTGGTTCCATCGACGAATAGGGTTTCGTCAAAAAGCTCTTGGGCAAACTCTAGGCCGTTGCTGCCTCGTCCATGTAGGATGACTGCTGTGTGTGTGTGCTCTATCGCAGATTCGACAATGTGTGTTGGCCCGAACGGATCTGTAGTCTGCAACTCTGGAGACCGTGCCATAATGATGGTGGTCAGGATGCTGTCAGGGCTGATTGTGATGTAGTGGGGAAGTTTATTGTGGCGGGGCTTTGAGAATTTGCTTACGCTACTTACAAAGTCTGCCGGCTCAATGTTTTTCTGGCTAAAGCCTGATATCATGTTTCTCGAATGCGATGCTAGAAAGAGAAATTTCTCACAGGGTCTTGGTCTTTTTTCCTTAGCTCCGTAGATCATGTCAACTTTGCAACTATTTTGCCCGTCTCTAAATCACCACCATGAACTTTGTTAACAATATAAGTCAAGAAGTCTAATCTAAGAACTAAAGCAAAAATGATATTATAATTTCGTCCCTTTTGTTCTGAGCGGCCAGTTGTTCTGGTACTCTGTGACGCCTGCACAGCTACGCGGCAACGTCAGCGTCTAAGCACAGTTAACCGTCTGGCGCCACCTGCTAATTTTTGTACGCAACTCCGTAGGTGCTGTAGGTTTAAATTTTATCCCTTATGCCTACTTATTAGCCTTTTGGGTTTTAATTTAAATCCAATAATCTCCTCATCATCACCGCCGGCTGACGCATCCCCAAGACCATCAGAAAAATTGGCCGTTTGAAGCACAAGGAACGAAATTAGTAGGTTATTTTATGATCTTTGGAGCAGACTCATTAGGCTATCTATTTCCATATCCTAAAGTACAGAGGCTAACATTTCTACTACCTGATAGATTATCCAACCTACTCAACGGCACAAAATGAATCTACACAGCTCAGGCTCCCCTCAGTGGTCATCTCTGCCGCCAGAGATCCGCTCCAAGCTTCTCCACACGATTGTCGACCAGAAGAACCCACGGTGGTCATCTTTAGCTTCGGTCTCTAACGAATGGCAGAGTGTCATTGGGGCGCGAAACATGGCCAAACTGGAGATTTGACATTCTTGCAGCGTTGACGAGTCCGGGGAGGTGGTTGTTCGACACTCTTGCGTGGAAGAATTCGGGCGCATGGTTGTTCAACAAAGGCACCTGGTGAGACATATCTATCTCCAGATTGAACATGAACACGATTCTACGTTCAAATCCTGTTCGGGCGACGTTCTCCAAGAAGTCTTTGCCATACTCAGCACGTAGGAGACGACAGGACCTTTGACGCTAGAGTTCAATGAAATTCCAGCGAACGGCTCGCAACACTGGTTTCGGAATTTGCGATGGGATGACGACTATGATTCTTATGACCTAGATTCACCTATTTATGAACCCCAAGAGGTAATGGATGGCAGCTGGCATGATCCTGCACATGGTTGGGAGAATGGTGTGCAGGTGGAACCTCCTCCATTCTTAGCCCAACTGCCGCGGCTGACGGAATATATTTTCGAGCCATAGCCTAAGGCATATTCAAGAATTGGTCGCGAGGGTTCGTGGTACTTGGCAACGAAAGGTAAGTGCTTCCGTATATATGCGCAATCTTGCCCGAAAGATCATTATATTAACTTCATTGACAATAGTGTCTTTCTTGCATAGCATCTATCCCTCAATTGCGCTCAACAAAATGATTATTTTCCAACATTTTGACCCACGCTTTGGGCCGACTTTCCCAGTGCATCTACTTCCTCCGACTATCGACGAAGCTGGATATAAAGCGTTTCAAAACTTGGAATTCCATGCCCATCAAACCATGATGATGCTATTGGCCGATCGGGTGAAAGAACTGACTGTCTCGTTCTTGTTCGATGCCAATGATGTTTTGAAAGAGTTAAAATGGACATGAGACCATATGAATTTGCGATCTCTGGCCTAGACGTCAATATTTTTAGGAGCTAGAAAACAAGAAGAAGACAACATCCAACGCCAACTCGTCGACATGGCGAAGGTGGCATTGTTAATGCCGTAACTGAAGACCCTCGTACCATGGACTGGTGATATAGGTATAGCATGTGCTTTTGTGTACATGAAGGGAGAAAAGTATGTTGAGATTAACTGGCGCGGGACATGGGATCTTGATATTGGCCACCATGTCATGGATGCATGGAATGATGTTGTAACGTTTCATGGGGTGGAATTGCGTACTACTACCCCTAAGCGCATCACAGAGGTCATCATGTCTTATGGGGACGCTATCTATCATGAACTGCCTTGTCAGGTAATTCAGCCTACATCGCTTTGGCAAATTCGGGTGGAGAATCAGTATACTACCCCACCAATTCGAGCCTAGGCGGTGTGACTCGGGTCTCAGGGTAGCAGAAGAAATGGTCTTCAGTAGCATAAGAGACGTAGTCAGAAAGTCTGTCTACGCTGTTAAAAAGGGGTTCTTATGTCATTTACTATTATCCCCTAAAAAATGGGAGCTCGATGTCTCTATTTTTCACGAGGATGGGCACCGTTTCGAAGATGAAAGGAGTAGTGAGACCAGGATATTGCACCTCAAGTAGTAGAAAACTAACTATTATTGAAAAGGAAGCACTCGGCTCTTGTATTGCAGAGGAGGAACTGAGAAATGAGACGATCTGAAGATGTAATAAGAACCGAGTTTGAATTTAATTGATTAAAGGTCTTGATACGAAACATACTGCCACACATGATTGTCATGCCCCCCTAAGCAGCAATCTTGCTCAAGAACAAACTCTGCACATTACACATGCCTTTAAGGCCGTTGATACCCCATTCGGCTCCAATACCAGACTCCTTGTGTCCACCAAATGGTGCCATCGGTGTGATATCAAAATGAGTATTGACCCAAACAGTTCCTGCATCGAGCTGCTTCGCAACTCGCTCAGCTGTCTCCAGATCAGCTGACCAGACCGAAGCACCCAATCCAAGTCGTGTATCGTTGGCGCGCTCGATAACCTCCTCTTCATCTTTCCAGGACAGAAGAGGAAGAATGGGGCCTGTCATGTATGTCAGTATACCGACTCTTAGTGAATTCAGCTTAGCTTACCAAATGGCTCCTCGACAACAATCCGTGAATCCTCAGGTGGGTTATCAATCACAGTTGGTGTGATATAATACCCATCCTTGGGCTCGGGATCGAACTTTCCTCCCGTGGCAACTTTCCATCCTTGCTTTTCGATATCCTCAAAGAAGGTCTTGACTCTGTTGTATTGCATCTCATTTTGCACAGGGCCGTGGCTGGTTCCCTCATTTGATCCATCGCCAAGCTTGTAGCTCTTGACATGCTTGACAACTGCGTCGCGGAATTTCTCGTAGATGGATTCATGAACGTAGATGCGTTTGACGTTGAGGCAAATCTGACCAGAGTTCATAAACGCCAAGGTTGAGACCTGCGCTCTGTTAGTAATTCTTGTTTCGCATTGCAATAAGTCAGACAGCACTCACCTTTTGGGCCACTGCGTCAATGTCAACATCTGCAAAAACAACTGCAGCATCGTTTCCACCACTAAAGAAGTGTCAGTAGCATGTCCAACTCGCCATTTCAAAAGTACTTACAGCTCAAGGGTCACACGCTTTAGTGTCTTGGCAGCACTCTGCATGACCAACTTTCCAGTATGTGTAGACCCAGTAAAACTGATCTTGTCAATGCCTGGATGACTGGTGATCCATGGTCCAAGGTTATCATCTCCGCTGAGTGACTGCACGACGCCAGGAGGGAAGAACTGCTGCGCAAGTTCAACGAGCTTCAATCCACAGTATGGGGTGAATGGACTGCGAAAGGTCAGGAGCTGGAGTGTAATGGGAAGTGAAGATGCTCTTACGAAGGCTTGACAATGATGACATTTCCAGTCAACAGAGCGGGAGCGATTTTAGAAGCAGCAAGCATGAGAGGAAAGTTCCAGGGAACGATAGCAGCGACAATACCAAGAGGTGTGTATCGGGTGATGACCTTTCGAGTATCGCTATCCTCGACGACCTCTTCGGTAAGATCAAGGCTCGCTTGGCCTTTGATCCAAGCAACAGCAGCGTCAACCTCGCCGTTAGCTTGCGCAACCTGTAGCCCTTAGTATCTGCTCCAAACATTAAAGTTACCAGAAGGATGTAGACTTACTGGCTTTCCTTGCTCCGAAGTGAGCAACTCTGCAAATTCTTTCTTTTGCGCCTCGACAGCATCAGCCCAAGCAAAAAGCTTCTGTCTACGCTCTGCCCAAGGAACCTTGGACCAAGACTTGAAGGCCTGTCTTGCAGCATCTACAGCCTTGTTCAGGTCATCTTGGGAAGCAACAGGAACTTCAGGCTTCTTTTCAAGTGTAGCCGGGTTTATACCCTGGTGGGTCTTCTGAGTCGGGGCGCTTTTGCCATTGATGATCTGGACGTAGTTTTCCTTGAGGTCGAGGGTCTTTGTGCCGTTTGTAGACATGATTGTTGTTGAATAGTTATGGTTGAATGAACTGCGATGGGAGAAGGTAGTATCCTCTAGTGAAGTTCAGTCTTTTATATACATGACGGCATTTGAAACTCCCCCGCACTTTATGCCAGCTCGTACAGCACACGAATAATGAATGAGGTGTCACAAGATAAAGTAAAGACTTCCGAATGCCATCGGAGATGACGTCCCTCTGCACGCTAATGTATGGCTCCTCCACTAACATTTCCCAATGTGAAACTGTCTCTCAACAAAAGCCGAAACCCTCGGACCGAAAGGGCGGCTAACAAAGCCGTCTTCTCTCAATCGGCTTCACAAAAATAAAACAAGTGTTAGTTTGACATTACCAATGAATGGGTTGAATTCAATGTCATATATATACAACTAAATGTCTTCCCATTCCAACTCGGCCACCATCTTCATTAAGTTTTGGTCGGACAAAAAGATAATGATTATGGTACATTGATGGGTCGGTGATCCCTGTAACGGTAAAGGCAATAATGCATACTTTAAGTCCAAGACTACAAGCTGATCGCCACGCTGGCCCTTTTATCCTGTCATGTCTCACATGTTATGTCCGCCTAAGTAGGCTGTGTACATGTGAGGCTGGATGTTTCGCAGCTGAGTGGCTGTTCGACTTCACTGTACATACACATAGCCTTACATAATGCCCAAGGCAGATAGTACAGCCATGATTCATCATTTACTCATAAAGTAGCCTCTATTCTTTTGTATGTGAATACAAAACAATGGAAGGTATAGTTTGGATACCAAAAACTGATCTATTAATTTTATCTTATATACTTCAGGTAATCAACCACTCGATACCAATGTTACACTCAAAGTTTATCCCCCTTCCCCACGACCTTGACACTCATTACTCTTAGATAGGTATGCAACATGGTATCTGAAGTAAACAATCCGTCTCTATGCCAAGCTTGTCAAATACGGGATAAGAACGATTCTTTCAACAAATGTTGGCCAGGTCACTCAACTCGGATCATGTTAGACGACCTGGGGGTCAATCCGCAATGCCTGATATGTTCCATCGCTAAATCGTCTGTTGAAAATCGGCTTTCAAGGATCAGATGTTCGTCATTTTCTACAGTACAAGTTTCTATTCCCATACCGAGTTACCTGATCGCTGGAAAGGACTCCGATGACTTGAATCTTCCATATATGTCTATCTTGAAATCAGGAAACATCGAAGTTTCTATGCTTATGTTCTTGCATGTTTGGCCAAATTCTACTCAAGAACCGATTGCACTAGGTATTCATGCACCGAGATACCTTTGTGTTCAACTTCAAATTCGTCTTCTATATTCGACATGCGATCCTTTTACCGGGTTGACTGTGGAAAAAAAAGCCTTACTTGTCTGGCCTAGTACCCGATCCGAATCAGTCACCTCTAAAGTTCACGGGGCATAGGGATACAATCTTTGAGAAGAATGTCATACCAGTTCAGCCCGGGTCTTACAGTCCATCGTCAAGAGCCCAGTTTTCCGGAGAATTGGAGATCCGAGATATCGTGGAAGGAATACCCTCGGTCCCCATGGCAGAAGCTTGAACGACAGACTTTGGACCTCCAAACATGTAAGGTGGCCGCTACTCTTCCTGGTTGTCTTGTCTTCAAGACTGCCGTTGCAAATGTCAGGATTGGTATACAACAAACGCAGTCTCGGCGAGGAATATCTGGGCCGTACGGTGTTGACAATGACTTGTAGCAATTGCATATTGGTCACCAGCAGCTGGGGTGTCTTTACAGTGTACCCCAGCAACTACAAGAGAATATCCAGTCCTCGAATGGCTGGAGCCGTGACATAATAGCCATCTCTGGCACTTTTGTTAATTATAGAGACCAAAAGAGTATGCTGATGACCCGACGGGACAGGAAGGGGAGAATAGTGACAAAGTTCAGCCTGTGGCAGCTGCATGCTATGTTGATTGAGAGGGACAGCTCTCAACCGCATGTCGCCCGTCGTGTTGCAGTTGGTTATGTCCGCACGCACCTGTGGAATCTTTGCGCCCCACGATGGGGTACTATAGTTCTCTGTTGAATGCACCACTATATATTACTTCCTAGCTAGCAACCCAAGAATACCCTTCTTATCACAAGCACTCGCAACATCCAAAGCACTTCTCCCCTTTATATCCTCCTTCAAAGGATCTAGTCCCTTCTCCATCATCATCACAAACAGAGCCTTGTCATGCCCTTCCACCAAATACGTTGAGGGTGGCCGAGATGCGATTTTGTGCAGTGCCGTCTCTCCAGCTTTGTTGACAGCGAAAACATCAACCCCACTCTCCTCTGGAAACAGTATCTCGTAGTGATCTATGTGGCAGGCTGGCCCCTTCTCGTTGTCTTTCTGAGGATCCAACATCGACAGATAGGGATGCAAAGGGGTGTTCCCAGCATTATCAGCAGCATTGATCGAACCACCTTGAGATATATATCTCTTCCAGAGAGAGATGCAACTGTCAAAGAAATCTTCTGGCAAATCATTATACCACCGCCATCCATCTACATGCTCGCGTTGCTGGAGAAGACATTGAGATGCGATATGATGCAAGACTGTACGACCTTGGGGATCGGGTTCTGATAAATCTGCGCCTTTTTCCAATAGAGCTTCACAAACTGTTGGACGTAATGTGCGCAAGGCGCAATGCAATGGTGAGTACCCATCACTGTCCTTCTGGAATAATGTAGGAGATACCTCTGGTCGATTTATGAGACTGATGAGAACATGATCGGGGTATCCGGGATTGTTCAACAAATGGTGTAGTGCAGTTTTGCCTGAAAAATCCACCAAAGAGGCGTTAGCTCCGTGACTCAAGATCTCCAACGGGGATATCTTTTTCGATGCCTGCAGCCGTCGACGTGGCTTCGCCGAACAACCTAAGAGGTCTCGTCTCCAATCACATGCTGCCATTAAAATGGTTCTACCTTGTTGATCACGGCGGTTGAAGTCGATCTGTGATACACAGGGTTCTTGTAGTAGGGCTTCAATGATTTCGTATTCAGTGTATTCGAATAGAAATTGAAGCAAAGTCTCGTCGTCATTTAACGGGAGATAGAGGTCGGCACCGTGCTGGATGAGTGCCACTAGTAAGGGAACAGAATTTGATAGGTCATTAACAATCCCCAAGAAGTTTGTTAAAGTGAATGCCGAAAAGATAAGAGGGCATACTAGGCGAGATCTGTTTGATTCCATGTCAACATAACAGCTTTGACACTCTTCATCAGTCGCATCAGCGTTTGCCCCATATTTGAGAAGCAAATTCAGCGTTCCGAGGTTCTGATCACGGATGGACTCAAACAAGGGGCTTTTAACCCCAATATTGGCGTCTGCTCCATTCGTAAGAAGTTCCTGTACGATATCGGGTGCCCAAGATGCCTTGTGGAGAGCAGATTCGCCTCCCTTATCAAGGATATTGACATCGGCTCCATGCTCGAGAAGGGTTCTTACAGCTTCCGATTTCCATAGGCCTTGTTTTCCATACTCCGGTCTGCCGGAAGCAATATGAAGAGGAGTCTCTCCCTTCTCATCGCTTGCATTAATATCTGCGCCCTGAGCGAGAATGTACTTCAACGCTTCTAACTGCCAGTATCCTTCTGCTGACGAGAGGAGATGGAGAGCTGTGCCACCTGGAACTATATCGCATGATCTTCCTCGAACATATGAAGGAACACTTGCAAAATGAGCATTCACATCTACCTTCAGCTTTTCGACGAGCGTCTTCACAGTTACGAAGTTGGATTCCTTCCCGGAACATGCCATTGCCAGGGCAGTCAAAGAAGGCTTTCCGCTGTATGTTGACGGCTCGGAAGTAGCAGCCTCGAGTCTCGACTTAACTCCATCGAATGTGCTGTAGTAAATGACAAACTCATAGGCACTCTCGATAACTTTCAAGTGGTCTATATTTTGCTCAGACTCAGGCTTCACAAGTCGACCGAGTAGCTCATGAACTGAAGTCGACAATGGTGTCGCCTTGAAGCTCTTCATAGTGAGCATTGTTATTTCGTCGGTTGTCAATATGCCCAGAGTAATGCCAGGATTCTCAAGAAGCAACTTGAAATTGGGATCACCTTCACGCAAAGACACCAGGTAAGGCCTCGGAAGCATCAGCGATATCTGGAGTCGAAGTCTCCCTCGCGACTTCAGCACTAACTCCGAAATATGATTGTCGTTCTCCAGATGTTTGGTAGCTTGCTCGAGGAGTTTGTCAGACCGATAGAATATCTCGGTCAGTCCAGAACATCCTGTGAAGAGAGCAAGATCGAGTGCCGTTGTTCCATAATTGTCACGGCAACTGACGTCGAAACCAGACTCAATTAGAGACTCAATAATTTGTGAAAGACCTGGCGAGAAATTTGTCTTGAAGCCCATTGGCGGGGGACTATTGCACTTCCGAAGATACCAAGGTCGGGGAATGCCTGAACGCTGGGAAGATTCGCCTTCTTCCGATGCAACTTCTGCACATGCATGAAGGACGGTTGAACCATCGGATGCGTTCAAATGGGGAGAAGCACCATAACGCAGTAGCCATGCCACGCATTCTGCTTGACCCGAGCGGCAAGCGTAATAGAGCGGTGTTCTGCCTAAGTTATCCTGCAGATCAAAGTTGATGCCTCTCGTCAATAATTGACCGACTATGTTTGGCTGGCGGGCACGGCATGCCAGGTGCAGAGCATTCTGAGAATCCGAAGTTTGAAGGTTTATATCGACGGCACAGTCTATCATTTTCGCAACCTCCGCTTCTGATTTCGTGGCTGCAATGTGGAAAGACGAGTAACCATTTTTATCTAGGACTCTGAAGTCGATGTTGTGGTTGTTGCGGAGAACATCAATGAAGTGATAACCCTTTTCCTTCTCATTGACGTGACATCGTCCATCTATTTCTTGGTACAAATGCAGGGGGGTTGATCCCATATGGTTGACTGGACTGACAGGGACATCCAGATCAATCAGATAGTGGACAATTTCTGCGTGCTTTTCGTCGGTCTTATACCACTTTGCGATAAGGTGTAGAAGGCCATTGCCATCGTTATTCGATTTGAGAGGACTTACTCCATGGGCGATGAGTTGTCTAAATGCTTCACAGTCGTTTCTTTCGGAAAGACAATAGAGGAATAGTGCATTGTTCCCCTCATCATCTTTCAGATTGGGGTTTGCTCCATGGCTTATTAGAATTTCGAGTCTTTCGCGTGGTCCCCGTAGGCAGCAGTACAGATAAAGTGTTTTACCACCTTCATCTTTCGTGTCGATGTCAAAGCCCTCCTGTAGAAACATTTCCAGGCACTGTGAGAACTTTTCTGTATCCTTTCGGCGGAGTTTGGATAGCGAAAACCAGCAACGTTTCTTTTCTTGGACTTCCTGGCATCTTGAGAACAGAATCTTGAATATACTGGTACCGAGTGACATAGCATGAGAAAGTGGAGAATTGCCATCATTGTCATGACACGAAGGATCAGCTCCTTGTTCAAGTAAATATTCGATAACAGCTCGTGTCTTACTTTCTGATTCATGTCGATGGTTGCGCAGTGCGGGATTCATAGCACTCAAAAGTACTGTTTGTCCGAGCAGAGTCTTGCTGTTCAAATCGCATCCACGGTCCACCAATAGCTTCAACACTTCCAAATCTCGGCTATTGCTAGCGACTCTGTGCAAAGCGCTGCTTGGCCACACGTACGTCTCTCTCGTTGTAGTTCCATCATCCGAGAGAGGATTAATTCCGTTGACATTTGCACCCTCCTCAACGAGTGCCTTCACAGAAGGCAAACATGGACCGGACTTGTTATATCCGTTCCTACAATAGGTCGCTGCCTCGAGTAAAGCAGTCGTCCCTTCTCCATTCAGCTGATTGATGTCAGCACCGCCTTTGAGCAGAGCCTTCAACGTCTTTCGGCACTCTGCATCGTTGGTGTCGCTCCATTCTTTTACCAGCCGATGAATCGGTGCCTGGTCGTGTTTACAGAACGTCTTGCTATCCTGGCATAGCCGAGATAATTTCTTGGCGTCCGCACCTCTGTTGATCAGCATCTGAACGCATTTCGAGCTAGGTGTATCGCAAGCGTAATACAATGCCGTCGCATTTCGGTAAGTGGCATTAGGTGAGACCGGCGAGTTGTCTAATAGGGCTTGAACAGCTTCTATTCGGTTCCATGAGCACAGCAGGCACAGCATTTTGTCCAGCATGATCTGGTCACAGAAAGGCGCCATGACTAAGACAGTGCCGATACATCCTGCACGACTGACGTAGGTTATAGCAGTTTCCCCTTTCGTACTCTTTGTACAACACCTATAGCCTTCATAATTTTCCTTGGTTTTGGCTGTGTCCGGGCTGACACCATTTTTAAGCAGTAGGTTGACAACTTCTACTCGGTCTCTTAAAGTTGCTAGATGGATCGGCTTCAGGCCCCTTATATCATCGGCGTCAGGGTCCGCCCCATGCTGTAGAAGCAGGGATGCGGCTTTCAAATGGCCATTTACAGCTGCCCAGTGAAGGGGAGTTCGCTCTTGAGCATCGAGTGCTGACACAGACGCATTTTGTCGTAACAGTTTTGAAGCAAACCCAGACAACCCTGCAAAGGCTGCGAGATGGAGAGGTGTTGGGATTCCATGAGTAAGACCTTTCTGAGATGAAGTCGTCCCCCATTCAATCATCAGCCATCGCAGGAACGGAATGTTGTGGTGATCGACAAAATTAGTGATGGCTTGAATAAAGTTGTTGTCCAACACATCGTAGAAGCTTGCATGATATGACCAGTTTTCCACAGCATAGCTAAGAAACGGATGTAGCAGTCGAGCAGTCCTGTAGTCAAATGGATCGGTCTGTTCAACAGACTTCAAGTGTAGGACTCTCTGATTACTTTCATAAAGATCAAGAGCGTTTCTGGGCGACATAAATGTGATGGTCGGATCAAGAGGTATCTTACCAGATTTCTCAACGTCCAAGAGCAGTGAGCCAGCCTGAAGATACTCCAGACAGTTTAAGGCCATGCGTCGATGTGCCTGGAGCGAGTCGATGATAGGAAATGTAGATGCTTTCGGCGTCAAAGCACTGCGACTCTCCCCCCGTAGGAATTCTGTAAAAGAGTGGTGAACTACCTGCAAAGTCTCATCTTCGAGGATCTCGATTAGAGACCCACAACTCATTGCAATCAAAGACTTGAATGTATTTGGCTTTGTCAGGTTCGGATATACACATTCTAAGAGACTTGCAAGCTCATTCAACCGCAGCGGTTTGGATGCATGAGTGATGGCTTCCAGTATCGTAAGCTGCATCTCCGTGGTTATTCCAGACTCACAACGTTTCTTTTCCAGAATGTGGGTATAAGTTTGCTCAAGACCGACTGGGAGAGACGTCTCAAGCGCGGAGATATCAACGGGGTTATCTGATGGCGGAGACTCCTCGAACTGATCCATCGTCAATTTGGCAAAAAGGAACAGACCTTGAGACTTTCTTGCAACCATATCGATGATATCTTGTTTGAATTGATGATTAATATCAGACCTTGGCGACACATTAAATCGATGGTTGAGGTAAGCGAGTATGTCTGCATCAACCAGGCTCTGCTGAAGGCTAATGTGCACAATTGATGAATCTCGTAATGATTTCTGTAGATGTTGCTCTGGGCGACTAGTCATGAGCAGCTTCAAAGTCTCAGGTCGATGTGTAGCGAGGCTGTTGAGTTTCTGTAAAAAGAGTGTGTTGTCGGCCAACATCTCGTCAAGGGCATCTACGACACAGTATAGTCTCGGTACGCAAGATATACCTTCTATGAATAGCTGAATCAGTTCGTTGTCCGATGTGTCTTCCAAATTGGTTGTGAGCCGTCGAGATTGGAGGGCGAACTGTAGTTTCGGGGAATGCGGAAGAAGCTGGGCAAGCCAGTCTTGCAGCAGAGCCCGGGGTGAGGAGCTAGCAGCGACAATGTTCCTAAAGAAGAAGAAAAGGACTGGGCAGTCTTGGGTGACTTTGAGGTGCTGAATCAGACTGGCTGCCATAACAGACTTGCCAGCACCAGGCACACCTTTGATCCAAAGATTTCCGTGATGTGGGCAATCGTGCCACTTCCGATATTCCTCTGTCTGACAGATCCAGAGCCCAGTTTTTGGCGCTTGCGAGAGAAAGTTGCGACGAAACTCGCCCGACTCAGCGAGATAATCGGTAGGTTGGAGCCATTCCCTCAATTGAGCGACGACTCCAGGGTCTAGTGCTGAGTCTTGATGGTTGATGATATCATATTCATCTGCGGTATTCGCAGACTTGGGCATTATAAGATAGAAGTTTCGATGGATCAGCAAAGTTGTGATGGAATTAGATGAGGGGACGCGATTATGTTGCGTGCTTATCCTCATGTGTTGGAGAAGTAGGTATTCTGGTCCATGTCAGATTGTTGCGCCTCAGGGTATCAGAAAAATGGGTCGCTGACAATATAAGAGACGAAATTAGTAGATCAGTTTATGCTGTTTACACTATGGTTCTTCGACTACTTGTTTGTTTACCCCAAGATCTAAGAGGCCTGGGCATTAGCTGCGCCAAGATAATGTACATGGAACCCAGTTATTCAAGACCATTGGTCAATATTATTGTCAATAATACATCCAAACAAGTTGATAGAACTATCATCTTGATATCTAGTCATATTATTTCAGCGACAGCAGTGTTGTCTTCATGACCTGTAGAACCTTACAGTTTCTTGACAGACAGAATAAAGTCATGTTTGAGAACTTACCTGACACCAACAAATAGGGCCTGTTAATCGGAGGCACGTGTTAGGGAGTACTTGGTCTCACCCGACAAGTTAACCGTTGACCAAGTACTGCTTAACTTAGTGCCATTAGGATATGGATATCCCCACTAGTGTTAAGTCATGATTTGACGCTAGACTAATACAGGTAGTGCTCATTATGAATCATGCGCCGTCAGTCATGGGCTTTTCCGGGATATCAAGCAGAAAAAAATAATAACAACTAGAGAAGTATAGATGAAATAGTATAAATAGCTTGGAAAAGTGTCAAGTTTAATGTAAAGAATCAAGTTGCGAACTGATTCACAATCCGTTACCTCGAGACTCAGAATCCCCACCACGCAAGTCAAAATGGGTTTCATGAAAGCCAACTGTGACCATGTCGACCTCTCAGCTCCTTTCACACCCCTTCCCAAATATGGCCATCTCTCCAAAAAGACATCCGAGTACGAACAAGCAGAGCCTGAGATCAGAAAAGCACGTTCGGCTGTCAACTGTCTCCCTGACTTTCCAGCCGTTCGTGCAGTGGCTGGTGATCCAGACGCCGTAATGCCTCCCGGCGGGCCTGATAGATACAAAAAGATCACCACCGAGTTGATCAATATACCTACCCGTGATAGCACCAGTATCGAGCTCAAAGTGTACAAGTCACAGAAAGTGAACAATAATGCAGTTCTCATGTATCGCATGCATGGTGGGGGCTGGTGTCTTGGACGACACGAAGTTGATGGCATTGAGAATGTTTATGCAGCGATGAATCCTGATATCGTTGTTGTAAGCGTCGAGTATCGCAAGTAAGTTTCGCTTTGATTTATGGGGGGTATAATGCTGACGTGACCAGAGCACCTGAACATCCTTTCCCAACACCATACGATGACTGTTATGATGGACTCATTTGGGTATGTTCAGTCAAAATCTCGGACTTACAGGACTTTGATGCTCACAATCTCTAGTGCAAAAGCAATCCAGATAAGCTAGGTATTGACCCCGAAAGAATCATCATCAGCGGTGGTTCAGCTGGTGGGCAGCTTGTCAGTAACACTGAGACTTCGACTTCCACAGTTATTGATTGTTTCTAGGCCGCCTCCCTCACAATGAACTGCCTGAGAGATGGCATCACTGGCGTCATTGCTCAAGTTCTACACTTTCCAGCATTATGTCACCCAAAGTTCTTCCCCAGAGATAAGTACGAGTATGGCAGCTACATCCAGAACCATGACGATGCTATACTCAGTGCATTGGGTATGGAGACCTTTTACGATGCTTATACTCCCGAAGCAAAGCCTGATTACCGACACTCGCCTCTTCTTGCTGATTCCTTCAAGGATCTTCCACCTACCCGTAAGCTTCGTTGTTGGAGAATTTAAGCCAGTTGCTGACCGGTTACAGTTATTCAGTGTGCCGGTATTGACCCTCTGCGCGATGATGCTTTTGCACTAGCTGAAGCAATGAAGAACGATGGAGTCGAGGTAGAGGTTCACTGTTATGCTGGCCTTCCGCATTGGTTTCATGTTCTCTTACCTAGTGCAACAGAAACCTCCCAGTTACTTCAAAGGTATACTGGCTTCTTGGAAAAATATGCAAGAAGATAAAGAGATTCCAAACTAAGAAAATCAGGGTGATGGTGGAGCGCAATACCAATACGTTCTACAATCTTATAACATGAACTGTATTAGATCCATCATCATTCATTATTGTTGTATTCCCACCACCGATGTGAAAGTGACTAGATAAAACTGTCCTACTCCAATTGTGTCTCATGTCGTCGCTGATCCGAGCTAATCCAATACACACCCTTCCTTGCTTGAATCAAGGGGTCATTCGAAGACTTGATTCCCTCAATACCCCCCTTCTCTGGGTTTGGATGAAACGAAATCTGCTGTTGCTGAGCAGCATTGTCATCCGAAACCTTGTTGATCTCCAATCTTCCGACAGTGACGAACTCCTTACTCTGATACGGCTTGGTAGCATCGTCCAGGACATCATCAGGACCCGCAATGTGTGCTTGTATATTGATAACAATTGGTTTACTTGGGAATCGCTCCCGGAGATTATCCTCCAAGTAGTCGTTTCCAAGCTGTGCCAACCTTTGCTTGTCCTCGGGAGTATTGTTGGGATATAAGTGCTCTCCGTCAGCAGGATCAAGACGGTACCTGACATTGGTCTCTTTGCCGTCCTTGTTGGTGAGTACGTGAGTGTTGGGCTCATAGTATGTGATAGTGCCGTAAGTATGGGGGTTTGGCTTTTCAGACTGGACGAAAGCCAATGCTGACTTGTGATCCGGGTTTCCAAGGAAAGACAAAAAGGCAGTATGAGCTTGATCATATTCTTTTTTCTCTTTGGAGGAGTCGCCACCTCCGGCCTGGGCCTTCTTGAGCATAGCATCAGTATACCCGTCCACCCCAAAAAGTTTGAGGAAAGTCAGGAAGTCCTCCCCATTGCGGGTTGCAAATCCATTGAATGAATGAGCGATCAGATCAGTATGCGTGGTGTCGTCGACCTGGAAGCGGATGGCTATACCCTTGGGAGTAGCACCGTCGGCTACATCAGCGACATGAGGCAGGCCGCCACCGACTGAAAAGCGAGCAATAACCTTGGTAGAGGCATTGTTGAAGTGAGCTGCCCTGGAAAGGTTCTTAGCTTCCTCAGTTGGCGTGAAGGTACCTTCTACGAGAAGACCTTTGGCATGGGCTATCGTATGCAGTGGTGAGTTTTGGTTCTGAAACATAAGTCCTGGACTACTAACTTGTTCGATAGCCAGGATGCTTTCCAAAGATTCCCTGCATCGCAGTAACCAAGTGATGAGGCAATTCATCTTTTGATGGCTCCGGCTTGTGGCAAACAGCATTCAAGCAAGCTTTAGACTTGTGATCCGCTGCATCATTGGCAAGGCCGACGGTGATAGTAGTTTGAGGAATAACTTGAATAGACATTGTGGATACCTTATGAAGAGGAACTGATGACGTGTGAATAGGCAAGGCTCAGTGTCTCCAATGCGTGGGAACGAAGGGTATTTCAGTTCAAGGCTGAAGGTGGTGGGAAGGCTGGCGGTTAAACGAATTGGATCTGTAACCCTGGTAAGTCCCAAGCACAATCTACAAACCTGTTAAAATTAGAAGGGGTAGTAAGCTTAAGCGGCCGCCGCCAAGTTAATCGACTTCTATAGAAACTCTTACTGCCATTTGGTTTAGCTGATCCAGGATGAAATACGACCTGCGGCTGAGCATAGTCTCCATAAAGATATGTGATATGTATAACTATCACGCCGAAAATGCGCATAGGTGGTTCAGCTGTCCACAAACACACGTCAGACTAGGCTTCTACAAGTGGAAATATTATGGTAAAGAACAGTCTAGAATAGCTGATCCTTGTCCTGAGGCTTAAAATAACACAACAATATCTCAGCTTTGGCTGCGTCGGTGCAACGTCGGTACATGGAGTAAACGTCTGCAGCAGCACCTATTGACATACTGTCTTGGGAGTTTCAGCTTACGGTGGTCGGTTCAATAGTTTGAGCGGCTATGAGATATAATAAGCGAGATACTATACCAGGTCTGGTCACTCCGGATTCGGAGTCGAACCTCAATCCAGAATCCCCATTGACTGCAGTACAATAGAGCTGCTTACTTGAAAATGTTTCCTTCGAATTAACCTATATAAACTAGACGTTATGAAGAGAAGAAGCTTGATGAAATTCCTGCCAAGTCTATCATACAGCAGGGATTGAAAGTCTGTCTCCATAACGTTGCAGAAATATTGGAGTATAAGACAGGGGTCCAGCAAAACGGAACTGTGATGGCGGCGTCGACAGGGATTGATGGTGAGGCTTAGATATGGGGAAAAGATTGATTATGTTCATATCATACTTGATTAGATCAAATGATTGTTCTTTCACAGTGGAAGGGCAGACCCGAAGGCATAGTCAAATCTGTGTCGGCTTACCCGAACTTTACGACCGAGATGTCGAACCGAGGTTGTATTGCAGGAGACGTTAGTCCATTTCTAGTACTTATTTATGCCGACATCTATGACTACTCTTAGGCTGATTGCATACATATGCAAGGAAAAGTTAGATACTTCCACCGTTGAATCGAGACACTCATGAACTTCTCATCCCTGAAAGTGGCACTTAGCAACACATGACCACATATGGTGATATGTTTCACACTAAAGCTTCTATCCCAATACTACTAACCGAGCTAGCTAGGCAGCTAGCCACAAGGCAGAGACTAAACTGAAATTAGACCTTCGAAGTCTTTAGCGCCATGGCTAATGCGAGGTGATAACCGTTAACGAGTGTGATGACCAAAGGCCGAACCCGGATTTGCTTACCTTCTCTTTTCATCAGCGACCTGAGTACAAGGATTAGTACGTCTCACATCAGCAAATAGCAGTTTCTGCTTGAATTGCATGAACCGTTGCTTCTATCACCGGTTACTATCTCGGCCAAGTCCGCCATTGTGGAGAACATTATTACACAACGGCTTGTCTAAGCCTCAGCCCTTCGGTCGAGCATTCTACTGGCTAAGAAGGCTCTACCACTTCTACAATATTCCGCGCAAGTCTGTTCTTGTAAGATGTCACAAGATCACATGCAGTTGATGGAATGACCTGTGCGTGGTTGGCTGATTCGAAAGATGCCTGAACAGTTTACGGCGAGCTGAAATGCATGTTTTAATAGTTGCAATGCACTTCATTTGATAGTCAGAGGGGCTTAAGCAGTTTCCACTCAGGTTCTTGGTTTGGGAACAGTGTATCTTCTATCTCCTACCTTCGTAGCTGACACCGGGATGGTTACGTCTTTCCCTGTCGACACGACGGCCATTGCCGAGGACTGTCTCTCCTCTGCCACAATGGAATCTAGGTTGCCTCTGAACCATCTAAGGGTCAAGACATTTTTCAGCATCTCTGGTATATAGGGGCTGCCACCAGCACAGAATCAATCTCTCAAATATCCATTCTCATTTTTATCTCATCCATTTAGTTCCCTTCTTCTTCATCCTTAACACTTGATATCGAGCGAGCTCTTACACAATGTCTGCAGTTGCTGGCCATATTGTCCCGCCCAGGTCCAAGCTGGACTCGATCCTGGGCTCTGGACTCGAGCACAATATCGAACATGATCCTCTTGAAGTCTGGGACAAGGGAGTCTTTCTCAATGAACTTCTAAAGCAAGGCATTGCACTCAGTACTAATGAATATGGAGCTCTTGACGGAGACCTTGTTGCGGACGAAGGTCTCAAGAAGGGAACTTACAAGGGTACCAGATTGGCCTTGACTGAGATATACAGTATTTTGGAAGACGCGTATGCAAACCTCAAATCTTGCAGTTTACCTCAACCTGCTAACCACTTCATAGTGCTGTCTCCCACTTTGATAAGCGCGGCTTCGAGCCCATCTTTCCTATACAGAGAGAGCTCGATCTAAAGAAGCGTATCTATCAGTGGAGCGACGGGAGTGATGGTTATCCCCCTCACTTGAAGGTTGATGGTAATGATGAGTCGAACCTTCCCCCCGATGAGCGACAAAGCAAACCGGGCTCCGCTAGGTCAGAGGGAGTTGGGCAAATCTTTGATATGCAGGAAACAGCCTTCGTAGCCAAGATTGCCCAGGCTGTTTCGTTTATCATCCCTAAAGATATTGATCACGAGAACACCCCCTACAAGGGACCTACTCTTGCCGACGTCGAGAAGTACAACAAGGCTCAGCTCCCCAAATCTGATTCTGCAAGCAATGGCTGCACTCCTAACACGGATGACCTCAATAAGGCCGCCGACATTATGACGGGACGAAACATTGGCGAGTACGATGACTGGTATTCGGACGCCCGATTTGCCCAGCAGCACTTCAGTGGTGTCAACCCTAGCACCATCGAGACTGCTCGTACGGACAAGATCAAGGCTTATATCGATGAAGCACAGAAGCAAGGTCTTGATAAAGTCAAGGCAATTCTCGAGGATGGAAAAGATATCCTTATCCAAGACTATTCCTACTTCCGAGAAGCTACAGGCGTTTCCAACGAACAAATCTTCCAGAACACAGTGTACGAACTCAAAGGCACTACCCCAACTGGAAAGACTACTAACCGATACGCTGCCGCCTCGGTCGTTATCTTCCAGCTTCACAAGGATGGCCGTCTCCACCCATTGGCTATCACGCTCGACTACAAAGGCTCACTGGACAAGTCCATTACCATCTTCAACCGAAGACTCTCTCCAGATGACGTGGCTGATATCGCTGAAAAGGACGACTGGCCTTGGAGATACGCCAAGACTGTTGCACAGACAGCTGACTGGGCGAGACACGAGGTTGCTACCCATCTTGTCGACACGCACATGATCGAGGAGGCCATCATCGTCGCAACCAACCGAACAATCCCTGAAGGCGAACTTTTGTATGAGATTCTTAGCCCCCATTGGTTTAGGACTCTTTCTTTGAACGCTGCCGCACGCAAACTCCTGGTCCCAGGTGTCATTGCGAGAATCGCTGGCTTTGGACCCTCGAGCCCTTCTGCCGACTTTAAGAGTAACAATGTTTTCAAGCTGGTCGACTGGTCATACAAGAACTTCAACTTCCAGGAGAAGTACATCCCCAACGATCTCAAGAAGCGTGGCTTCGACATCAAGGGGGACAAGAGTGGTAAGTACAAAAACTACCCCTACGCCAACGACATGTACCTGCTTTGGGGTATCATCCGCAACTTCGTCAAGACCGTCATTGAGTCTCAGTACACATCAGACCACGCCGTGCAGAAGGATCATTACATTGGCGACTGGTGCAAGGAGATTCAGACCAATGGCCAGATTCCTTCGTTCCCAACTATCACTACTGTCGAAGAGCTCATTGACGCAGTCACCATGTGTATCCACACAGCTTCACCACAACACACTGCGGTCAATTATCTTCAGGACTATTACTACAGCTTCGTACCTGCCAAGCCACCTGCCCTATGCACAACTTTGCCCAAGGATCTCCAAGCTTTACAGAGCTACACGGAGAAGGACCTCACGGCAGCTCTGCCCATCGGTACCGATGACATGAAGTGGAAAGACTGGCTTCTGGCTGCCCAGCTGCCCGAGCTCCTCAGCTACAAGGTGCAGCAAGACTACAACCTGATCACCTACGCCAAGTCGTTATACAATGTCAACAAGAACCGCACGATAACCGAAAACACAAAGTTCAACTGCAAGGCTATTAAGAAGGCTGCTGCGGACTTTTACAGCCATCTTAAGAGTGCTGGAGTGGAGTTTGAGAAATACTCAAAGGCTCAGACCGAAGGCACTGTTGAATACCCTGTTCTGCAGCCCGAGACTACTGCTATCTCGATCTTGATTTAAATAGTCAACGAGTACCATTCAAAAGCACATTTCTTTCTCTTAGATAGTAATTCATTAGATTTAAATCTGCTCCGTCAAATAATAGCTGGCCCATCCGTGAAAGCATCCAAAAAGCTCATGTCAATCCCTTCCAACGTCCATGTATCTGGAACTGAACCTCCTGGCATAATTTGCGGGAGTTCTGCATCTATGGCTGGGTCTCCTCTAGAACTCTCAGCTTCCGTCGACGACAATGGTTCAGTAATGCCAACGCCCGAATAGGAACCTGCTATCCCAACATTCGCTCTTCCGCCTCCTCTATTATCAACCGGTATATTGCCCCAAGGCAATTCCATCACAGTCGGCAAAGCTTCCTTTCCTTCTGGATCCCGACGCAATATCTTGATCAGCGGGTAGTTAGGAAGATGGATCTCTAGCTCGGTTCCATCGTTATTGGCTTTAACATGATGGCCTAAGCTCCCATCTTTCATGGCATCTTCCGCGAACGATACACTGTACCGCACACCAGCAGTTACGTTATCCTCCATAGCAAGAAGATAGTGAAGAAGTGTCGCTAGCCGTTTGGAAATATCGTCATCAGGACTTTGCATATTGTTTTCTGCTATAGAAAGCACCTGTTCCAGCAGACCTCGATCACTCAATCGCTGCTGGACAATGAAATGGTATCCATTATCTTCGATTCTTTTATGACGATGATCGCAAAGGATATGGCCAAGCGTCAATGCCGTAGATGCCATGAAAGCGATGAGGTCGGTTCCACGACAATGCGTCTTTGTTTGAGGCATCGATCGGACCGAGACAAAACGCGTCAAGATCTCTCGACTTGCTGTTATTGCAGTGAGCTTGTGATAACCGCAATTCTCTTTACCACCTTCTTTCAATAAATATGGCATATGTAATTGGAGTAAAAGATGATACTGCATAAAATGATCGTTAAATCTCAAGGTTTCGCGGATTCTGTCAGGTAATTCCAAGTGCGACGCAAGAGTAGGCATGACCCACCATTGCGCCGGCATTGAAGTGCAAGCATCTCGAAGAATTTTGTCAACCTCTTCAGTGATGTTCTGATCGTAGATCTCTGATGGTTTCCGGTTCAAAAGCTTCCCACAGGCAATCGAACAAAGATTCTGCAACTTCCGGTTGGACGGATATGATTCGAGTTCTTCCACATGAGGAAGTGGCTCATCAGGTGAACTTTGGGGAAGACCAAGCATCAGACATAGATATCTGTCAAAGTTGATGAGACGGAACCATAAATCATTGACATCGACGGCAACATCCCGGAAGGAAAATGGAACTACTCCTTTGTCGAGACCCATCATTTGAGCGATCATGACCGCCCGGCGAGCCGCAAGCCAAGAACGCCGGAGATCTCCTTTGTAGTTTGCGTACAGGCCTTGGAGCATTATGCACTCTATGCCTTCGAGGGAGGAGACAAGATCATCGTTACACGTGACCTTGTCATGCGCGACTTTGGCCAATCGAGCCATTATCGTCTCGTAGTTTAGGCTGAGCTTGTCAAGATATCTTTCTGATGCTATCGGCACTCCTTGGAGATACGTGGCTAGGACAAGCATCTTTCGCGCCACGAGGACAGGATGTGATCCGCGTGGTGGTAATCGAAGAAGGTTGGTAGGAGACGGAAGACCGGAATTTCGATCCTTCGGCGGTGCGCAAGTGAGCGCGCGAATGATTTGTGAGGGCTCAACTGGAAGGCTTAGGATGACTTTCATATCGTTTGGGTTAGGCCAGGCAGCCATAAGCTCATTGTATAGATCACCAAATTCATCCTCTGATGGAAGTGACGGTGATCCTTCTAGCTCTAGTGTAGTACTTGGAATGATATTCTAAACAATGTCAGTATTAAATTCATGATTCGGACATTTCATGACTAACTGTAGGTAAGTCTTCGCTGCCAGGATCGATATCTGTGTGAGCTACGGTAGGTGAATTGGAATAATGGTCGCCATCGTGGCTTCGCCTTCTTGACCCCAAGCTCTCAGGAGATACAAGCCTCTCTTGTGAATGTGTCTCAGTTTGTGAAGCCTTGATCAAATGCTGCACCAAGGCCTCGACTTCTCCAAGACGATCAACGACATGCTTGTTACTCCCCAGCGGAGGCGGGGCTTCTTGCACATCCTGGCTAACGCAGTCTGTTCCACGTCTCTTGCAAGATTCACAGACGCCAAGGTGATCAGAGTAGATGCACTTTGCTTTCCGCCGCTTGCACTCCCAACATGACTGGGTCCCCTTGCGGAGTTTCCGCCGTTTCGGGGCTGGTGCGGATTCGTTTTCCGAAGGCCGGGAAGTAGTTGGAAAATGATGCTCGTCCAATGAAATGTGGTCACCCATTATTGATAGTGTAATTTGACAGAGAGTAGGTAGTGAAGGGTCTCTGTTCGAGAGGGAATAAAGTCATAATTGCTGACCGTGGAAGGATTCCCATGCTCGTCCGCCGATTTCCCGGACATAAGTAATTTGTCATCCCCTTACTCTGCTGGATTAGGAATAGTGTGTCTCACGCCATGGGACCCCGGACTAGATACAGATGAAATTAGTAGGTCAGATTATACCACTTAGACCAGACTTCTTAGCGTACTTATTTTTGTACCCTCTGGCCTAGAAGATCAACTTTTATCACACAGAAGGGTGAGCAAAAGAAGCAACACAGAGAGCATGACACCCAGGGATAGTTGGCTCACTTATTCGGTCTTCCATGTTGGACCACTCCATCGTTGATAAAAACCGGAGAATGAAAATAACGCCGTGGTAACGAACGTCGGATATAGCTACCTTGCGGGTACTGGCAACACTATCATCGGCGGACAAAGGCTCTGGCATCATGAGATGGCGGAGAAGACGATCGCTAAGGATTAGCATTGACCTAGGTATATAAGAGTGTCTAATCGAATGATTTACCAGTTGTTCAGCAGCATTGCCAATCCAAGCATCACTTCAACAGAACCCCTTGCAACTGTACACCTTAAGCTCAACATGGTCAAGGTTGCAATAGCTGGAGGAGCAGGAAGTATGTTCAAATATTGTTGCTCGTGATATGTTGCTTATATAAATCACAGACGTAGGTCGAGAAGTCCTCGATGCCCTCCTCGCCAGAAACAGACATGAAATTATACTCCTCTCACGGAAGGTAAGAAACTAGATCCAAGACAATATAGCCAATTCTCACAACTTTAGGACGCCCCCGAAACACCCATCGCACCAGGAGTCAAGTGGTTCAAGACGGACTATCAGAACGTCGACGAACTAGCAAAGCTCTTGGAGGGTGTCCACACTGTCCTTTCTTTCATGTCCATCTCGCCGGGTGAGACTGGAGCCGGAGCACAGAAGCCCTTGATTGATGCTGCAATCCGTGCTGGGGCGAAGCGTTTCGCACCCAGTGAATGGGCAGCGTGAGTCTCCAGTCCTCCAAGGACGTATGGGTGCTGACTTAGAATAGCTCCAAACTCGATCATCTACCCTGGTACGGCTTCAAGAGAGCAACTCGAGAGTATCTGGCCGAGATTAACAAGGACAATAAGGTGAATATTTTACATTCCGCCCTACTTGTAGTGACTAATCAAAGACTCCCAGGTTATCGAGTATACACTATTTCAGTACGGACTCTTTACCAATTACATGACTTATCCATACATGTCATCCAAACACATCAGCATGTTTGAAACACCTGTCAACTTCAACGACTGCCGTGCTCTCCTTGTTGATGATGGTGAAGCTGTCATCTCACTTATCACAGCACAAGATGCGGCCAAAGTCACAGCTCTGGCTGTGGAGTATGAGGGAGAATGGCCTATTATCAGTGGTATCAAAGGAGCAGATATCACACTAAATGACTTGGTGGTACTAGGAGAGAAAATTAGAGGTATTGTATCCGGTGAATCATTACAACATTGTACTGACGTCTCTCAGGCAAGCCATTTACCGTCGTAAAGCTCAAGAGTAAAGACCTTCTCGCTGGCGAAGTCAAGGCCCCATGGCTCCCATTGCCTGAGCATCCATCAATCCCTGTTGCCGTCCGCAAAGAGTTCGCAGCCAACATGGTGAAGGGCATACTGCTTGGGTTCCAGGATGGCGCGTTCCAGGTTTCTGATGAGTGGAATAAGCTGTTGCCTGACTTCAAGTTTACTCAGCCCGATGAGTTTCTTATCAAAGCTTGGGCTGGGATTGACGCGGGCGAGAAGAGTGTGTGGACTGACTATTGATTGTTTTGGGGGCGTCAGATGATATAAGAAAACGGACCAATATGCGTGCCATTTAATTATGGAATGTGTGGTCAAACAGTACTGAATCAACGATATAAAAGCCTCCAGATCCTCGACTGTTTGGGACCCCCCAAATTGTATCTAATCATGTCTTCATTTTGTCTAATCTTTACGTTACTGGGGCAAATAAGCGGCTGGAATGGCGCAGCAATAAGACTCGCGATGATTTTAAAACTCAGTGAAAACCTCCAGTGTCGTGTCGATCATCGCTGTATCGCCCCTTATTACAGTAAAGATCGGCAGTGCCTCCAAGCAGGGCTGATGGGCTGCTAGACTGAATACGGTAACGATAGAGCGATGGGCCAATTTTCCCCTTTATTAGGTTGCACAGCCCGCTCAGCTGTGTCGCTGTCACAACCAATTAGCGGCTGACGAGTTGAATTATGACGCTAAATATCTTCTGGAACAATGTTAGATGGGCGATATCCGAGAGCTCAGCCTCGGGCTTGACTCTGATAAGGTGACCATCATCACGTCATGTGAAGTCGTCAAGGCTGATCGTATACCAACATTATTCTGTATATATAAATAGTCATTTCCACCCAAGAATACTCCATCATCATCATCATCATCACCATCATCAAGACTCAACAGTCAGATCAACACATACAATAACCCTTACCCAACACACTGACTGATTCAACAAAAACATTGACAACGGTCAATTCTCAAACACAATCTACCCAAATATAAAACCATATTTACATCAACATCAATATTCAATCCGGAACAGACACTATTCTACAAACCAACACACACCACAACACTAGACATATACAAACCACAAAAAATGTGTATACCATTATTCAGAAAAAAGAAGCAGCCAATGGTCTACGACTATTATCCTCAACCTGCAATGGGTTACGCAAATAAATACGATAACTACGGCGGGTACTCAAAGGAGTATAAAAAGTCAAAGAAGTACAAGAAACAACGCAAATACGACCACATGGGATCTGCTGCTGGTGAAGCGGCAGGTTTCTTCACTGATGCATGGGGCGGCAGTGGTGGTGACGGGGGAGGAGGAGGAAGTGGTGGTTGTGATGGAGGCGGCGGTGGCGGCGGAGCTTGCTAAGCGCGATATATTTGACTTCCATGAGTATAGAATGAGGAGATGGATGTGTTAGATTAGAGTGTACTGATACAGTTGTTGATGGACAGTTGGAGGTTGCTGTTTGAGCGTTTTCTTGTCTGATAGATTATAGATTTGATCTTTAGATACCATTTCAAATATTGATTTTCTTTATCTCTACCCATAAATCGAAATGAACAACTCGCAAGTTACCTGTCTATAGTATCATACACCCAAAGCCTCAATTCGAGACCCTATACCAACTTATATATAATTTACACTGATTAACTGAGCCTCAGACTCTTCTTTTCCCCGTAATTACCTCAAACTCCTTTTCTGAGCTCTTCTCAAGCTCTTTCTTGACCCAAGCTCCTATACTTGATGCCGCATCAAGAGGGCTCTCAAGATGCAATTGGAAAAAGCCCTGTAGCAGTGATGGCGTGAACGTATCGTCTGGAATCTGCTCGGCAAACCGAGCTGCCAACTCTTTAATCTCGTCCATGTCCAGATGTGATGTGCATCCCAAGTCGGGAGAGAACATGCGTACAAACATCTCCTCTGCCGACTTGCGACTGATGTTGCCTAACAACACTTTCATGTCGACGCGGCCTGGTCTAACTAGGGCACTGTCGAGTTGCTCGGGGTGGTTTGTCGTCATAATAATGATTCGTCCTTCCACGGAACCCACTCCATCCAGCACATTCAACAATCCGGATAATGTACAGTTTGGTGCAGAGCCGCTCTCTTGCCCATTGTCGGAGTTGGAACGGTCTGTCCACACGGCGTCAATATCCTCCAGCAGGACAACGCAACGTGGTGGAATTTCTTGAAACATTTGTTCGAGATCTGCATCCGTAGCAACGCTGGGGATCTTGACCTCGTAAAGGTCCAGACCGAATTCACCTGCTATGGCTACTGACAAGGACGACTTTCCAGTTCCAGGTGGTCCGTAAAAGAGATAACCGCGTCGATAAGGCATACTTCGGCTTTGATACCGCTTCTGCGTCTTGGGGTCCAGGTAATTACGAATATCCCCGAGAAGGTCTTGTTTGGTTCCGTTGTCAAAGTGAACAGTTTCCAGATAGCGGATTGGCTTGCGAGCTTTGGGTTTCCATGATAGGCCATATCGATCCCGGGCGTAGATGATGACGAAGAATTGAGTTTGTCGATCAGAGTATTCGCGACAGGATTCAATGAATGCTTTGATAGGCTCTGCTGACCAACCGAAACAGCTCACGGTTATTTCCTCTCCTCCAATTCCATCATAACTAGGATCCGATAAAGAGGAGCTGAAATCGTTGACGCGTCTCGTAACAAGAAACAGATTTCCACCCCAGAAAAGCCATCTCGTGTTCCAATGAGGTGAATACTGGATTGAATGCCGTGTCTTTTTAAGAGCAGCTGCACGATCTCCGTTTTGCCCAACATCAGTCCTTCCATGAAATGAACGATAATGCCGTTCCCGATTAGCCATGATCCATTTGACAACACTCCTATTCAAAGGATCACCGCCGGGGACTGTGACAGATGCAAGAAAGAACCGTCTTATCGTGCCATAGACTTCGTTCCATAGAGTGTTCAGAAATCTCCAGGCTGTGGGGACTGTGCCGGCTATAGCGATAAGGGAGCCAATTTGGGTGATATCAAGCTCTGACCAGCGCGAACAGACATCGCGCATGATGCCAATTCCATGAGTCCAAGGGTCGAGGAGATTTTGGCCAACTGTTGGGCCGATGGGTATTCGATGAGACATGCTGTCAATGGCTCAGATGACGTTGAGTTTACTCAATTGAGGATGAGCGACGAGTGCAATTGAGCACCCATTGAAGGGATAGACTCAATGATTTGTAAAGAACAATGAGACTTGAACTGATTACATTTGTTAACGAGTGACAGAAAAGGAAATCATGGAGGGTAGCATATAGATCTATGAGAGACTCTGTTATAATGAGATGCAATGTAACCCAGAAGATACAGATTTGTTAAAGTTTTGGCAATATTTATGATGCCGAGCTTGACCGCCTACCTTTCTCGGAGGATAGTCCCCCTTTCTTACCGCGTATCCCTGCCAATGACTTTGACTCTGCTGCGTGTCATCTCGCCCTTGCATTAGCAACAGAGCTTGAGATGTAATTAATATGGATATTGCTGGAAGACACAGCATTCATTCGTGTGAAGAACTGACTACGGTATCAAGGGTGCGTGACTAATTCGATATCAGCACCGAGACTAAACCATACAGCACGCTTTTACCAGTGCTAGTCGTAGCGCTACAATTTTTGTGATACCCTAGAGCATCACAGTATCACAGTTACAGATACTGACAATATACAGCTTTACTATTCAACAACTAGACATGGCGTTTCGTATTGATGCATAACAAATTTAAGGGTATTTTGTGGATCTCACATTAACAAGAAGAAATGAAGAAAGCTTAATTAATCCGTAGATCTCATCTGTTGACTTTACCAATCTTTTGGTACATCTCCACCAAGGGTTAGTCCTTTTCTGCAGCCATGTTCTCTATCCTTGAACAGCCCTATCATATATAGCACAATTTATGCATAACAATTAACCATCAGTTTAAAGAAACTGGGGGCGGTTGTCCGAAAAACATGTGATTGGATATATTTTATCATGAAAAGTGAATCAAGTCCTCCAAACAAATGTGAAACGGATTCCAGAATCCATCCAGCTAGTGGAACAAGAAATTGTGCTCCACGAGTTTCAGCTCATTTTTCACTATTTTTAGCATCATTGTACAATCCCGCAAAACCCTCAATCCCTTTAACTGCCATACGATCGATGTAGGGCAACTGTTCCTGGAGCCAGTCCTCTTCCTTGCCAGCTTCTGGAATAGTCATGCCTCCTTCTCGAAGGGCCACCATGGGTGTAAAAGTCACCATAATCAGTCTCTTGTCTTCATCTCCAACATTCCACCTTGCCTTCTTATCTGGTGGCTGAACTCCCAGTACGCTGTACCAGTATTCTTCAATGTCGGTTGCCAATTTGTCAAAATCCGCCTTGGACCGCGACGAAGAGTCGCGAACGAGACCGACAATGCGGTTAGAAGTGGCGGGGTGAGGCCATCCAGCCACAAAGTAGTTGTTGTCTTTGTTTTCTTCAAGATAAAAGCGCACGTGAACAAAGAATGAGGGTGTCTTGAAAGCTCGGCAATGTAGTTGGGTGATGGCAGTTGCCAAAAGTTGTTTCTGGTTTTGATTGAGAGAGCAAGAGTGGTGGATCTGGTAGAAAGGCATGACTGCCAGTAGAAGAAGGTATTAGATTAAAAGGTATAAGGATTGGTTGAATGGACTGAAAATGCGCGGATTGTATCGTAAAAGTGGCTTCTAATAAGCATATCTTGTCGGAGAAGCTGTCTCCGCTGACTTTAGACAAAAGCGGGGTTGGACAAGGTTGTGACGATGAATCAAGGAGTCATAGTTTCAGCCCTGACGTTTTTGTGTATCAGAAGCTCTTTGAGGGGAAAAGGCAAAACTTGTATGGATGAGTCTTATTTATATGGTAGATTCTCTTATGAACTAGCTACGTATATCGACTTCTTGTCTCGCCTGTACTTCTGAGGCCTCCCCAATGACGGTCCAAACTCAACGCCCAACTTTTACCACTTCTCAGCATAGGGTCGAATATCAATCTCCTGTGTAAAAGCAGATCGATGCTGTGTATGGAGATTCCAGTATGCCTCGGCAATCTACCAACACAAGTCAGTCATTGTCTAGTAACACATCTAGCTCAGAACTTACCGCGTCAGGACTAATCTTTCCATCCTCAATACCATCATTTGCAGCCCATTCCTTTGTTCTCGGGATATCAATCACTCCATCAATTACTGCATGCGCTATATGAACACCCTTTGGTCCAAATTCTCTCGCCAGTGACTGGTGCATCGCGCGTTGTCCCCATTTACCTGCTGCAAAAGTACTGAACTGCGGACTTCCCTTGATGGAAGCTGTAGCACCGGTAAGGATGAGAGTAGGCGGGTAGTGGGACTCTGGCACCGCTTCCAAAAGATGAGGAATGGTAGCCTGTGCAAAGTGAAAGAATGACCTGATTGAGCCGTCGATGCTGGCGTCGAGATCCTTTTCTGTCTGTTCCAAGAAGGGCTTTCTGACGAACCCACCGCTGCCGACGTTATAAACTGCTGCCGCGAGATGACTGTCGGGGAATTGCTTGTTGATATCGTCAAATGCCTTCTTCAGAGATGCTGGGTCGGCCACGTCAGCAGTGATTCCGATGGCTTTACCGCCTGCCTTTTCGACATCTGCGAGAGTGCTCTCATAGCTCTCAGGGCGACGGGCGAAGAGAACTACGGGATACTTTTGGGCGAAACGTAAAGCGACGGATCGACCTAGAGACACAATCTGAGTAAGACGTGGGTAGTCGTAAGCGGGGCGAAGAGATCAAGCTTACCTGTACCAGGACCGACACCAGCAATGATAGCGTAAAGGGATTTAGAGGCCATTTCGGTAATTGAATAAGTAAGTTGTTTCTTGAAAGAGATGAGAATAATAGTGGTCAAATGTTTATTTGGACAGATTTCTGTCTTATGTAGAGGTCGGGCTCTTCAAGTTGACCTCACATTCGAGTTCAATTATGTCATCTGCTTATAAATAAATATTCACCGACGCTACTGCGGGTATCTCGCGTGTCGGCACGTTGGACCAAGTCCGAATATGGCTGATTAATATAAATGTACATTTATCAAGATGTGTTGGTCTAGAATTTACCCTCACATCCTAATCAAGATCCTTAGCAATCTTATTTACCCATTCCTCCATTTCATTCAGATCTCCCCTAAGCCACATGTACACGGGGCGTGTAATCGCTCGATACATGACTGTTCTTTTCGAATTCGACGCTGAAGTGATTTTCTGGGCTTTCTTTATCCCCTTCTTCGCCTTCCCAAGTTTCGAACCAACTTCCCATACTGAAACGCCCATTGTCAATCGATTGAACTTACTGTATTCTCCCCATTGATAGTCTCCCTTGTTGTCATCCGAGTCACGATTCAGAATTGGAAGGACTAGTTGGCGGAGAAATTCAGGACCCTCCTCTTCGTCTTTAGTGGTGCTCCCACGTGTATTTATTCCAATCGACTCCAAATTGCGGCCTCGTGAAAGAGCCTCGGCGATCTCGCTCTGGAAAGAGTCAGTAGGATCTCCCTTCGAAAGTCTGCACATTCTTACAAGTTGTTTTCGTTCTGGATAAAAGTGGAAATGCTTCAGTTGAGGGAAGTTCTCGATGAAACGTTTCACCATCTGAGTATCCAGACATGGCATCTTCCATCCAGGGATAGAGATTGAATCTCTGAACTCCAGCGTGGTCAAATTTGTATGCATAAAAAGGCCTTGTAAGAGTGTATCCTTCAAACCCGGATTAGGTAAGTCCAAGGAATGAATCCCGGCATCAACAACGGTGAGACTCGTCAACGTGTTAAAAGAAGAAATGAAATCTATACCAGGGTCCTCTTCTTCGGGGTTTGCCGCCATCCTGGTCAGATTGGAAGAGGCTTGGGAACCCAGATTCAGAGAAAGGCTCCGGAGTTTTATGTCGGTACTCGTTACAGCAGAAAATATTTCGATTAGGCGCCGGAAGAGCAAACCAATCTTGACATTCTTGTAGCCAAACTTGAGATTTTCCAATGCGGAGAAATCAATAGCCCTAGACAGAGAATCCACTTCATCAGTGTTAATAGTTGCACTCTTGATAGAAAATGACCTCAAAGCGATTAGGTCGTGCTGTAGGTTTGAAGATTCAGTCTTGTCGTTTGATTTGTCCACCACCTCGTTATACAAGGAGTCAAAATAAGAGCGATCAAGGTCCAAACTCCGTAATGTGGAACGTGAGTTCCAGATAAGCTCCAAGGGAGGGCCAGCAGTGCCAAACCAATTGGATGTGAACAAGTGAAGGTGCTTTAAGCCTTTAGTTGCAGCTAGTGCTTCTGCCGCTGAGTTGTTTTTCCAGGAGGTATGTAGCCAAAGAGCCTGAAGGTTCTTTTTGACAGCTAATTTCGTTGCCATTGGCCTGTCCGTTATTAGCAGAGAAAGAATCTCGGTCAAAACTGGAATACATACTCTGTAAGATCCGTGGCTGCAAAGACTTCCAAATTGTCTGTAATCTCCAAAAGTTCCTCAATATAGCGAAAAACGATATATCTATGCTTCTTGCCCGGATCACCAATGTCGAAGAGGGCCTGTCGGACACAATCTGCGATCTCAGGTCTCTCGTTGTCGTCTGAGTTGTTGGGGAAACTCTCTTGTTGGCCCTTGTACTGGCCTTCTTTCTTCAGCTGTTTCCTCTGCTTGATCGTGAGAAGTGGCTCAATGGTGCGGATGAGCTTGGCAATATGAGCATGAAACGATACGGAACCCTCTACACGCTTGAAGAGTTGAGGTGTGACGAGGCTATGAAAGGCCTTGCTAGTTTTGCTAAGATTGCCTAGAGACTTTGTGTCTTCGATCTGGCTGTTGTCAACAAACGGGTTCATCTCAAGAATGAGAGTTATACTTTACCTTCTCTATGACCAGATTAAAGACTTCTGGGGGTAATGACGAAAATGGGCTATTGGAAGTATTGGCGGATGTCTGGACAGACGAATTGCTAGCCTTTCTCATTCCAGCTCTGGCCTTTGGTTTTGACTGTCGGCCAGGAGACTTGTCGTCGGACTTTTCATCCAAAGATTTGGTCTTCGGCGCTTTTTTGATAGGTTTGTCATGGTTGGAAACTGGAGCCTTCCGTTTAGGTATTTTCTTGGGTTCTTGGGTTTGTTTCTCAGAAGAGGCAGGCTCATCGGCCTTTGCCTTTAGTCTCGCGCTTCTCCGTGCCGGCATTTTGCAATGCTGAGTTCGAAGAGAGACAGATGTGGTGAAGAGAAACAAGGCGGGTTTCCAAAACATAGTCACACATACCTATTTGACGACTTTATCACGTGATGATGCTGACATTATCTATCCTTGCAGGAAGCTGCCTTGTTTTTGTTCTACTTGTCTTGCTACCTTGCTACCTCGAGATAGCCCAGTATCAAGCGAGCTTATGTTGTCTAGAAAGAGTTGGTAGGTTATTTCTTTCGTCTATGCAATGTTCTAATAGCCATAGATCACATGTCTCCGCATTGAAGGCATGTGGAGGTCTACCAAAGCCAGAGTGAGACACGTAAACTGATCTCACGATGCTAGGGGTTGGTGTCAATGACGTAATTGAGTCTTTTGATAACCTTGACTGAAATTATATGACGGAAATAGACAAGAACTAAGAATATTTATAGTGTTGAGCAAAATGGCAATCTGCTTATAGTTCAAATTTGGTTATAAATAAAAGATTACAAATCCCTACTTTTCCTTGTCTTTGTCCTCGCTATCAACCAGTGATTAACGAAACGAAGGGCCTGGGTAGTGTTTTGAAGCAGACGCCAGCCACCATATAGTTATAAGCGTACACAAGCCACAGAGAATCACGGAGTTGTAATTCATGGTCGAGGCATCGAATGGCAGTCCTACAGCTGGAGAATGAGTTAGTTGTGAATTCAAGATGCAAATTGCTTGAATGGCACTTACGAAAACAAAAGAATACATCGAAAAGTACAATCAGCAATATGGTGAATGTGTTGATCAGGGATCCCCATTTCTTCAGGTGAAAGGGCCCAGGTGAGAATCTCTTGCGACCGCTGAGGAGATTCGAAATAATAGGAATAGCGTATGAAACCGTGGTGATGATGATGAAAGATCCAGTGAGATTACTGAACCCGACTGAACTTCCCAGCGGAATAGCACCAATACCCGATGCTATGACTGCCACGAAGATGGTTGATTCGACCGGTGTTCTAAGTTTGGTGCTGACTCTGCTGAAGTAATGGGAAAACGGCACTGCTTGATCTCTAGCCAGAGTCCAGTAAGTACGGCAGTTGGTCAAGACAGTGCCGATGACGCAGCATAGAGACGATATTAAAATGATGAATAGTAGAGCAAATGTCGCCGCTGTGCTTCCAGTTGCTTGATGATAAATCCCGGCCAATGGGAACGTGTTGGAATTTCCTTGAAGTACTGAAAGATCCGAGATGGCATATCCGAGAACAACGGCGAAAGCCAAAGCATAAACACCGCCAATGGAAATATAAAGAAAGATGGCCCTGGGCAGATCTTTTTTCGGGTTGGCAGCCTCTTCAGCCATGTGAGTAATGGCATCCAGAGTCCCAATGGTGAAAGCACCGTTCAGAACTCCAACCATGAATGCAACTCCATCATTCCAACCAGTCAGGTTGTTTTCGTGGAAGGAGTTCCAGACGAATTGACTGGAGGCATGCTTCGAAGGCATGACGGCGACGATGATGATTGTCACGAGACCGCCGACAACAACGAGAATTAACCCAAGTTTCTGAGTATAAGGCACAAGCCGATTAGAAAATATGACAACAAAGGTACTCAGCCATATAACGATCAGATATGCGACGTAAACGTGCCACGCTGAAGGGGAGAAAGCAGGTGTGAGTGTTGCGTAGCACTGTACTCCTGCATTGGCTGCGACCTGGACTAAAGATGCGAGTCCGAACATCCAACCATAGAAGTTGATCCATCCGGCATAGAAGCCGGTGACTCGGCCCCATTTTGGCCCAGCTGCTATAGTAGCCCAGTGGTATACACCACCAGAGCTAGGACAGGAGGATGAAAGCTGCAGAGGTTAGCACGCTGTAAATAATCCTGTGGTGTTGGGTATACCTCAGCAAGGCTCAGTCCGATAAAGGTATAGTAGAAGACGGCGACCATAAGCCCATATATGACGCCAGAGATACCTCCGCTCAGAATTGACACAGATATAGATGAGCCTAGAACAACCCAGGCATTGTTGACCGTCACAGCAATGCCCGTGAGCCCCACGAGTCCATACTGTCGAGTGAGTTGGTCGGTATGACCAGATGCGTTGACGACAGAACCTTGCTCGGTAAATGTGGTAGAATCTCCTTCAGTTACATCCCCTTTCTCGAGAATACCACTATTGATCTTGTCGTGATTCATTAGAAGATAGGCAATGGCAAGGCTTGAAGATGATAAAATTAAAGAACAGTTGGTTCAACAACTATTGATTCATATTCCCTAGAGGTCTATATAGACGTTAAATCTTTAAGACAAACAGATAACTGATACCGAGATATCTTAGAGTAGCTCACCTTGTACAGGTGTGATCCCATTTTGGCTAGACCCCTGTTTATCACCCGGGAACCGATTGGAGATATCACACATCCCTTATCACAGGCCGAAAGCATTTTCTGTGCGGTTACAATTCCTAATCCAGGTATGTCTTATCTAGAGTTGCGCCTTCTGTGAGTAGCAAGGGTTACATCATTTTATTGACCTAGTTAATATTCGTTACGCGGTTCCAGTAACTTAGGTGCTTTGAGGCAATTACTCTCCAACTCCAGGGAAGTGGTCAGATTTAGGACAAGATGATATCTTCAAGCCATTGGATAAAGTCTTTATTGTGATTTGTTGTCAGAAAGTCCAAAAAGTCGACATCTCACCATCCTCTATGCTACTATTGACATTGCTGGGCATAACGCTTGCTCCCATCTAATCCTGGTCATCGACTCTGATCCTATCGGACGCTCGCTGGACTTCTTTCTTCCAGTTACACAGGGCAATGATAATCCATTCCAAAGCGCCCACAAGGAACAGGGCCACACACTGTCCAACCCAAAGTCCAGAAAGCCCCCATCCATGAAACGCAAGCCAGATACCTGCTGGAAGCGCACCTCCGTAGTAACTGACACAATTGACTAGAGCCCCGACCCACTGTCTTCCCATTCCTCTCAAGGCTCCTCCGCAACTTCCATTGAGACCATCAGCGATTTGAAACAGCGCTACATAAGGCATGATGTGCGCGACGAGTGATACAACCTCTTCGTCATCGTTAAATAGCTTAGCGATGGCATTCTTGGTGCATAGTAGGATGGTTAGGATAATGGTTCCGAAAAGGATGGAGAGGAGCGCTGCTGAATGCGCGCATATCCGAGCTTGAACCGCGTCCCCAAGACCCAAGAGATTGCCCAAGCGAGAGGATGCCGCAACACCAAGTCCAAAGGGAATGGTGTTGATGATCTGATCTAGAGTCATAACGACAGACTGTGCAGCAAGAGGTATGGTTCCGAGACGTCCAGCAGCAAGAGCTACAACCTCAAACGCCCACCACTCAGTCCCAACATGGATCACGCCCAGGAATGCAAGCTTCGCAAAGGGTCCAAGATGTTGGAGTGCTTGTCCAAGGTTGAAGCCACCCCAGCATTCCGAACCCTTGACAAATGATGTGTACCCAACGAGGGCAAAGAAGCATAGCCAATATGATATACCAGTGGCAATGGGGGCTCCATCGAGGCCTAAGTCAAGGGTGTAGATAAAGAACCAGTTAAGAAGAGCGTTGAGGGGAGATATGACGAGGAGTGCGTAAGTTCCTGGTCGGTAAATCTCTTGTGCCTGGAGGAATTTTTTCATCGCCTCGAACCAGACATATCCCAGGCCACCAGGGATCAAGAGTTGCAGAAATCTGGGACCTTGGACACAAATGAACTCCTCTTGTCCAAGAGAGCGAAATATGTATCCAGAGAAACACCATATGATGGCAACGACTGCGTAAAAGCCCGTCAAGACTATCAACCCTCTCTGCAATAGTGTCCCTAAATCTTGTTTATTCTTGGAGCTAGTAAATGTACTCGAGCCAAGTGTATCGATGGCAGTCGTTCCGCCGAGAGCGATCAGCCATGCTGTTGCCATGGCGAACATGTAAGAAAACGCGGCCGTTGCGAGAGCTTCGGGAGACAGACGGCCGACCATAAGGACGGATACTGTTTGCAAGCTGTTTTGGAGCATGTATGCCAGTATGACTGGCACCGATGCTTTGACCAGGACGATCGTTTCCGTGACCCATGGTGAATGGGAAGGACTCTTGAGTTCGACGGAAGAGATTTGGGTATGAGGAATCAACGGGGTCTCTTCGTCTGGGAATGATTCCAGAATTCGGTACGAGGGCTCTGTGGGCGGAGAATGCTGCGAGGCCATCGTTGAGTTGAGTTTTTTTTGAAGGCTAAGTAGAAGCTGAGTTGTAGTTAATGAGTCTGTTACTAGACACAGCGGGTTTGGGAAGATCTCAGCAATTTCGTCGCGCGGATTCGATAGAATCATCCATGCAAGTTTTGTAAGTCATGAATACATTGCCAAAAGTAATGCTATCGGCAAAAAGAGCAAACTATCTGCTCGGTATGTCTGAAGCCACATCAGCCTGTCTCATTTTGATAGGCCTGTAGTTATCGCAATCTGCATGCCATCATTGCTGTGCTCTGTATGCTGATGAATCTCTTTTACTATGAGGCATTTGTAACTTGTCATCGACGCCGCATCACACTTACACTGCATCAATTCGAAGCCATCACCGTGTAACGTTCTTATCTCTGAGAGATATATCTCGATTACCCAATATGGTAATTTACCCACGATAAGGACATGGAGTTGTGGGGTGTCGATCTGTTTGCAACTTGATCAACTATTTTACCCCAGACTAGCCTAACTTGGTGATTTACGCGCTCCATTGACGCCCGTTAATAGATGGTGATGCGAGTTGACGACAATGACGGTCAATAGCACGTTGTTGTTTAGTTCCTTGATGAATTGATGCTTGTGATTTGGAGAAACAAGACTTCATGAGTAAATGAAAATGGTAATTTGTGTTCGTACTGGAGTATGTCGGCAGGTATCAAACATGACTTTGCACTTAAGAGTTCACCCCGGATTGGCATAAATATTAGATTACTGGCCACTTTAAAATTGACTGAAATATTCTATGTTCTTTCCCATCTCTAGATACTTTCAACCACTGTATCGAATATGCTCTTTAACGCTTTCACTTTCCTCGGCATCGCGTCTGTCGCAATTGCTCATGGCAATCATGACCAAGAGCCGATGGAAGGACCTCATCAATCCCTTTGGTACAACACGCTCCCTGGCGATGGTGGTACTCAAGTAAGAACTCATTTATCAATTTTTTGTGACAAAGTTCTGATATGATTAGGCCGACTCTGTCTTTTCAGGCATCAGCACCTTTGGTCGACTTCCTTACCAACCTTGTCTAGGACACAACAGTATCAAATATGACATCGCTTTCATTGGTGCACCATTCGACACAGGTACTTCGTACAGACCCGGTGCTCGATTCGGCCCTTCTGGCATCCGACAGGGCTCTCGACGACTCAACCTCTAGTAAGTCGCTGCTGTTCAGTCTTTAGAAAACAACTAATCTCAGGATTCCCAGCGGAGGCTACAATGTACCACTAGCCACGAACCCTTTCAACAGTTGGGCAACTGTTCTAGACTGCGGTGATATCCCAGTCACTTCGTAAGTTTACTTTGGATGTTGCTCATCAAAGCTATACTCACCATATTCTAGTTATGATAATCAATTCGCACTCCAGCAGATCGAAGAAGGCCATTACAGTATCCTCTCACGACCACCAGTCACGGATGCAGACAAGTTTGGTCCAGCAAGTAAAGGTCGAACTCTACCTCGAGTCATCACTCTTGGTGGTGATCACACTATTACCTTGCCCCTGCTCCGATCCATCAACAGAGCGTATGGACCTGTCACTGTTATTCACTTTGACAGTCATCTGGACACATGTAAGCCTTAGGTCCATATCCCAACAAGACTCACACTAATTCGTTATAGGGAGGCCCAAGGTCTTCGGTGGTTCGCCCTCAGAAGCCGCAAGTATCAACCATGGTACATACTTCTACCACGCTGCCATGGAAGGTCTGCTTGTGAATGACACCAACATTCACGCTGGTATTCGTACCACTCTTAGCGGTCCTAGTGACTATGACAACGATGGTTACTGTGGCTTTGAGATTGTCGAGGCACGAGAAATCGATACAATCGGCACAACAGGCATTATTGAGAAGATTCTGAAGCGTGTTGGAACTGATCGCCCTGTCTATCTGTCTATTGACATTGATACTCTCGATCCAGCGTTCGCTCCCGCTACTGGTACCCCCGAGACTGGTGGATGGTCGACCAGAGAGCTCAGGACGATCATCCGAGGACTTGAGAGCCTGAACCTTATCGCTGCAGACATTGTTGAAGTTGCTGTAAGTTCCATCTTCTGTTGGAGAAGTACATTGCTAATAGAGAACCATAGCCTGCTTATGACACTAACGCGGAGCATACCACGATGGCAGCCGCTGATGTCCTTTATGAAGTTATGTCAATCATGGTCAAGAAGGGACCACTTAGCAGAATGATGGACAGCAAGAAAGAAGAGGAGCTGTGAGAAGATGTAGTCCAGGGTTAACATCGAACAACTGTTCTGATATTTCACATATCTCAAGCTAGCTCAGAATAGAACAATATTGTATGACAATCTTTCTATAAGAACAACATTTAGCCGAATGTAAATAAATTTGGTTAGCACACTTACCAAGCAAGTACTCAGCGCACATGTTGCCCTCGTAATCTCCAAAGTCTTCTCTTAACTTCCATATATCTTTCAGGGCCTGCTCGATGATCTTGACATGTAGTGACCCGATACATATCTCGAGTTTATTAATTTTATCCAGAATGAAGGTCTTTTTGTCCTGGTCATACGCTTCACATCCAACAGTGAACAAAGGCATGGCCATGGCGACCCAAGTATGGCATGGTTCACCTTGTGCCATGTTCTGAATCATTTCGTGAATGGTATGTATAGCAGTTTGTATCTGTTCAGACGATGAGGGTAGGCCATATAATTGTCGGTATAATTGGATCAAGGTAGCCTGCTGGAAGACTTTGTTGCAGAGCGCAAAGTCACGATCTGCTTGGGAGGAAAGCGACGATATCGACACTCTTGGTGGCTGCTTGACGTCTCGACTAATGATAACGTTGAGTCTGTCCAAAATAACATCTGCATTTGTTGTCTCTTGGTCATGTGTAGATACCTTCATATTTATATGGTGTAGAATATCGAGAAGCTCCTCGCTATAGCCAAGAAACCCATCAATCTGAGAGTTGGGTTCGGGGGAGGCGGGGATACTGCATTCAGTCTTTTCGTACGCGCTTCTAGTCGAAGGGGTAATAGATCGCACGTGAGGTAGCGTCTCCAAAGCACGATAGAGCATGAGAAGGTGCTTCATTGCTGATCTCAGTCCCGCATCGCTAGTGTTAAATGAACGTTCTCCATGGAGTAGGGCTTTGATACCCTGCAAGTGGATTGGCCATCTCGACATTCCTTGCTGTCCTGAGAAAACATCTGCCAAACACCAGATAAGACAAGTCGCGATTAGAACCTCACTCTGCTGTCCTTTTTCCAGAGCTGCTCGCAGGAGAGGTAACCCAGTGGACTGTAGATGCTCTACGACTCGTGTTATGCTTATACCTTCTACATCTTCTATGCCTCTAGATATAAGACTTGAAGCTGAAAGCGCAAGACTTGCCGACAGAAGGTGCGGTGACTGCAGCATAGTCGGCATAAGACCTTGACAAAAGTCTTGATGGATCGTCGGATGGCTGGAGAGCGACGCCAAAACACCTTCTGCAAAGTGATGTAGCAGTCTCTTGTATCGTCTAGGTAAGATCATTCCATTAGGTAGTGACTCGGGTATTCCCGGCTCGACACTTTCCATGCCCTTTCCAAGGTCATCGTTTTGGGTGTTCCAGATGATGTCCCCAGACCTGCTTGAGACTATAATTATGTCGCGTCAGTGTGATGATCTCTATTTCAAGGATCCCCACATACCATGCTGCGAAACGCGAGACTTTTGACTCCAAACAAGCCTTAATTCGTACTGACATTTCCGGTTGTATGAGGCACATTGGCCGCAACTCGGCTTCGCTTCGTCACACTTTCGTCTACGTTTTCTACACTCTCCACACCCCTGCCGAGATCTTTTGCCAGTCATGCGTTTAAATGAAATGAACACAGATGATTCAGCATGAACTACTGGAGAAGTTGGGGTAGAGAGTCTGGGGTAACGGGCGTTAGTTAAATGGTTGGCAATTGTAGGTATGTTGTACTTGCGCGATAAGAGGTAGCCTCCTGATTGGGTACCTAGGGGTTGTACCGCTGGGGGTTTATCTTGGCTCAACGCATAATCTTTGACAGTTGAACTAGCGTATATCAACTTGACAATAATAAGGGGATGGGGATTAACACAATAGTATCATAACTTAAAAAGAATCAACAGTAGTCATAATGGGTCTTTGACACAAAATACTAAAAGATGAAACGGGTCTTAACAAGTTGATGACCCTAGTCTTACTCGGGCGTATGTTCTGCCATCCACTGCAGATATTGCTTATTCGAAAAAGACAGTATTTTTACATCAGTAGCATGCGTTTCCAGAAAGTTCACAAATCCGATCCTGATTACCTAGCCAGTCTAATAGTTGATCCCACGCAGGGTTCTGCCAGAACATGGGCTGAAGCTCTCCCAGAGGTGGGCAGCCTTAGTTTCGTTAAACCCGACGTATTGTAGCTTCTGAAGAAAGCTGATTTGGGACAATATGCTGTCATATTTCTGCGTCAAAGTATGTTGGTTCCTATTGATATCGATGCTATATACTGCAAAGAGGCGTACGTGTTCTTATATTCGGGGAAATCTCGTTCTACAACCCAGGTTACAGCCAGATGAGACGAATTTGCCATGCCAGTAGACCCATAGGTCTGATTTACTGATGGCTATGGTCGGTGCATTTTTTTTTTTTAAGCAAAAGCTGAGATAGCCCTTGCACTGGTCTAGTGGGTTGGTGTGCGTAATGTGATGTAGATAGGCAAAGTAGGCCAGTGAAGAATAGTCGCCAAGTCAGTATAATGTGAGTAGCTCGTGACTGGTGGAGACCGACTGATCATTTTGGACTGTAGAAGAAAGGAACAAAGGTCTATGTCTAGCGATGACTTCAATCCTATTGAGCGTCAACAGGACTTGAATGCTTACTTCAGCATCCCGGAATTGTATATCTGTCATAGATCTTCTGTTACGCAGCTGTATGGTTTTAGAAACAACAAACTGAGTTGAACTCACCCAGGCGCTTATAAACACCGGATCGAGAATGGGTTGCCACTATCTAGTTTTCAACTGGCTCTGAGTTTCCTTTGTTTTCTATGTCACCATTGCTACAGCCTTTTACCATAGATCTTTGACCAGGAACCACAAGTATATCATTTGACTAGAATCTGCTGCCAATATTTCTCCTCTTTTTCTCTTCGTCCTCTCTGAATTGTTCATCTCTCGGCTGACAAGAGCCATCTATCTGACTCCGGCCAGTCAGGTACCAAGAACGTCCAGCACCCCCACAAAGAGCTGCAAACGTGACACAAGCCCAATGTATCTTGACAACGGTCTCAAATAGCTGCGACTCTTGTTCTGATATCTTTATAAAAATAACTTGACCTGACGCAAGTTGCAGACTGCGGCGATCAAATTGCGGTGGAGGACAGCCGCGGTGCTGGAAGCTGTCGAGGTCAACAGTCAGTTCTCGTCTCCCTTCCCTCTGTACTTTGTCATGGTCGAAGCTTGTCAAACCATTTGCATTACTTCTGGGTCCGCATCGGTTGATTTCGTCGAGATCAATGACTTGATTAAATCGCCCGGGCAGCTCAGGCATCCAAAAGAATTTTAATTGTACCTGAAAGCTCCCGTCATCAAGTCTATGTGTGCAAATAAAGTTAAATGCACAAAGGCCCTGGGTAAGAAGGTGATAGATAGACGAGTCAGTGCAGAGCATATTCAACATTCTGTGAGTCTTACCAAGCTCAGTTGCACTGTGGATATCATCTAATAAGTCGATATTTCCTGTCAAGAAAATACAACCCCCTTCAAGATTTCCTGTAGCGTTATTATGGTCCGCATTATCATTCCGTCCACGGGGAATAAACCAGAAGATATAAGGGTTAGATCTTCCCGTCACAACACATCTATTTCCATCGCGCACACTGCAATTATTCTCCGCCTCCTTCTCCTTGTGGTGATGAGGAGGGAGGCTCTCGACATCGCTTGCAGTTCTAAATGATGCATGGTAGTGCATGGATAGCATAACCTGGTTATAGCTCATTCTGTGGTCTACTCTCGGCTGCGGTTTTGGCTGCTCAGGCACTGCGTGGCTCCAGTTCTCTTTCACACAAGATTATCAGTCAAATGCTTATGAGGCGGCTGGCCAAAATTTCACCCTTTTGCAAGCACTGTAAGAACATCTAAACCATCACTAGGCTGCTTAGGTAGATAAGACGAGCTGACTAAAGAAACAGATATGCTTCATCTTGACCCTAATAACTTGGGTAAAGATAACCATTGCCCTCGAGATACTGCAAAGGAAGAAGTAGAATTGTGGCAAGGTTTTCAACTCGAATACGAAAGCTACGTTCATATATTCGAATGCGCGTCTCAATATCTTTGGCGTTTCGATATCGTCTTTTGAGTCCAGGTTCTTGAAAACAAGCAATCGGAAATGAAGATATTGGACTTGAAGCAAGTGAATGGATATCATGGTTCTATGTAGGTTCGCGAGTTACCGCATCGAAAGCGTCGGCCATGTTGTTGGGAGGGCACAAGGTAAGAGGAAGAGCGAGTAATAGAACTGCCTGGCCACTGAAGTTTCTGGGTGTATACAACTGTTAAAGAAGAGAAGAAGGGAATTTGTTTCGGCCAGGTACCTGATGATCGACTGGGGAGTGGTTATGTCTGGTGGTTTATATAAATATATATATTCCCATTATTTTATGCTTCTTGGTGATTCTCAAACTTTAAAACTAACTTCGTCCTAGGTTTATATGATACTTTGGGTGAGTTTATAGTCTTTGGGAAATTGGTGAGATTCTCCAAGCAACACATTTGTGTCTCTTAAACATTAAATGCTTCCAACTATGTTTTTAAAATGATGGTTCAACTCACAGTGTTACAAGATTCATCCCACAAGGTTTCCGTTCTCCGCTTATGCCACCTTCCTTTTCCTCTTATACATATGTCCAACCTTAGCAATGTTTTACATTCCACCTTCGTCTGTATTCCACCCCGACGATGTCGTCGAGTTGGAAACATCAGGTCGTCTCAGTCCTGTCGATAAGAAAGACTTCAGAAAGTTGCATTAACGACGCATCGGCGATATGAGCGACTGGTTTGAACACCGAGTACCCCAAAGATGTATATAGCGACAACAATGCTGCGGTTTGGAAGTCAACTATGGAAGGCTGGGGCATAGCTGAAGAGCTACAAGATGCCATTCTTGATCCTTTATTCGCGATGCAACGCGGTGGTTTCACTTGCAATGATTGCATCATAGATACGTTTACATGCGATACAGAGGATTACAGAGTGTTCGAAAGAACTCTCATGATCGCGCAATAGGGTTGCCATTTATAATCCCGAAAACTGTTCAAACAGAGAGGATGGAGAGATATAACTGGGGGGATATTTTAACCGTCACGATGAATTGCATCTGCCAAATCGATTTGTACTCACAGCCTGAAGCACAGTTGTAAGTAAACAAGGCAATGCCCGAGCGAGAAGTGAATAGCCTCAACTTCGTTACCCACAACAAGAGCCGCTACAAGTACGCGATGCCAATTGCGGGGCTATACCTGGGCAATTATCTATGGATTAACAAAGATAAGAGTCATCAATCAATCGGCTCATTTTGCCGTTGGTGATGCAAAAGCTTACAAAGGTTCCCATGAACGACGATCTTTGCACCAAAATGCTAGAACCTGGCAGGGACTAGGAAAAGACCGGACGAAAGTATTAGTGTATTTTAGGCCAAAGTTAGACCAAAGATGGTCTAATATTTTTGTCAAGCTATAGACTAGCCTGAACATGCCTGGGGAACTTCTGTATCAGTGCAACCATTGATCTGCATTGGGAAGGTGCCGGATACAGCATTGGTATATCAACACCAAAAGCCCCGCCTCTTCTAACCAGGACAACATTCCTCATCATCAGCATCATTAGCAAACATGGCGCGTGGATGGTTTGTCAATTGCGCTGCCTTTCTCTTGGCTTTGACCGCCGGAGGGAACGCGTACCGTCTTCCCGCCCTCTCCGCTCGCGCCAGAGACAGTGGTCCCAAAGCCGTCAACATCAGTGTTCCTGTCGATCATTTCCACAATGACACCATCTATGAGCCTCACTCTGACAAGAAGTTCCCTTTGAGATATTGGTTTGACGCCCAGTACTACCGCAAGGGCGGTCCCGTCATCATTCTCGCGTCAGGCGAAACTTCAGGCGAGGACAGAATTCCCTACCTCGAGCATGGTATTCTCCAGATGCTAGCCAACGCCACGGGCGGTATCGGCGTCATCCTCGAGCATCGTTATTATGGAACGAGTTTCCCTGTGCCAGACTTGAAGCCTGAGAATATGCGCTTCTTGTCGACTGAGCAAGCCCTTGCCGACACAGCCTACTTTGCGCAGCATGTCGAGTTTCCCGGGATGGAGGAGCACAATTTGACTGCTTCCACCACCCCTTACATCATCTACGGTGGCTCCTACGCCGGTGCTTTCGCTGCTTTCGCGCGCAAGATCTACCCCGACCTCTTCTGGGGCGGGATCTCCTCATCCGGTGTTACCGCAGCCATTGTCGATTACTGGCAGTACTTTGAGGCCGCACGTCTCTTTGCACCAGGCGATTGTGCCAAGGTCACACAGAAGCTCACCCACGTCGTCGACAACATCCTTCTTGGCGACGACAAGGAAGAGAAGAAGCAACTCAAGATTGCTTTTGGTCTCCTCGGTCTTCGAGATGATGATTTCGCCACGGCCATCTCTCAAGGTATCGGAGCCCTACAGAGCAACAACTGGGATCCTGCATCCGACTCTTCCAGCTTCGGTCTGTACTGCGGTAGTGTCTCTTCCGACGACATTCTCTTCGCGAGCACTCGACACCTCGCGCCTTATGTCAAAAAGTGGCTCATCTCCGCTGGTTACAAGAAACAGCTCAAGTATATGACAAATCGCTTCCTCAACTACATTGGCTACATAAGGTCCAACGTTGAGAGTGACAAGTCTGGGCGCTGTAACGGAAGAACGCTAGATCAGTGCTACTCTATCCGTGGGTCAATGAACGAGACTAAGCTTGACCCCAACAACATGTTGCGCCAGTGGACATATCAGACTTGCACACAATGGGGATACTGGCAAACTGGATCTGGTGTGCCAAAGGATCAACTTCCCATGGTGTCTCGTCTCATTGATGTCGAATACAACACGATTCCCTGCCGTGAAGAATTCAACATCACTACGCCTCCCAATGTTGAATCCATCAACAAGCTCGGCGGCTTCAACTTCAGCTACCCCCGCGTAGCCTTCATCGACGGCGAATATGATCCTTGGAGGGCTGCCACTCCTCACGCCATTGGTTTGCCGGAGAGAGAGTCTACTGTCAGCGAGCCTTTCATTTTGATTCCTTATGGTGTGCACCACTGGGATGAGAACGGTTTGGCTCCTGGTAGCGAGGAGATCGGACTGCCTCCTCCTGCTGTCAAGAAGGCGCAGCAGGATATCGTCGACTTTACCAAGGCTTGGTTGGAGGATTGGGAGAAGGAGAAGGGCAACGGTGCTGCAGACCTTTAAAGAGATAACGCGTTACGTCATAGCTAATTGAATTCTTTGAGAATGATTATATCTATCTTCCAACTCTAATAACCTTCTCGTCTGTTGACCTTGTTGATAAGATCACTCTGCCCCGCACCTAGTCTCTCTAAATTCAAACCGAAGATGTCGAACAACCTCTTGTAATAGAATGAGGAATTTGCACTGATGTGAGGCGTGATAATCACATTTTTTGCGCTCCAAAGAGGGTGGTTCTTAGGCAACGGCTCAGGATCGGTCACATCCAACGCCGCACCCACAATCTTCCCAGAATTCAATGCCTCGACAATATCGTTCGTGTTAACAATAGGTCCACGGGCGATGTTGACTACAAATGTTCTCCTCTTGGCGAGTATGTCAAACTCGGGCTTGGAAATCAGGTCCCTCGTTTTCTCAGTCAACGGTAATGCGATGACAACGATATCAAGGCCTGAGTCGAGGAACGCGCGGACATCTTCCTTGGACCCGCCTGAGAACCATTTACTAGGAAATTCACCCTCTGGATCTCCGAGGCCTGGGGGTGTGTAGGAGTCGTCGCGACGGGACTCGGGGGTGTTGCGAGGATGGAGAGTGTAGGCGTGGACGTCCAGGCCTAGTGCCTTGGATAGACGAGCTGTCTGACGTCCTATGCTGCCGTACCCTAAGATTCCACTGTAATGTGTTAGAAAATACTCTTGTTCTTGAGTTGAGCGTTTCGTACATTCGCTTGCCAGCTGTGTCTGTGGCATCTTCGGGGTCATTGTTGAGACGGTGCCATTGGCCTTGGTCCTGAAGTTTGGAGTATTCTTTCACTTGATACACTGTTATTTGATGATTCCACTAGATTACTCTCATTACTCACATCTCAGTCTATGGGAAAGGTAAGTCCCGATGACCCACTCAGCGATTTGAGGCCTTATTATTGTCAGCAACCTTTCAAACTCATACTGATCACGACTCACCCATGAACGCCATTAGCTGTGCAGATAGGAATCTTTGTGTCGGCAAAAAGGGGATTCTTGGTCAAATGGTCTACACCAGCGCTAGTAAGTTGGATGTATTGCAGGTGAGGCACCTGCTCTGGTTTCGGCAGTAGGTGAACAGTGGCCACAGCAGTCAAGATGATGGTGGTATCTTTCCATTCCTTTTCATCAAACTGAGGCTCCAAAGGCTCGTTATGCTTCTTCTCAATGAATGTCTTGATAGTCAGGTCAGGGAATTGTTTTTGGATAGCTTCGACCTGGGTTTTGGGAGACTCGGTATTCAGAAGGATAATTGCTTTGTGGCCCTTGAGGCTTTTATTAGTCTTCGTTACGATGAGCGTCATGGCGACGTTGTGAAGTATTGAAGTTAATCAGAGAATTACTATTGAGAGATATTCCTAGGTACTTGAGTGAATGTGCAGAAGAGGATGAAGGATGCGACAGGTGGAGATCATCATCGCGTCAAGGTGGGGTAGATTGACGTTCGAGATAACAAGTTGCTTGTCACGATAATGAGCAGGAGATGGGAGATGTCGCAATGGCAATGACATCCTGTTATGTACTGCTGTTATTGATTGATATGACAGACATGAAGCGTATGGGTCAGTACCTCCTAAGCCTTAGCGCACCAAGGTGAGTACTGACTCTAGGAAGTCTGATCCAAGTAATACTGTAGTGGTGTGACGACCGCGCTAACAACAGAAAGTCGGGTGGTAAGAGGGATAAATGATTAGGCCGATCCCAATCCTCAGAAGCCAATAAAACGTTCTCATACGGCAATCTCGAACACACCAACCCAAGTTTCAGCCTTCTGTCGCGTTAAGGCCTAGTTCATGGGCTCGGGTCGGCAGGATGTTACCCTATACTCATATCGGATCACGTCCACTCAGCTCACTTTCTGGATCTGAAGACTTCAAATCGGCTCTTTTAGAGATTTATGTTGCCTTTCCATGACACAAAAGTCTATTCAGCCATCTATTTACACTTCATGTTTTTTCGGGTTCGAATGGTTGACTAAACCTTTGAATAAATATGGATTACATGGACATAAACAATGATTGGCAACAAGAGGTACACGTACGCACCCTGGGGCTAGTAGGCAGCCCCCAATTGTAATTGTGTTTGATGCGTTTCGGTGCTACAATACAATTTAGCTTCTGAAGGCCTGGAGAAGTCCATGTTATATGGCCTTCCATTCATATTAGCATCAGCCCTACAAACAGCCTACCCCCGCTAATGCTGGCAGTCAACCTAAACACCCCACAGCAGCCTATAATCCGCGGATGTCATTGGCGGTGGCAGTGCAGTGAGCTGAGCAACCACAAGCTTCATTTCCACAATCTTGGTATGGCTTCTTCAACTTCACATGCACTGCCCGACGCCATGAACCCCAACAAACATCTAATCCCACCCTGAGGAAAGCTACAGAGCGAAAGATGCATTCAAATAACAGCCTATCCCCCGGTGGGATGACCATCTTTCAACTCATCTCGCGACAACTCTAAATGGCTTCCACATCATCGCCGTCCACAGACCTTCCCGTCCCGGCATACTCGGTGACCGACAACGATGACCTCCTGAAGCGTATCGAAGCTTCCTCCTGCGTCGATTTCCCCATCCTCTACTCCCCCGCTAGCCGCTCCACGAATCTACAGCGCCTGACCGTCGACGCGGATTGGAACACGTACCACGAAGCCTACCGTATCGAGACAGACATTGTCGACGCCTTCTTTCTCGCCATCGAAAACGGCCACGATGACGTTGTCGCCGACTTCATAGCCCGCGGATGGGTGTCGCCTGATACCACAAGCCGATGCGGAGAGACGCCCTTGATAGCAGCTGTGCGTGCGGGCAAACTGCCAATGGTCAGCCGCCTCGTCGCTCTCGGCGCAAGCGTCAATCACTATGGTCGCGTACCAAGCGAGGGTAAACCCGTTGCGCCAGAGGACCTGCCTGAGCGGACTCCGTTAATGGTCGCTGCTGATCGCGGTCATCTGGCTCTGGTCAAAGTCCTAATGGAAGACTACGGCGCCAAACACGACCTCATTGCACCAGACGGCGCAATCGCCTTACGTCTCGCAGCTATGAACCGCCATCGCGAAATCGTACAATACCTGCCCCATTTTCGCGGTGGTTCGTGGAAGAGGTGGATGCATGTGCATCGCAAGCAGATGGAGAGGCTACAACGCGCTGCAAAGCGGCTGTTCAACTTTCTCCGGCTACTGTTCTGGGACTGCCCTAAACTTCTTTTGTACGATGCGCCTAAGGAGGTCTGTCTTGCAGTCTGGAAGCGCCGCCACCGGATCAAGAACTTTGTGAAGGAAATACCCGGGAAGATCAAGGGAGGGGTTGTTGCGATGCCTGGGCACATCAAAAGCGCTGGGAAAGCAGTCTGGAAGGGTATAAAGAAGATTCCATCATTCTTGAAAAGCGTTTTCCAGGCGATTTGGGAACTGTTGAAGAGGATACCTGGCGGTGTGATGACAATTATAAGATGGATCGGTAGCGGACTAAAGAACATCGGCAAAGCCATTGCCGACATCTTTGCCGAGCTCTTCTCTTTCCTACACACAACGATCGTGGCCATTGTCACCTTCTTTCGCGGTATCACACTACGAGACATCTGGGATGGCTTCTGCTATCTCACCCGGGCCATATTCATCGACGCACCCAAAGCAATTGGTGCATTCATCGTGTCCTTTGGCAAGATGACCTACGATGTTCTGGAAGCACTTTTCGGCTGTCTTGGCTCATGTATCTGGGAGATCGGCGTGGGTATGCTCTGGCTGATCAAGTATATCCCGCTCAGGATCTGGACCATGATTGAAGCGCTGGGTATATCGTTGGTGAAAGCTTTTGAGGAGGTGATGGTGTATGTCAACCCTAAGCGGATGTGAGCTTGATGTCTGGATCAGATAATATTTAATATCCAACAATTACAACATAATATTTACATATACTATACTGTCGTGGAAATTATCTTGCCAAATTCAGCGCAAATGCCGCCATAAATCCGCTATGTCTATATGTTTATGCCTGAGCTGAATGTGTTTGTTGGCTCGAAACCAGACCATTGTTATCATAGCGCCGCCACAGGGTCTTGATCAAACCACGCCCAACATCATGTAATGACAGGGGTATCAACTGATTAGGCTATCTTTTCTGTTTTTCCATTGGGGAGTCAAACGGAAATACAAACGGGATTTCGCTTGTATCGCCACGAAAAAAAATCGTTGGTCCAGCACTTTTTTTCCTTAATGAAGCCATCGTCAAATCAATAGCGCCTTCGCTGTCCCCGCCAACAAACCAGTCGACCCCTGCATTTCGGACCGCCCCCCTGTCTGGAATACCGACAGTGCTTTAAAAGATCGATAGTTTGGCGACTCAGCTGCCAAGCAATTGTTCTAGATTATGGAAGAGGCAGAGGCCATCAAGATGGGCATGGGAATAAAGATGTGCACTACCCATGAGGCGGAGCGGTTGAGTCCGCGTCTGGCTTGCACAGATTATTCGTCGAGGTTTTAGAGATGGCTCGCCAGTTTGTCCTTTCGTTCTTTCTGGTTTCGGCCTTGTATCCGTCTGGAGTTCCTGCTGGACCTTGCCGGCCGAAGCCTGTGTCCTCTTATGCTGTTCCGAGCGTTGCGACGAGTGAGGTCTCTACAGATATTACCGGCCTGACGTCTTCTATTGAGAGCTTGACTGTCGAAGTCTCAGCAAGCGCTTCGACGGGCATCTTAACTGACCGTGGGGAGACCGATGCGGCGCAAACGACTGGTACCTTGTCGCTGAGTCTACCTGCCAGTCTTGCTACGACTACGACTACAGACGGGGAGACTACTGCTGTGGCGACTGGCCCTGCTACAGATACCTTCAGCTTTACGACAGACTCTAGCACGGTTGCTTCCTATTCTGCGTCCTCTGGCTTCATATCAGGCTCTGTCGCTACGGATTCTGCCAGTTACACAACCAGTGGTGCCACAACAGATGCCAAAACCGACACCGCCAGCGACGCCACAACCGATGTTTCTGTCTTCAACACAGGTTCTGTCACCACAGCCTCGACTTATGCGACCAGCGATGCTGGGACTGATGTCTCTGGCCTCCCCACAGGCTCTGCCACTCAAGATGTCTCGACTTACACGACCAGTGAAGCTACGACAGATGCCAACACTGACGACATCGGTGATGCTACTACTGATGCCTCTAGCTTCACTACGGGTACTACCACCACAGATGCGCCGACTGATGTTTCCAGTGATGCTACAACTGGTGCTTCCAGTCTCACTACGGACTCTAGCACCACAGGTGCCTCAACCTACACTATCAGCGAGTCCGGAATTGGCACCACCACGAGCCCTGTTACTGTTACTACCACCTCAGCCAATTACTGTAAGCCTCTTACGCCCGAGCATGTACTCCTATTAACTAATATTCTCCAGGCAGCAACGATGAATGGCAGAACGATGCTCTCATTGCCTCTTTTAAGGCCACAAGGACCTATGCGATAGATGTCTGCGCCACTGCTATCGAACCCGTCACCACTGTCGCAGCCACAGGATCGTCAGAGACTACCGAGTCCGAGATCGTTGTCGTCACAGAGGATTTTGCCGATAAGACCAGGATTGTTATTCATGCGCCGTCTACCAACTTTGTCGCTGGACCTGACAGGACTGTCACTGCTGTCCGTCGCGACGGAATTATCGAGATTATTGAGCCAAAAACTATCTACGACACCGTCGCCCGCACGACTATCGAGCTCCCAACTGCTTTCGAAACAGTTTTCACTACTGATGTTGAATACATCGGCAGTACCAGCGTGGACACTATCTACGATGTCGTCGATACGCAAACGACGTTGGTGGTTACGGACACGACCGAGATCACAACCGCTACTTCTACAGACGTGGTCACCGAGACTATCACCAGTATTGAGAGCATCCCTACTACGTCTACCGAGTACGTAGTCACCGGCACAACCATCAAGTTTGCCCCGGGAATGACTATCCACGTGACCAACTCTCGTACATTCGTCGTTTACTCGGTTCCATCTACTCGAAGGCATGTTTTGTACACGACTACCAATTACCGCACTTCTGCCTGGACGACCGTCACTGTTCAGTCAACATACACTGACTATACCACCGCCCCTACGGAGACTGTCGATGTTACTACTGCGACGAACACGGTAGACGAGACAATTGTCACGAGCACTGACACTGACTTTGCTACGAGTACTGTCACAACTAATGAGTGGACCACAGAGACTTGTAAGCCTGGTCAATTGATCCTTTAAGCACAGACTAACATTCCACAGCCGTCTCTACTTCAACTAGCACCAAGCTTCTCCCTCCAAAGTACACTCAGCACGAGTTCACTTGGCTGCAGAACAAAAAACGAGCCATCGCCAGCGCTGCTCTTAAGGTCCGCGTCGCTCTGCCCGACAGCCTCGAAGAACAATGGATCAACGAGTATGGTGAACCTCATTTCCATAGTGCCTGTTCATGTTTTCTTCCCTTCTCTCCCCACATGAGGACCGTCTACGCGTCCGCAGAACTTGAGACGATCATCGAGAAGTCCACCACCATTGACAAGATCTATGGCGACACCGTCACGCTGACCATTACCACGGCCGCAACCGTCACTACCCACAAGACCTTGACGGAGACCACTGTCATAGATGGGACCACCTCTATCGAGACGCGCACCGTCCATGAGGATATCACCCAGACTGTCTTGTCCACGCCCACAGCTCAATCCCTCATCACAAAGGTTGTGGTCAATGATGATGTGAAGCAAGTCACCAAGGAGATCGCTGTCATTGACACAATCACTCTGTATGGTATCGCTACTGGATACACATGGATGGAAGTTACCCGCACGCAGGACATCTACGATCTTCGCAGCAAACTATTCCCAGTTGTTCAGACCATCGACATTGCCGAGACGTCTACCTCTACTCTCCCAACTACCATTGTTGAGACTACCGTAGACGTAACCTCTACTGCGCTGTCCACTGCCGATGAGACTGTCTACGATGCGTTTACCAGCATTGTTCCCGTCGCTGTCACTGATGTGAAGCAGTTCACATATACAAAGACCATTTTCACCGATGCGACATCGGTCTACTCAGTTGAGGCTACCAACACTGTTGGTACAATTGCGACAACAACGCTGACTACCTTCACTACCGTCACCAATGGAGTCACATCCACAATCACCACAATTCTGTCCACCGACGTGACTGTCACAGCTCAAGCGATCGCAACAGAGACATGCGCCATGCCCATCAAGGACGGCGATTTCGAGTACGAGCCCGGCACCAGCCCTTGGTACGCATCCTACAAATCCAAGTACGATTGGGACAAGATTTGGCTTGACAATGCCCACGGAAAGGTTCTCCAGACGAAGCAGCTTTACAACAACACCAACTTCATCTTGTGGCAGGACATCCAGTCATGCAAGGGCGTGACTTTCAGTTGCGACTACCAGTTCTGGATCGACAAGTACTACTACGTCAAGGGCGACAAGAAACCCGGCAAGGGTAAAAACGACAACAGCGACTCGGCATACTACTGGTGGACGCCTTACATCTGGACGTTCTGGAACGATAATCCTAACACAATTGGAGAGCGGTGGCCCAGAAATACGGGCGAGGCTGGAAGGTGGATGGATGCCAACATCAAGTTTCAGACTACTGGCAAAGTTGACACGCTGTGGATTTACTCTGCAAGTCCACAGTGGCCGTGGGAAGGCGACAACTTTCTCATGCTGGATAACTACAAGTGCAAACCGATTGCATTCAAGGGACCGAATGGGCCTGTTGGGGGGTTCCGTTCATAGCGACTATCTGGGTAGCATTCTTCAGTACGTTATTACGTATATACATTTTTATCTGAACATTACAGCGAGCGATACTCTTGTTGCCTTCATCTTCACTTCGGCACGTCTGTGGAATTGATAAGCAATGAAACAACAATGTCTATGCTTCAGGGTAGATGTCCAGGTTCGTTCAAGCGCAAAAATTAGCCTACTGCGTTCGTATCTTTTACTTTTAGCGGCCACCTTAACTGATGCCCCAATATGGTGGAACGACAGTCGTGAGGTTCAATTGAGGACGTCACTCCATGTTCAACTTCATGGCTGCAGGAGTAGGAACTGGGCTTTGGTGCGATATGTCATATTAGTCTATATAATTAATTTTAGTTCATCATGTTCTCATGAATTTGAGCCTCTTCCTCTTGTCAATCGCATTCCCACTTTCCTGTCACTACCTGAGATATCTCGCCCTTCCATTTATTATTACTATTATTGATTGTGCTATTATGAAGTTCCAAAGTTCCGTCAAGTCGTTATTTCATCCGCTTAATTCAGGTGATGCACTTCGCTGTCGCATCTCATACAGCTGGTTTATCCTGTTGCGCATCTGCATACTGACTCCGCCGCGACTCTCTGGCATTAGATCGCTCATCATTCCCCTCCCAGCCAGCTTTGATAAGCCAGAACAAGGCCATCAGCGGTGTCGTTAGAAGACTAAGAACAGCACCAAGAATAGCCTTGAAGGCCTGTGGTGTCCAATGATCATCATACCGCCAGTCTCCGCCGTCGCGCTCACCAAGAGTGGTCAGAATGCCAACAGACAAAGGCCAGAGGAGGATGAACCCAGCGACAGCAAAGATGAAGCCCCTCAGCGCTCCCTGCACAATGGTGTTGAACACCGAAGCAGTGTTGGGATCGTTGAGTGGCTGTACCTTTTCGGACTGGTTCTCCGAGTCGCTGGGATCAGAAGGTGGAAGGAAGAAAAGCCATCTCATCCATGGCTGAGACGGCTCGGGTATGAAGCCGACAGGTTGGACGGAGCGCTTGGAGAGGTCGTAGCTGACGAGACCCATCTCGACGAACCAGGTGAGGATGCATTGGATGATGATGGTGACAGCGGCATCACCCGATAACGTGTTTGGTAGTTGAAACAAGCGTATAGGGTTTTTGATGGTGTCTTGGGTGGTGTACATGGCTGTAGACAGGATAGTCAGCTTTTCTGTCTCCTCTCTCATATTGTGTCATATCATGATGATGACCATACCCAAAAGGTAGTGAATGATTGTCAGGTCAGACAGGAATAAACTCACGGTAAGCCAAAGCAAAATTAACGCCGCCGGATAAAAGCATGGCACCCACACCATCAAGGCCAAACACATAAAAGAGCTGATGACCAGTAAAGTTCAAGCTTGGCCTCATTCGCCCCTCCTCTTGTTCCTGTTCCTGCATTTCGTCTGCATCAATCTCAGGGTTGACAAGTTTCATGGACCCCTCCAACCCCTGCTTGGCTTGTTGCAGAACCTGCCCCTGTGTCTCATGTTGCGCCATTAGAGCTGACATGTCGATTTTAGCGTATTCTTCCGTTTATTGTTTCTCCAGATAATAAATCAAGGCAGAGGACAAGTTGGTTGTTCGGATGAATTGAAAAGGCTGAGATTGCGTATGCGAATGCGAAATTTGGGTCGCCAAGCGGTGTAAAAGGGGTCTTGGGAAATTACTGTCCGAAAATTATAGTGGAAGACGGAGAAGAAAAAAAGCACTGTTCAAGAGGAGAAGCTTGGACTGGGTTGACTGACTCACAAGCGAGACTTGACGCCAAAAATCATGAATGATCAGATAGATCTCTACGGTTTTACACGGCTATAGGGTGATTTTCCCTTGAATATTGTTGAGATGATGTTTGTATCGCACCATTCTTCACCGCTTAGTTAAAGGTATAAGGCATCATCACACCATGTTTATATCAATAGTAGTATCAATCGCCGGTTAAAACAATGTTCTGACATCTGATACACGATTGACAGTTTATAGAAACATACATATCAATAAACATTGCATTGCAAAACGTTTGGTAATAGTAGACGCTGAGTGGTCTAGGGTGGTTGTGTCTTCTTTGAGTGGTTCTGGAGACGCTATCTTGATACTTGTAGAGTTTCACTAGCAGATGCAACCCCGATCCAATCGGTCACGTAGGGCGGGTCTTGGAACAAGCAAAGAAGAAACTTTATCTTACTCTTGGTAAAGATTGACGCTAAATCAGGTACAGTAGGCATTTTCGGTCCTGTCATCCGGCTCAAACCCTGGGCAGAGTCTACCGTAATTCCGTAAAGTAGTAGTCCATGTTAATATCAATATGGATAAGGCTTCCCGTCCCATCTCATCCCATCTGGGTACACCTGGATAGATTGAAGCTGTCAGGGGATACGCATGGCCAAGCTGTAAACGTCTCAGGGAGATTGACCCAGGAGTTGACAAAGACAAGGGTGGACCACTTTAACCGGGGGCGGGATCTAACAAGACTTGCGGAAAAATAAGAACCGTTTGAACTTTGGGTCCTTGCTTCTGATGGTTCTTCCGGCGCTAAAGCAGGAACCCACGATATTGTTTTTTCCATCCATCTTTTCTCTTGCTCCCTTGTCTTTAGTTTCAGGTACGGCGGCTCATTCAGAGATGCACGTCCCAAGAGAGGGGGAAAAGGGCCCTTCGCTTGGAAGAAACTGGCAGCTCGCCTGTTTAACTGCTCTAGACATGGTTTGACCGTTGTCAACTGAAGGAACAGCCACCGTATGACATGGTATAGTCATCTTGGCAACCGTCGAGCTTATTTCGACCATTACCAGATCTTGGGGAACAATTTAGACGAATACCTTACTATAGACCACGAATACGGACTATACTCTCGGCTCTCAATCATCAGACTCTGTCACTCGTTGTACATCAACGTCAATCGTTGCATGATCTACTAATATCTCGATCACTTAACCTTCACCACCACGATAACCCTGGTCCCCTGAAACTGGCTGGGCCACGAACAATGCAACCTAGGCGCCAGATCCCTGGTGGCATATCGGCCGAGCATGGTATCCCTGTCTCTGACTTTGTCCAAGGCGGGAAACTACCCCGTACAACCTTGAGGCTCTACCTATTTCGCATCCGTCTCGATTCGATATAAGAAGGACCAGACATCCCGCTTCCAAATCGACTCTCTTCTTCTTCACTCACTCAGTCTCAATACAGCAGTTTCATTCCATTCACTTTGATCTTTGCACATTCTTTTACTCTTCTTTGACAGAAGTAGTTCAATTCATTCTTTCATCACCGCCAGCCGGAATCAACTATCACAACCACTTTCTTTTACCAACAACTTCTTTTTTACACAACCAAACCAACTTTCAAAATGTCTTCTTTCACCACCAAGACCATCCTCGCTGCCCTCGTCGCCGCTGCCGGCGTTCGTGCTCACGGCCACGTCGAGTCCATCACCGTCGGCGGAACTGAGTACGAGGGTCTCAACCCCGGTGCCGCTGCCTACGAGAACCCCCGCAAGGAGCTCGCTGCCTGGTTCGCCACCAACACTGACAACGGCTTCGTTGAGCCCTCTGCCTTCGGTGATGCTGACATCATCTGCCACCGCGGCTCCGAGAACGCCGTCAAGTCCGCCAAGGTCAAGGCCGGTGAGAAGATCACCATCAAGTGGGACACCTGGCCCGAGTCTCACAAGGGTCCCGTCATCGACTACCTCGCTTCTTGCGGTTCTGATGGCTGCGCCAAGGTTGACAAGACCAGCCTCAAGTTCTTCAAGATCGCTGAGGCTGGTATGACCTCTGGTGGTAACTTTGCCTCCGACGACCTTATCGCCGCTGGCAACTCCTGGGAGGTTACCGTCCCTACCTCCATCAAGGCCGGTAACTACGTCCTCCGTCACGAGATCATCGCTCTCCACGCCGCTGGCCAGGAGAACGGTGCCCAGAACTACCCTCAGTGCTTCAACCTCGAGGTTGAGTCTGACGGTACTGCTGAGCCCGAGGGTGTTGCTGGTACCAGCCTTTACACTGCTGATGAGGAGGGTATTGTCTTCGACCTCTACAACAACCCTACCAGCTACCCCATCCCCGGTCCCAAGATGAACATTGCCGGCGGTTCTTCCGGCTCTGCCCCTGCCACTCCCACTACCCCCACCACTGGCTCCGGCTCCGGCTCCGGCTCCGGCTCTGCTCCTTCCAACACCGCTGCTCCCGTTGAGTCTGCTCCCGCCGAGTCCGCTGCCCCTGTTGAGTCTGCTCCCGCTTCCGGTAACGACAACCAGAACAACGGTGGTGCCTCTCCCGTCCAGACTGAGGCTCCCGCTGCTCCCCAGCCCACCAAGACTGGCTGCAAGGCCAAGAAGGCCCGCCGTCACGCTCGTGACATGATGAACTAAGCTCTCCCTTTTTAGAGCTTCAGTTCTCTCTAGCAACGCGCTGAGCGTGGTTGTGTAAAAAACCTTTCAAGGATCATTGTGTCCTGTCCACCCACCTCGACAAATGGGATGAACCTTCAATATTCTGCTGTATATTTGTGACCTCGAGTCCGATTAATAAAATTACTTCGATCACCGCACCTCTGAATCCTCTGACTTGGGAGCACGTTCATGCAATGTACTTGATACTTTTAAAGTGATGTTTTACCTCCATGCACTGAAATGTAATCTGGGGGCGGGACGGGTCTTGATTTGAGTCTAAGAACCTGTGTGTATTTCCAAGACGGGAAGACATAGATTGAGATCTGTTTTTACTATTGAAGTGCGTTCATAAGTGAAATATTAATTTGATTGATGAACATCAACGGACGACCACCACTTGTTAAAACCCATCACAAAAAATACGGTCGACTTGATTCCAAGTCTTCCTCACATTCCAGCTCCCAAAACAAGACATGCTTCAACCAAAGACGTCTCTCATCGCTTATCTTTGTTAGTCTATCACCAGGAAAATCGAGAAGGGGTGCCCTTACTTACTTCAGCTGGACACTCCACGTAGCATCAAGAGACATAGACATTCCCATTGTAGGCGAATCATGTCATGAAAGAGTCGCACCTCTTGAACAGTGTCGTGGTTAACCTCAAAAACATATCCACTCTTGATTTTCTTTCCGTCTCTGAGCCAGCCTGCCATGTGCCCATCCCCATTTTTGGGCGCGGGAGCCTCGTACTGTTGAGGGGCTGGGGCGATTGGGATGCCGGATCGGTCCGGCGGTCGCATGGGCGTCTTTAGAAATTCATTGGAACGAATAATGTGTTTATCAATAAGATAAACCAATTCATCAGGTCGAAGAAACAGGCGTGAGCGTCTGTCAAGCTGAAATTGCTTTGGGTTGGCCACAATGACAGCCGTCTCGTGTTGTGTTAATTCGTAAGTAGGTGCCATCCAATAAATCTTCTCGAGGACTTTTTTCGCCCTCTGTGTGATGGTTGACTCGTTGTCGTCCTTTAGGACGGAGGCAGCCTTCTCTTTGCCGTACCGATAGCGGGCCATCTTGACGATTTGTGGTTGTTGTAAAAATGAAGTTGCCGACTCTTGTGATTGCAGGTTTTAGAGCGAAAGATATTGAGCTTGGTATAGTTGGATTAGCTGACCAAGCGTGCTTGCATCTATAAACGCGGTGACTGGCAGCTGGCAGCCAGCTGGCAAATAGTGACAGCTATTTTATCCCGTCGGATAGATACATTATGTTGCGCAAAGGTCCTTGATATGTGCACACTCTTCTTTGGAGTCTCGAATATAGATACAATCTGCTACTCGCAGCCAATGATAAATTAGTTTACATTAAGAGCACAAACGTGATAAAGCTGGCCTAGTAACTGCAAACCTTGTGGAACAGCTTTGCTGACGTACACGATGTTAATTCAAATAAAATATTGTTTACTACCTTGTAGTTAAACCCAAACATCACCTCGCTTGTGTTACTTACTTGTTAGCCAGTGAATCAGAGCTCTAGGTAACAAAGAAGCGGGGTTAAACTTTGGAAGATCTTATTAACTTTCTCCTCGACTCTCAAATAATGATTTAAACCCAGACATTTCCTATTAGAAGCAACTCAACTCTTACACCTTACTCATCCTTCCACGCTGCGTCCTCCTAACAACATGGCTCCACCTCCGCCTCCAGCTGTGGAAATCAGCAGGCCTATGAATCGTGATGCGGATCGTTCAGTTCCGATCCATCCGCCTCCAACCCGTTCAGTTCCGTGTTGTTCATTCCCGGTCGCTTGTCTTCAAGAGACCAAACTCGGAGACCGATATGATTCTGCCAGGAAAATCGAGAAGGCCATCCGGAGAATACAGCCTGGGTTCCGTATCCGAGTTGAACATTTTGCCGCCATTCTGCTGGTTGAACAAGAAGATCTCCAGCATGAGGACGAGGGGGGTCACCTTTCACACGAGAGGTGCAACCCTTGGCAACTGAAACGTCGACTGGAAAAAATCTCGCCATTTTGCAAGCATTGTAAGAATATCCAAATCACAACTTGAGTAAGATTAACTGATCAGAATTATAGATATGCTTCACCTTGACCCAAGAAACTTGGATCTAAAGCACTGGGTTCACGCCAAACCTGTGCCGCTGGTATCACAGCCCCTACTAAGCCCCGAAATGAGCTACGACGAGATTCAGTTGTCGACGCACTACCGTGCATCTTTCAGAACTCAAACGACTATCGACGAAGTTCCTAAGAATATCGCTCAGCGGGGAGAGAGGGAGTGCAGAGAGCGCGATGGATATAAATGTGTTATAACAGGAAGATCTAGCCCTCGTGTATTTTGGCTGATTCCCAAGGGGTTTAATGATACCAAAAACAACAATAACGCAACCGGCAATTTTGAAGCAGGATGCGTCTACTTAACCAAGATCGACCTTCTAGACGATATTCACAGTGCGACTGAGCTCGGCAAGACCCATAAAGTCTGGAACATGCTCTGCGTTGATCCAGCTATTTACGATACTCTTGCACAGGGTCTGTGTGCATTCAAGTACATAGGTATAGAAGAACTTCGTGACGGACACTGTCAGGTGCAGTTGAAGTTCTTTTGGATGCCTAAGCTACCTCCACGATTTGGCCAAATTATGGATCTTAATGCAATCATGAAATTCAATCCCAAAGACAACGCACAAGGCTTCATAAGCTTCCAAAACATCGAAAGAGGAAAGGATATCTCTGCCGACCTTACGATGTTTAAGAACTCCGGCTGCCCTATGCCGGATCGAATTGACAAGCGAGAGGCCATATCGACTCCACCACTTTTGTCAGGCAAAGACGTCAATATAAAGATGCCAAAACGAGAGTCGAGACTGTTTAAAACGGTAATCGAGATACATTGGGCTTGTGTTACATTCACAGCTCTTTGTGGTGGCGCTGGACGTGCCTGGTACTTAATTGGCATGAATCAGGCAGATGGCTCTCTTCAGCCGAGATGGGAGCAATACAAAGAGGATAAACACACGGGTCTCACAGATTAATCACCCAGCCGAGAAATTCCAGAACGATGGCTCAACCATCCAGTTTGTAGCTTTGGGCTTTCTTTGATTTTTATTTCACCATTGGGTTTCTGTATTTCGACCATGGATTTGTCACCTGGAATTATATGTTTGTTGTTTGCGACTGAAGCTACCTGCAAATACGTTGCCTGTGACTTTTCTAGAACTGACACTGCTTCACAACGTTTGTGGTGACTGAGTTGGTAGAATTCCTCAAGTTTAGGTGGCTGTTGCTTTGACGACGCTCAAATGTAGCAGCGAAGAATATGCTATTACAGCTTGCCAGACGGCAGCCAGCTGCCATTCCAGTGGGTTTACAGATCGAGGCCGGCACACTCGTAAATGCCAACCCCTCTGTCAAGGTGAACATCTTTCGCCCATTCACTCGCTCGTTTCTCGATTCTTTCTTCATCAGTTAACGTCAACATCAGGTAAAGTCAGCTGTCTACCATTTCTACCCTCCCAGTATCCCCGTCCGCAACGATCATCTAGCTGCCCATCTCGGGTCTATTACTACCTCCCCTTGACGTCTTTCTTTTCCCCCTTCTCGCGGTCTTTCTGTCGCCCTACGACTATGACTTCGAGTGTTAATAAGTGCTGACGTATCTGTTTAGTTACACGTTTATTTTTATTCCTTCTTATAAAAGGAAATAACCATGTCTTCTGTACGTACTGACCCCAAAACACCATATCAATATTCCTCCTCCTGACTTATGCTAGTCTGGCAATCCCAAGACCCTCGGGAACACAACCAGTGAGGCTGGGGACAAGTCTGGGGCCTCAGCCTCAGGCAATAAGACCCCTCGAAAACGTCGGGTTTTCTGTACATACTGCAAAAAGGCCAATCATACCGAGGATGTCTGTCGCAACAAGCGTAAGTTCGTTTTACTTGCCCTACCTATATCAGAGATACTAACACCTTGTAGCTAGCACCTACTTCACTGTGGTGTCCGGCGGTTCCAAGGAGTTCCCACCGGGAACAACTGTCTGTGTGGTAAGCTCTTTCCTGGGTATTAGTGACTTCAGTTGCGGCAAATACTGACTGTGTTGAATCAACAGAGTGATGGTGGCGTTGCTCGAGCCGTTCCCGTGAAGGAGAAGAAAAAGAAGAAGGAGAAGAAGAAGGAGAAGAAGAAGGAGAAGAAGAAGGAGAAGAGGAACAGGAGGAAGGAGAAGAATGAGGAGGAGGAGGAAGACGAGAAGAAAGAGGAAAAGGAAGAGGCAGATGATGAGTTTGCGGCCCTCATAAGGGCCATGGAGGAATTTCATTTAAATGAATAGACTAGACTATATATCTAGTCAGACAGCACCCATCAATGGCTTTAGCCTCTAAACTCTAGTGTATCGACATAAACGACCGAAAGTGATGTTCTGGGTACTATAAATTGATGTACTAATTTCATCTTTCACTGCTAGCAGCCACTTTTTGATACTCTGTCGATGACATATCATTTCAGTCTAATTCCGTTACTGTTATGACTGGCATACTTCTGCTTCGTGTATTGTCTAGTAGGGAGAGAAAAGGAATGATGCATTGGAATGAGGGGTTGGAATAAACACTCGTATCAATTTTAATCACGCGTCAATGAATCCCTGTCATCACCAACACGCTTGAATGACTGGTCAACGGCTGCCGTAATTTATGTCTTACAGCGTTTAACTTTGACAATTCTGTATCACGTTCCTCGACTACCGAGACCATAAGAGACAAAATTAGTCCATCACTTTGAACCCTGTTTCTGGTTTTCTTTTTGGCACTCCTAATAACTACTACCAAGTCGGCACGACGCTTACCAGAAACCGTCGGTTTCGGAAGGTCGTATAAGATACGCCACTCCGTCCTTCAAATTTACCCTTCAACATCCTCATCAACAACTCTTCCAAAAATGACTCCCGTCTCCCTAGTATTAGGAATACTCTCATTCTCGGCTTTTGCCCAAGCGGGTAATTCGCCAGGTCTTCCCTTTGTCATTAACACTTGGGGAGGCGACTTCACTGCTGCCACAGACGCTGCATTCAATTCCCTACAGAAATCCAAGACGTCGGCAATTGATGCCGTTGAAGTTGGTGGCCTAACATGCGAACGCAACCAGTGCGATGGTAGTGTCGGCTATGGAGGTTCTCCCGACGAAAACTGTGAGACTACGCTTGATGCAATGATCATGGATGGAGATACCATGAACACTGGCGCTGTGGCAGCCCTGCGACGGGTCAAGGATGCTATTTCCGTAGCGCGACATGTTCTCGAGTATACCAGTCATTCGCTCCTTGCAGGTGATCAGGCTACCCAGTTCGCCATCGAGAACGGCTTCAAAACGACGAATCTCACGACAAAAGCGTCTGCCAAGAAGTGCAAGGAGTGGAAGGCCAGTAAATGCCAGCCCAACTACCGCCTCAGCGTTAGTCCCAATCCCGAACACTTCTGCGGCCCGTACCGTCCTCTGGCAAAGAACAAGCAGACCCAGCAAAAAACCCAATCTTCACACGATACTCTTTCTCTCATTGCCATAACCAAGGACGGAAGTCTAGCCGCAGGAACAACCACAAATGGTGCGTCACACAAGATCCCCGGCCGAGTCGGCGACGGTCCCATCGTAGGAAGCGGCTCTTACGCCGATAGTTCACTTGGAGGCTGCGGTGCAACAGGCGACGGCGACATCATGCTCCGATTCCTACCCTGCTACCAAGCGCTCGACAGCTTGAGTCGAGGTCTATCCCCCAAAGAAGCAGCCGAAGATGCAGTTCTGCGCATGGTTCGCAAATACTCTGATCTGAAGAGTGGCATTGTCGTGGTTGATCGGTACGGAAACCATGGCGCTGCTGCGAGTGGTTGGGACTTCACCTACAGCTACAAAGGAGGCAAGATGAAGAACACAAAGGTGGTCAAGGTAAAGCCGATGCAGGAGGTACGTGTTGAATTGAGGCGGTCATGATGGACATGGCTGACACACGTCTAGGTCTGATCGATGCGTCTATCGGTGTAGGGTCTTTGTGTTTGCATTTCTCGTCGGCAAGCGTGTGCGTTACTTCCAAGCTCGATCACGTAACAAGGAATACGGAGTTGAGATCCCCAATCTCATGTCTGCATTGGTCAGTCTATGTTGTTTTGTAATAACAAAGTCATATTCTTGCAATCCCGATGGCTTCTGTACTTTGATGTGCCTGATGGGTATGGCGACCGACCTGGATTGGGTGAAGGACATTACGCTGGTGGTATACGATTTACCCCATTGATATACGGACCACAAGTCTTGTCACGCTATATGATAACTCAGTGAAACTTAAGATTGAGAAACAACTTTGAGATCTTGTTTAATTGCAAAGAAATGAACCTCCAAAAGGCTGTCAACCACAATTGCCCCGAAACAAAGCAAACATATCCCTCCTTTGAACTCCCAATCACATCGTTACTGACCCTGCACATCCATCCTTGTATACCACATGACTCACGTATAAGCCCAAGCCGCAAACTTGTCTCCCGCAGTCTGGATCTCAATACCCTCGACCTTCAAACATCCCTTTCCTTTGAACAAGCCTGTGGTCGCCTTGAGGACCGCTTCATTACTGATAGGCACGTTTCTTGCTGTCGGACAAGCCCAGAGCCCCGGGCTGTCGTTCTCTGGCGACCACATGAGTATCGTGACAGGCATCTTGCAATCCGAGACGACGTGCGCGGGACGAAAACCACCCATTTGAGAACCTGGTGGACGAAGAGCCGAGTGCGGGGAAGGATACGAGATTATGCCGTCGGACGCGACAAAGATGAATTGGCCACCCGGAACTGCAGCCTACTACCATCAGTGGAGGCGAATTAAAGGTGAAGAGAGAGCAACTCACTGCGAGGCCCGTCATGTTTGCATTGACTTGTGTAGACTTTCCATCGGGACACTCGGTCGCATTATCAAGACCACAAAAAGTACTGGGTTGCGAAGCACCGATGATGAAGGCCCTGTTCCGAGCGTTGATGACACGGGCGTGGATCTGAGGAGCCTTTGGTGCGAAGACAGTGAGAGTGTAGTAGGCGTCTACCACGGCGAAAGCTATGAAGAGGAGGAGGAGGGCGAGCGGATTCGGGTTCATGGTTGCGAGTGCCCGTTAGGTTTTGACATGAATCTTGAATCGACCAAAGTTGAGGAAGTGTCGTTGAATTGATGGTATTTAGTTGCATGGGAAAGTTTGTGATCGATGTTTGTTTAGTTTAGACGTGACAAGCTGTTAAGGAAGGAACGGGGGAAGGAGGCTGCAAGCCTTTTCTACTCGATGCCTGAACACCTCAGTATCGTGGTTATATCTCGTACAGTTGCCTCGAAAGAGAGAAAAATGGCCACAAAATGATATAAATAACTATTTGTTCGATCAACTTCAGCTCGTTCCGGCATGGTGCTATTATTACAGTGAAAGTGCCGTGGTACTGGGAACATCGCCGTCCCGAACAAGTTCTTATACTTTCAGTAACACCAGGCGCCATGGCAGCCGCTACAGTCCTGGAAGAGCAAGTAAAACAGTGAAACATGGTATGGCAATTGTTCGCAGCATATCGCGCACCATTAATTCTTAAAACGCCTCCAGCCATGTTGCCAGAGGACTCTGGGCACAAGTGCGCTGGTCCGCGTCATATCGAACCCTAGTGCACTTCATCCAGAGATGCGATAAGCTCGTGCCAGTGTTCCCTAGATCAAATCACGCGGTCCGATTATATCTAGGAGTACGGTGCAGGGCCGTTACATGTAACGTTCAGTGGATGGCGAGGCCGAGAGCACGATGCATCACTTCGACCCTAACTGGACGACGAGAGCCCATGTAATTGGATCCTGAGACCCTAGTCCAGCTGAAAATCAGTATGACGGTGTTGGACATGCTTGTGTATTATAGGATGTCAAGGAAATAATTCATACATCATATCTATTGCTTCCCAACATTTCCCTTTAATCTATGGATAAGTCCCATAATCTTGGCCTTCAAGGCCATCCCTTGCGCCTCATCAGCGCCGACAAATCTTCTGACGAGGATGTTGTACAACCCTCCAAAAGCAAGGGCGATCGCCGTTGATGTAAAGATGATAACGTTGTACGGCATGCTGAAATCTGGCGTGGGAAGGTACAGAAGAAGCGTTGTAGTGCGGATGTTAAGGACCTTCGGCTCAAGCGTGGTGATGACTGCGGCAGCGACATCAAAGCCGCGATTGGCATCAGGAGGATATTCGGTATATCGTAGGATGGACTTCTCGAAATCGTATGTCAGAAAGACGGTGCAATGCGGAGGAATGCGTATGCGAAGTTCGAGCTGTGTACCTCGCGCGCGGTCGAGAGCAGGGCGGTAGTAGATCTCCTTGATCAGATCGGACGAGTTTGACAAGGGAGCATCAGCGATACGGGCCGAGAGGGTGTGAAGGTAAATGCGCATGAACCAGGGTAGCGACTCCATGTAGACGAACTCAACATCGGTGTCGCTGGGGTTGCTCAAGATAGCTTGTACACCACCGTGTTCCTGGCCATGACCGTTGAAACTGCGATCAGCGTAGAGAAGAGGCGTTTCGGGCTTGTTCAAGATCTTGTCCTCATCTTGTGACTCAGGCTTGACGAGCATGAGAGCTAGTTCAGAATTGGCATCAAGATTATAGCATCGAGAGTTTCCATCCTCAGACCTGATCTCGCGGGCACCCTCGGTTGTGTAGATGTCGCGGGATCGGGGGATCTGTATGCAGACGGGAGGGATATCGGGGTCGGTCAATGGGCATGTTCCTTTAATGGATCGACCAAATACTTGAGATAAACTCCAGTCTTGGCCATCGAGGCTGTCGGCGGGGAAGCAAGTGTTATCGGAGTGGTACGATTTGGAGGTATCGCAGAGAAGCTCGTGAGCAGGAGGGGGTCTTGGGATAGGATTGTCTAATGATTGTTAAAAGAGTCATCGGGCAGGTTAAATAAACATACTTTGAGGTCTCTTGGAGCGGTTAATATCGAGAACCATGTCCACAGTCTCCTCCATTTCCAGGAAGCATTCGCCATCCGCATCACACTTGGGTCTGACGTCAATTGCCATGCTCTGATAAGAGGCATCAAAGAGCTTGTGTCCATCCAGTAGCGTTGCAATTCCAGCCTTGCCCTTACATGGCAGTAACTTGAGGAAAGGTGTCAAGTTTTCGGTGCATACGACTTCATGTGGTAAGACGCCATGGAGAAGTCTTGTGTTGGCCAACGAGGAATTGGAGTGGTGGCCATCGGGCTGGAAGGACATGACGGGTCGAATCGTTCGGGTCTCGTCGATAAAGTTCAGACTGGCACAGAATAGTCCAGACAGAGCGTTTGTCAGAATCAACCACTTCTCATCAGCTTCGGCATCAGTTTCAGCATCCAACCAGGCCCACAGCTCAACACCAGTGCCTCCCTCGCGTGTCCCATCCCAAGGCCTAGCACCCCACGATTGAGCGTCCCATCGTCCTAGTGTGAATCGAAGATGTAATTCCCTCGTACCGGCGTATTGTAAGATCTGGGCGAGTGATCGTGGAAAGAGTCGAAAGTTGTGCGCTTCAAAGTCGGCGATCGAAGTATTGGCTCGGAAGTTGAAGCTCGCTAGAAGCTGGGACAGGGGTAAAGGTCGAAGCGTTAATTGTTCGTGATAGCCCGATGTCGCGGCCGAAGTTAGTGCCAAGCCATTTGTGATGGCTAGAAGAAGATAGGCCAGAAATCGGCGCATCGTGAAAAGGGTTAAAGAAGGTGGAAGTCGTTCAGGACTTCACATCGCACCTTTGCCCTTGGGAAATCGACATGGAGTCGTAGCTTGGAGAGCTCCAGTTGCGACGTGGAAGGTTCAATGTAATAAGCGGTGATAAGAGGCAGAAACTTAGCTTTACCGGCGCGCGCTTCCTCCACATACCGTCGCAACCTGGATCTTCAAAGGCCCCGCCAACTTTCAACATCTTCAATCAGCAATCTTTAACGAAAGACACAAGTTATGGCCGCCGAACAGAGAAAGCTGCTCGAGCAGCTTATGGGCGCATCGTCAACATCTCGCGCTGCTCAGCTGTCTCTTACAGACCCCAAAGTCTGTCGTTCCTACCTCGCAGGCACCTGTCCACACGACTTGTTCACGAACACGAAGCAGGACATTGGTCCTTGTCCAAAGGTGCACAATGAGGGATTGAAAACCGAATACGAAGCTCTGGCAGACAGGGAGAAGCAGAAATATGGATTTGAGTACGATTACATGCGCGATCTGCAAAAGTACATCGATGATTGTAACCGACGAATCGATGCTGCGCAGAGGCGATTGGAGAAGACACCTGATGAGATTCGACAGACTAACGTCCTGGTACGTCTTTAAACTTCGTGTCCCTTCTTGCATCCAAATGCTAACCATCACAGCTCAAAAGCATATCCGAGCTCACAGAGTCTATAAACAACGGCCTACTCGAAGTCGAAGTCCTCGGTTCCATGGGCGAAGTCTCCCGCGCCCAAGACGAACTCTTCCGCGTCCGCCAAGCCTCCCAATCTAAAGCCGATCGCGAAAAAGAGCTCAAGGCTCTTTCGGACACTTCAGGTCCTTCAGGTCACCAGAAGCTCCAGGTTTGCGACGTCTGCGGTGCCTACCTGAGCAGACTTGACAACGATCGTCGACTGGCGGATCACTTTTACGGCAAAATGCATTTGGGGTATGCGCAGATGCGAAAGACGTACGATGCGTTTCCCAAGGAGATGAAAGGTCGTTCGAGGGCGCCAATGGACGACGATGGTCCTGGCATGGGCGGGCCGAGAGGACCGCGCGGTTCAGGAGGATACAGGAGTGGTCGCGGTGGAAGGGGCTACAGGGGAGGATGGTAGTTAACGACTAATATTTGCTTACTGGATAGTACCAAGGCGTTGGGGCGCTGCTTAAAATAGAAGGAAATCAAGAAAGAAAGAGTTGGTTTGGGAGCATGGATGACAATACCCTTTCTAGACCGAGCAGCTCGGCGATAGAGCGAACGAAAATGAAGGAGGATTTTTACAATCTCGCTTGGACTATTTATGCTGTCTAATCATGCTGCCTGTGGTATTTTCCCAATGTTCTTCGACTCCGTTACCAAGCCACACCAAACATTCCGACTCTTTCATTTGTACCCATTCCCCTATGACTTTTTGTTCTGCTCATCATATTCATCCATCTCTTCATCCCACTTTCCGCCAGAGAGTGGTGGCAATGGGGGTGGCAGGCCAGCTGCAGCTGCAGCGAAGGCTGGCTTATCGCTAGCCGGGACAGGTATGCTCTTCTTGGTCTCACCAGGCAGAGCTGGGAAATCTTCAGCTGCCGGGATGGCTTGTTTGGGCGGTGCTGGAGGCGCACTCTCATGGCCACCACGTCCGCCTCTGCCTCCTCTTCCTCCCCGGCCACGACCTCTACCCCTTCCACCACGATGTCTCTCATCGAGGAAGCGATCCACATCGTGTTCTTCGTTGTCCCTGGTTGCATACCGACTTCCACTCATGCCAGCGTTCTTCGATCCTCTAATACCACCGTTTGCGCCACGGAATCTTCTGTTCTCTTCCTCTTCCTGGGCCTCCTTGCCTTCGTCCCATCCACCCTCCTTCATACCCATAGCCTTGAGCTTCCTCTCTCTGTTCTTAGCGCGCTCATCCTCTAATTTACGTCGATCCTCCTCATTTCGTTTGCGTCTCTCGGCGTCCTCAGCGCGTCGCTTCTTTGCCTCCTCCATACCGCGAGCATATGCAGCAGCATGGTCCTTCTCGTCTTTTTCGGCCTTTTCAAACTTGCGCGCCTTCTCAGCATTGATAAGTTTCATCTTCTCCATCTTTTCAGCGAGCTGAGCCTCGGTGAGCTTCTGTCGTGGATTTGCGCCGGATTGAAGACGAGCGGCGTTGTTATGTTGTAAGCCATGAGGAGTCTTCTCACGAGGAGCCGTGGGAGCGTTGGGAGGAGCGTTGGATGTAGGTTGGGGAGGTTGCTTTGTGGGCTGGGGCGCTGGGACAGGAGCTGGTGCGGGAGCTGGGATTGGTTTGTCGGCGTATCGTGACGAGGAGAGTCCTTGGGGTTTGGGTAGGGGTGCTGTAGGCGTTGGGGTTGGGGCTGGCTCTTCTTGAGGAGCAGGAGACGGTTGAGCTGGCGCGACTGGAGTAGGCTCAGAAGCAGAAGAGGCTACTTCGGGGGTGACTACAGTCTCGCTCTCGATGGGTTCGAAGTCATCGTAGAAGAGGTCATCGTCGGTACGGCCTCCAAATTGGTCATCCATGACGACAGTGTGTTGCGAGTATAGAGGTTGTCAAGTAAACAAGAAGTTTTGTTTCCAAGAAGGGCAATTGAAAGCGCGACGACACTTATGCAGTATGCCAAACCCAAAATCTATATAGTGTCGAGAAAGGGAGGAGGGTAATGGTCGCAAACAATATTGGTAAAATGATACCCCGCTACCATAGTGCGGAATTGAAAGGCACAGCAGTTTCAATGTGGGGGAGGACAGAACTGGCAATCAGTGGAGCCGGTGCAGAATTTCGGTCTAGAGTTTGTCCGATTTCGGTGAGCTCGGTGAGCTCGGTCAGGCTGGTAGGTCCAACAACTTATGTGACGACACTTCGTTGCCTGCCTTTTCCAGCTGTTATCCAATCCTGCACCGTCTGCTTGAAATTATTGTGCCGATGATTGTGATTTTTCTCTTTAAAGAGCATTTTCTTACTCTGACAAGATTAGGTCTTGTGGTGTATGAGAGATGATTATCACGGCGACGATGGATTGCTTCCTTGCTGACAGACAGGTTGAGCACTGAGGATGTCGAAAAGAGTCACTGTGAGACGAGTTTTCGCTTAACAGTGGATTTTATATACGCTGAGTTACTGTCACTGTGTTCTCATTTGCTTGCTCTAAAATAAATGTCTCCTGTTGTTCCATTCTTTTCATACGTTGGCATCCATCTCAGCCTCAACGGCTCCACGTCGCTTGTGGTATGTTTGCTTGAGAGACTCAAGCGAACGGTCGGGAAAATGGTTCTGAAAAAAAAGTCAGTAATCTCAAACTTTGGTAATCAGGAACAAGCGAGTTGAAATACCTTGATTTGGATCCAGGACAAGCCATTACGCCTCAAACGGATGAGGCGTTCGAGCTCCGCGACAGACCAGAACCTGTAGGCATAGGAAGTGGCGATCTTCATAGAGAACAGACAGTCAGTATTGCTAAAATGTCAATGGAAATTCATTGCCACTTACGCTGGTTGGCTGGGAGGCACTTTGGCTGGTGCCATCACTCGTGGACAGGGTAGAGGCAGAAGCCGCGTTGCCAGGGGAAATCTGGTCTTGGGAAGTCTCAGCGGAGTTGGCAGCCCATGGGTGACTGCCGGGCTTCTCGGGAAGAGGCGTTCGGCCACGGTCGAGAGCCCGACGCTGCCAACGCTTGAGGCATGGCTGATGGTTTGGCGCAGAGGCATTCGAAGACATGGTGTATATATGTCAAGTGTCTAGTTACTCGAATGTGTTTGTTTGTCAAGTCGAAAGGGAAAGAGAATCCGGAGAGAGAGGCAAAGAAGATGATATAAATACATCTTGAAGATCGAAGCCACGGACCTGAATTGTAGACTAGTATAATGAACAATAACCCGTTGTGTTGGGATTTATTGAATTGAACAATGCCTGGGAAACCATGGCAATTCATTGTGAATAGAACCAAGTACTTATGTGGAGCCTTTCCGAATTGTTTTAATGATGAATAAGATAATATAATGAAGAACCAGTGAATAGCGATGATTGACCGGGCTAGTGAGATGAAAAAATTGTTAATGCAAACGAGTTTGTCGTCATTGTGGTTTTTCCATCCGAAACCCAGTGGAGCTGAACTTGGCAGAGGTTGAGAGTATAAAGCAGCGGCATTCATGCCCAGAATAATTCAATCTGCAAGGGATTTTGACTGTGGGTGAAAGGGCGATCGCCGATACATAGGGAGATGTACTGAGATCACCACCTGACGTGCTTCACTCGCTCCTTCGCCACCAACAATCGGATTGGTGCGCAACATGCTACACTTGCTTTGTTCCCAAGCGGACCCTGGTATCCTCCCAGTATTGTTGCTATCTTCTTCGATGGCCACATCAAGGTAACAGAAGAGTCAGACGCTAGAAGCATAAAAGACAAAATTAATGAGTCAGTTCATGTAATCTTGGCTCTGCTCTTAGTTCATTTGTTTTTGTTGCCTGGAATTCAAAGGCCAAATTGTCTGCTGATACACTAGGGTTGTCTGTGGTCGTGCGCTTATGTTTCTTTCCTGGCTGTTAAATTTGATGCTCCATGGGAGAAGGAAACACTAAATCGACAAGCACAGTTTTTGGAAAAGGTTATAGAAAGTAAGTCCTGCAGCCTGCTTCAGTATTTGTTTCTGCGCATGTCAAACGGTCTAGGTTTCTTCTCTTACCTTTCCCAAACCGCCATCTCTGTTATCTTGTTCATTACAACACCAGCCAAACTGTTAATCGGCATATTGTCAACTACCATTTTCGACAAACTGTACAATCAAAACGTTTCAGCTCTGTGTTGAGCTGAGTGCGATAGATTTGCATCTCTTTAATTCGAACAACCGGACCAAAACTCCGAGGCAGATTCATTATTTATCTGGACATTCCACCGCTCACGTCAAGTCGGAGTATCAATTTTTCAACTCACTGCAGCTTGCAAATTGTCCCACGAAGACTAAAGCATTCGATTCCATCCAATATCAAATTCTTGGAAACCATCATGGCGACAACGCGGATACGGCTGAAGCCATGGCAGCAGAAGGCCTTAAAAAACGGAAGAACGCCCCTTCCTGAGTTTCCTGGCAACAGACTCTGGGCCCAGAAAACTCAGAGCGAATTGACCCCGCGCCCTGCTGAGAAGAGGCTACTTGGCGAAGAAGTGCTGGTGGATAAGACAAGGGGAAGTGAGAAAAGGTCTACAAGTCTTGAGAGAGTCTTTGTAGAGTCGGCCGAAAATTGAGTCATCGTCTGTTACAGGTCTGGGCAGGAACGTTGGTAATTTCGATGAACAGCAGCTTAACGTGATTTACAACAAGCGAAGGATAAAGATATGCAATGAATGAGTCAGTTTCAATAAGGCTCTATTCGATTCGAAAGTTAAACCTGTGAGAAGTCCTCCTCAACTTGAAGGTTGGGAGATGGCGCGGGCGCCAAGTTTTCTTAGAAGAGGTCAGCGTGAAAGAACACCCAATTATCTTCATTCCTCGCATGTTTTGCCCATGATCGGCATGTACTCCATCTGTGTATCGATATCATTAGACGGCATCCTTGTTGAGCCCAGCAGTGTTTGATGATGCTGCTTCAGCGGCCTGGTTCTCCATGTAGCATTTGATGGCATGTCTTCGCTTGTGAAAACCGTGTTGGATGGCCTCGTGCGTACGCTTGGGTAATTTCATCTATTTATGTAGATTGTTAGCGTTATCTCCGGCTATAATGTAACACCACTATTCCAAAAAGATGAGATGTCGCAGCTTAGCTCCTGGCCAGAAATGGTAGCCCAGGGAAGGTGGCTGAAGGAAAAATAAGGATTTGAATCATATGGCTAAGCTTCGGACAGAAGGCACTTACCGCGACATTGGCCGAGACTTGGACTGAGCCAGTATTGATGTCCGTGCTTCTCGGGAAACAGAGCTCGACCGTTATGAAGGAGACGGCGCTGCCAAGGGCGGAGTTGGTTGACATGGTAGTTGGTAATGTTGCTGTTGCTTTTATTGGTTATCTTGGTGAGTATATCGGGGATACTGATATATGACCGCCAACCATCCACACTGAAACACACGTTGAAACATGGACAAAATACATAGTATACAGGAATTTCCTGGTAGTCATCTAGTCTAGATAGATGGTATAGCGATTATTTTGGGCCGCCTTACTGTCATATCTCGAGTGCCCGGCACTCTTTTGACAAGTGGGCAGTTGTCGGAAGAGTGAACATTATTATGCCCTATTTTACATAGAGCCTCTTCATTGAGGTGATGAGGGAAGAAAATAAGCCAAATGTTCTGAAGTGATTGGACAAATGACAGTGGGCCCGGGCGCCGACTCTAAACCAAGCTTGACATACATCAGGATACGATACGCTATTGTACATAGCAGCTGAACACAAGCGTGTGTGCAGAAAAGAAACAGTGGTATTGAGTGATCTGACCAAATTCCATGAAGCAGGCGAATGTGCCCGTTATTGGAATGCGTGTACGTGACTGGTCCAGCTGTATACCGAATGTGGATGACATGATCATTTGGAGTAATGTGATATCATAACAAAAGTAAAATTTAATGCGATGGACAGAAAAGACAGACGCTGCATGCCTCTCTGTCCAATTAAGACTGCGGAGAGTCTAAGTGGGAACCTTGGGAGCATGGCCACCGTCTCCTTTTTATAATCCCAGTCATTGTATGGCAGAGGAGCTGACATCAATCAGACTAGGAAAGTCACGGCCAAGGCGTTTGCAACTAGCATCATAGTTCAAATACAACAATCAGACATTTTTCCCCCTAGCTACATAGCCAGACTTGAAAACTAAATAAAGAACACTAATACAAGACAACATGAAGAACCAAGAAAGTTCACGACATAGTGGCCAGAGCAGGAACGTCGAAGGAGGCCTTGAAACCATCCCGTACCATCTTGATGTTCGGGCTCTCCATGTCAATGTTCAGGCTCTCCAATTCCAAGTTCAGGTTTTCCTCGTCATCGTCGCCCTCAAATGCGTGATCCCTCGGCTTTAAAGACCCATCACTTAGATCCATACCAGTTAGGTTCCAAGCGCGCTCAGCACCACCACAAAGAGCTGTAAACAGAATACAGGCCCAGTGTACCTTGACCACAGACTTGAACTTCACTGCGTCTCGTGCGGACATCGTTATGTTGATAGAGTGGCCGGATCGAATTCTCTTGCCCATTTCGGAACTTTTCGGGAATTTCGTGGGACAACACTGGCGATAGTATGCGTTAAAGCGTTGTTGTAATGATATTGCTTCGGTCGCAGCTTGAAACCTTTGCTTGTTGATGTCAACGTTGAATCGTCCTGGCAACTTGGACATCCAGCAGAGTTCAAGGTTCACCAGGGCTTGGCCTTTGCCGATATCCTCATATCTAATGAACCTGAAACCACAAAGACCCTTGACGAGATAATCGTAGATATCTTCATGAACGCAAACCATGTTCCATGCTTTATGAGACGCGCCAAGCTTACTAGCGCTGCAGATGTCCGCGGGAGCATTCAAGAGATTGACACCAGCTAACTCGATACTTGCTCCTTTGAGCATTCCTGTGGCATTGTTGTGGTCCACGGTATAGTTCCATGTGATGGGGATGAAATGAAAGATCCGAATGTTAGACTCCACCGTCAACACACACTTTCTTCCATCACGCTCAAGGCACAACTCTTCCTGCTCTTGATCAAGATGCACAGGGTCAAGATCCGGGTCGGTCTTGAAACATAAAGAGTAGTACTTCGCGGCCTCGATTGTCTCTTCGTCTATGTCGTCATTCTCGAACAATTTGTGGTTCACTGGGGGCAGGGGTTCTGGCAGTCGAGGTGCAGCGTGTTCCCAATTTATGTCTTTGGGATTCTTCGGGTCAAGGTTTTCTGGGTCAAGGTGAAACATGTCTGCGTTCTGAGTCAGCCAGCCAACTCTAAGCACTTAGGGGCTAATGGGGGTTTGGTTGCGCTTACAGTGTTTGTAAAATGGAGAAATAAACTCCAGCCGGTCTTTTACGACGTAAAGTGAGACAGCCGTTGTTGACAGTCAACCACGGCTCCCGATCTTTTGGTTGTCTACCATCAGGATCGCGACAAGGTATTCAAAGTACAGTCGGAATTCAGGTTTTGCTTTCTGAATAGTAGTGCAGATCCTTTCGAGATGGTTGCGTCGAACTTGAAGCTCACACAGACTAGGCAATGGATGATCAAGATAGTCAGGGACTATCAGCGTAGAAGAGGACATGGTGTTGAGACAAAAGAACGAGAAAGATGGAGTGAAGTGTATGAGTCTGATCAAGTTCATACACATGAATTATAAATTTTGCTTGGGCGCCTCAAACCCTGATTCGGTGCTGCCTGATTTAATAGTTACACAAATGGTCGCCTGACTAGCTCATGACCAAATCTGGAGAAAGAAATCAACCTTAGCACTGAGCCACAAGAGGGATCAAGTCTTCATCGATATCTGCCCAGGCATGCAGACATGAGACAAAAAAGAAAAAGCCCAAAAACACGTTTGTTCTTATTAGGTATGCATTGCACGATTGTGAACGATGCCATCAAGATGATTACGCTCCACAAACATAAACACTTTTCTTAATGTCTCAAATCATCAAAACAAATGGCCACTAGGAACATGAGAGACAAAATTAGTATTCCAGCTTGCACTATTGAGATCTGGCCTCTTAGGCTTATTTTTCTAACCCTGCAACTGAGAGACCATCCCTTCTACTACTGATACATTCGTCTTGAAAAACTCTCTCTATTCACGAGGCGGATCTAATCGAAATTCAACATTTATTGAGATTGGGCACAAATGCGTGTTCGTATTCGTTTGAGATGCAGGCTTTGAAGTTCAGCCGACTCAATAACTTGCTTCTGCAGGAATAGATGCAAATGACGCTTGTAGATTACTTATTTCATTGAGTCAAATGCCTTCATGATTTGTTATCAGTCGATCAGTGCGCCTGTTTAGCAATGCGTGGCTAGCCGTCTACGGCATAATGCATATACGAGAAACATACTCGGTAGATCAAACTAATGTTTATCCAAGTAACTGACTTACAGAATAGGAATACTGCCTGGTAGATTAGTCCCCTTTGCTGTCAACGTGGTGAGGACTGCCCGTGTACTAAGGAGAGAGGAAAGCCCACAAAGCCTTTGCCGGTGTGAGCACATGATGCTGCTCCAAGCGTCTAACGCGGCAAGTGGCAGAACGTGAATGAATCGCGGGTTGAGAATGTTTCAAGCTCAGCACGAAGCCGAAATGCATTGTTCACCTTGGTACCTGGTTAGATAACTATATGTAGGGGGATACCGCGCTGATTGTAGGCAGCCATTTAAAGCGCTGACGGCTGCGGCTGGCTGGAAAACTGCCTTAGTGACCCCAGCTGACGGTTGTAATATCCGGAATCTGTAGAACCCTGCGACTCCAAAGACCGTGGAGCCCGGTGGAAGATTTACAACTGCTGCCCAAAGATCGCAACCATGGTTAGATGATGAAACATTGGACATCATCACTTCTGTGTCTATCCGACGCCCGAAGAGGACTTGCGATAAACCGCCGTGTGTCTCAGTTGACAACAGGGCCTTCCTTCCGGCGTCGGATGATAGACCAGGCTACAGGCGAGAGCAAATATCGTGTGCTTATCAATGTTACCCGGGACGGATCGCAATCTCCGGCTGCTGTCCAATTGCTCTTGTTAGGTATCAATAAATCACCACCAGGTGGCGTCTCTGGGGTTTTTGTCATTTCAATCTGCGGTCTAACGTTGCGATCAAACGATCTCTGAGTTCCCCTTGCGTGCTCAACAACTTTGCACCAAACCTGCTACAGACTGCGTCCACATTTCCTCTTTTCCTGTAGTTAGGATGGGCGCATACAATGACTGGCTTCGTCCTGACTGCCAAACCAAGCTCCATAAGACTGATCGGTGCTTCCGTGGCTTCGTGAAACATGAAGACAACGATGTCTGCAGCTTCTTGCATATCTAGCTCCCACGAGACCTGCTCAACCCAACGCTTGTCAGAGAAATCTTCTCTCCATGTGCTGTCCCAGTCCGGTCGATTGGGGTTGAGGATTGTGACTGGATAGTTGTTCAGTGCATCGGTAAGGGCTTGGCGCCAATCTGGCTCGCCCGTGCTTGTTGTGATACCCGCGAGAAATATTGATGTTGTGTGGTCGCCCAAGTTTGCTGGTTGCGGCGCCATGACTACAATAGCTTGCGAAGTCATTTTTCTTTACTTTGCTTGGTGATAAGTAAAACGTTTAATGCGGTCGTCCTGAAGTATGATGATAAGTAAAGCATAGAATCATGCTGAACCCCGCCTCGGAGTGCGCCAACTGTAGCCTTCATGACCGCATTGTGATTGGTTGGGTGATCCGGAGGCTCACAGCGGTTTCTTTTGATGACATTACACACAGTTACCTTGATAAAAAGCCAACAGGTATTATGCATGGAAGCACTCGGGCTCCCGTCCCGTGAGATAGTGCCATATACGAAAACAGTGCTTAGTAAATTCCTTTTATTTTATTTATTGTTCTCTGTAATTTACTTGTAATTGTCAGTCCAAGCCACTCAATATACTTGATTTTCTAACAAAATGTCCATATGCATCAAAATCTCAAATCAATATTCTCCCAGGAATTTACTTTCCTACATAGGTGCCTAGTACCAAGAACAGAGGTACGTAACTGAAAGGGCGGTAATAAAACTCTATAACTTGTAAATTTCTCAGCGTTTACAACGATCTTCAATATGGTAAGTGCGCTCAAGGCGGACGGAAGGCTTACTGCTGGTGAAAGAATTCCCGCCTGCATAGGTTGCTAGCCTACTTGCCTGGAGACAACATATCTGTGGCGTTCAATAGATGGACCGCTCCCATGGCAGTAAGCAGGAAACAAATTCGGGTACCATCTAAGTTACGAGGGGCTGGTATGTGCCGCGACTGATGAACAGATCAATGGACTGTTCTACTGGGAAAAGAAATGATTTTGTCGGGCACTTGACGCATGCTCAAACATGGAAAAATTTTGCTTATCGGTTTTGATGAATCACTTAGAATAGCCCGATGTAACTGTAGCCTGGCATCTACATGGACGATGTATGTCACTGCAAAATCATGGAATAGAATTTGCATATATGATATCTCAGTAATAGTGGTGTAGTCGAGTTCTACACGCGAGACGGGGCCAAATTTAACTGATTCTCAAGATACCAAATCTCGACTTTGCCTGTGACCTGTAGTATTGTGTCTCTGATCATATCATACACCTCCAGTCAAGCAAACAACTTCTGATCCTAGACCGCTGAAAGCACACTTTCTTTGGCAGTTTGCTGCTGCTAAAGCTTTGTAGCTGTGCAAGATCCCGTCCTCTGGACACGTTTGCGATTCACTTCGCAAACGATGCACCGGTCCGGCCCAAAAGGTTTGCCAGAACGGCTATGCATGTTCACAAAGAGACGTATTCTGTCATCTTTTTCTATTCCTGGAGCGAGTCGATTCAAGGAAAGCTGCTTTGCATAATCGTATCGGATTCCAAGGATCTTCCAAAGAAAAGAAAAGAAAAAACTCTGCCCGTCTTACAGTCATTCAGCTCTTCCAGGGCCATAAAGGATGGGTAGATTCCTTATTCACCCTGCCACTTCACAATGGACATTGATAACAGACCTACAACCGAATCGGACACTTCGGGCCAGTAGGTCAATGATTCACTCTGTTAACTTACAATAATCGCAGATATACCATTTCGTACAGATCCCCGACTGGAACCAATACCGCGAGGATGTCTTACTATCAGGGTCCTCTGCATCCTCAGATAAACCCTACACCTTTTCTGACACTCGAAGAGGCAGAAGATGCTAAACATAAAACCAGATTCATTGATCGCATCTTACAGAAAGAGAATCACAAGACCAAATGGAACATGACAAGAGATCACATGTCAGCCATAATCGCCAACCCCAACCTGATCACCTGGGATGACAACGACACCGAAGGCCGCGTAATCATTCAGGCTCTCGACAAGCTTCTCGATCTATCAGAGGTGCACTTGAACAAAGGCGCTAGAGGCAGACAGAGTGGCGACAAAAAGGAGAAGGAGGATAAAGCATCAAGAGACAAAAATGCGATAAAGAACGCTTCGACGCGCGACAACCACTCTTGTGTAATTATGGGCACAGCGAATCCTGAAATGGCCTATTTATTTCCGCTCGCGGCGACAAGCATAAACGCCGCGGTGAAAAGGACCCTGGGGTGCTTTGGCGCTCTGAAGACACTCATGGACACAGACTTCCATGACACATATCGTCCTCGGGCCAGCCAATTGAAGGGCTTCGAGGGGCCAGGAAACCTCATTGCGATCAACAAACAACAGCACACGTGGTTCGATAGAGCATTCTGGGCGTTTGAGCCCCTAGAGCCCGATGATGAAGAACCCTGTGTAGTAACTCTTAAGTCGCACTGGTTGCCTGCCTGTCGAACTCGACATCCAGAGTATGCGGTCCTGGACGACTCCTTCAACGACTCCATCAATCGTTTCCTCAGGGAGCTAACCCAAGCTCACGATGAAGGCTTGAAGCCTCGCCGCCTCAAGGTTGGTACTGGAGTCTTACGGGCACACCTGAAAACCGGTGAAGAGGTACGCAGCGGCCATTTGTTCAAGATCCAACATGGTTCTGTAGAGAACGCGCAGTATTGCAGAGATATGGCTCTTGTACATTGGAGGTTGGTGAGAATGTCAGTGTTCCGAGGAATAACGGAAATAGAGGGGCCTCTCCCTGTCGGCGATGTTGGCCATGACGACCTTGACGACCATGACGGCACCCCGTCCAAAGGGAAAGGGAAGGCTCCAGATCAACGACAGGGTCGGCCCAGCACAGGCGAGGACTCGTCGCCAAAGCGGCTTCGCCGGACCGCATCGTCTTCCTCAACAGCAAGGCTCAGCAGCATCTAGCACGTTGGTATTCATTGAGGGATGCAATCAGGAACGCTTCCCCGTACGCTTCAACCTCACAGGAGTAGCGCTTCTCCCAGCCCGGTTTGGGATGTTTGGGGAATCGATCAATCTTTTGTTCCTGGTGATGATAAGGGAGGTCAGTAGTTGTGGGTGTGACTTCTATTACATAGATTCACATGGTTGGTAAACGAAGTTTCCCATGTCACTGTTATTTTAGTTCATAAAGATTGTAGTTCATCCAGATTGGAAATCTTATGTCATTTGTTTGTCTCACTCACAGTTTGAATGTCCTCTACTCTAACAGAGCCTTCTTCTTTAGCAGGGCTTATTCTTCGTTCTGATGTTGATATTTCACTGAAATCCGATAATGAATGAATGATTGCAAATTTCGGGCTAGTACAAAAATTCAATAACCTAAAAGTCTAGTCTAGACAGCATGACTACCGTACATTTTCAAGGAAATTGATCGCGGTTAGCTTGCGACTAAGGCATGTCACCAGGCCTCGCTGTGCCAATCACTTCTATATCGGTCTAGGTCACGTCCAGGTCGGATGACAAAGAAAAGAGAGTATATCATTGATTTGTTCAGGCTTCTGAAAAATCATCGGATAGCCAACTTACCCTACCCATACCCCGCTGTGTCACTGGGATCAATTTCGTGGAAATGTACAGTAGGAAGTAATTATGTGAGAAGGAAGTAATTCGAGATCCACATTATAGTCCGGTCACTCTCTTAATGTACTCGCTTGTTACTTAGATGAGCACAAGACTTGTTCTAACTATAAGGGCAGGTTGTCATTTATATCAACCGCCTACGCTTGTTCTGATGGGATTCAGTGTCCTCATTGCCGTCGCTATCATCGTGAACACCATTCTCTGTATCCAGCTCATCTTCCAAATTCTGCTCGCCGGTCAAGTCAATTTCGCATTCCGATTCTGCAATTTCCTCGACGTCCTCCTGCTCACTCTTGCCGTCTGAATCCCCTTCATCTTCTGAACCACTAGTCTCATTCCCTTCCGAATTCATCTCATCTTCTTGTACTTCTTCTTCTACTTCTTCCTTTGCGCCCAACACGTGTCTTTCCTCGTTCAGCCTCACACGCTCCATCGTTTGATGAAACCTTGTCATAGGTCGCAGGGACATCTCCAAGTGGCGTCTATAGATGTTGCCGTCCGCGCTACTGTCCCCTCGTGCCAAGGCACATGCCGTACGAACAAGATTCTTGATCTGTCGGCCATTCAGTTTTTCTTTTGCGATTTTTTTGAGACTGCCGTCGAGTCTCAGAGCTTCTGCGCTCGTCAGGGAGATTTGCTTGAGAAAATTGAACAGTAATTTACTTCGACTGGGCCGAGTGAGAGGTGGGTAGCAGATTGCAAGATGAATGCGGGAGATAAAAGCGGTGTCGAATGCGCCGATACGGTTTGTTGTTAAGAAAAGGATGCCATGATAGTATTCGATCATTCGAAGAAACACTGATATTCCATTAATAGTTGTTGTTAGATATGACTTGCTATATGCGTACCGGAAATAACACCATTGTGAGTCAGGTTTCTTGATCTTCTTTGTTCAAGATACACGTCGGCTTCATCAAGAAGAAGAAGCGCATGCCATCTTTCTGCAAGATGGAAAGCGTTCCTCAATCCCTCTTCTACCGACTTTGGAGAGGTCCCAAGTGTTCCGGCATCAAGCCGAACAAGAGGCTTCTTGCAGTAGTCCGCAACACTTTCTAGACCTATCGTCAGTGTTTGAATCGATCAGTTGAAGTTACGTACCAGCTGTCAGAGTTTTCCCAAGGCCAGGTTCCCCGTAGAGCAGGAATGTCATTCCCTTCCCCTTTCCTCTAATGAGGTCGTCAAAGGCAAATTTATCGTCCTCGTGTACACCTACAAGAGAAAGTAGTTGCGCCTTCTGATCTTTTGGCAGAATGAGATCGTTGAAAGCTTCTGGGTCGAAATTGATCTCTCCGATATCATCAATGTCAAATCTCCCCCACTTGTTCTCCCTCAACGAATATCCTGCAACGCGAGTGTAGCAAATCATGAACTCTTCTTCTGTCAGGCTTTCTAGGACATCTTCAGGTTTGTACTTCTTCTTGTCATCGCGTAAGGACGTATACCAGCCCAAACCACTGTCCCGCCAACCGCCATGATCTGTCATAATCCGAGTTTTCATCTGTCAATTAGCCTGGATTTTGAACGATTTTACTGATGAACTCACCCAACCCGAAGATTTGCCAGGGCCGTCTTCAAACCAAAGATAACGTTTTCCATGGATGCCCACAAACTTGCGACCACGTGATATAAGCATTTCCCTCTTACTTTGCTTCTCTTCGCCTTGCAAACGATGGAAGGGCACGATATGGAGCTCTCTGAGCGGTTTCAAACCTTCATAATGATCGATATGCCCATGGCTTTCAGAGTAACCAAAATGAATACCGTTATAATCGATATCCATCCCATAGAGGAGCCAGTTCTTGCCCGACAGTGTCATTCTGTCAAGTTTGAAAGCCCATGGTACATCGTCTCGGACATATACGAGATCTCCAGGCCTGAAAATCATCCACAGGTGCTTATGCTCCAGACCTGGTTCAAATTCTGCGAGCCATTCCAAAGCATGGAAAGGAATTATCTCCTCTGCAAATACCTCCCACATGTGAGAGATGAGGTGTTGAATGTGTTTCGCTGCTTCCTCATTCTGACATTCCCACAATGTTCGCCCGTAACTCATGATTTCCTCACGGTATTGGAATAGACAATGAGGCTTACCAGTGATGGTGATATTTTTAACATCGATATTGAAAGTGGCGTACTCCGGAATGGCGGCCTTGAGGGCCGCTTTCATAAACGGTGATTTGATCTCAAGCACAGTTTTCTCAAGGTCCTGCTCTTTATCCCAGTGGTTTGTGACTGTCAAAGCACTTTCATTGGCACGCGCCGTTCTAGAAGTGTACTTCTTGCCAGCTGGTAGAATGACTCGGTCTCCAGAGGTATTATAAAACGAATCAAATCGTTTCGTTTCACATACGGCGCCAGCTCCACCGAGATCTATTGGGTTGGCTGGTTGAGAAGGTAGAGATGCCGTCCAATCGAACGGCTCCAGGTCTGAGTCCATCATTTTAAGAAAATATGGTGGTAAGATGATTAATTGGAAAAGAACTCTCTGGTAAGTGGAAAGCGGGTGGGGAGTAGGAAGAGCTGGATCTTTATTACTGTCATTTATGTATCCTGCTGGGCAAACGATTCTGCCTAGGCGACCAGCCTGCATGAAAGACATGGAGGTATGTACTGATACCTGGTTCCTTGGCACCGCCCGCATCTCCCCTCGCATGGCGCCACTAGCACAGGTCGTCCACCAGTTCACGGCAGCCAATCAACCATCCCTCACAAGCGTTTCAGAGACAGATTCTGCTTTCGGATCTTTGTCGCCCTTGACAGTCGGTTTGAACTTGATGGCAGCAATTGTATTGTATGGCTGCTCAGTCACGGACTCGGATAGCCACCGACCCATCTGATAACTTTGGTGGCGATGCTGTTTAGATTTAGAGGTTGTTGTCTTGTCTCCGGGTCGCGGGACAGTAACTAATGTGTCGGACTGTCAAGAAGAGGTGAACACAGGTAGCTATATGACAGAACAAAAAAGAACTATTTCTTACCATTGTGATTTGTTCTAGTCAGATATTTCTATGTTGATTGGATGGGAACTGTGTCAACGTCGCTTTGATGAATACTGATGTTGAATAATATGGATTTCATTTCCTCTCGGTATCATCATGTATTTATATAATCCAACATGATTCATTTATGATGGCGGGACCTTTTAGTCCCTATCAAGACTTTTCTAAAAATGTCATACAGTAGAGCCTTTGCGAGGTATTTTCAACCTTGCTCTACGACTATGATTTCTCAATATCAGTTCCAACTTTAGTGCCAGTCTCTTACAGTCTTTTAAGGGCTTTGCAAACCACGGTATTGGATGTCACCGTGCATGGTTTTGAGACAATAAGTGACAATAAATCATCCAAGTCCTTTTTAGACTTCTGAGAGCTTTTGCCCAGCGGCCAGTAGAACGGGACTGCCTCTGCAGCCTCACTGGGGTGCATGGCTCAGAAGATCAGCGGGTCCAGGGAGGGCTTTCCAGTTCTTTTTGAGCTTTTTATCAGCCAATGATATCGCAACGCCTGGGCTGTAACAGTACCTTCAAATCTGTAGTGCGTGAAGTGGCTGATAGGCGGTAAGCGTTTCGAGCGTCATCGTGTTTCGTTTTATTGGATAAGTAATTGAATTGGAGTTACACAGCATGCTCAGCGCCGCGTGGCACCTTCTAGGACTTCTCAGTCCTTTTTTCAGCTCCTTGTATTAGGTCAGCTTTGACACATTAGTTGTACATAGCCCACATGTCTCTTCCATCCTCACGGTTGTTCTGCAATCCCTTTCCTGATCCGTTCACAGTCCTTTTTTTTTCTTCTTTTTTTCTTCTTTTTTTTTCCTTGTCTTTTGCCCATAAGCATGCTCGTATGCCGACATTTGCGAGGTCTGGCAAAAGATTTAAGATAAAGTTGTTTTTATCAATTCTGGCGAAATGTCTAGAATGAACCAACAGACTCATTGGGATGATTTTCCCAACCATCGACTACCAACAATCGCCAGCCTGAACCAACCCATGGATGTTTGGATGTCATCTGGTGCCTTACTTCCAGAACTTCAACCCGTTTACTCTGATGTCCCCCAAGCAGTTTCTCTCCCCACCCCTTCGAATGCAGTGCAAGCACAGGACGTAAGACTAGATACTGCCACCTCTGGAGGCGCGATGCCAATCGCAAGACCACAGGAGTCAGTTCCTTTGCAGCCGCCTTGTCGATCGGAGCCTATAATCGCCCGAGAACATGGAGGTTCTTCACATTCCCTCCTCGATAGAGGACGTGTTGACAACACCTCTTCTAAGCGACCCTCGCGCAAACCAAAAGCACCGCCTCTTGGAGAGTCGCAATGGGAGCAGAGAAAGCCATACATCGAGCAACTTTATATGCAAGAAGACCTACCTTTGTCAGAAGTGATACGAAGAATGGAAGAAACCCACAAGTTTTTCGCGACGTAGGTCCTCCTATCCACCGATGTTGATACATGACCAAGACTAATATGTTTGTATCATAGAGAAAGGATGTATAAGAACAAGTTCAAGGCTTGGCGATGGTCTAAAAACACTCCTGCTGCATGGATGGCAAAGAAAGCGCGACAACGCAAGCTTGATGGAAAAGACACAGTGTTCTACTGGAACAATCAGAGGTGGACTTCAGACGAGTTGGCACAGAGGAATGGCAAAGTCTGGCAGAATCAGAGTGGCGATGGTAAGTTTATCTCATTTCTGTCTTCATAGAGAGCTAGTGCTAAGTCACTAGGCACAATGATCATCTGCGGCCGCACCCCTAACGATACCAAATATTACACGCCTGGAAATGAGAGCCCTCAGTTGGGCTTCATCTCTCATCAACCTCACGGCTCGAACGAGAGAAACCAGGGAGAGACATTTTACCTTGACACACCACCAGTTAATCTTGAATATCACAAAACAACATTGTCTCAACTTCATGATTTACTGAAAGAAGCCTCTTGTGCAGCCTCGACTGGAAAGGTGAATGATGCCGATGCTGACTTTCGCGATTCTGTATCAGGATTCCGTTTCAAGCTCTCACCAACTCACGACGAAACTATTAGGGCTGCATATATGTATGCATGCTTCTATGCGAAAACCAACCAGATGGACAAAGCAGATGCTGTACTAAACTGGATGTCCAACCATCATGTCAAGAAGTGGGGGTCAAGTCATGATAATACCTATCTCCACTATGCACGCACGATAGAACTGTTTCAATCTTGGGGTCGTCAAGAGGATGCTGAGGTCCTTGTCTACAGACTCCTGGATGATCAGATGGGCGAAGGGGTCAACCTCCTCGACATAGGCCATGAACCGTACGTTCAACGCGCAAGCGCATGCGCCCATTTCGACAAATCGTTCCCTGACACGGATGATCCCGAGCAAATAAGCCAGCAACTCAGCAAAATAAATTTGGCAATTATGTCAAACATCAAGGGCTTGAACAATGTTCTTGAAGTTATCATCGAGCATTGCGATCAAAAGCCTCTTGACCTGAATATGTCGTTACAAGCTTGCCGGGCCAAGTGTACACTTGCAACATGGCATAACAACGATGGCGATCGTGGACTGGCTTTGAATATCTTAAAGGGTGCCAGAAGATCAATCACGCCCTTTATTATTGTCGAGGAACAGCCCATGTCGCGCGCGACAATACAAACTGCAAAGACACTTGCTTATCAGTTTCTAGAGATGAGGGAGGATTCTTGTTCCAATGCTGTTCTTGAAGACGTTGTTGGCTCGCTCAATTCACGCTGCCAAACCTTTGACTGCGACGACAACGACAAGGCGTTTCTGCTGGATTTTGTTCTCACTGTTGCTTTCCGTCTTCACGAGGTTGCCTCTTGGGATAAATGCCGATATTGGGTCGAGCGGGGGTTGGGCCTTGCCATGAAGCTGCATGGCTTAAAGTCGCCCGAGGCTCGCAGATTTCAAAAGATATTGGACAAAGAGGACTTTGATATGAGAAGTTCAATAAGCGTTCATGATCTGATGAAGGCTTCCGGTGGGTTGTTCAACATTAGGTTGGTTTCTAACTCAGGCTTTCTGTAATTGTGATAGTAAGGGGTGTAATAGACAGTACGTTTGTACCTGGAGTGAGCTGAAGGATTGATTTTAAATGTTCTGTAACTCCTATTTCCCTCTTTTCAACGTTTTTCTCCTTCTCTCCTGCAGTTATTCACGTTGGTTTGTGAGACCATGGAGGATCTTATGCTATTTATTCTTATTCCCTGGGAAATTAGCAGTGCTTCACTATTATAGACAAGCAACTATGCATAATGGAGCTGTTACTTCTCATGATAGAGTAAATTACGGAGATGTGATAACGACAGAGTGAGAAATTCATTAACTTTCCACGATTTAGGATGGATGTCAAAGTAGAAAACCTTTAAGTTAAGCCTGAGAATCACCAATTGATCTGCTAATTACATTTACGAAGCTGTCCATGGCCAACTCATGTCCCTAGATATTTCCGCAACCTCTCGATAATCGAAGGTATTCCAGCTGCCTCCTGGGGCTTCCAATGCTCGTCCACCGTCGGTGCCACTGTCAGTTGTGAAAATGCCCTCGACAACTCATGCATCTCAACAACATCGCGGCTGTCCAAAAGTCCTTCACGACGATTCAACCTCCATAGTAGATCAAGTGCCTGCACCTTGACTTCCTCATCCTTTGTAACCGTTGCAATAAAAGTTAAGCCTGAGATCAGATCTCCGTCGAGTGAGTATGTTGGCTGCTGGAGGGCAAGGATAGGAGCTGCTGCTTTTCGAGCTGCTGCTAGAAAAGGCTCGAACACCTTGAGACTTGGGTCTGCTCCATCACCCGTCTTTTTGTAAGAGTCAATCACCATTTGCCAATACTTTTGTCGCAGACATAAGTTGTCATATTGCTGTTCCTCCCTTTCTGACAAGCCTCCTGGTTTGAGATGACAGAATGCATCCAGTCGCACAGTCCACTCGTCCAGGGATTTTTGTAACTTCTGGCTTGCCTCGGCCATGAGACGCTCTTTGTCGCCTTCATCGCTGCACTCGTAATGCCAGGGCTTCTCGTCTTGAAGAACATCCAACTGTCGCAACACGAGAGATGCCTCGTCGAGACTGTTGAAAGGGGCGATCGATTTTGAGTCTTGGATTGTGTTCTTGCGATACCACTGTGTTACTCCTGAGGTCGCTTCGTTCGGCGGCATAAAGTTGGAAGATTCGACCTGAAGTCTACAGAACATTTCTGCAAGCTTCTCAGTTATCATGCGGTCTTCAAAAGTTGATGAGGGTGGCTTTGAGTGGAATAATGCCAATCCTGCCCGAAGATGTTTCAGAAATTCGTCGTACCGGCCCGTGAGACCTTCAAAGGAGATAAACAGTAGACAGCATATCATGACAACATGCAGGTTCTCAGCCGAACTTGCTGTCATGCTTGGGATAATGGATGCGATTGCCTTGTTGTACTGCTGAATCATGAAGTTTTGTATTTCATCAATGTTTGGGTGACCATTTGCCCGAGCCATGAACAGCCGATGTGAGGCACCCACAGCAACCACGCTGCATCGAATTGACTCATGCTTGTGTCCCATGGGAAGAACATATCTGATCCAGAAATTGGTCGATTCCGCAGAAAGTGAGAGTTGCGACGCTGTGAGTTGTAAGAAATGCTGAAAGTATGGGGACTCGTGGCTTGTGAAAGAAGGAACATTGCGGATGGCAGTCCCCAGTGGTATCAGCGTCAACTTGACTGGTGCTGTCTTGGTCTTGGTTCTTTTTCGAGGTGGCTTGGGGGGTTTCGGTGGGGGATAACCATCGCACTTCATCTTGTCCTTAGAACAACGTTCACATGTTGGTTTGGCCTCGTCACATTTGAGATGGCGGATTCTGTCCTGATAAGTATTTGACTAAAAAGTGTCTTGAGATCCTTACTTGCTGCGAAGTGGCAAAAATTAGATTAGGTTCAGGCATAAATGATGAAAAAGTGATTAAACGTACCAAGTAATGCACCCATTACGGCTTTTGGGAGTAGATGTACGAGTGTATCTGGCCCTGGTGGCCGTTATTACTTGGACGGCCGACATTAATGCAGGTGTTGCCGATACGAAATAACCTATAGGAAGTAAGAAGACCGCTGTGAAGTAGTAAGACAAACGGCAGAAACTGTGGCCTGTAGATATAAGTCAAGCAAAGTGGATTCGGATGAGACATGGCTGTAGTGCAAAAGGGGGTCCCATCCCAGGGCTAACCGATTTCGGTTGGGTTAACCTTGGGATGAAGCCTTGCTTGTCAATCATGATGCCTACTTCTGATACCTCTTGGGTCACATTGACATTTGAAACAGTTGCCAACGTAGCATCAGATGAAGAAAGAATGTTTAATTCAGATCCACTGGATTATATTACAATTTTGACATAAAAGTACCATATGTAAAATGGTGCTTGTGGCTTAATTGCAGCAACGTGAATGAATCGGCGAATTGTGAGGCCTACTTTTGAAGTTGTCCAACCAATCAAAGGAAGTATTCTAGCTTCAGAGGTCTACAGATGTTAAACAAGGCTGAAATTACACATATTTTAATTGATAATGGTCGGTAAGACCAGCTGAGTAGTGGAAACGATGTAGTCACAATATGAATCTCTCTGGAATCCATGTCACACTAACACTAACGTAGTGGAGTCACTCGGTATTCCCGACTGTCACTTTTTTACGTGGGAACCAATAATATGCCGTCTTGAACCCATTAAGTGGGTATCAAGCAAGTTGGCCTTCAAGATTTAGGATACTAAAATAAGCAGCTCAAAAAAACAGATCGAAACGGCGGAAACTAACCTATTAATTTCGTCTCTTATGCTTCTAGCGGTCATTTTTTCTGATACTTTGAAGCCCATCCACCTGGTCCGTGGTGTCGGAATTGACGTGAAACCCACTGGTTTGGTTCGAGTTGCACAGGGCACCTAAAAAGTATCCTGTGAATAAACATGACAGTACTTTATAATTCTCGCCCAAATCCTCCGCATTTCCCATCTCCAATCCTCCCTATCAATACCCGCCATCATGTCATTCGTCCCCATGGAAGAGGAAATCCGCTTTAGAGGGCTCCAGGCCAGCCGGACTGCCACCTGGAAGTACCTCTTCTCAGTCTTCCTGCGGTGGTTAGTTACTTTGCTGCTCAGCCTCGCAATCTGGAAGATTTTGTGGTTTTACTCCGAATCCATGGTCATCATGGCGAAACCGGCTACGCGCGACTTTAATGTTTGGATCACAGGGCTTACTATCGCTCTTGGGTTGGCGTTTGCTGGGAGTTTCGACAAGTTGGCCAAAGATACACGGTGGTGGATATTGTCCCGTCGACACCGATCTCTCAGAAAGGTATACCCACCTCTTTCATCCTTCCGACATGCCCTGTAGGCTGACAGTTCCCATAGGTCGAGGCTATCCTAGAGGCCGAAAACGTGTTAGCTATTTTGCGGATGGCCTTTAGCTCTCGGCGTATCACTATCCATGTCACCGCTTTGTCCTGGTTCTTGGTGTTTGTGGTGAGTTTTGTACACCCGACTGCCGACTACGCAAGTACTGACATCAGTAGGCCTCGCAAATAGGCCTCGCTGTCCTCGGGTTGTTCTACTCAGTGGATGTGTCAGACAAACTTGCCCTACAGGTGGTACCTGGCAACGTATCGATAGCCAACATGTCTGCGGTTCAACCTCTTGGATTCGTCTTCTCCAACAGTCAGTCCAGAAGCGATCAAGAATATGCCGCCAATATGTAAGTTCAAATACCTCGATTACCCAGGTTGTGGTATCAGCATCTAATATTTAATGGGTACGGTGCCATGTCACTCACATACTTGACTGGGGTTCGTGGCCTCGAACCCCAAGTCGGTGACCTACGACTCGCCTCTGATCCGGATTTGTTCTGCGACTTGGAAGGATGCGATTTTATATTCGTCGAATCATCAGTTCCGTCAAATCCAGAGAAAGAACTAGCTGATATGTCATCATGGCAACCGATAATAGTAGCCACGCCACGCAAGATGACTGTATCGACAAAGTGCGAAGCTTATCCCGTGATAAGTGGCGGCGACGGGTCATCCACTGAGATTGGGTATCGAAAGAATGCAACCAATGGCGGGAGTCGGGAAACCGTCCTTGTCAGTGTTCCCTTGACCGCAGACACCGAACAGACAATATTCATAACCAACACATCCTTTACCTGTGGCCCTGGCTGCAGCACCGTCACGGCGTTTGAGACATCGGCCAAAGATCCCTGGTTTTACTCATGCAATACGACTGTGGGCTCCGTCACTAACGCTACGATACCGGAACACGAGGTATCAGAACACGTACGGCTTTTGGCATCCTATGCTATCGCCCTTCAAGGCTTCGCAGCCAATTCGACATTCAACGACACTGACCTGCAGTACCAAGTGTACCCAGCTCAGTCACCGTTTGGAACTCCCCTCGAGGGCATGGCACAGGCGATGGAGCTTACAGTGTCGCGCTTCGCAGCAGGTGTCATTGCAATGGTAGCAAAGGTCAATGAACATATCATAATTGACGGATTGCCGCCAGTGAAGGGATCTAGTCTCAACGTGGACCACTGGGACTACATATGGATCGTTTTGGCTGTCATAGTCTGCTTCCAGTTCGTGTTCAGCGTGGTTGTCGCTGTTATGGCTACGAGGGTGGTTATACCTCCTGGAGGGGCGACGTCCATGGCAAAGGTATTGCGTGCTATGGCTTCTGACGGGAGTCCTGATGAGACAGACTGGATATACCGAAGTCGGAAAGTTTCAGCCGATGGGGTTTACGACTTGTATCTTGAAGGACGTCCACATGGTGAGCTGCAAGAAAAAAGCTTTGGAGCATAATTGACACGATTGATGGGGTGAAAGTAGTATTTCTGTGTCTGACAACAGGAAGAGAAAAAGGGTTCTACTAAGGTGTGAAATTTACGATTGAGCGTTGCATACAGGCATAGATTGCATGGTCAGTGGGAGTATTAGAGTATATCAGGAGTATATCTTGGGAATTTTGAATCTACAGCATTTCATTAATCAAGTTCTCGTTATAAATGAACTGAAACACGGCGCGACATCGCTGATCGTAGGTAAAACTTTTGCATGAACTCTTGCGCTTCTTCGTCACTTCATCATTAACTTCAGCTCTAACAAACACACTAATCCTTCTCAAGCTGGTTCATGATTCCACCATTTTATTACCTCCCAGAACATTTCGGCATAATATCCTTTATCTGGATAGTGTTGTCTCGAGGGCCGAACTCAACCCCACTCATCGGTAAAGACAGCCTGAGTAACCCTATCACTGTATACACGAGACAGTCCCTGTTTGAAATTTCAGGGTTCAAACGCCAAGATGTGTGGACGGGATTAGGAATTCACTGCTTCGTGTACTACAGATCTCTTCGAAGAGCACACGACAAGAGCAGTAAATGTAATGATCTGGCATCAATCAGATGATCAATAATTGGCGATAGAGAAGGCATAGAGATTGTAATATTGTTGTTCTGCTGAGAGAAGTGGTTGAAACAGATACAGAGATAGAGCTCCAGAGAGTTATTGCTGTGGAATACCGTTCATTCCGGTGCTTAATGTTCATTTCGGTATCTAATCAATCCTTGACGTGTGAGCTACTAGCATCGTCAATGCTTTATTAACAACGTGGACTGTCGACGAAAGTTTTCGTGCCTCTGAGTTAAGATAAAATATTCCCAAAATTTAGATATAGTAGTATATAATGCTTAATTGACGAGAACTACATAAGGTATTCTCGAATAAGAAGAAGGAGAAGAGAAAGTCAATGTCAACGCAAACAGGGCGAAGCCCGTTTGCAAGGCAACCAGGTCCATCGCCTAATCTACTCAAATGACCCAGGAGGGCACTCGGGGGTAGGCGGGTAAGTAGTTCCATCATTCTGCCAGCCTCGAAGTCGGGAGAAGCGACTCCACAGATAACGAACGAACCACCCCTCGAATCGAGTGATCTTGGTGAGATGAGCACCCTGGTCTGTAGGCTCCATGACCATTTGCTCGTCGAGGTTGGGCGGAAGCCACAGGATGGAACAGAGGGAAGTCTCGTTGCTGTGGTCGTTGACGTAATCGCGGAGGCCAAAGGTATGGCCCTAAGAATATTAGCTTTTGTGATGCCAGTGTGTAAAGGAAGTAAGTTTACGTACCACCTCGTGAACCAAGATAGACCAGTTACCCAACTGGCTTCCAACAGTGTCCCAGCCATACTCGCTGATAGTGATGCCCTCACCTCCAGCTGCACCCATGTTGTGCTCGCCCCAGCTCTTGTCGACCAGGAAGTACTGCTGGAATCGATTCTCTTTACCGCGGCCACACTTGGAAAAGTCTCCGTCAGAGTTCAGGTGTCGTGAGCAACCGGGATCGCAGGTAGGAACTCCATTATCGTCTTTGAACTCGGTGTAGACATGAAAATCATCGCGGTTTCCTACCAGCTGGCTCTCGTTGGCTACAGCCCATGCGATGACATTGTGCTTGACCTCTTTGAAGGGGAAGTTATCCCAGCCTGGGAGCCACTCGAGCCACTGCTCATATTGTTGAACGAGTTGGGTGTGGATATCATTTCTGGTTTCCTCATCGAGGACCTTGTCCGAGTTCCATCTCATGCAAACATTGACAGTGCTAATGTACATCAGTAATGGTCTTTGCAATAATTCACTTCAATCATACCCATTTCCATCGATGATCTGGTCAAGAGCCCAGTTGTGATACTTTGTGAAGCCGGGCCCATCTGGGAACATGGCGTTTAACATGATTTCGGTGTTATCCCATGCCATCGGTAGAGATTTCTCCCACTTCTTCGGCATAGGATCGTTGGGCGAATCGACAAAGGTAGCGGTGGCAAGACGAAGCATGGCTGCCGTCGAGAAGACGACGTGACTGAGGCGAGATACCATGGTGAAGTATTATGATGAAAATCGAAAGACTGGTGGTGAGTGTTGGTAATGAGGAGCAGAAGAGACGGCGAAGAGGAGTTGTTTTATAGCAAAAGTCCAGGAGTCTTCTTTACTTGACCGCTGATGCCAAGGCAGAAGATGTCCTAGGATGTGGCCAGGCATTTCTCCGAGATAGATGCTATGACCATGACGCAACGGTAGTATTTGGCAAGGCGGATTCCATCTTTCACTCCATAATGTCTTTTGCATGTAGATTATCTTGCTCCGTTCGTTGTCTTGTGGTGTGGTTCACCCTGGCCAAGTGCCCCAGTGTTATACCCCCAGTTCATACTTCCATCAACCTGCTCTTAGCCGGAAATAGTCAAGATGTTCACAGTCCCACTTAAAGTCTCTTTCATGCTTTTTGATTGGTAACTGCGTAATTTCTTGACATTCTGCACGGGTCTGGCCGTCTTCTTGGCATCAGGTACATGTAACGGCTTGGCTTGTGGGACACGGCACATTTCAGTACAGCCTTGTTCTCACCGTTTCCCTCGATTCCTAACAAAGATGCGTTTCAACACGCCCTTGATATCTTGCTTGCCCACTCTAGTTGTGGGATAGCCCCGTCACTTCGAGTCTCCATCTTTCCGTGCTGTGCCCCTTTGAACAATGGAAGCCGTCATTCTAGGGTAGGACAAGACTGGAAATGGAAACAATCTGACAACCATTTCACAATCTAATTGAAGCTCTGGCTTGTGCTGATGGGCCAAATTTCTAGCATTATGACCAATGATGTCGTTTCCTAGCAAACTACTGCGCCTTTTGCTACGATACCTTGAGAATGTGTTAAATCAAACACTGACCTCCATGCCTAGCAAATCGTCACACACTGTATATCGTAACCACAGTCAAGCTCTGCATACTCATTTACTGTTGACTCGTGGAGCTATGGATCTGCTTTTTCATGATGAATAAAATAAAGTAGAGAAGTAAATGACATTATGATCCTGTTCTTTGCTATTGAACAATCCTCTCAACTAAAATGCTTCAGGCCCCATCAATGACAATCATCAACAAAATCCCAACGCAACTGTGTCCAAAAATCACAGAGTAGTTCTAACCGACGGTGACTAATATTTGCAAATGATATAAACTGCGTGTATGAGACCGGGAATGAAGACTACTCATGTCAGTACGATTATAGCCTGGTAGGGATCGGGTGTAATACATAGACATGTGAGGAGAAGGTTGATCCAGAAATCGCCTCCACATCCTCTCTCCATAAAGACACCAAGAGGTGGGATAAAGATTGCGGCCAAAATTTTACAGGGGTCACTAGAAGACAGTTAGCCATTATGTACTTGACCTGTGTTGGAAGAGAGAATGTCGAAGACATACGTGCAAGTAAAAGGCATCGTTTCGGTTGTATGTAGAGGTCAGAATGGTGGTATTATAAAGGTGTTGATTCTTTGGTTATAAGTCAATTAATGAAGTAGTGTGTGAATGAGGGATGGAATGGTTCAACCAACGTAGAAGCAAACTCATCTTTTATAACTCTATCACCTTTTGTTTCGAGATCCTGGGATACAGGTATCTACCGAATATCTGAGGGTGCTCATCTACCGAGTCAGGGATGTTGCCAGCACTCAGCCCCGTTGCCCTGAAGCTTTGGACAACTTGAGGCACATGTGGAACTTTAGCTCGCTCAAGAGTGGATGAACTCGGAAGTTGATCTGTCTCTATAACAGACCTGACAAGGCACACTAGCCTTAAATCGGTTCAATTTGGACATTTCCAATGCTGTGATTGGCTTCTTCGTGTTTTTGTGCACTCGGTATCGTCCGAACCATATCTGGGCATCCATGCCACTGTTACAGACCGTAGGGCTAAGGGGTTGCAGAAGTCGCATTCGGCGTTTTAGTCTGCCACAGTGGAATGAGAGATGCCAAATGGAAATTATTATCCTATCAATTGGATATAGATGGAGACAATTCAAGAGTAATCTTGACGAAGATCGGTGGATATCTGCAACATGAAGGAAAAGTCTGGAATATTGATGTAACATTTGCAGACACTGAAAGGTACAGCATTTGCGTAGGCAATGCTTCACCAGCTCTAGTCAGCCTTCTTACTATGATCACATGAGGAAAACGATGCTGCGCTAGTTCAAATCCTCCTGAAAATCTGACAATCTAACACCCTCTTCATTGCAAGGTCCCTCGAGCTTGAATGAGAAGGAACAGATGCGGTGACATGTCCCTACCGATCATTTTGAAAGACAGTTCCGTGACGGATCTACGATGAAAGGAGTTTAAAATGGTTTGTTGAACAACCGTTACCACGCAAGAGACTTGTTTTGATGACCCGGGACGGAGATGTGAGATGGTTCTGCCTTTCTAATACCCACTTACCTAGGTCTTTTGTATGGCTTAGCGTAGGCTGAGGAGTATATGTAAAGCAGAATAAATAGGCTATACACTTTCTGTCCTAAACTCGTCGAGAGATCAGGCACCAAGCTCCAGATCTCGCTGACGGCAACCCCTTGTCGGGCGGGAGACAGGATCGTAGACCCTGCCGTTCGGAGAATTTCCATCTACTATTCACTACAGTGTCATGTAGGTGTAACTTTACTCCCCTGAACCCAATCATATTCCTGAAGTTAAAAATGATAATGTCTCCACTGTCACGATACTATGCTGGTAGCTTCAAGTGATTGAGTGTGTTAGAATGAGCAGCATTTGGAAATTGCTAAAACTTGAGAGTAGTATTGCATAGTTGGATTTGAATATCTTTCTATAGTAGTACAGAAATACAATTAATTGAGCTCTAGGATGTGATACACAAGAAAAGTTTCCCGCTATTTAGAGTATCAAATCTCAAAACAAAGTATGTTCTTGATTAATAGTAGCCCTTGTTATCCCTATTAAATAGCAAAAGCTGCGGCCGCACCAACAACGACAGCCTTGATAACATCATAGGTGACAGAACCGGCAGCATTCGTAGAAGTAGGCTCTTCCGTGGCAGAGATGGTAGCAGAGGCGACAACTGCATCCAGGACCTTGGAGGCAGAAGCGATGACGGCCATTCCGGGGTCCTCAGCTACCAAGTCGCACATATCTCGAACAATATCGGTGGAGCCTTGATAGAAAGTTCAGTATGAGGTTCGTAATACGCGGACAAACAGACTTACTGGAGGCGTCCTCAAAATCGCACTGCGATCCGATGACACACAAACCAACTTTGCTGATGAGAGAGGCTTTGCTCTTGCAGAGGCACACAATATCACCTGCATCACATCCGATGGCTTCGTGGAGATTCCCAAGGCACACAGCGACACAGTTTGGGACCTGAGATGCCAAGGCCGGGAGGGATGTTTGAGTTGGCGACGAGACAGTTGTTGTAGCTTGAGCGGCGATGGCCACGAGGGAGGTAAAAAGAGCGGACTTGGTAAGAGAGAACATGATGTTGGATCGTTTAAAGTTTGTAAAGGAGGGTATTGGTGAGATGTGATGGATAAGTAGTGGAATAGAGAACAGAAGTTAGTATTTATATCGAGCTATCTCGAAACTCAGAGCAATCATGACCTCCTTAGATTCAGCCCAAGACTGACGTTCGGAATACTATGCCGGAGACTCGAGAACTATGACCAATAGAATAATACGTATTTTGTTCAACATCCATGCCAACTTTGGCATAACGAGATAGTGGAGTTAACTTGACCCTATGAATCATCTGATTGGCCTTTACGTATTTCTTGTGCAATCGGGTCCCCCGACTGACACAAGTAAGCGACAAATCTGATGAATGGGCCAAGACACAGCCTTTCTTGGCTAATTTCACCTGTCACGAAAGTGTATAGCTAGCTTCAGGTAAGGCAGATTTGGACGAATTCCCTTGTCTAGTATAAGCCCGAAAGAGGAAGTCGCCTTTGTATCAGATGTTTATAAGTTGACACTTGGTTGAACCGACGATGTAAACTTGTATTTGATGCTTTTCCCCACACTCGGCTAACGGGGAATTGATTGGCCGTGTAGTCGCCTGTCACTTCATGTTAGGCGAGCGATTTTGGCATTATCATTCGACTATTTCATAACTTAAGATCATTCAAAATACAAGATGGCCGAGTCATCAATCAGCGTCACGTCCTTGCCCTGCGCTGTATGTAAGTTTGAAAAATGGAACACCGAAGTAGAAAGCAGCAACAAATTCGGTCATGAACATACCATTGAGAAGTATGAAGACCTGCAGAAATCTGTGCTCTCGGGATGTCCTGGTTGTATCATTCTTCACGAGGCGTGGGTTTGGTGCATTCCCGACCAACATTTACGCTCCAAGGCATGGCTTGCTTTCAACATTGATACATCCAAGATGTATTTCCATCTCTTCACTGAACACGTTCTTGATGTAGATATTTTCACTCTTTCAGGTGTGTTTCGCTCGTAACCTTACTCGGTCACTTTCTCAAGCAAACAGGTCAACCTCGTATCAAACATATTGCTTCAGCATCTCTGCTACCTCCTAGCACTGAACTCCGATACAATCTGTCCCGCATCCAATCTTGGATAGAAGCATGTGAACGTCTACACAAAAGATGTTCTGTAGTTACTGAGTTTACTCCTTTTCGCTTGCTTGACTTGCAAACAGATATCCAAGATTGTATAAAACTAGTGAATGTACCCAACGTTCGCTACGTTTGCTTGAGTCATTGCTGGGGTAGCACTCGTTCAAAGCACCTGACGAAGCGGGAGAACCTTCTCGCCAACCAGTCAGGAATTCCACTACTTGAGTTACCCAAGACATTTCAGGATGCCGTGCATGTCACCAAGGCTCTGGGAATTCGCTATTTATGGATCGATACGTTTTGTATCATCCAGGACGATGAAAAAGATTGGGAAACCCAAGCCTCGCTTATGGCGGCAATATACGAGAATGCGTATATCACTATAGCAGCAGGGTCAAGTGACGATGATGATGGGGGATTCTTTGCAGAGCCTCGTGACGCATACACAAAAGCGTACAAGTTTCACTTGGATGTCAATGGTATTGACCATGAATTTTACATGAGGTATGCTGTTCCACATCCAGGTGAAGGATGGCCAGTTGGACGATTACTCCCGTTGATGACTCGCGCTTGGACTATGCAAGAACGTCTACTCGCCAAGAGATATCTGTGCTTTGGACACAATGAGATATTTTGGGAATGCCAGGAGGATGTTTCCTGCAGTTGCACCATAGCAGAGGGCCCGTTCAACCCCTGTGATGGGGAGCCCAAGTTTCACGGGTGCGAACCACTGAAGTATAAAAGCTCATTGTTGAATAACCTATCTTCAAATGACCTAGCGACTCTTTGGAGAGATCTAGTTCATGAATACTCGGGGAGAAACCTCACGAAATCAAGTGACAAGTTGCCTGCTCTTGCAGGACTTGCAGAGAAGTTTCAGGTATCAGCCCACACTCGCCAACATGTGTCAAAGTGTATTTTGCTAACATTATTAGCGAGTATTTAACTGTGGCTATCTTGCCGGCCTCTGGATGAACAATATTAGGGAAGACGTTTCTTGGCGCACTTCAGGAAATGATGCCCCGTTCGGTCGTATGCGAAAAGGTCCTTCATGGTCTTGGGCGACGGCTTGTGAGTCACCAATAATATGGCCGCCAATAAAATTACACAAAACGTTCCAAGTCACAAGTACTTCTATCCATAAAGAGATTAACGGATTAACTGTACATGAATACGCCAAAGGTTCGCATTTAACAATTCGTGGATTTATACAGCCTATTTCTATCCAAACATATGTCAACCGAGACGAACTTGAGAAGGTCTACCCTTTGGTACGGCGCTGCCAAGTAGTCGAGTGGGCGAGGCGTCATTCTGAACATAGCCAACTGTTAGCCCGACGATTCGGATCCCTTGTCAAGCATGCAGAGCGCAAACCAAGGGATAAAGCAATAGAGATGGACAACGACCAGGAACAGACCATGTACGGGACATTCTTTGCCGATTATCGCTTTTGGGAAACGGAAGAAGAGTTGCGAGGGACATTGCAGCACGTCTACTTCCTTTTTCTAGGCAGTGAAACTGATACAGATCCTCTATGGATTGATGGTATGATTTTAAGGCCACGTTCAGGTCAATGGGATGAGTCTAATGTCTGTTATGAGCGAATTGGTTGGCTTCGATACTGCACTTTAGATTCGGTGACAGAATCAGATCGGACGCCCCGGGGAACTCAATCAACTATTACTCTATTATGATATGGGGGTACGACAGACTACCCTGTATGATAAAGTCTATGTGATATAGTTCCCAGCTACATGCACGAACCATGAAGTCCTCCTTGCCATCTTCAGACATCTTGTCCTAGTCTGAACTCCGCCTCCATTCGAGGTAAAGCTCCTTTCCACTTGTACCGCCTCTCATTAAAAGGTCAAACGCCTCCTTTGAGCCTTTCTGCTCAGGTTCGAGTTTGAGGCGGTAAGGCCATTTCTCGACAATGGTTTGCTTTTCCTTCATCGCTACCCCGATATAACGAGGGAATTCAGAGAACATAAACGTGTATGAAATCCTTGAGACATAGTCAGAAATAAATTCAGCTTGGTGACAAAGGATGGAGAGAGCCCATTATCACGTACCTGTCAAAAATATAATCAAAGTCCCTAACATGGTCGCGGGCATGTACGAGCTTGACAACATCGGGATCATATTTACCAACTCGCGGACGTGTCAGCGGGAGGAATTGGAGAAGACACTTGGAAGATGGGCTTTCCACAGCTGCATCGGCTACTTGTTCATCTTGAGTCAAGTTCTCATCCACAACGTTCATGAACAAAGTGATGAGAGTAGCGTGAGGGTTGGTAGAAGGTGTTTCGAGTAATGGTGACATGATTTCGGCGGTTTTATGGATACCAAGATACCCGCCATCCGAGATATTGGACACCTGTTCAAAGTGAGTATAGGATCTGATAGTTGCTATAATGTAAATTACCTCGATGCGATCAAAATATCATTCCGCGAGATGACGGGGAAGATCGGCTGCATCCAGTTGAACAAGTTCGAATGCCACACTTGAGCTCTCCATGCGCCCTAGAAATCCGTCCAACACAAATCTCAGATGACGAAAGAGCTTGCCATAGATATCCGAGGTCGCAGGTCCAGTAGAAGTTGCCTCAACCTCCTTTATAGACCAGCCGTTCAAAGGATCAGAGCTGTCATGCATAGGCCAGCTGTCGGTATTATGAAAGAACGTCCTACCTTCATTAGTTTCAATGTGCATGACAATCCTACATGACTTACGGATTTGGCAGTTGAAATTCACTGCGGCAGGTCCCAAAGGGGAGTAGAAGTCCATCCTCCCGGAATTGCTGTCTTGATACTCGATGTGCGTGAGGCAAGAAGAGAAAAGATCAGTCCCGGTAATCGACTCGCGACTCGGCGAGTATGACATCAGTACGTATTGTGTTTGCCTTTTCAGTCGTCAATCCATCAGGAACTTTCATGAAGCTCAAGATGTCTTCCCATGACGACTTCGCAAGGACAAGTCTCAAAGACCGTTGACCAAATGCCCAAGTCTTTCCCAGAATAGTTTTGGCTGGTTTACCTTTGATGTTGTCACAAACAACCTCAACGAGAGGGCGTACTCTGTGATGGAGAATGTCAAGATCAGACTTGCAGATAAAGGCTGAGTACCAAACGTGGATCATGCAATCGATGGTTTCATCTTTTCCTTCGGCTGTGAGCGCCAAAAGGAGCAGAATAGCATTACGTGCCACTACATCGAGATCGCGGTCATTCATGACAATGTCGAGGTCCCGATCATAGGTCGAAGGAAGTTCAGCGATAGTCTTGACAACATTTCGCATGTCACCGGAAGCTGATGAGTGACACAGAACATTAGCCTTGAATCAAACTTATCATGCTAATGGGAGTAGATACCTGCAAACAATAGGCTCAGATGGCCTTGATACTTGTCTCCTTCGTTCGAGCCAAGTTGAAGAACATCAAGGGCCGGGACATTCCCCCATAAATACTTTTTACCTCTAAAGTCGGCACCTATTCCTTCTCCAACGAAAGCTGGTGTCCTGTTCGTAAGAGCCCAGTCTGGAATCCAGTATTCCTTGGCAAGGAATGACTTGCAAACCACTTTGTGGAGAGGCCAGTGGACTTTCTGACACTCGGAACCACAGTACTGCGATGAAAGACGGTTAACGATGATCTAAAGAACTATCATGCCTTAGTAAATGACCTACTACAACGAGACGGCAATTGCTGCAGCTAGACTTTCCTACTTCCTGACAACCGTTACCATCCGGAGGGCAGTTCGCGCAGGGTAGCGATGGCGTGGCCATGATGATCTTGGATGGATAGCGGGCGTATCTCAGAGTCTCCAAGGTTTAAACTCCTGTTCTCTGAGAAAAGTCGGTGGAGGGTCTAAAATGTAAAGAATGATAATATTTATAATTTCCAAGCTATGCCAACGCTATATGCTTTGCTGGACCTTCCTACCAGTCACTATGCTACCGCCAGCAGCTGTACTATCACTTCTCCATTCTTCTTTATGAGACCCGCTTCTTTTTGGGTTGTTACTTGGTTTTTTGAAGTGACATATGACGGCCAGCTGGCTTAACATCGCAAATGAAGCTGCGTTCACCAAGCAAGATGTTTGTAGTCAACAACTAGGTGAAATAGTAACCCTATCCCATAAATATCAATACGACTTTATGAGAAATTATTCACTCTGTAGAAACTATATCATGCAGACTACGGGCTAAAAATCGCAATCAAACAGAGGTAATAAATCAGGAGCCTTGTGAAATTTAGCAAACTGAACTAAGCTAAACTTATGATTTTTAGGCCTTCTAAAATTTGATTAGCATAAAGCTGCTATGTCGTTTGGAACGTTTCATTCGGTTTCTCGAAAGCTCTGGCAAGGCGGAAAGATTTTGGCAGCCACTCTGGTTCTGAATCCATCATGCACACCAACGCCTCGGCGCACTTGTAAGCAAACGCCACTGTTACCATGTTAGATCGTTTTTACTGTGGATTTGGAGGAGTACCTACTTCCATGTCCATTCATTCCGACAGACACCCAAAGTCCTGGCTTGCCTGGGGCTTCGCCGACTAGAGGGAATGAGTCCGGCGTGTAACATGTGATGCCGACCCAATCGTGCACTACTTTGTCTCCTTTTCCCCAGTCACCGCGCCCGATATAATCTCCGGCCGCATGGTGGAGATACTCCGCAATCTCATAGTTGATCTTTGAGTCATCAGTGCAACCTGTGCCTTTGTCGATATGCTCTCCTCCGCCATAAAGCATATCCCCACCCCCTCTGGTACCTTCTTCTCGGACTAGGAAATAGTCTCCTCCGTTATAATCAGACAAGGCACAACTCTTCCTCAGAGCTGGAAGTTTATGAGCTTTGTCACCCGGACGGATTGCTGATACCTGGCGTCGACTGGGTACGAGAAAGCCCGTTGCAGTCAAGTCCGGGTAAAGCACATTCGTGTAGGCGTTGGTGGCGAGGATAACGTTTTTCGCGTGCACAGATCCTCTTTGTGTAATGACTTCCCACTCATCATCTTGTTTGGCAATCCGAGTTACAATCGTGTTGGTTTGCAAATTGAGGCCTTTTCCTAGACTCAGTTCAAGCATGTTACAAACCAGAAGATATGGATTCTGAGTGTATGCAGGATACGTTGTCGCACCAACAATATCAGGGATCCTGAAAGCTTTCTGAGCCTCTTTGCCTTGTAGAACCATCTGGGTAATGGCGATTTTGGACTCGGGTCGCCGCTGATGGAAAGCTTGCCTGAATTTGATAGCAGTCACCGCTACATCAAACTTCTCCTTCGTCTTAAACACTTCTGCGGTTTCCACAAGTGTGAAGTCGCATTGGATGTCATTTAGACAAACAAAGTCAGCCATTGCTTGAACATTTGCCTGCTCAAGTTTGTCGATCTTGATTGCTTCTTCTTCCCCATATTTCTCAACATGACGCGGAAATCTGTGCCACCATCCGGCGCGACAATGGCCACCATTTCGACCTGATGCTGCTGAGGCAGCTGTTCGGGCCTCTATCATGAGTATCGATGCTGTTTCATCACGTTCACGGAGCTTGTGGGCGACAACAGCGCCAGTGATCCCTGATCCGATGATGACATAATCAGCATTGCTCGGAAGATCGGGAGTCGTTCGATGATTTGCAATGCGGTGAGGGGGAAGTTGCCAGTACGAGGTTACCGGGTCTTCAACGGGAAATCCAGTCTTAGGCATGACTGTCGAACGGTATGTGAAATATATCCTCTCACGAAGATTGTCTTCTTGTTGTATTGACCATTTTGTGCTGGCATTGAATCAAGGTCATCATGCTATTGATTGCGTAGACATACGCGCGGTTTTCTGCAAAGAACCATGGAACTTTTGCACAAGGACGCGACCAACCAATACAGTTCGGTCACTTCGACGTTATCTAATCACTCTCCGGAGTTTCTCAACCGGCTGACGCCGTATCTACGTGCAGGATCAAGACCTATCATACATATATTGGCATGTGAGATTATACAGGACTTCACTCAAAAGAGGAGAACATTTGTATCTAATTTATACTGTAGACTTTTCATTTCTTCACAGATTTCGATGATTTCTTCTTGGAAGATTTGTCCTTCGAACCTTTCTCCTTTGAAGCTTTATCTTTTGACGACTTCTCCTTGCTAGTCTTTCCTTTCGAGGTCTTGTCCTTCGAAGCTTTCTTTTTACTAGACTTCTCAGGATCCTCTTTCTTGGTCTCAACCTCCTCACGATTATATGGAACCAGTGCCCAAAGGTGATATGGGTACTGTATTTGGACTTGCAGATTTTCTTCATTCGCTATCCTTTGACGTCTCGCATTTCTTTCCAGCAAATCTGCTTCGTAGGATGTGTGAACCCTGCAATCCTCGGCCCCATACTCAACATATGGCGTGTCGTACATCTGTTCCCAAGAGTAAATATTGGTATGTGGCACTTTCTCAGCGAGGAACATGCCGACGTATTTGCTCTTGCAGATAAAAGCAATGTCAATGGGTGTTTTACCATGACGGTCTCGCTGGTCCAGCTTTGCGCCGGGCATCTCTGATACCATCTCCATCGCATCAACACAGTCCAAAGTGGCTATCCAGTGGACCAAACTGCGCCCTTCGATATCTCTCTGTGTCGGATCAACACGACCGCTTTCTAGAAGCAGGATGAGACATTCTTTGAAACCAGCATCAGCAGCGGCCTGGACGGCTGTCCTACCCAGACGGTCCTGCAGTGTGAGACTGGCGCCACCCTGAATAAGAGCCTGGCAGCTGTAGAAGTTGCCAAGCTGGGAAGCGTAGTGCAACGCGCTACGACCGGAGTGGTCTATCTGGTCTATGTTCAGCGTCTGGCCACCATGATGCAAACAGGTGTCTATCATGTCGTCCCAATCGTTCATAGCGGCATGATGCAACACTCCCTTGCCTGACATGTCGAGATGGAAGCACAGGTTCCGGTAACCACAAGTCGCCATCAAACGCTCACATATATCCTTATCGCCATGCTTCGCTGCGAGAACCAGTGCGCTAAGATGTCCTCCTCTAGCGATTGGAAATGCCTCTGAGTGTTCGATGAGTACCAAAGCCATTGACTTTAGCCCCCAGTAAGTAGCCAAAGTCAGTGGTGTTCTGCCTATCCTGTCGGCCAAGTCGAGCCGAATACCTGGCTTGCTGAGCAGCATACGAACGACGTCTTCCCTACCAAGAGAGGTTGCCAGGTGAAGGGGAGTGTATCCATCGCGGTCTTGGGCATTGAGATCCGTTTCAGTAATCAAGTCCAACATCTCGGCAACGCGCTGGGTAGGGCCACCTCTGACTTGATCATGCAATAACGTACCGCCCTGCTCATTTCTCGCACTCAAGTCAGTCATTGGGTGAGATAGTAGCTCGTCATACAAGTCCCATGCTTTTGCCGTGAGGGCAATTGCAAGATTCGATCGGAAATGGTTTCTGGGAAGGTTTGGGTTTGCTTCAAGTTCAAGAAGTAGAGAAGCTGCCTTTCTTCCGAATTCAGTGTTCGCAATCATACAACAGTATTGGAGTGCTCTCCCAGGGCATGATGACCAGTTCTCGTCCATGTCATAGCCATGGTCTTGGAACATGCGTGTAAGAGAGAGCGCAGAAGGCTCGGGCATATTGCTGAGGACATATCTTAAAGGTGTCGTTCCATAATATTTCCCTTCCGGCCATAGAGAGCTCAAAGAGTAAATGCTTTTGTCCCCTGTTGTTTCAGAAAATAGTAGCCACATGGGATCGTGCGTTGGGAATTTTCTGATGTGCTATAGAAAGTGGCTACTGGCATAATCAAGAAAGGGATACTGTTCGGTTAGTTCTGTCAGGGAAATGTCAGCACGGTGGAAGACTGCAAAGTCGTGGTGTAGAAGTTCAGGGATCGTACCATCGTGTTCTGATTCAGTTGAAGCACTTTCCAATAGATCCGCCAACTTGAGATACATGAGGCAAGCCTTGGTGATACTTTGACGTCCCGTCTCAATGATTTGTTTGAAATGGTTCTGGCTTTCGAGGTAGTCTTTGAATGACAAATGAACAAAAGCCATTGTCCCGTCATCCTGTTGTGATACAAGGTGCGGAACCTCTCTTTCTACCACTGCGTTCAAATTCCGGAAAGGCTCGAAATCAGAAGACCGCTTGATGGGCTTTCTGGATCGACAGATACCTAGGATTGTCCCAATCTCAACTTCTGACATAGGTCGCGCCGCTGCGGCTAAGATAGAAAACATCAGGAATATGTCTTCAAGAACCGAATCGTCAATCTTTTCAATCATCTTGTCGTAGAACGTTACCATGCTGGTACCACTCAAGAGGACTTCGTCTAATTTCTCGTCTATCGTGTGTTCATTCCAAAATATGCCTCGTTGGAAGTCTTCCCATGCGAGAACAGCCACGAGGAACATGCCAGCTGCAGCACCTGAAATGGAAAGAACAATTTTCTGCTCAAGAGTCGGTGTGACAGAGGCGTTGAAACTTTCGTTCTCGGTTTTTAAATCGTCAACAGAGCTTTGGAGATATTTCTTAATGTCGCTCTTCATATCAACGTCTCCGAGATGCAGTATTTCAAGACCTTTGAGCTCACTACTTGTTAAACCAGTACTTGGACGACTTGAAATGAAGGCTTTGAGGGGTATATTTTGTCTCTGGAGGTCATTTGCAATTTCAGATAGGCCAACGAGGACAGCAGTAGCAACAGCGGGACCAAGCTCTTCGATAGCATCAATGACGATAATGACCCTGCTCATGGTTTGCATGGAAAGAACCTGCTGTAAAGCTTCCCACATCTTTTTGGTGGTCAGGTCAAAGACTTTCCCCCCCGTTTTGCAGCTTTCTACTCGGTTACGCACAAGAATACCGCAACGTGGATTGAGTTGAATGAGCTGGTGCAGTAGAGTACGGAGTATAGTGTCCTCACTATTGAAGACAGCATCCATGTATGAGCAAAAGTGACTGACGACTTGGTAACCGGATTCTAAGTCTCTGTTCGATCCGCAAGATTGGATATGCTCTGCCACGCAACGTGTGAGGACACTCTTTCCGGATCCCGCGAGACCAGTGAGTAGAAGTAATGGCGTTTGAGTCGACTCCAGCCATTTCACATACTTGGGATGGCTAAATATCCACTCGCAAGTGCCATTTTGTGATTAGCGAGGCCTCATTTGAGCCGCCTTAGGATCAAGGCAAAACAGAGCGTCAAGAAGATCCCTATTATCAGCTTCTATGGAGGTAATACACCCTGAACAGTAATGTTAGCAATGTATTCAAGGAAAAAACCATACAATCACTGACCTTCTGCAAGCTGCTTTATGGACGACCATATTGGAAGGTATTGTTGAGGCTTTTTTGGTGAAACATGGGCGAGCCCACGATGATTGGCATTGACAGGGACAGCACGCTCGTTAGGGAGGCCCAGGATTGCTGAGAATGGTTCTACAACCTAGTTTCTATAGTTAGAGCTGATGCCAACTTCTGGGGTCGGTCACCTTTACCATACTTCGTCCCGTCGGCTGCTGCTCGTAAAATGACACGATGACGATAGACTTTAACGGATATCTTGCGTGCTGAGAAACTGCTTCAAGCTCGGCGGAAGATACTTGGAGCGTCTTTAAAAGGTCGGATCTCGCACCAGTCCCAAGTGTCGCGTTGTTGATCAATTTTGATAGCAGACGTGCATGGGATGCGACTCGAGAGCCTCTGTGAGGGCAGCCAAGAAATATGACGCCGGCAACACTTTGAGCCAGATGCTCAAGATCCTTATTCAGTGTTACCTGGACGAGGAACTCCTTGAACACGACGCCCCCGAGGCTATGGCAGATGAAGAGTAAAGGTCGACAACGTTCTTGTGGGCTTTGGCGAAATATCTCCAGGCGGTTAGCCAGATCAAGAGCGTAATCGCAGATCTGGGAACGAGACTTCCCGAATAGTACGACTGAATCGTATCCGAAACTCATGATTCGCGCTTCGGGAACATGAAGTGGTAGAGAGTCCCGTAGCCACAGATGCCGGTCTTCCTTTTCGGTCCATGTTTTCAATGGGTGGCCACCAAGACCGTGGATTGCGACAATACTGTTGAGGTATCAGAACCAAAATTGAACAGCCTTGCGTAGAACAATCGGTGTTGCTTACTCAACGAGGTATTTGCTATTGTCGTGGGGTTCCTCCGAGTTAGGATGCAGGATAAACAATCCGTGTCTTTCATGATTCTCACTCTTTGTAGAGGTGAACTGGGTCATCTTGGTCTGGTATTGATGCAAACCAAGTTTTGAATCATCAGCCGGAAATCATCCATTAGGTAGGAAGGCATGACCAGTTGAGGCGGGGTTCAGGTCCAGATATGCAATAATGCGTTGTTTCCTTTACAGCCTATCTTACCTCGTTCAGCCTGACAGGGCATAATCACACGCCTAGACGTATGCTATTGGATAAGAGGAATCTCACCACCATCAGCCCTCTTATCTGATCTGTACTGCTGCTATTACTCGCCATAAGTTGCAATAGGTTGACAGGTCCATGTCCGCCCATGGACGCTAGTAGGTAGTGGGCACGTTGCTAGGTCTCTCGACTAAATTTTAGGGTATAAAATTAAACAGCTTAAGAAGTCTGATTTGGGTGGCTTAAACTAACCTAAACTAACCCCAAAATCCATCCCAGCTTTGATGTAAATAGGCCAGGTACTAAATGTTTTCAATGAGTGATTCAAAAATTACCGTCTATTTGTTTTCCAGATACTAAACAAAGATAAATGATATTTAAAAACATTAAACCCAACAAAACACCAAATCCATGCAACGACGCGACAACAATCATCTTCATCATGTTCATCACAAGACCAATAAGCCACCCAGCATAGCCGATACAAACACCATGCCTAGACTAGCAGCAATCTTCAACGCATCCGACTGCGCAGCATCAGAAGATGAGTCGTCGTCATTCGAGCCTGCATCTGAGCCGCTATCCGTCTCCTCAGCGTCATCTTTGTCGGTACTCTGAGGTCGGAAAGGCTTGACAGCGCGAGTACTAACGCTGCGAGAAGTACCAGTCTCTTCAGTGTCGCCAGTCTCTGAAGGGGAACCCGAGTCAGTGGCCAGCAGTTCATCGGTTTCTGTGGGCTTGGATTTTCCGGAGCGACCAGCGCTTCCTTGACCACGGCCGCAAGATTCATCATCAGAGTCAGCGCAATTCTGCGATGCTGCGCCCGTGTTTTCTGGTGCCGAGTTGCCTGCAGGTGAAGCACCAGGTCGAGAGTTATCACCCGAATCCTCGCCACTACCACCCTCGCCACCATTGCCGTTGCCATCACTGTCACCACTAGAGTCGCCTCCATCACCTCCATCACCACTTCCAGGTGCATCACCACTTTCAGGTGCATCACCACTTTCAGGTGCATCACCTTCAGGCTTTTCAGCCTCTCCAGGGTTGTTTTGAGGCTGAACCGCAGGAGGAGCTGGAGGTGCAGTGGTAGGAATTTGAAGCTTGCCATCCGAGACCTGACTGACAGGAGGAGCAGTAATGATGGGAAGTTCCATATCATCACAAGGCGTCGTGCGAACCTGCACCTGTCCGTCACCAATCTGGCACATAGGTACTGCGATTGTGGTGGGAACCTCCTTGGTCGTACCATCCGAAACAACAGTCACGACAGTTGTGGCAACGACGCTGCTTCCGACAATTCTCTTCTTGGGTGCAGTCTTGGACGAACTTCCCTTACCACATGGCATAACACCAAACTCGACAGGTTCACATTGCTCAGCCCAGTCGCGGTCGTACAAGTTGTAGAAGTCGCCCGACTTGCACTGCCAGAAGATGGCCGACGCGCCGAGGGCGAGTGTACCGTTGGAGCAGACGGAAAAGCCAGAGGTATAGATTGCGCCAGACTGAGCGGGCTTATCAAATTGGAATTGGTAGCTGTCGGAGATGTAGCCTGTGCGGTCTTGGGCATCTTTGAGGACTCCATCTTTGAGGCTTAGGACGAGAACACCCTCTCCGTTGCACGAGCGCTTCTGTTACTTATTAGTAAATGGGCTCTAATCTGTGGGTTTTACCAACTCACCTCACTGAGATCGCGCTTAGTGTTACCAGGCTTGAAGATGGTCACTTCAAATTGACCGCTGTATGATGTTGTGCATCCTTTGGGAGGGCCATCCTTAGGGCTGATGTCTTCTGTGACTGCTTGGGGGACAGCAAGGGCTGTGGCGGCCAGAGCCAAGAAAGCCAATGAGCGTCTCATTTTTTTTGTATAAAGGTGTGATAAGGTGTTATAGACGGATGCGATTGAGAAAAAAGAGTTGATTCCCTTTGCTGTGTGATTGGGAGGTTGTGTGGTGATGCTTTTTCTCAATGGCGAGAGATGTCCAGCTTGATATACACGACGACAACTCTTTTATTGTATTCTGGAACACCTTGCTAACCTCCCTTCTCCTGTTGGCACTCTACAAGAGGTACTGCATTGTTCGCAAGACGAGACACGTCAACCCACGCGGCTGGAAAAATCTTCTCGGCCTAGAACCCCGGTTCTAGACAATGCGATAGCCATTAAACCGTTTTTACAGGAGTCGCGCATACCAGTTGGTCATTCTTAGGGACGGTAACAATGGCTGGCAAGAACTCCTTCTGCAGGGAGAGACACATCTTCAGGGCATCGTTTTCAAGTGTGGCTGGAACTGTGCAAAGGAAAGCTGATGAAACGCACTAAATGGTAGGGAAGATGACCTGGACTGGAATCCTGTTTTCCTCAATTAGATCGCAGCGTATTTTGGGGAGGCGATATGGGATGGGAGGAATGAAGTAGTCCCAATGTCTCACCTTGTAATGGGCAATTGTCTGAAGGGATGGATGGCTCGATGGATTTCCTGACCTCCTCAACCATAGCCAAGGGAAGAAATATTTCCATTATGGGGAACTAAGGCACATGAGGGAATTGTTTGAGTATTTAGAGAACGACAAGAACTGAAAGCGCATATTTTACTACCTATGTTCAATGGACTAAATTAACCGTTTTTGATCAACGTCTCCCCTCTTTATTTGGCTTGGGTAAATAAGGTGGTAAAAAAAGAATGAGAAAAAAGATAATAATTCTGATCAACACTTCCGTAATCGAATTGACTTTGAACGATACTGGGAATTGAGAATCTGCAAGCCCAGTTGAAGTTGTCGCAATGGCCAGATCTACAGGGGACATGCAAGGGAATGGCGCTGAGACATGATCGTCCCTTACAAGGGTCAAGCACGACTTCCTGCCATCTTACAGGGTAAGTGAGGAATGTGAGGAACCAACAAAAAGGAATCCTCCAAATGGAATGAACACGACTATTCTCGTGTTTGATGTTGGTACCTGCATCAGTGAAGGTTGAAAATGACTGACAGATGCTTGAGACGCGTGAATTTCGATGTGGTAGTATTGATTAGATACATCCAGCCGTCGAAAGAAATTCACAGTCAAACATACAAGATTACACAAAATGTTCATCTCAGCCATTAAACAAAACTGTGGGTCGATATAATCCAACACAACAACTCCTTCATTCAAGACGCTTACGCAAGGATTTCCTCTAGAGTATCCATGAATAGTGAAGGATTCGTTTGGTGGGGTGAATGACCCGTATCGAGCTCAAACACAGGCACACTCCGACCCCCCTGTTCCTCAAGCCGAGCAATAAACATCCTCTGCGCAGCCTCTGGAACCAACAAATCCTTCTTAGTGAGTATCCAACTCGAAGGAATAAGCTTGTGGAAACCATCGTATGTCTGTTCGTCACCAAACACTCGCGCAGCCTGGTAGACTTGGGAAGCAGCTTGAGCTAATGGAAGTCCTTGCTCTTTCGTGAGTTCACTGTAAAAGCACATTGCTGTGTTTTCATCACAGACGAGGTAGTCGCCCTACATTATCTATGTTAGCCCTTGTCTACTTGTCTGGATAGTGCTGATTCACCTCTCGACGGGGATAACGACCCGGATTTGCCTCATACAAACCCCTTGTGTTTTTGCCCGGTGGCGCAAAGATGGAAGCCAGAAAGACAAGACGAGTTATTCCACCTTTCAGACCAGCTTTCTCGCGCTCAAGGCGACTCAGGCCACGAGTAGCCTCGGTACCAACCATTCCTCCATATGAATGCATAAGCAACACAACGTCGCTTCCTTTATCGATGTGCTTCTTAAGAACTGATGAAGCTTCTTCCACGTCGTCAGCTAAGCCAGGTGCAGGATTGATAGTTTCTTCCCGCGAAGATTTGAGACCGGCAACTTCGACGGGATATCCCTTGTCCTGGACTGATTGCTGGATAGCGCCCCAGAAGCGAGGGAGGCTGAAGTTGCCAGGTACAATGACTACTGCAGGCTTCATGGCTGCGCGTAATGTAGCCATGATTGAAGTTTGGATAAGAGATAGAACAATGGTGTTGAGAAATGAGGGGAAGACATCGTTTATTAGTAGGCACGAAGGATGCGCGATGCAGCCCGGCTTACGTGGGATGCCAGCATTTACAAGTCTGAATACTGAGCCAACTCTATGCCTGGGTCACCGCCACGACAATCATATCTAGTATGACTATTTCTAGAAACTAGAAGATAAAATCCATATTATATATATACTTCGTGTAAGAAATTATATATAAAAAAAAATTGAAAAAAATTGTGGTAAAGGTGGAATCTAACCACCGAAGCTGGACGAACAGGGAATCGAACCCTGGACCACTCCCAAACGACGAACTCGGAGTCGAGAACATGCTAAGGGAGTATTATACCACTAAACCATTCGCCCGGAATTGCTTTGTGATTGGTTGAGAGCCAGGTTGCTACTACGGTAGACAAGGATTTAGGACGAGGCGCCCAACGACTGCTGACAACATCTCAATCCACACTAGCGATATTATTACGCGTTGAGTTTCGACAAAATCTCTTTATTCGTCAATTGGTATTCTCGTTTCAATACCGATCCCAATCCCCACAACGCCGCCGCTTGTCATCAGTCATAAACAACACAACTCAGTCCACATCCTTCATGAGTTCACTGTCCTTGTCGAGCTTGGTCCACTTGTCCTTTCCATCAGGAATGTCAACTACTCTTTGAGTGTAAAAGATGTGGCATCTGTTCTCGTTAGAATTTATATGACGGCCAATGTATGATGAAGACGTACTGAGGTTGGAAGTTCTCGCGGAGTTGAGGTGTGTCAAGGTTCAACAGCGTGGGGAATAGAAGGACCATGTTTCGACCTTCGTCCATGATCCAACTTCCACACTCGGCACAGCCTACCTTGCAGGGAAGAATGTGCTCGTTCTTTCCAGATGAAGTCTTGTAGAAACGGAGATTCTTGACGCCGTTTTCGAAAGCTGTTAATGTTAGGATATGTGCAGACTACTCCAAGAAGGGAAGACAAACCAAGATCGGTTTTCTTAAAGATGGCTGCCCATTGGAAAGGAGCACCTGCAATTGGTGAGTTATGATTCACGAAGTAGGTCCAGACTACGCTAAAGTGGATTACTCACCGTGGATCTTCTTGCAGTCAATGCAATGACAGTACTTGGAAGCAAGTGGTTTATCACTGTTCAGCCAATACTGTACTCGACCACAGTGACACGAGCCGTGAACCTTTTTCTCAAAGTTCTCTCGCTTCTCAGTGGCTTCATCAGGTCTCATGTATGGAGGCTGAGTCTCCCAGTCATCGTGGTTGTCGTGGGAAAACTGGTGCTGGTGGTTTTCCATGTGCTTCTTGTCGTCGTCTTCGGAACCCATCTTGGCGAATTGAATGTGTAATGTTTGGCAGGAGAGTAAATAACCTTGATGTCTAAAGTTAAGATAACAATTAGAGTGTATTAAGTATTGCAAAATAAATAATCTGGGGTCTTTGTACTGTCGCGTGCCTGCCCCCTGATGAGCGTGGCGCACGGTTGTCGTCATAGATATAACATCATAACTACGATTTATGACCCTCATATATTTCCTTTTCTCCCTGCATTTTAGAATCATAATTTAATATGTCATTGATCATCTCGGCCCACTTCCATGGCTCGGAGCTTTCCTCCGTCCTCGCGTTGTAGTACTCCCAACCCATGACGCCTCCGATACGTGGATATTTTCTTACCAGCTCCCCGAGACACTTTCGCAGCTTTGTTTCTTTCACGTAGCCAGAACAGTTGGACGGGTTTGTTACAAGCCCAATCACCACTTTCTCCTGCGGCCATCCGCGCGCGATGATTCTGTCGTAGTCGTGCGGCTCGCTCATGTCGCCCCAGCCGCAGTAAAATTGCGTGTTATACCATGCTATACGCGACCCGAGACCTTTTTCGAGCTCTTCCATGTTGAAACCACCCAGGTTTTGCTCATTGCGTAACGCTGGTGCGACGGGCGCGAGAGTCACGAGGAAGGATTGGCCAAAGTCGGTTTTGAGATGGTCAATTAGACGGATCACACCACCGAGGGACATTGCTTCTTCAATATCCAGATCCAAGCCGTCGAAACCAGCCCATTTGATCATTCTGCGCAGTGGCTGGTACCATCGATGAAAGCCTTCAAGCGAGCCGTCAAGTTTTGTGTATGACCCTTGCGCCGCGCCGCCCAGCATGCCGAGGACTTTTATACCTGCTGCTTGAAGTTTTTTGACTTCATCCCAGAGGGGAATGAATTTATCTGCATCGTAGAGATCATTGTTGAGTGTGATGCGCGTAGGCGTGTTGAGGTGAATAGCCGCGATGATGACGTGTGTGACGCCTGCACTTGGGAGAATTGTGGGTTGTATCGAGATGTATCTGTCGTCTTTATAGTGAGTTTGATGGTAGAAAACAATGCGCCGGTAAGGCTTTGTCTCAGAACCTGATTCACTTCCTTTGACGAGCATTTTGTTTTTGTTTTGATTGATGATGATTGTCCGAAAAGGAGGAGGCTGGCGGTGAGTTGGCAGGGATTATGGCTGGGTGTAGTCTTAGTCACGAGTCTTGTCAACATTCCAGCGAAAGCGATGAAAAACAATTAGAGCTCGGAATATCTTGTCTGTCTAAAGTATATTCAGATTGTCGCCTCAGGATACAAAAAGTGATATCCTCAAGGCTTATTTAAACTCGCACAAATAATAGTCTCAAGTCTCGTCTCTTTTGTAAATGGTCAAGACATTAGAGGGAAGAAGTGAATTTCCATCATTATTCCATGACCCTAAAAATAGGGTACTCATCGCCGACATTCAACGGGATAATGTTTACACTAGCATAAGAGTCAATGTTCTCAGGCTCAAGAGCAGCAAATGCCAAACCGGCATTCTTCTGCCTGGTGCTGACAAGGAAACTTCCGGCTGGTAGCTTAATCTCCTTCTCCTTTGTCTCGGTTGTGATAGTCGCAAGAACCACACCTTCGTAGTAAGAGCGAGAGAGCTCAGCAGAAGTAACGTTAAAGGCCTCAACGGTGCCGCTCCAAGGCTTGTCAAGAGTCTTGACTTCGAGGCCAGAAACTTCCAGACGTTCTGCAAGGCTCGACCAAGCTACAGGGATAAGGTAAGACTCGGGTCGAGATCGGGTGAGATTAGCGGTCGTAGGGGTTGTAGAAGCGAACTGAACAGGAACTTTGACGACGGAGCCGTTCGTTGCGTCGATCATTTCGAATTCGCGAGTGCTAAACTCTGTGTAATCGGTGATCACAATGGGATCCTTGGACTCGACAAAGTCCTTGATACCGCCCTCGACTGTCTCCAAAACCTTCTCTGCGTTATTGGCAGTTGTCTCGATGATAGAGCTAGCCATGGTCAAACCAGCAGCAGTTCGGCGTTGGAATTCCTGGTCAGCGAGACCAATGCCTCGCATCTCGATTAAGAAGGTGACACATTGAGTCACGCCCATGGCGTTGCGGCCGATCTTTACGTCTGAACCAGCCTCATCGAACCTTAAAGACTTTGTTAGACAATTATTCTCATGATATCAGAAGCGAGCTTACTTGGGGACGTAACCAGGTGTCGAGTTGGTCGAACCGGTGACATATGGTTCCCACCTCAATCCGGCCTTGACCATATCCTCGCCAATGTTCTTAGCAAACAACTCTTCCGAAAGCTCCCGAATGTCCTGGTTGATGTTCAGGTTCTTGGCAGCAGAGAAGAGACCATCCGCGGCCTGGACATAGTTGCCGTATCTAGAAGAGGCACCATACTCGTGCATATCAATCGCAACATGAGGTGCGAATTCACTAAAGAACTTCTTGATGTCGCGGGTCTGCTGACGAGCAAGCTTGATATGATCACGGTTGGGATCAAGGCCAGAGGCGAGAATGCGCTGGAAATAGTAGTTTCCGTCGGGGTTGTAGCGAGGCATGATGACAATGTCGGTATCTTTGAGCATCTTGGTAGCCCACTCGGGATCATTGTCGAACTTGCCGAGGAGAGCAAGAATGGATTCGTCACCAGCGGGTTCATTTCCATGTACGCTCGCCTGAACAAAAAGTCGTAGTTTGTTTGATCTGCTACGTCCCTTTGTTGTTGATAACTTGACATACGGAAATGAGCGGAACTCCTCCGATGTGAAGTTTGCTGTATGGTATGTCATGTAATCGTTGTCGGCAGCGACTCTTTCCATAAATGATTCTGTTGTCATTAGTAAATCAGACTCCTCAATGATACATGGCGACATACCCATATCTTCATGTGAGGTTGGTCCCTGTGTGCCGTTCTTGAACCCAGACTGTCTATCTCCGCCAAAAGCGGGTGATAGCAATTCAATGTCGACATCTTTGAAATTAGCAGCTATCAGCGCGGGATCCGGCCGAACGGGAACATGATTGTATCCATACTGAACGGCGTTGACAGTGGATATGGCCGAGAGGCCGAAGAGGCAGGCTGTTTTTGTCAACATCTTTGCTAAAGCTTAGAGGAAGTTGCCTAAAGATTTCGGAGTTGGAGGGACAACTACTTTATAGCTATCAGGCGAGAGATTCCTAAATAGGTAGCTCATAAAGTGACGGTCTCCAGTTCTTACCTCCGCCCTGCATGTTTTCTCAATCTCAAGAGATCGTCAACGTCAATCTTTCGTTTAAGCATGATATTAAGCAAGAATTGGGCTCTTGGCATTGGGGAGAGTAGCTTGATGAGGAAGCTGCCAATACTAAGAGCAGTGGGGCAAAGTAACGTCGATGTTGGTGAGCGGGGTCGCAACAGAGATATCGGACATTCAATTCCCAAGCTCGAAAGCATTATTCACATATACCAATGGCTATTGCATATATATTCAATAGTCAATTGGTCTATAGAATACTCATACTTTCGCATTGTAGAAGTTGAAGTGTTGATGAGCCTATCACGGTTGACTGGAATACGGAGATAGTGGCCTCGGCATGCAGTGATCGACAAGATAAGGCTTACCCGATAGCACCAATAAACAATGCCTCATAGAGAAAGGTTCGCCGATCACAGCAAAAGGTAACTAAAGTAAAGGTCGTTTATGATGCTCAGACCCAATTTTTGCGTTTTTTGTCTCGGGTTAAAAGCTTGGATGTCAGTTCTTCTGTAATCGACAAACAAGTTCCGGAGATCCCAAGACAATTGAATGCCGAAACCCCAATCTTGTGCGCCTGGGCAAAAATAGGGAATTATAGATATTCGGTAAATCGAAGTGGCTGGGTTCTTATTAATGAGTCGGTACTTGGATATACTATTTCGTTGTCAGAGAACATCAAGTGTCTCATTGGTCACGACAACTGTATGAACAAATCTACACTTCGCGTTGTACCGCCGATAACCTTCACTATCCCCAAGCTACCCCAAGGTCAACACCAAGACAAACTATCCCAAATGCAGTAGGCCGATGGAGACAAAGGCTACACGAACGCACCTTGACTAAGGTTATCAATATCATATCATGAACTCACATGTAATTGGACGCCGCTTCTCACTCTGGCTTCCCGTTCTGGACATGTCTGTTGTTTATATGATAGCCGAGTGAGGAGGTTATACATATGAGCTGGTATGGCAACCTCTGGTCCTTTCTGTTGAATTTTTGACATCTCACAATACACATAATATCCAAGATGCGACTTTTAACTCGACCAACAGCGTGTACGATTGCAAGAGGGGTTATCCGAAATAGCACGTCTCATCACTATGTCCCCCAAGCCAGCGTCTCAACACTTCATGCCAAAATCAACAGCCCACCACCAAGAATCGTCAAAAGTGAGGGTAGCTGGCTGCAAACAAACACAGGCCACAAGATTCTAGATGCATCTTCGGGTGCGGCTGTCGTATCTATCGGACACAATGATTCAAGAGTCAAAGAGGCCATCACCGCCCAGTTAGATCAGGTAGCTTATTGCTACAACCCTTTCTTCACAACTGAAGCTGCCGAAAAGATATCGCGATTTCTGACTGATTCCACGAATGGCCACATGTCCAAAGTGTTTGTCGTCAGCTCAGGTTAGTATTAGCTTGGACTGATGACAATGTATTAACCAGTTTGTTAAGGAACCGAGGCCGTGGAAGCAGCTTTGAAGATCGCTCGACAGTACTTCACCGAACTACCGACCCCGCAACCAAACCGAACCAAATTCATCGCGCGCAAGCAATCTTATCACGGAAATACACTCGGCTCTTTGGCAGTTGGAGGCCATAAAGCACGACGAGGCGTATACGAGCCTGTTCTCGCTACGAATGTGTCCCACGTATCACCATGTTATCCTTATCGAGAGATGAAACAGGGCGAGACGGAAGAACAGTACACCGAGCGTCTCGCTAAAGAGCTAGATGATGAGTTCAAGCGCGTGGGACCTGATAACGTGTGTGCATTCATTGCTGAGACAGTCTCTGGAACGGTAAGTCGACGTCCCGAATGAATGGACATAACTGACGGTCAAAGTCACTGGGATGTGCACCACCAGTGCCCGGATACTTCAAAGCCATGAGAGAAGTTTGCGACCGTCACGGCGCCCTTTTGATCATGGATGAGGTCATGTCCGGTATGGGTAGGACAGGCACGCTGCATGCCTGGGAACAAGAAGGCGTGGTACCCGATCTTCAAACTGTTGCCAAAGGTCTCGGAGCGGGATACATGCCAGTCGGTGCCTTGCTTGTCGGAAACAAAGTTGCAGACGTTTTGGAACAAGGATCGGGTGCTTTCTCTCACAGCCAGACCTATCAAGGTCATCCTGTTGCATGTGCAGCTGCGTATGCTGTGCAAACAGTCATGAAAGAGGATAACATGTTGCAAAACGTGCAGGGAATTGGGAAGATCTTGGGCGAAAAGCTGAAAGAAAGACTTGCGGGTCATAAAAATGTGGGGGATGTCAGAGGAAGAGGGTTCTTTTGGGGGGTAAGTGAATCATGCTGTTTAAGGATACCTGCTAACAAGTCTGAAGCTGGAGTTTGTTCAAGATAAAGACACAAAGGAGCCTTTCCCGTTGAGTGATCAAATCGCTGGAAAGTTACACAAGACTGGTTTGAATGCCGACCACGGTATTTCACTAATTCCTGCGACTGGAAACATCGATGGCATGCGAGGTGACATGGTCATTATCTCGCCTTCATTCACAATCACGGAAGTCGAAGTGGATATGATTGTAGACAGGGTAGAAAAGGTGGTAACATCTGTGCTCGGTTCATAGGTATGTATTAACTGAATGATATGACGCTCAAACGAATCTCACATTATGAAGGCCTGTGTCGGTCCACCCAACAGACTCGTCCATCGAATCGAAGACTGCGACGCCCAAATCTCCTTGACCTGATCAATCGCCCTCAACAAATTCCAACAACCAGTGGTATTATGCAACGAGACCAACTTGTCCAAAAAGAACTCTCGATGATCCGCCGTTGAACTCTCAGCAGCGACGATAAAGTACGGCCAGGCCAGGAGATGTCGTCCTACGATATCGACGTACGCGTCCACTTCGCCTAGAGATTGCTTGAATTCTTCGATCATGTGCACGGTTTCTTCTGCTGGGGGGTTGAAAACGGCGCGTTGGACGTAAATGTCGCAAGCGAGTGTCGTCAGGTTGGCGAGTTGGGAGAGTAGATCTTTGAGTTCGGGATGAAAGCGATCGCACCAGGTTATGAATTCGAGACAGGCTCTTTGTTGTGCTTGGATGAAGTGAACGCCATTTGTTTCGTTGAAGAGTGACTCTCCAAAGAGACAGACTCTGCGAGATTGTCAGTTACCTGTTTGCGTTCGTAGACTGTAGGGGGCGTACCTGAGGATTTGCAATTGAAGAAAGGTTCTGAGATCAGTTCTTCTATCCTCTGATCTTGCAGCAAGAGCATTAACTACAACTCTTAGAGACCCATAAATGAACCTAAAGTTGTCGCTGCCACTGATCATTTCGCGGATATGTAGCAGAAGCAGGGCTGTGAGAGCCGAATCGTCGTCTTGGGGAGCGCATTGATGAGACCGTGAAATAAGCTCTCGCACAAGACTACCATATGCTGCAGGATCGAGAGATATTGAGGTACCGTTTTGTAAAGAAAGATGCTGTTCAACGACGAGAAGAACCGCCTTTCGTACGAGAGGGTCTGTCTCTGCTCTTGGAAGGATTAGATCTCGGTAGCCATTGAAGCCCATATTGATGACTGCGATTAGCTGGGCTATGTTGTTGGAGACTGAAGCTTGTTAGAGGGTTCAACCGATGAGGCCTTGAGGACTTACAGTATCCAAGGCAAAACCGAGACTTTGGATCAATGTGATCCAGTCCCCAGTCAATTGATAATGGCTTATGACTTGACGCGACTAGATCTTGCGTCTGAGCAGTATCCTCCACTATCTCATCCGTTTGAAGTGAACTCTGGTTGACCTTTTCGTAGCCGCTCGTTCGGAACGGATCATCTCTTTGATGTCTGGTAATTGTAGATATAGCTTGTTTCTGTTTCGGTGACTTGGTGACTGGTATATCAACAATTGGAAAAGTCTTTCCGACAAACTTTCCCCTTGCGGCAATGCCATCATTGAAGCGATATCGTAGACCCAGGCCACTGCATTTGATACCTTTGGTGGCACACTTTACGCACTCTGGTTCTTGGCGATCACAGTCTATGCGGCGACGAGAGCATTGATAACAACCTGCATAAATATTATGAAAGGCCCTGACAGAAATAGTAGAGAGACATACCTCTGACTTTGGGTCTCTTCTTGGTTTTGTCCAAGTTCGGGGCTGTATTGGGGGCCATTGGAGAATTGTTGCACAAGAAGCGGGTGGCGCTGTCAGTCTGCAAGCTGTGTACCCAAGAGGGGTCGGGTCTCGTGCAGAAAGGTTGAATAGTTGAGGGCCGGTAGGGTAGAGCTCAGCGTATCAGGGATCTGATAGCAAGGGAGGTTGTTGAGAAGTTTGCCTATCTCGTCATGTTATCGCGACACGGTATTGGAACCCGGTCTTGTCCCATATCATCCGGCATCGCAAAGGCGGGGTAGGCTAATCCATATCAGGAACCTCCGTTGACTGTTGATAAGCGATTGCGGAGACCTAATTTATCACTCTTCTCATCGAAGGTAATTATGTATACATCTTGGAACAATTATCTTATATACCGTAGCGTGTACCAGCAGCAAAGGACCTGGGCCATATGATCATGTGGCACTGTCGTAAAGTTCGGGACTGTAAGGGAATAAATTTCCCGTCTCTTGGCGGGTGAGACAATCTGTAATTTGAAGATCTGAATGTGTATAGTTGCTAAGTGAAGCCGTCGCGTCCGAGGTTGTGCGGCAAGTTAGTTTTGTACATTTGAGTTGTTGGGAGAGACAATTAAGTACCGTACCGAGGCGTGAATTTGTGCCACGGAAGTGCCTTGTACTTGTTAGCGTTGTGGCTGTACAACTGACAACCACATGGAGCTGAAATATGGTCAAATCATATTTTAGCACACCTCGCTCAAGTAATGGCTCAGCGAATAAACATGGCAGGGCATTGTGACCCGATTCATTAATATTATGTAACGTTTTGTATAGCTCTACTTCCTCCACGGATGCTGCTTGGCTTCGATATATGTATTGGTCCCGTACCAATGTGCCCTCAATGTCCTTTGGGGATCTTCATCATAACTCCCCTGACTTTGACTTGCAACCTTTGTCACTGTGTCCATGTTCAACCCCATCTCGTCGTCGCTGCGTTGATGTCGGACAGCAGGTGTCTGCTCGGTCCTCTGGCAACGGGGTCTCATGGCATTGAGTCGGACAAGCAGAGGCTTGAACGTAGGTACACAGGCACATATCAGCGCGGATGTAATCTCTGCAAGACCCCAGAGTTGAGGTCGAACGATATCCCATGTTGACGTAGACCACAAATTAGCCCATCGTATCCTCACAATGGCTAAAGCTATTGAGCTTTGACAGTGTTAGTACAATGCTTATCAGGATTTGGCCAGTGGCTTACAAGCAGCCCAGCAGAAAGACTGCAGACAAGGCGATCTTTTGTGAACGGCGAAGATTCAGCTTCCAGATGAAAGGCAAAGGTAAGACTGCGACAGCTAAATCGGTAAATATGCTTATTCCAGCGCATATATATCCGAGTTCCATCTTATGGTCTACACATCTCCCTTTTACTACCGGATTCCAGATGGCTGTCATAGGAATGCAGGTCAGGAAGAAGACCAAGATGACACTGATATTCCAGAGGACCAGAAAGACCATCGCACCGATATAAGTCCATCTCCAGTGAGACATCGAGACGATTCTATAATAAAGTAGTACGAAAGACATCTTGGCCCAAAAAAGGGCTTGGCCGTAGAAGAAGGTTGCGATATATGCACACTGGACTGGTATTAGTTATGTCCAAAAGACTCCAGTGTGAATACATATGCCTTGTAGAAATCGGCCATCTTGTCGGCCGGTATTTGTCCCGTTGGGTCACCGAGACCGAGGGGTATTACTATTTGTTGTAAGCTTTAGTTCGCTCAATTCGAGGGTTTCGACGTACACGCAAGTATCCCGGAACCAAATATCATTATGCATAACTGCAGAGATACCCACCGTTAGCAAACACTACAGCAATGGAAAGTATGCCTGACCAATCTTACTGTAGACATTATTGCAGTAAAGTCATCCAAACCGACAGCTTGTATTGACCAACGACACCATATCCTCAAACCGAGCACCAAAAGCGACACGATGGCGGAAAACACAACAACCACAAGAACCGTTATGAGACGATCTCCTGTGGTCTCGGCCATCGATGGAGGAGGGCCCGGGCCTATCGAAGTAGCCATGGTGGTTGTGGGCGAAGTTATGAGACAAGTCTGATCCAAACATTCGAAAGCAAGCAAAGACTCTGGGACTAGTCGAGTTGATATTACCTCGTGTAGATGTCTAGCGTCGAGTCCAAGGGAAGCCACTATTTTGACTTTGACATGACTGGGATGTGGACTATGATGGAAATGAACTGATCGACAGTCTAAATGGGAGGATCTTGCAGCAATGCAGGAACAAATTGTCCTTGGCCCAGCCCTAGAGTAACTTGTTTCGGGGGAGAATTTCTAATATCTGCAAGATCCAGGTATCCGGATCAACGTGATAGATGGGATTTTCTATGCGCCCAGCAAAAGTAAAACATCACCAACAAGGAGCGAACAGATGATCGGCTTGACCGAGACTGTTTCTTGTCGATTATAAACCATTACTCTGTTATTCTCCGATGCGATGACGGAACCACATACGCCGGATCGACGGTAGCATCTTCCTGGACAAAAGAAACCCGGTCTTTCCCAAACTTGTCTGTTTATGCCCGATTATACTTCAACTCTATCGCAAACTAACAAGTTTCGGACAGTCTTTGCGTCTCAGAGCAAGCTTAGTATGTCCGGATCCTGAGTCATTGACCTGATGAATCGAGCCTGTCATAACCAACAAGGCTTGTCATGGAACTCTAGCTGGTTTCAAGGCAAGAGTTTATTGCCGGCAATAATGGCTGCCAATCAATTCTTGCCGGACGAGTGAACTAGACCGAGGACGTTATTCGAATGGTGTCGATCGGCCCACGTTACCAGGCACGCCGGGCAACTTTGTCTCGGGCCGCTTTTGGCAAGAATGTTGCCTTTGGCGTTTTGCACTATTACTGAGGGCGTTTACCTCGGTTTGAAATATGCAATTAGTAATGTTCTCGGCTATCAATAATAATCCAGTATCGCTATCGTCATTAAGGATATTTGCACTTTTCTAGTGACACGGGGTTGAATCATTGGCAGTTATTGTCTATGTGTTTCAGCTTCCATTCAAATGATGATTGTGGCTGATATTCATCATGTCTCATTGGCTGTGTCTCTGGAACACGAAATACGAGCAATAAGATGTGGTACCCCAGGCATCCTTGAATGCAACCTTGATGATTGGTTGAATCACAAGTCTTGATTGTCAGACAAAGACCATATATCCATACCTTTTTGGATGATATATGTTGAAGATAATTTCATTTTCTGCGTTCTTCAATACAATGACAACTACCCTCAAGACAAACCTGCGGTCCCCATTCCATGATGACCAGACAAGTGACAACAATAAAATCGAACTCTATGCTTTGGGTGCAACCCCAGAAGATAATGGAATAACCGCATTCAATACCATTTCACCCACAAACGTCGTACCTTTACGAAAACTGAAGCAGTGGCCTCGGGCAGTACTTTGTCCTGCTTGTCGAGAACTATCTATCACAAGAGTTGAGCGGAAGATCTGCGGCGGAACACAGTGAGCTTGGCAAATATTATTTGGGAACGACACTAATGGTATTCCAGTGCCATGGCAGCATTGATGTTTGCGTGTACAATTGTTGGCGGCCCTCTTGCATACATTGGAAAACAATGGAAGAACGCAGAGCATTACTGCTGTAGATGCGACCGACGACTGGTCACTTGGCATTTCAGTTCTGGTACGGAGATTCATGTATGGTAGATGCCGATTTTCACTTGCTATAGATATCAAATATTAAGTATCAAGAGTATTGTTCAAAATTCTTATATTCTATTATTTCTATTTTTCGCTTAACAATCAACAAGTCGCCAACTCCTCGTTTTTAAACATGCCATGCTTTTTTTTATGTATAAGGAATATCTTACTCCTTGACGAGAACAGCTCTGTATCGGACCTTGCCGTCCTTGAGGTCGTTCAGAGCCTTCTCAATACCCTCCTCGTTAAGAGAGTACTTCATGATAGTAGGAGTAATGTTCTTTCTGGCGACAAACTCAAGAAGCTTGCGAACGCTGTCGCGAGAGCCAACAAGAGATCCCTGGATACGGATACCCTTGAGAGAGAGCTCAGTCAGGGGAACGGGAGTGGCCTCGAGAGAAGCGGTAAGAGGGTAGATGGAACCATCGTAGTCGACGATTGAGGCAAGGCTGTGATTTGTTAGTTTGAGTTTTGGGAAACATGATGTAACAGAATACATACCCGCTGTAGTCAATGTTGCCACTGCCGCAGAGAAGAAGGTGCTTGACGGGCTTGAGACCCTCGGGAGCCTTGTCACCAGACTTGTAAACGTGGAACTCGGAAGCACCGTAATCCATAGCCTCCTGTCTCTTGGACTCGGAGCTGGAGAAGACAACGACATGGTTGCCCATGGCGGCAGCCAGCTTGATGGCGAGATGGCCAAGGCCACCAATACCAACGATACCTACTGACTCAAGAGGTCGGAGACCGTACTGGGTAAGACATGTCCAAACAGTAGATCCAGCGCAAAGCCTTTTTTCCATAGTTAGTAAATAGCCATTAACGCCTCAGGGCCGAAAACATACAGAGGAGCCGCATCAGCGGAATCGTAACCCTCAGGAATGGGGCAAACAGTCTTGGAATCCCAAACGGCACCGTAGGAGAAAGAGCCGTTGTTGAAATCGGAGAAGCCGTAGATCTGGCGGTCACGGCAGTACTGGTCGCGGTCGGTGCAGCAGTTGTCGCAGTGGCCGCAGATCTGGTGGGTGTAACCGAATCCAACTCTGTCGCCGTTCTTAACGTTTGTGACGGCGGAACCAACAGCCTTGACGATACCGACACCCTCGTGACCCAGGACAACGCCGCTGGTCATGTAGAGCTTATCGGTACCACAGACACCAGAGTGTGTTGTCTCGATAAAGACCTCGTGGTTCTCGAGCTCGCGCTCGACGTTGTCGGCGACAATCTTGCCCTCTGGGGTACCGCGGAAGACCTTGAAAGAGACCATTTTTAATATGTGAGTATATATTTGAGTGAGTGGTTGAGTATGAGAGTATGAATGGAGATGAAGCAAATTCGGCCCGGGAGGTGAAGAATTGCGGGAAAGGGTTTATATAGAGGTTAGAGAAGACGGTAGATGATGTTACATAGTGTCAACAACGGGGCAGTCTTCCTGATTTAGGTGACTCGTACACATGGGTAATGGGTCGATCTATAAAACTTAAACCCCTGACCCTGAAAGTAGACGGGGACTGAAGAAACAGTTGAGGAGGTTTTTTGGTGTGTGATGATAAGGAAAGTCGGGTTGTGTGGGTTGAAACACGCGATCTCTAGTCTATCACCCGTATATCTATTTATTAAACGGTTAATCTTAACATCACCTACAGTACGCTCATGTTTCCCTATCGAATTCATGGGAAACAACTGTTCAATCTCTATTTTTTCAACGGTTTCGTTGGATCCAGGTCCTCTCTCCGGGCTCGCCTAGGGTATAAAAGTGGCTCTATCGATGGATCCAAAGTTTGGTCCTCGGTCCGGAAGTCTCTGGCCAATCAAACAAGGGTAAAAAGTGGCATGTCGCTTGTACGGCACTGAAATTCTTTTCTGGAAATGTTTCTAGAACCCCTGGTAGAATAAACGGTGGCAGGAAAAACGTGTAATGTAGTAATGTTGCAAGCATTCTTAAGCGATCGACGGAGCTAATGATATCACATCTCCATTGATTACTTTTCAATGCCGATTACTCATGAATTATCGGAAACATTTATAACTTGTACCGATGGCCGTCGCATTGAGCTTCAGTGTTCAATTTGACCACGCCTGAAACCTTGGCAAGTAGTGTCTCCTTAGACTCGGCCCATTCTCGCACTATCAGTTAGCCTCCGATGAAGCTTTACTCAAATCTGAGTTGACTACTCTGTACGGTGATAAGGCTACGCTATCGCCGTCCTTGTCTGACAAATGGAATCTTAGTTTCTGTCCGTCAGTTACAGCCTCACTTTAAATGCGGGTTCTATCCAACATCTCGATTGGGGTAGCAGATAGGCCTGGCTTTAGCAGAACACACAAAAAGAATGGTACAATTTTTTCATCTCTTATTTTATCCATGGTGGGTCTTTTCGGTGGATGGAACAAATAATGATCTCATCCCGAAACTTTATATCTAACCGGGAAACTTGGCCGTGAGAACGAACCACAAGAGACGAGTACTGTAGGTCAGTTTAGGCTTCTTAGACTATACTTCTTGGGCTATTTATTTTTGCATCCTAAATCTTGGATGTGAGCTTTTTTACTAATCACTAAAAAGAGAAACATTTAATGCTAGTGTGTACCGTTCCTAAAGTACCGTATCAACTCACCAAATTCGGTAGCGAAAGAGGCGTTTTTCAGCGGGTCTTCCGGTAAGCCACTGGCATCCTCTACTATCATTCACTTGGCTGGATATTGCAAGGCAATAGAGGCTTTTACCATGCATACATGATCTTTGCATTAGTGTGAATGTATCAGAAACGCGCTACTGAATTTTACGAGTTAATGGGTATGTTTACCCTACATCTCACTCTCGTCGCTATCCTCATCGTCCTGGACATACTCGCTGTGCTCACTTTCTCCGCTGTGCTCACTTTCTACGCTGTCCATGACATCCTCGCTGCCCTCGTCATCCATGGTATCATCGTTGTCCTCGCTTTCCTCGCCATTTGCCGACGAGAAAGCCAACCGGACCGGTTCATCAACATAGTTACTGAATCGTTTGGACCATTCAACCATTTCCACAGGTAAGGGTTCCTCGGGGTTGTATGCCCCATTCACAGCAGTCCAATCGACATATTCATCGTAAAAGTTGCTTGAATTTGGTTGACAACCTAAGCCTTCCAAAGCTTCACGAACATCGTCGTTTTCTTCGAATCTGTACCTGGACTGGACACATTTTGATTAGTGAGTTGAATGATTGGCCGTTCGAGTGATAAGGGACGGAATCAGTAGATCGCATTATGCCATTCAGACCATGGTTTTCGGTCATTTGCTCTCGTAGCCTAACACCAAGAGACCATCATTCCTGCTACTCACTAGGCACTGCGGAGATGGTGACACTTACTGATGTATATTCCCAGTGTGTCAAGATTTTTGAAAAATCAATGTCACTTTTGGTTATAGTGTCGGCAAGGCCGATGTTGGGTAGGTAAATGTCAAACAGGTTCCTTTCCCTGCTCACATCGATTGGAGCTGTCAAGAGTTGTTGTTCTTCGTTGGAAACAGCCGGGATTGTTGTGTTTGCAGTGTCCATATTACCCGCCTGGATCAGCTGAGCAGCCTCAGTCACTCCCGCCTTGATTATACACCGACTGTAATACCTCCACTTCAGTTCTTGTAGGAGGTGTTCCGCACCGACGTCAAGAAATCGATCCTTAGTCCTGTAGCTCGAGTCTTCTGGGGAGTTTATTGCTATGTCTGCTCGGCGCCATGTGAAACGGTTGAGCGGCCACAGTCGATGAAGGTGTGGTAGGTAAGTCAGGTTGGCAAGCTGTGCAAAGCATGGTACGTGATAATAATCTGTCATGGTCAACTGAAGTCTTGATAGCTATGTCTTGGAATCGATACATACTTGGTAGAATGGTAGATGAGCCGAACATCGGTGGGCGGATGGAAACGCAATATTGACTTGAATCAAACGTCCTGCTGCAGATCGGGCTCTTGCAATCTAGGACGGTCCGTTCAGTTCCATAGACCCTAGACTCCGGAGGTCTGTGTTGCAGGAAACACATGTATGTCCAACGACCTTTCACCATCCTGTTCAAATATCTGTTGAAACATTCGGATTGCCGCTTCGCCTCCAGCTCTCCTGGGGGGCGGGAATTATCCATGATTGCAGTGCGATGGGTTGAAACGATAGCGTAAACGATATACGATATGATCGGTGTTGATGATTGATGTAGATTCAATGTTCGATGTCCCAAATAAAATGCTACATAGTAAGTAGGTGCTTTGAAAGCATAAGAGACAAAATGGGAGAGTTCGTTTACCGAATTCAGTCTAGATTCTTAGACTACTAAGGTGTTTCCTTCCTTTCTATATCGTGGAGCTTAGTAGAAGCCAACTTTTCCATTACACACAGGTAACGGAGTTTGTTGAACTTTTGGAAGTCGCAAGGGGCCAAAGGTTACCCTTTCTCAGCTGGTTATTGACCGCCGGTTGCTGGGCTATGGGGTGTGTTTCCTCTCATACCTTCCATCGTCCTAGCTCTTCTTTCGAGGAATTCGTCATAGAAAGTTGCCATGGCCTGTTATACCTGGAAACTTCGGAAAGTCGCGGTCAACCGCGGGTGTGACATCAAAGCGCACTATAGCAAAACATACCAAAACTTCAAGGGTCCAGTGTAACACCACACGAGACTGCCACTAGATGCAGAGGGTGTCATGTTGCGTCTGCTGATATCGACGTGTGCCACCTCGGGCACTGCTTGTCGTTCCAAAAGGAGTAATAAAGCAATTGACGCCCAACAATGGGTTGCAGAAGATGCATAATCTAACATAGCGATCTGTTCCATAAGATTGATGTACATTCCTTCATTCGGGGGAAGTCTCAAAACTTAACTTGCCTACACCATCACGCGACCTTAGAACTGATTCCCATTCGCTCGGCATTATCTTGCTGCAGCTAGACCATCGGTTCTGCATCAAAACAATCAGCACGTGCTCAGGAAGCGACCAAGGATGATGACTGGCACCTGTCAGATCAAACATGGCCAAGTGCTACCTTCTTACGTCACAGCAATCAACATTCACAATTAAACAGAAGCTATTGTTGCAGGTAACAAATTCATTATTGTCATTCATATGCCACGCTATCTGCAGCGGGGACATTGCAATATCCATCATATCCAATGTAAAACATCAAACTAAATCGGGTATACACACGACATCGCCCAGCTGGCGATCACAAATCTTCCCAATAAGAAACGCCAATGCCTGTTTTTGAAATAAAAATGACACAAATTCACAATATCGTGATGAGATTAGTGCTGCTTGAGCTCGGCAGCTGCCACAGCCGCGTCGACAGCTTCTTGAAGATCGAGGTGAAAGTAAGGCCGGTTGAGACCACCAACAGCAACGAGGCGGGTACTGGTGGGATCTCTTGGTAGCTTCTCCATAGATGCGCTGTTGACAGAGCCTTCGACAGCCTCGATATCATGGCGCGTTGGGGTATTCTTGACCTTCTCGTCGAGAGCAGCGGCAGTAGCGGCACTATCGTCACCACCGAGGTCAGCGATAGAGAAGATAGCCTTCCAATGACCGGCAGCTTCATTTCCAGTACGAGGAGTGCGGTAGCCGAAGCCAGCAGCAGCAAGAGCACGCTTCGTCCATCGGTTCTCAATGTTGGCAAAGTGCCAGTCAACAACTTCGGGAGCAGCAAACTTGTCAAGCTGATTTCGGACATCGATCAATGCCTGGATAGATGTAACGTCGACGTTGTTGACACTAGAAAAGTCGAGGATAACAGACTTGAGAATGGGTCGCTCATCGTTTTCGATAGTCTTGATGTGGCGGGGCTCGCGGTCGTTCCAAGGTCGGTCGCCAAGCTTACCCAAGAGCGCGGGGTTTGTTCGTCTGCATTCGGAAAAGATAGACTCGGTCAGGTGGTTGAGGTAGTGAGAAGCGTTGGGGTAGTTGAAGCCTTCGGCAAAGCGGTAGATAAAGACACCGGGATAAGGAGTGCGAACAATGACCTTGGGGTTGGAGCCGTTGCCGTGATCCAAAGGAAGGAAACCAGCGCGTAGAGAACCCTCACCCTCGTCGACGGAACCGGGGCTAGCAGTACCATCACTGACATTGGCCTTCATGGTTCGCACACGAACGACACCCATGAAGCGACCGCGAGCCTTGAAGAGACGGAAAACAACAACAGCAGCGGACATGGCAATTGTGGTGTAAATACCGTTCTCGATGGAGCTGAAGATGGTAACGAGAACACCGGCAAAGAAAATGATGACCTCGAGGGGAGAGACACGCCAAAACTGGTAGACAACCTTGGGAGGAGTAATGACATCTCCGACAGCGTGAATAATGACACCAGCAAGACCAGCGTTGGGGATGTAGAAGAAAACAGCAGTCAGGGCGTAAAGGGCAAGTAAGACAACGATGGCAGTGATGACACCGGCGAAGGGAGTGCGGACACCAGCCTTCGACTTGATGGCAGTTCGAGAGAAGGATCCAGTAGCAGGGTAGGCACCCAGGAAGGGACCGAGGAGGTTGCTGACACCGATAGCGACGAGTTCTTGAGAAGGGTCGATGACATAGTTGTTGACACGACCGAAAGACTTGGAGATGGAGATGTGCTCAATTAGGACAACGATAACGGCGGCGGGAAGCTCAGAAACGAAGGACCGGATGATGTCACTGTTGATCTCGGGGACAGCGGCGTGAGTGAAGCCTGGGTCGGATTAGTAAAGATGCTTTGGGTAGCGATCGTTGATACTTACCACTAGGAACGTCGCCAACGATGCTGATGCGAGGGTTGTCGCGGTGCTTGATGTTGATTCCAGCGCTGATACCAACGTAAAGGAGGATGACAAAGGCGGTTCGAAGGGTGGAGATGAAGAAGTATAGCTTGGCACGGTGAGGCTGCTTCTTGGCCATGGTGCTGCAAAAGATACGGATAATGTAGAGCAGGACCAAGGCGGAGAGACCAATGGCGGCGTCAAGCTTGGAGCCACCCAGGTTCTTGAGGGTGTCAATGATGACCATGTAGGTAGGCTGACGCGTGTTGACTCCCTTGATGCCCATGAGCTTGGGAACCTGTCCAGCAATAATGTTGACACCGGAACCGGTCATGAAAGCGCAGATTGAAGGCAGAGGGATAAATTCGACGAGCCAGCCAAGTCGAGCGAGGCCGAGGAAGGTGACAATTGAGCCGACGATAACAGCCAGAGCGGAGGCAATTACGTGACCAGGGACATCGGGAAGAGTGTCTGCAGCTCGCAGAACAATGTTACCTGTAACTTGGGACATGACAGCGACGGGCTAAAACAATTAGCAGGGGTCTGGAAGTGGGAGTCGAATGTACGTACACCAATGGTGATATCCTTGGATGTCGCAAAGAACCAGTAGATCAAAACGCCCATAAATGATGAGTACAATCCATATTCGACGGGGAGCTGAGCCAGCTGGGCATAAGCCATAGATTGGGGGACCACAACAGCACCAACAGTGATTCCTGCGCTGGTGTCAGCAGAGATGTCCATGTGACAGACATTACGGGGAGTTACTTACCAGCAACCATGTCACCAAGGAACCAGATCAAATTGTATTTGCCCACCCATGATAGGAAAGGGAAGAGGTTGTAAAAGTATTCACCAACTTGTTGAATAGAAGGAGTGATTTCTCTGAGAAACTCTCCAACTGTAGGTTCCTCTTCGATATATAGGTCGGCATTCGTGATTGAGGGCGCTCTCTCTTCGGGTTCGGTGTGATCGGCGCCAATGAACTTTTCCAAGGCCGTCTTGGCCGAGTTTTTGCCTTGTTGCGGCATGTTTGCTGAGGGTGTGATTGTGTGAGAGTAAAGAAAGACAACGCTTGAAGGAAAAGAAGAAGATAAAGAGCTGGATAAAATAAGAATTGATGAAGGGATGAGGAGGAGTATGCAAGAACGGGGAGATCAAGAAGACACAACGTGGGTATTTGAGTCTTGGAGAGTGGTTGACCACTGAAAACGGGGTCTTTTGAGTGAAGGCCTGTAAGCGATAGCGGACCGTTCGGGTTGTCGCTCGGTGCGTCGGGGTATGCTGCAACGCTAGCAAGACTTTCTCCTAGTTGGGGCAAGTAGTCGAGGAAGGTATGACGACTCCAATGCTTGGTACGGAGTAAAATTGAGGTAAAAACTCGAACAGATCGACTCGATCTTATGGGGAGTTTGGTCTTGACCCGTTTTTTGGAAAAGAATCGGGGAATGCGACGCAGAGTGAGATGAGGTGAGGTGAGGAAAGAGATTGGAGAGAGAGGCGGCGATGGAAGTATAAATTTAAGAATGGTCAAGATGATGTGAATTGCCGATTGGACTGGACTTGACTTGACTGGGCTGGATAAGGCGATGTGGACCATAACAGTCTTGCACCATGGCAGACCATGCCGTGCGGTTGATGACCCTTCAGCCCTTTGTGTGCGACATTCCCATCTTCTGACGGGGAGAAATGATGCTATGGGTACACCCTCTCAGCGCGCGTTGATGACCGAGCGTACAGGGATCGACGAACACCAATTTGAGCGCCTGAAGTACATGGTACGTACGGGCTGTGTTTTCTGTTCTGTTTCTCGCATCACGGTCAATGTTCTTCCCACGCCCCAAGCTCTTGTTCCTTTTTTGCCAACCCGCGTCAAGCTGCCCTTAACTGGCCTGACCGAGGCGAGGGCGCAGAAGCGTGGGGGAAGCTGGCGTTGGCGGCAAAAAATGGTGTAGGGGCCCCATTAGAATCATTGCGTGCTGACCAGGATCTGAGCATGTCATGGTCGCTATCCCAAATCAGCTCCGCTCAGTTCTCCACCAACATTCGTGTCGTCTCCATGAGAATGAAGATTCTTTATTGCGGGGTATATATGGATTCGATAGAATGGGAGTTGTTTTGTTATCGAGCATTTGCGTTTGTGAATTTGTGCGACGATTTTACAGCGTTTGGTCATCTTGCAAAGATTTACAGATTCATGCATTCAGGGTTTGAGGAAAGAGAAAATCCTTGTTAGATCAACTCGCGACGATATCGTCTCCGATTGCGCCATCGCTCTAGAGCCAGTTAAAGTCTTGAGCTGCTCGCTAGGTGGATAACGCTATACTACTTATGGCTTAGCGAAAGCAAGCTTGTTGTGAAGGCGCAGAGCATTGATGGTGAAGTGAGATCATCAATTGGATTAGAAATGCTATAATGAATGCATTGCGACGAAAAGGCGGCGTGAAACAAGTATTCATTTATTTATTGTGTAGCGTGCGATGGAAAGTTGCAAATACAGTGGGTAGAAGACAACAGGTGTCTTTGTCTTTTCTACAGGGACCTTCGGGGAGTTGAGTGCTTTTTTACTGCCGTTCCCGCCCTGGAGCTTTTGTTCCATGCATGCTTCTTTTGTTTCGGGGAGATGATAATAGATCTCCTCTGAGAAGGAACATTAAGAATTGGACCTTGACTCTTCCTTAGACACGAGAAATATGAATAAAGTCATGGCAAGGAAATCACAAAGGGCTAAATGCGAATCTCCATCCTGTTGCATCTCTATCAGCAGCGTATACCCATCAACTCTTCATAATGGCCTCATAAAGATCCCTCCCCCAACTCCCCGTCGGCCCCACTTCCCCCTACAACATCCTGGACCGCATGCGCTACCCTTTATCAACGTCTCCAGTATCAACCGACTTCAAATTCATTTCACTGCCTACGACCGTGGTAGAGCCGTTATTTGATGCTCATTCCCATTAATAATTGCGTTTCTTGTGCACGTCCTCCGCGCTTATCAACGGTATGCAACACTTTAAAGCTATCCCCGAACCAATTTCCTGTTACCAAAGATTTGTTTTAAGATTATTACATATTTGATCCGTGGCACACAACAACCATGCAGGCATTTTAGTTGACAGACCTGTCTAGCCTTTCGCCAATAGCATTAGCTCCCAGTAAAAGACCACACCCTTGCACCTCCCATGCAGACACACTGAGACACACCCAATCTACCAGTCTACCAAAGCTGAAGTCCTGCTGTCACTCGACAGGTCGAGACTCAATCAAGCCGTAGTCTATTCAAGCCCTGAGCAATAGCTCTGCTTTTTCCATGCCGATCTTCCGGCCTTGGCGGACTTTAACAGCGAATTCTGTTCATCTAGACTCAGAGCTGATCGCCACGCATGGTGCATTTTGACGCAAGAAACCCTGACATATTGCTCCATCCACGCTTAACTCTAATCTACTCTTGATTGATCAATCAGGGGTATTATCCACCAACCTGGACCGAGCAATGACTTCACTAGCCGCCCCCATTATACAATCCCAAGTTAAACTCGGAGTGACCTTCGTCTCCCCGATCAGCTCGTTGGCTGGTGTAGTTCTGAATACCAGATGTACCCTGTGAATCTTACGAGATGAAAACTTATAATCTGCTGGTTCGGACGGTTGCCGCGTCTTGTCCTCCACATATTGCCAACTAAGGTATGAATATCCTGGTCCATGGTCTCCCCTTTCGACACTATCATTGCATCCTACAGTCGGACCATCGGCGTTCGACCGACGGCCCATCCTTGATACATGGTTCAACAAAACGTTATGCAGCCAAGGCCCCATTATCTCTCCCGCTCGGGAGACGAAGTGCTCAGGCAACCTTCTTTCCGTCTTGGCCCCCCACGTCAAGAGACGCCTGAAAACGCCTTTTCCGAAATTCCATGTGTCTCGCCGTCTTGGCCACCTAGATAGGGGGCCTTTTACCTTGGCAAATTCCGTAACTCGAATGATCTAGTCCAGATTAAGGTGTTAGGCACACGAGCTTATTACTGGCTTTCAATGGTGCCATTTTCCAGCCGTTTGGCGAATATGCGACAGCTTTCCTGGTAGCTTCGCACTTTGCACATCACATATTCGATCTATCCCACAACCCGATGATTTGTAAATTATGTATCCCACCATCCCATAACCTCCCACCATTGTCGTGTCTCTCCCATTACCCCCAAGAACGGGATCTAGATTTACCCTTGCTTCTGGATTCGATAGTGGTGTCTAGTGTCGGGGAGTATGCATTAAGTGTCTTGGTCTCGGCCTGTCATATTCCAAAACCCTGTGGCAACTTCGAGCTCCCCACGACATGTACTGAGTACATGCTCACTCAACGCCCTGCCAAGCGATTTCACGTTGACATTCCCACACCACTCGCTTCTGTACAACGAAGGCATCCCGGTACCGCCCTCCCTAGCAAGGTAGGTAGCACACCTTTCTCGGAATAACGGCACGCTCATATGCCTTATGTTGTATGCCAAGCCGACAAGAGATTGCCCATACACTCATTTTCTGAAGTTCGATTTCAAAGTAGAAGGCCCAAATGGCTCGTTCGCAAATCATTGATGTCGAAGCCATGCACAGTTCGGTCGATCTGATTTTCGGTTGTCAATTCTGTGAGCTCCCGGTAATCATGTAGAAAGAAAACACGATCTTCATCTAGAAAGGCCTGGATATTAACCAATATAAAAATTAAAGAGTAGTTAACTAGATATTGGAACACGGATTCTGATAGTAATATACGGAACACAATTACCCTGTATTGTTAGCGATGAACCCTTTGATGAAAAGATTTGAACAAGCACACAAGCAGGTGCTTATATTTTGTAATCATTTTGATTGATACAATGCTTCAGGCGGTACTCATGAACAACTTATCAAGTCCTACTCTACATATCATAATCTCTTACAAAGCTATCATATGACTTTCTGAAATCCATCGTATTAAGCACCTCTTGTGAGGTCTGTACCGGACTGAGAGTCCTGAGGATAATATAAAAGCTCAGCATATTCCCTTTCAGGGCAAGTGCTCAAGATATGCCAAGATTTAGGTGATAGACCACTCAGCTGACGTGACGTGGCATGTGACCGTCGCGTCATATACGCGTTCCAATTAGCATGAATTTCATTTCTGCCTTAAGTCTTCTCTTCTACCAACTTCACATAATCCACAAAAGTTTTAATGTCAATGATAAAAACATCATTTGGCAGTAATGAACTCTGGTGAACACAACATATATTGGTTCGATCCCAAGAAATTCGCTCGAGTAAAATTGCAAAGATATTGGGGTTGCGGCCCAGATGCTATCACTTTATTCAATATTAGAGAGATCAAAGCCTTGAATTTGAAACAGACTGTTTGTATTACGATAAGAAACGAGCTCTAAGAACCACCTGATGTCGAACTATTGCCATGATTGTTTCATGTACGCTTTGCAAAAAGTGTCAAATGTAGAACTGCTGAAGACATCCTCACGAGGAATGCTTCTTAGCGTCAACCTCGATTTCAATCCTCATATTCGGAAGGGCCAGCCTTGTAACACCCGCCGCAACGCCACCAGGTCGGTTGTTGGGAATTCTTCTCTTGAGCGCCTCTGTCACCAACGGCAAAGTCACGTCAATATCAGTATGATAGTGTCGTACGTAGTAAACATCCTCCCATCCACGAAGACCAGCTGCTTTGAGAACATCCTCGACATTTTGAACTGCCTGCTCTACTTCGTCTTTGACGTCGGATGGCATCTCGCCCTTGTCATTGAAGCCACCTTGGCCTGAGATCTTATAAAAACCATTGCATAGGTCGACAGCTTGCTCGTAGTGGTTGGCGTCACTGATGACTTTGAGAAAGTCATTGGGAGGGGCGATGTACTTGAATGAGGCCATGTTATTTAAGATGGAGGAAAGGTAGCGATGTGGTTTCAGACAGTGGTGAGAACGTTGGGCGATTCTTTTGACAACTCAATAACAGGAGAGCTATACGGTACTTTATATCCAGATGAAAACAATCAGAGCTGACCAGTGTCAGCTGAATAAGCTCAAAAGTCTAAAAGGGATACATATGAAGCGAGCGAGACATCTGCATACTTCTTTAACCAATCAATCAAGTCGAAGGCGCCAAGGTTCTTCAGCCGCAAGCCATTCCAAACAGTTAAGGTTAATTGATTATCTATAAGCGCTAGGTCTCGGAAGTTCCAGCTTCTCATTGCTTGAGAACCTGGGTAATGATTACCGTCTTACCAACTCCATTGTAAATGCTCAGGGTTCTGGGTATCTTGGAGGAGAATCGAAATGGATTTTATATTCTCTTTATTGTTAAAATCCAGGGGTCGATCAGTAGTAAATATGTTACAACCACTTCTAGACCCTTTACATCGCTGCGTTTAGATCTAGTAAGTCTTCGTTATCCTAGAATATTCTGATATTATTATTCGCTGCGGTACTATGAATAAGCCATACCCAATCTCGGCAGCTCCTCTATATAATCGTTAATCATTAATCACGTCCCTTGCTATCATGAAGTGACGAAACACTCTCTGATCGAAGCCTCCTGCATCTCACTATACAAATCAAACTCCTTCTTGACGGCGCATCCTAGGTTCTTCTCAAACGAACCTTTGTCGGCGCCTACTGTGTGTCTCATGCCGCCATCGCCACCAAGATTGGAGTGGAAGATCCCAGCGGCACTAACTGGCAGAAAATCTTCGTATGTAATGGGTTCAACCACAACAGCCCCGGAACTGACAAGGGCGTCAATGTCAGCTTCCGGGGTTTTGGTAGCGCTTTGGACAGGCTTATAGGCAAAGTAGGCCAGTTTTTCTGTTCGAAGGGTTTCCATATTGTCAGGAAATCTTTCAAAGATCTTGGCCAGATGCTTCTCTTTTGACTCGACTTCAGTAAGCTTGCTTACGGTCTCTCGCCATTCGTTGATGAGATCGTCGTATAGTTGTCGTCCCTTAGGTGTCAAAGCCATGCCTCTCTGTTCAATCTTCCCAAAGCGGGCCTTGTGGCTTCCTCCTGTCTCTTCGCCCTCTGAGAAGGCAATAGCTTCGTCGATCGCTAAAAAGCTTGTCTGACGAAGTAAGATGGGGCACAACCGCGGTGGTGGTCCTTCAATAGCGTCTTTTGCTTGTAGGCCATACCGCAGCATTTCAATCTGTGCTGTTTCGATGTCTAGCACGCGAGGTGTGAGGTGGTTGATGTGAGGGCCTTTGAAGCAAACAACGTCTGAAATCAGGGGATGTGCTTTCCGTAGGGCTTTGTATGTCTTGAGATCCACGGTTGACGTCTTGTGCCATCGGAACGTTTCGAGAGCCTCTTTGATGAATTCCTCTGCTATGGCTTCGGAGAATGATCCTTGTAACTCAAATTGCTCAATAAGCTCCACGCATCGAGGTGTGAAAATGCAGCGCTTGCTTAAGATTTCGGAGGCTTTTGACCTAAGATCCTCATCCTCGATGAGTTCCAACCTCAGCAATGACGTGAAAACTCGGAAGGGGTTATAAGCGAGTGCTTCTTGTGTGAGGGGTCGAAAACAAGTGGCATGAACTGGAAGGCTGGCAACGGTGAGATCGTAATAGCCGACGGGGTGCATTCCCATGACGGAGAATAGGCGTCGCATCATAGATAGCTCTTCTGGCGTTCCTAGCCTAATGGCACCGTGTCTTTCGACTTCAATGCGGGGTTCGATTTGCTGGTGTTTCTTGTGGTTGATGTCAGACACCAACTTGAGGAGAGTGCCGTATTGTGGGACTTCACGTCGGTACATGCTCGAAAGAGCAGACGCGAACATGGCCCTCACGGCGTCTGGGCTGATGGAGTTTGTTGCAGTCATGTTTATTAGCTTTGTTTGTAGAAAACAATACTCACAGGGTAAACAAGTGCGTTGATTATCGGCAAAGACTAGATTGTAATTCAGAGGGATCCTTATCCTTCATATATCTATCTGCTTCCAAGTCAGGCTTGGCTTATCGTGGTATCTTGACGCGTATCTTTCTACGCCCTTTTCTATGTAATCTAGCTCACCGACAAGGGGTGCAGCGAATCAAGTTACACGATTCATGGTAATTAAGCGGAGACGACATATCTAGTCCAGGATGGCGTTGACAGAAACAGGTCGTTATCTGGGGATGTGGGACCCGGAAGAGGTCATGAGGATAGTCAGGCCCGACAATTCGGAAACAGGTCCCGAGCGGCACGTTTATTCGGGAAAGACTTTCTCCATTTATCAGGAACTTACCCGAAAGCCGATACTAACCATTGGAAAGGGCTGGATATAAGCATTGAACTATCGTAAGTATCAATGCTTCAAGTTTCAAGATCTATTTAGAATGGTTCATTCAGTCGTTCAAGATCATATGCTTCCTGGTAATTCACTACGAGCTTCAAGGTACAAAGCAGACTGCGACATCTTTCAATTCCAATCTAAGCCAAACCGCATAAAAATTAGATGATGTTTGTAACTCAATGGTATCATTTAACTATATATCTAGAATTTATACTAGAGTTCATCTACAGCTCGAAACCCAAGTTGACATGAACAGCCTTGGGTTGGGTATACGCGTCCAGAGCATACTGTCCCAACTCACGTCCAATGCCTGAGGACTTGTAACCACCAAAGGGGATACCAAAGTGTGAGTCACCCGACGAGTTAATCCAGACCATGCCAGCCTGGAGCTTACGAGCAACCTTGTGTGCACGAGCAATCTTTTCTGTGAACAGAGCCGCGGCTAGACCATACGAGGTGTCGTTGGCCTTTTTAATAGCTTCCTCGTCAGTAGAGAACTTGGCAATTGAAACTACAGGGCCGAAGATCTCCTCCTTCATAATCTTCATGTCTTCAGTTGTCTGTTGATCGGGTCAGTATGGTTTTTGTCGTGAAATTGACATTGTGAACTTACGTCGGCAAAGACTGTGGGTTGGAGGAAATATCCCTTGTCACCATATTTGCTGCCTCCGTACAGAAGCTTGGCTCCAGACTTGCGGCCCTCCTCGATGTAAGATAGCACGCGCTCATACTGTGTCTTGGAGACTTGGGGTCCCTGAACTGTTGACTCATCGAAGGGTGAGCCGAGTTTGTCGTTCTCTTTTGTCACCTCGACGAACTTCTCAAGGAACTTGTCGTAGATGTCCTCGTGGACGTAAATTCTTGAAGTAGAAGTGCAGACCTAGACGTAGAATCAGTAAAAGTGTCACTGGACGTGTGATGGAGGATCTTACCTCTCCCTTGTTGTCCATGATTCCAAAGTGGCACCACTTGACAGCCTGCTCCAGCTCGGCGTCGGCAAAGACGATAGAGGGGCTCTTACCACCACACTCAAGGGTGATATTCTTCAAGTTGTTCGCGGCGTCCTTCATGATAGCTCGGCCAGTGTTGGTGCTACCGGTAAAGGCAACCTTGTCAATGTCCATATGTCCAGCAATGGCCTTTCCTGTAGAAGGACCAAGACCAGGCAGAACATTGACGACACCTGCAGGAAGACCAGCTTCTTTGACTAAGTTACCAAAGTACAGAGCAGATAGCGGGGTCTGCTCGGCGGGCTTGAGGATGACTGTGTTGCCACAGGCCAAAGCGGGCGCAACTTTCCAGGCGAGCATCATGAAGGGAAAGTTCCATGGGATAATCTGGCCACAGACACCGAGAGGCTCTTGGAGGACGTATGCGAGTTTGGCGGGGGAGGTTTCGATGGTCTTACCACTGATCTTGTCGGCAGCACCGGCGTAGTAGCGGAATACGTTGTAGGACTCATCGAGATCACCAGCGAGACAAGCGCTAAAGGGCTGGAGTGGCAGTTAGCAATAAAGTAATTTGCGGTAGAATGAAGCTTCGCGCGTACCTTGCCGTTGTCAAAGGCATCAATAGCGGCAATGAGCTCACGGTCACGATGAATAAGATCGGCAAGCTTGTAGAGAAAAGCGCCGCGGTCAACAGCAGCAAGCTCAGACCATTCGCCCTCAAAGGCCTTGCGCGCGGCTTGAACAGCTTTGTCAACGTCCTCTTTTGATGCGCCCTTGAGTTTGATGACTTCCTCCTCTGTACTGTGGGTTTGTGAGCGTATGCTCTGAAGGTGAGTGCCCGCGGGTGCTTACTGTGGGTTTGTCACGACAAACTCGTCGCCTGTAGCTGCAACAAACTCATTGTTGATGAAAAGACCAGTTGGTTGGTCATACTTCTTACCATTAGGCAGAGAGATTTGTGTAGTTGATGCCATTGTGAACGAAGAGGGGAGAGCAGATTAAATGACTTGAATGTCTGACAATAATTTGGGGACATCTTCATTTATAAAGAGTACGACATGACAGAAGCCGGAGCTCCACGGGTTACGGGACACAAACAATTGAAACCAATCATTCACTCGCCTCTGGAGCGTCAAAGAGAGCTGCATTGCGGGGTTCAATCAGTCGTGAATAGCTGCAGCCAACATATGCCGAGAACGCCAATAACCCTGTCTTTAGCCAATATCCATTGAGCATGCGGGCACAATTCAAGTTCATGATAAACAATTCCCTCCATCATGTTCAAGAAGGGTAATTTTTGAGGCCAGGACGAGGACCATCGTAACCCATGACATGACGCGGGGAAAGCTGGACGAAAGCTACCAGGGCTAATCTTGTTTGGGCAAGTTTTTAGTCCCTTGGCCACCCACTCTGGAAGAACGTTCTCTCATCCATGCATCACTCTTTGTCCTTATCTTATACTGGATTGGGGATATTTCTGGGCATTTCTGCGGGGATTCGATTAACTATCAGATACAAGTGTACTCTCGCTGAATTAGGAAACTTCGTTGGCCACTCGGCAGTACAACTCCATCGTGTCATGCCATGGATGACGCCCTATAGCCGGTCGTCAGGAAGTTGTCTTGGTATACAGCCTACGCCAAGATCTCCATGGCCATTCTGTGTGACATTGAGTGCAGTACATAAGAGACGATGCCACCTCTTGTGCGAGGATATCAAGCTCTACTGATCACGTCCACCAAGCACTGACTATCTAGAATCATCGATCAATCTTGACAATCTTCTCGTAGGGCCTTTCATGTGCAGTTCTAGATCAACGCAACTAAAGTATATCTCTAGGGCTCACTCACCACGATGTCACACCTCACATATTACAACTACGAAGGCGTGGGCAAAACCAACAACACAGAATACTCCTACTCCCAAGCCGTACGCGTTGGAAACACCATCAAGTGCTCTGGTCAAGGTGGCTGGGACGACCAAGGCAACATCGATAAGGAAGACCTGAAGGGTCAGATCGATCTCGCCTTCAAGAATGTCGAGAAGAACCTCAAGGATGCAGGCGCAAGAGGTTGGGCCGATGTCCACTCGGTCAGAAGTTACCACATTTCACTCTCTAGTTCTTTCGACTTGATGGTAGAGTCGTTTCGAAAGTGGATGCCTGATCATCAGCCTACGTGGACCTGTGTAGGCGTCACCGAGTTGGGAATTCCTGGTATGATTGTTGAGATTGAGGTGGAGGCCAACATTGCATAATAGTGGTAGTATTCAAGATATTGAAGCGCACAAATTCCATATTTCCTTCGTAGTGCTTCCTTTGTCCTTCACTTCTTGGTCTATTTCATAAGCTTCAGGGTCTAAAAGTACATAACTTAAGAAACCACTCTATAATGTCCTAGAGCAGCTCACTGATTTCGTCACGTATGTCTTTTTCCGGACGAAAATCACTCTTGGTGCAATGTCGGGTTATCGGTCTCCTTAGGCATCGGAACAAACAACCATGAGACAGATGTGGCAACCAACAGCGCACACAGAACAGGCTGCAGGACTCCCACGCCAACACTAGCTGCAACAAGACCGGTGATGATGGGGAACAAACAACCTCCAAGCTGAGCAAAAACAAAGACAAATGCTAAAGCCGTAGACTGAATACGAAGGTTGACCAATTTGGAAGCGATGTTAATGCCCTAGTAAAGTTAGTGTTGTCCAAGTAGAGAGGTGAGAGAGGCTGACTGTGGCAAAGTATGGACCCATGAAGAACCCTAGCAGACTAATGGCTATGGATGCAGCAATGATATTTGGAACGCTGGAATTATTAGCGACGACCATGAACTGGGGCAGCCGAGAAGACTTACAGCCAGAATAAGAGTTGTAATGCAATGCTGATGATGGTGAATCCAAAGATCATTCTTCGGACCCCAAATCTATGAATAGGCTCAGCGAGAAAAAGTCTTCCGAGTAGCGATCCTCCATTAAATCCAGCAGAGACAAAGCCCATCTGGTTAATATCACCATTACGAACATCGACAAGGTACTCAACAACCCATCCGCTGGCAGTAAGTACAGCGCCGATGTAAAAGAAGAAAAAGATGCTAACAAGCCAGACATTCTTGTTTCTGAGGGTCTCCTTGATCAGGGAGAACGCATCTTCGCTTCTCGATGCAGGCGACTCGTCAGCCTCCAGTGTCCTCTCAGTCGGCTTCTGCTGTCTCTTGAGTTTGAGGGTATCCCAGAACGCGTACATCACAAACGCGACGTTGAAAACGCCAATAGCGAGCGGGAAAGTGTAAAAGAGGTACCACCTCGAAGTGCTCCCCACTGACGCTATACCCGTCGCCACAAACGGTCCAACAAGACACCCAGCCATGTACATGGCATGGATGAAAGCTAGCCATCGATGCGAACTCTTGGTTCCAGCAACAAAGGTGTTTCCGTGGGTATCCTGGTACGCCTGTCCTAGACTTGCCAGCCAGAATGTGACAGCGAATAGGGCAAATGGTGGTTTCCAGGCCCGGAGAGCATGAGCTATGACTTGCAGGACAGCACCCAGGGCAAGCATGGAGCCGAGGTCAAATATCTGACAAAGATGAGTGTTTGAAAAGGCGCCAGAGAACCAGCCCATGAAGTTGGCTCCATATCTGGGATCGTTAGTTTGCGTCGATTGAGCCAGGATTTTGGGCTTACACTGATGAGACAATGGCGGTCGTGACGTCGTAGTCGCGAATGATGTGAGGCACCAACGCTCCAATGCTCCCATCATTAACGCCTGCGACAAAGAATGAGAAGCCAGCACTGAAGATTTTGAGAAGTTCTGTGGTATTTGGCTTGTCGGATGATGTTGGCGGAGGGTCATCGTTGAGTGAGCGACCTGTTGGGTTTGTTGTATCGCGAAGCTCAAAGACGGGTTCAGACGTAGCGGTGTCGGTTTGCGTGATTGTAGCCATGATGGAAATAATGAGGGACAGATGATTGAACCGAATGGAAAGGACAAGCTGGTGTACTTATACCAGCTTGACATCCAAGTTGGAAGTGTTACCGGTTTTGTAATAGTCGCGTGCCAATATGGTGACATGATACGACAGACGAAATAAACCGGCCATTGTAGACTAATTTATGTGAGGTATTTGATCCTTTATTTTTCAACACGATAAACTTTGGGAGGTTGGATCGTCAGGGCGATCTCGCGTGGACGGGCCGTTTTGGCTAAACATCGGAGGAAAACTCAATTCATGACATGGATACATGAGATTGAGAGAGGAAATACGAGTGAGGCAACGGTCAAAGTAAACTGATTGACTGAGACAGATAGAACATCCCAAGTTGTGAGACCTGACTATTCAGCTCTTGTGATGGTGACTAGGCATACGTTGTGATAAGGGATCAACAGATGCTACTAAGTCAACTATTTTGGGTGTTTACATTAGTGACACGATTCGGCGTGAGACCTACTCTAGTTCTGCCACTAACCCTGTTTGCCAATGGGTTAAGAGGGGAATAACACGGTATAGTAAGAAAGACAAGTGAGTATTGAAATGAGTCACTCTGTTATAAAAAGTGCCTCATGGAGCGATATAATGTCTGGGCAGGCATAGGGTAAGTCAGGGTCTAAGATTATGACGTACAATAACATCGTGACATTCATCTCCGCGTTTGAGTGATTTGGCAAGACATGATAAGATTGTCAAAGTCGCGTGTCTATTGGCTGCTGACTCATCGGAGTGCACTTTTTTCCGCCAACCCCCTGCTCCCACATTCTCCACTCTGGCCACGTCAAAGGCTGTAGTCGGTGAGTGAGAGAGTCTTGCAACCCGACCAAGACCTCAATCTGGGGAATCCCAATCCCAACCCCTAACTAAACACCATTCCGATGCAATTACTGCGTGGCGATCGTGGAGATACCAGCAGCACTTCTTCCAGGAGCTATGGAGGTTTTGGACCTTCAGAGCCCCGGCTCTTCGAGTTCAACGAGCGGGGTCGCTCTGTAGCGCCCAAATGTATCGAGATGTCCAAGCAGCACCCTGAGGACTTCCTCAATTACCTCCAGCAGGCATGGAAGCGTGACAAGATTTACATCAAAGAGAACCCAGAGTCCATGTTTGATATAAAGGCCATCAGAGTCCTCTGCCAAGACGGAAAATTCAGACCCCTCGGAAACTCGTATATCCCGCTGCCCAAGCTGCATTACCTCCGGAATCGATATATGCTCGAAGGAGAACCCTTCCCTTTCCTCAGACTGGATCCACCCATACGCTCCGAAGGAGGATTTGGTCAGTGGAGATGTCTCAGGGCCTTTGCCAAGTACCATGACGACCTGGATTTCTTTCTCGAGATGTTGATACGAGTACGACGATCAAAAGCATCAACCGTCGAGTTCCCCCGTCGAATATTGGAGCTATACCTTCGGATACAAGCAGAGTGTGAAGACTCAAAAGATCCAGACGCCAGCGCCCACAAAGTCAGGTATGGACACCGTACCCTCCAAACATCATGATACTCACGCCATCAGATATGCCTTCGAGAAGGAGCAGCTTGTCTATGTCCATCCGATATGGCGGCCACTCAGTGAGTGTCTATTAGACGATTCATGTGAGATATCCAGCACGTTGTCCAAGTCACCCGTGTTTCCGGTTCCAGAAGATTGGGACGCTAGCAAGTCTGAGCTTGCGTCTCTAAGAGAATTCTACACCCAAACGCTGAAGCTTGAAAAGGCCAGCTACCGGACCATTGTAGACGTGTTGGAAAAGCGTGACTTCGATGCAGTCCTCGACCCAGCGGATCTTTGGTTGACGGACGAACTTTATCGCGCTTTGGACAAGATGAGAATGGATCTTTCACCCAATGATGCTGCTGATCTAAAGTGAGTTGCCTCATATTTGTCAAGTCATACAACTAACATTGTACAGAATAGCATTTATCGAAAAGTCCATCATCGCCGTGGCTCCTGGAGAAACTGTGACATGGCTCAACGCAACCGATGTCTCTTGGTGCCCCAAGCTCGACAGCCCCGAAGTCAACGATCTCAGCAAGCACTACTCTGAGCTCCATGAGTTCTTTGTCGACTTCCTCGACATAAAACAAAACGACTCGGGTCTCATTTTTGACACATTAATGCAAGTCTCTTCATTAAGTCCAGACTGCTCACGTGACGACACCGCAAGAGGTCTTTTGGTCGCCGTCAGTCAAAGGATACCAGAATACGGACATGTTTTCGATAAGGAGAGATTTATGCAGAGTAATGTTTTCCCTGTGTCGACATCGGATGGAGTTTTGCTTTGTGCCCCCAGTATGGAGTTTGTAATTGCAGATCGACAAAATTTGAAAGAGGCGTTTGAAGGAAGGTTGAATTTGTTGGATTTTGATCCAAAGACTGTTTGGATGTTGGATAATTTGTTGGTTTGGGCTGGCCTTGATCAGCGGTACTTGTCCCGTCACGTTGTGGATCAGGGGCCAGAGGACGAGAACTTCAAGTCCATCGAGCTACCCGATGAACTCTCGGCTAAGGCTGATCACATTTTACGGTATGTCCTTACCACTCTTGTCACTTCACATCTAACCCCTATAGTATTGCTGTCCACTTCAAAAGTCCTAGAACGACTACACCAAAAGCAACATCTTGGCTTCGCGAAACTCTCGATCACTGCGAAGTCCGACTCGCATCCAGTTTCCAATCACAACTCGTATACCGCTCCGGCAGCGCTGAAATTATTGCTGTCAATCCTATGGGCGGTCTCGACATCAAGGATACAGTTGGTCTTACTGTCTACTCGGACGATGAGAATTGGGAAATTTTCAAACAGACATTACTCCCACGCCGACTGCTTGAATGGATAATGACGGACCCCGAGACAAATGTTGTGCAAGATGTGCCTGAACAGGCGGTGAGCTTGATGAGAAGTATCATCAATGTTACAAATGCTCGCGAGCATGTGATATCGAGAATTCTCGATGCCGAGGGGATAGTCGATTTGGAGCTGTTACAGGCATCGCCGTATTGGCGGGTAAATAGGTGAGCAGCACGAAACGTGTTGAAGAACATGGCTGACCATTTAGTGAACGACAACCAGATGCGACAATCACGACATCCAAAGCAGACCAGTTTGCGGCAGCCAAGATCATCGACGACTCAGATTCCACCCCCGCTCCAGCATACAGCCAAGCCGGCCCCTCATACAGCAGAGACGAACAACCCGCCTACAGCAAGGGCGAACCATCATACACTCAAACAGAACGAGCCTACTCGAACGCCGAGCCACCTTACAGCAAGGAAGACCCCGCAAAGCGATCACCGCCGCCGCCACGGCCATCAAAACCAGATTCGCTGCGGGATAGACTTCCAGTGTCGAAACGGGGCTTGCAGAGACGGGTTTCGGAAAAACAGGATTGGGAAGGGGATTTTGTAGCGAACGAAGCTACCTTGGTTGATTTTACTGGAGAAGATGCATATGGCATAGATTGATTTATAGATGCAATGAGTGACGTGATAGAATGATTATGAAGTAATGGTACATGGCTAAACTCCTCTTTACATCAGTACTCAAGTTGTAGAGAAGCTCTGGAAGTAGACAGCATTTTGTCTTGATCATAATAAGGAAACAAATAATAAGAAGTTCCAAAGTCGAGATTCATCACTGGCGGGTCCTTTAAACTTATTTGACGCGTCCAGAGATTTATTGCTTAGTTGATCCCTGTTAGCCCCTTGAGAGTCGTCATCTGAATCTGCGAGACATGCCTGCCAAATCAAAGGATTGGCATTAACATACCCACTCGAGTTTGCTAGACTGGTGGGTAACAGAAGCTTACCTTGAGGTTTGAGTGTCAAAAATAAATGGTCTGAAGTACTGGTTTAAAGGTCATCAAGTGACCTACTAATTTCGTCTCTTGTGGTTCTCGCTGCCAATTTTATAATGTCCTGTGTGCTAGGGAGCCGTTTTAGCCGCTTAGACTGTGTCCACTTGTCGATCAAAATAGCTTCAGCGAAACAAACTAAAGCATGTGGACATGTGGACATGTGTCCGTAGGATGAAACATTCCAAAGGACGCGGAACTGATGACGTTTGCTTCTCATGTAGGTTGTTTCAAAATGATATGCAATCATCATATCATGAACTAGTTGATCCTAAATTACAATTCCATTTGAGATGATTGTGCGCATCTCTGGGCATTTGTCAAAGCGGCCGACCAGACATAGTCATCCAATCGGCATCAACGGAGTGTGTCGACAAGTCGGCGATTTCTTGTTTTGATCAACCCATGGGCCAGCGTTAGTGAGGCTGAGGACCCTTGGCGATGCGGGTCGTTTGCGAAGATGCATTGCCATCACAATAAAAGACTGTTTCATTGGCCAAAGCGTGGGATTGCTTACGCCCCGGTTCTTGGTACAGGGACCAACAAGGCACTGAAAACGGTAGAACTGGGTACTGCTCCGTAATAATTGTCTTGGAGCCAACATGTCACAAAAGAAAAGATGGGCTGAGGATCGTCATCCCAGTAGTCTCGCTTGCACGTCCTTTCTTTCTGAGCAAACAATAGTTGTTGAGCCGTTGTTTATATCCCTTTCTCAAACATGATAATGCCCAGCTTTTTAAACCAACATCATGTATAGCTTGCTGTACAAAACAACCGCCTGTGTAGCTTTTCTGCTCTGCCTGGTCTGGTACGGCCAGTCTCACTTCTACCGCGATCCCGGTAGCGTCTTCTTCGACAAGACACGGGCGTACGAGGCCAGTTACTCAACGATCCGTACAGCCGAAGCCGAACAGACGATCGGGTCACTTTCCGCCGAAGGGAGTCCTTATTCCAAGAACGTATTGTCGAGAAACAAGACACTTTGTCTGGCGCTGAACTCGGTTGCACGGCAGACACAATATCTTCCAGTAAACATCCCTCGACAGCTATCTTTGTTACATACTAATGTCGATCGACTGTTAGATCACAATAGGGAGCATCCTTCACGGTCTCTCCGAACAAGAACGTCAAGACATCGATATATCCGTCCTCATTGCCGAGACTGACCCGACGCGACATCCTAACTGGCACGAACTATGGCTCAAACGAGCAGTCGACCAAGTCTACACCTACAACAATGATACCACGAGCATCGAATACCTCTCCGAATTGGAAAAGACCCAAAACTATCGTGAAAAGGGCGTGTTCGACTATACCCTTGCTCTCGAACGGTGCTATGACACAGGCGCTTCGTATGTAGCTGTGTTCGAGGACGATATCCTGCTGGCACGAGGATGGTTTATGCGGACTTTGCAAGGCCTAGCAGACATCGCTAGTATAGATTCGGAGCAACACTGGTTATTTATGCGATTGTTCAACCAGGAGAGGTCCATAGGGTGGGCCTCCCACGAAATTGGCGGGAACAATGAGTTCTGGATTATTTTCGGTATCGGTTTAGGAATCTTGGCCCCCGCAGTATTCGCACGACGTCGTTGGAGGGCAACTCAGAAGTATCTCGACCGAGAGATACTATTCGTCGTCGTTTTCATCTTGGCCCCAGGTATAGTGATACTAGTGTATCAATCTGGTAAAGCGAGTTTGTTTCCACCGTCACCAGGAGTCTTCAACGAGCCTTTTGGATGTTGCTCGCAGGCTATGATCTTCCCACGCCGTCAGGTGCCTCTGATGATATCTGAGCTTCAAAAAAGGCAGAGAGGGCAGGTGGACTTGATACTGGACGACATTGCCATTGGAAATAAGCTGGATAGATATGCTCTGTACCCAGTTCAAGCGCAGCATATTGGTAGGTTCCCCATTAGTCTGGGGGTGATTCGGGACTGACGACTTTTAGGTATCGATTCAGCGAGAAAGACGACAAAGGATGAGGCGCAAGCCATATGGAGCATGGCGTTTGAAGATTTGGACTCTAAATCCTTGAAGACAGAACACGAGAGAATGGTCAAAACGTACCAGGAATTTTGGGAAAAGATAAGCTAAGCGACGACAATGTTGTATTGCCCGATCTTTAGACCAAAGCCGAAGTCTTCTTGACGCATTCTATATTGTAATTTGCAGGATTCATACGATTTCAAAACTCAGTATATCAAAATAATGGTTATCTCAATAAATGACCTCGAACGCGTATGCTATCTGAAAAAGCAGCTAGGTGGCGTTCAACACGGCAACGACTGGATTCTATAATGTACACATGGGCTATGGTTGATGTAAGAAGGTCCCGTTGAGCTGTACGTACAGAAACTTGAACTACGATGATAGGTCCCATGATATACACAATGTTAAGTTTATGAGTTCAGACGCATCTCGGTAATGTTTAGCATCTAAATCACCGCCGTGAACTACATGAAACATCAACGATGGGGTACAAGGCGCAAAAAAAGTTCATGACGTGGAAATGTAGGTAGCCGACGGCCAGTTGCAGGTGATAGCACTGGCGAAACCAAGCTGCCATGGACTGACGTGGACATTGTCACCCCCAAAAGATTATCTTTCAAGCTGGCAAAGTCACAAGTACACTTTTACTCATATTCATCACATATTCATCACACTATCATGCACCGTTGACGATGAAGCAAGCAAAGAGTCATCTCGACTTCACGGCGCAAAACCTACCTGGTCCATGCTTCCGAGACCTCAACTACACTGCTTACGACGCCAACATCACAAAATCTCGTCGGCTACATCTGTCGGCCTACTTTAAATTTATGCGCCCCGAAATAAGTTATCTCTACGATGATTATGCAGTGGAAGCCCGCAAGAGAGCCTGTCAGGTACTCTATAACAAAGCGAAGCAGCGTGGTGTCCCCATACCGTATTTCGAGTACCTTGTTGACAACTGTTTTTGGAAGCTATGGTGTGAGTTTGATTATATTTATACTTTAGCCACTGCTAATGCTTCATAGTCAGTTCATTTGGCTCTGATGCGCCTTTGTGGCCTTGGGGACCTCAAAAAGTCCCAATGACATTGGAACCTGGGGAGAAACCGAGTCGTACATATGCCAAATATTGTGAAAGCCGCGCCACTGAAACTTCCAGAGAATCAAGCGCTGCTAGGTTTATGTCACAGGCCGAGCCCGATCCAGAGTCTTCAATCGATCCCAACTCACAGTACATTGTGCGGTCACAAGCCGTGTTCACGAAATCTGGAGATGATAAACCAGAACCAGACCTCGATTTGAAAAAGCGAGAGGCTGCTTGGGAAAAACTGGATCCTTTCGAGCATGTGCCCGGCATTGTCGGGCCATTCGAAGTCGAACCACCATCGCTAACACCTATCGAGACGCTCGTAACACAAGATCTGGCGGTAATCAATACTTTATTTGAGGGACATGCCATCATCAAGGCAAACATAACTCGACGAAGAGTCATCGTTTCGTTTCCTGAGACGGTTGAAGACGGGAGTGAAACCAGACAGAAGCATTCCATTGTTTGGGGACACGTACGTGGATGGGTTGATTCGATCAACCAGAAGAAATACGTAACACTACGTGAACATTTACAAAGTGTTCTATAACTTCACGGGGACTGATATGGGAAATGACAGGATATTCTCATAGGACCAACCAAAGGGGAGTCTGCATTAGGATAGCCTCCTATGTTAAGTGGTTATTACACCTTATGAAATAAGCCATAGATTGTGTTTCGAAAATATACCTTACGTATGGATCGTGATGGATATTTGTGCAGTAATTTATTGATCATAAAGCTCGCTAATGCAAATCGAACTATTATAACCTCAGCCATTATTATAGACACAAGCCTGTATATGAATCATGTTATCATTCTATCAATCTAAATTGAGTTATCGCCAGTATCGCGTGACCTCCTTGTCTCCGATATAACCTGTGTCTTATTGTACTTGCTCGGCCCATCTACCAGGCTTTGCTCATCATTCTCACTATACTGCACTTGAAATGTCCTGTGCATTTCTATTCCTCCATGCTCAGGCGAATGGTCCGAGTCGCCCGTCTCCGAGGGGAGCTCCACCCGAGCAGCCCGACTACGGCTTAGAACATGTGACTTGCGGCCGTAGTTTTCGCCGTAATTGTTGTATTTGCTTGAGTCGTGGGAGGAGCCGCCGAGAGCGGGGAAGATACGGACGAGAAGGACTCTCAAAGCAGGCATGGATGCGCAGATAATGCCGATATTGATCTCCACAGTCGACCAGATTGACACATCTGTTTGGTCGTAGGTTGGGTTTGTTGAAGATCCAAGGTGGACGATGTACTGCAAGCGGATGATGCTCACGATAGTGATACTGATGAGTTAGCCGACGACGTTTCTGACACGTGGCAAGTCAAGTTACTCACAAAGTTCCAACGATAAACATGGCGGCAACACCAATTTTCTTCTTCCAGTGTAACTTGAGTTTACGGATGTACCACATGGGGATGCCTAGCATCCAAAAGTCCAAGATGATACTGATAGCCGCATTCGCCCAGCCGATGGATGCGATGTTGAAACTAAAGAGTTAGCACATTGTCACTCGTCTGGATCAGGTGGACATACCATTTTCCTTCATGCTCACCATCCCAGCTAAGCCAGAAGTAGTTGACAGGCGTGCACTGAAAGGCAGCTAAGAAAACAAAGACGACTCCATAAACAGTATTGAAAACAATAGTTCCCCAAAGAAGCTTCTGCGCCTTGCCAGGGAAGATACGGAGATAAAAGAACAACAACGACGTCTTGAGGAACGAGACTTGAGCAAAGTAGAACACCTCGAGAAGCCAGAAATAAAAGCCGAATTTGGTGATCTGGTCAAACTCGAGCGTCCAGATATCACGTCCCTCTCCGTGTCCTGCTGTACCGTGTATATTCATCGCAGTCGAAGGCATTCCGATAAGAAGTGTGAGACAAATGAAAAGATCGTCGAGACCATAGTCAGCGTTGCTGAGGAAGTATTTTGTGCCGAGACGCAGGAGAATAGAAACGCCGGAGATGACGCCGAGGACGATTGTAACGTTGATGAAGATTTCGGTCTTGTCGCGGACGGGATAATCGCAGTAGGTATAGGTCATGTTTAGAGTGGCTAGGTACAGATGTTAGTTTGGTCTCGATATTGTGTCGCTGTTGACTTACTCAAACTGTCTTTGACATGGCAAACCTGAGCTGCGCACCCCTCAGCCGTTTTGATGGTCTTCTGTCCTCCTCCACATAAGCAAGCTACATCGGTAGTGCTACATCCTGATTTTCCAAAAGAGTCTTCGTAACAAGGAGACTGTACACATTAGCAAGTAAATTTAGTTATCGCAGCAACAAACGTACCGAACAGCTAGGCAGAGTCTTGAGCAACTCAGTTGTATTCCCAAAATCTGCCACAGTCCAAGGCACAAAGGCCAGCAACAAAGGCAAAGCCCACTTCATTATGATCGACAAATCTTAGATAGCAAGACAATCAGCGGGTCCCGGGGAGCGACTATATAAATTCTTGACAGATCAGACCAGACCCTGACGTTCATCGTCTCGAGTGGATTTAAGGGTTTAAAGACTCGATTCCGTCCCCTGCTGGTCTCATCTTGTTTTCTGGGGTTGTGTTGATTATGGAACGCCCGGAAGGGCTTCCACGATACAGAGTAGCATTGCGGGTTAACTGTGCAAGGCAGGACCTTAGAATAGCGTCATTTATCATTGCCACGAGGGTTTAATCTGCCTGGATTTTGAGTCCTATTCGCCCAAAGTTGAGCTCGTTTACGGCAATCTTATAGGACACCAGCAAGGGTATCTAACGAGGAATTCTCTTTTTGTTGAATACCCCGTGTTTCACTATAATTTTAGCTGCTTATTCTGGAAGGTCGTGAAGAAAAGTTTGCCCCTGCGCTAGACAAGATCAAGGATCATATCTCGTCAACGGGAGTTCCTTTCTTCTCTTGGCATGTGTCAATGGCCCATCCCTGATCAGATTAGGGCAAGGATTGAGAGGAATTGATCATCTCCGGCTCTGTCAAAACGAGGGGCATTTGAGAGTAAGCACTTAATCCAAGGAGTAATATTCCTGTTTTTTCAGCTCTTGCATGCATGTAAAAGATAGCTTCCCCCTTTTTTTGTCTGTGCCGCACGTATTACGGATTGGGATAGCCGTAAACGAAAAGAGATTGACATCTCCAAAAGCCACTATGTTGGACTTGGCAAATGAACCGAAACGCCACAGAAAACATGTTCGAGTTTTAAGAGAACAATAGTAATATCATTCCGGGTTTCTGGAACTGCAGGTTATCCAAACTAAGCAAACCATTCGTGAGCGGCGCATTCAATAAAGTTTTGGACTACCATTCTGGATTTAACTAGTCGTCGGATAACCCTTCAAAAGCGGAGCGGACTCCATCTCAACGTTGTTCATTGCAACTGTGAGTCCTCACGGGCCAAGTCTAGAACACCAACCTTGTACGACTAGTTCATGACTCAACGGTCGACTAGGACAGGTCCTGCATTGACAACTTTCAAGTTTCCTGTCACCGTTTCTTCTCGATGTGTATTCTTTGTACAGTTTTAAGATCAGCGAATTGACCCCACAAACAAGACCAAATTCGGGTATCTTGACATCAAAGGTGCTACATAAACGGTTGCAGCCAAGCCAACAATGACACTTGTGCTACCACTACATACAGTACCGGTCATGTCCCGTTCTAGACCTGTATCCCTGAAGTCAGCCCTGTCAGTCTAGCCCAAGGGCTTATCTCAATCTGGGGGAACACAACTGCCGTTGTTGTGAAATAACAAATGAACTAATAAATAAACTGGAACCATTTGTTCATCAGTTCTGATCCATTTTGACAGGTAGTTTCTCAAGAAACATAAAAAACGAAGTTAGAAAGAACTGTCTGGTTTAGCAATTCGCGATTGGAATAGAAACGTTCTCAGGCGGTCATGGCTGGTTGAGAGTGTCTCTGTTGGACAGTATTCGATGAGTGTGCATATTTCATGGAATCGCGAAGACTGCGAGAACCCGTTAAAGAGTATTTCTCCCCAAGGTGTCCAGAGTCTCTACATCTTAGATTTCTCTTTCTTGTCAATTTGCTTCATCAGGCCATTTCACAGACGGTTTCCCAGCATGTCAATTAAAATTGGTTGCCAAGACCATGTAGCTCGTCTAGTTCCAATAGTTCATTCAATAAATCACCCAAAAAAGCAAAGCCTTTCAATAGTGTCTTTTGCCAATATTTGGCTTCCCCAGCCAGACTTTTCCTTTGTCTTAATAATGGTCTCACAAAACATCCCCCAAAGCCATCTGATTGCTTTCTCTTTATTCCCGATCATAGTCAACGCCATGGCGGCAAAGTTAATTTTGACGGCTTTCATAGCTGCACTCAGAGTCAATGGTAGCCCGTGTAAACCAAACTCTTCTGCACCTACCTCTCCAGACTTTACTTCCGATGCTGTTTTTACGACAATCACCGCCGACGACGTAAGCACTGGACCCGGTTTTCCGACTCAAAGTTCCATTTACGGTTTCACTTCCACTGCCTTAGCTTCTTCTCGAGCAATAGATGAGGCAATAACCGATTCTACCACTATCCTAACCCTAGAGGCATCTTCCTCTGACACGTCCTCACCAGAGACTTTAGCATCCGAGACAACTTGGGATAGATCATCGGCCTCCGCAATTCCAACCTCTCTTATGACTACTGACTCAACTGTCGATGAATCTACTACCGTAGACAGCGCAGTTGTAACATCATGGTCGTCCGGCCCAACAACATCCTCCTCCATCACAAGCACAACCACCACAGCAGAAGCACAGACTCCCATTGGCTTCCACAATGGTGGGTTTGAAGATGATCCGTCTCCCGATGCACTCCCTTGGGTCATAGGTAGAAGCGTCACGATTCCAAACGACCCAGAGAATGCTCATTCAGGCAACCGCTACGCGTACGTATCCGTCAATGTTTACGTGTTTAGAACTTTGTTTAACCGTTAAGCACTAGTCTTGTCAAATTTCCCATCACGGGTACCGGTCGTCCCATCTATCCTTTGCAGCAAAGCATTACCGGCCTCGACGCCACGAAAACGTACCTGCTGACTATTCATTGGGCCTTTACAGACTTTGGTTCATTGTCAAATACAGCATGTGAGTTCTGGACTTATTTTGGCCCACTCATTGAATACTATAAATTCAACGCTGCTGGCATGCCAACCAACGAATACTCCAGACGGCAATACCTGGCGGCAGTGTCGACGGTATCGGACAACGCCAATATGATATTATATTGGCGCTGTTCAAACTCAGTTCCGAGTTCTCCATGGGCTGGTGTCGAGATACGTATCGACGATGTTAGTCTTGTCGAGTATGATCCTCCGTGCACTCTTGTAGAGCCGCCTCCTCAAGGTCTCGTTTGTGGCCAAACTGGAACATTTCCAACTTCCGCAAATTCCTACCTTATTGGCTCTGAAATCCCCTTAGGCCCTTTCGAGAATTGTGCCCAGATGTGTGCTGAAAACCCTGAATGCAAGACTATCACTGGGGCTTTGGGCAATGGGAATGTGATTGGGCGTAATGCACGCTGCAAGCTCTACTCGAAAACACCTGAGGAGCTTGGCTTCTATGCTTCAACGAGTGGCCCGGGCGTTTTCCAGCCAGGTTGCTTTAAGTGTCGTCCTTCAGAGTAGACGTCGTTGTCGCTTTACCTTGGCTTGAAGAGTGATGTCAAGTCATGGCGGGATGATATAATAGTTGTATGAAAACAACCTGTTTCTAATTTCAACACTGAATTTGATTCCACTAGATAATTATCAGATTATTGATGAAACCATATTCACTGAAATGAAACATGATTCAATTTGTGTCTATTGCGCGAACTGATCTAACAACGCCACTTTGCATTGTCTTCGGAAGAACCAATCACATACAACGGTAAAGAAGACTTACTGTCGCCTGGAACCAACATATTTACCTGGCAAGTGGTCATTGCTCGGATTCTTTGTGGTACAAGTCGGTTCCCGAGGAATTTCTTTTACTGATTACAACCTGACAACCAAGAATAACAGAAGTGTTATACCATGACTCTATCAACTCGTAATGACAGCAATGTCTTTAAAGAATTCGAAATCCACCGACGTTCTACAAACAACCATATTATAAGCTACTTCGAGTGCCTCGGTCAACACCCAAGCGGGGACGGTCTTCCTGGCCTCTTAGGTATTCCCAGACATTTCTTTGACTGTGATCAACCTACTGACTTAGAGATCACAGATAGAACCCCAAGAGAGAATTCGCAAATATTGATGTTGAAAGACATCTCTATTAGCGCGGTTCAAGAGCTCAAAATTCTCGAAAGCATCATTGGCGAAATCATCAAGCAAGAGAAACCTCTTGCGAGCTCCGTGTCTCCAAGCGTTCTTTCATGGTAAGTCCTTCGCCTTTGTCCATTCATTACTGACAGTTTCAGTACGGTCTTCTGTCTTGCAGTCGCATACGCCTTGTCGAATCCACCACTGTCGGTATTTTTCAAGACAGTTACAGTCGTCGGGTCAGCTTTTCTGACTATTCGTTTGGTCCGAAAGTATCTGCAGCGGAGGCAGCTTGTACCTCTTCAGCACAAGGTCCAAGGACTGGGTCGGGCGTTCAAGAATGGGACAATTCGGTACAGGGACTTGGATGAGGTGGTTGTTTCGCCTCTTGACTAGTGAGAACTGGAGAGGATTTAGCATAGTCAACAGCAATGAAACAATTTTGTTCGTATCAAGATCTACCGTCGTATCCACAGCAAGGTATGAATCACACATCCTAGCTCCCAACCCCTGGGTCTGATCTCCATCAGTACAGTTACATTAGATCATCAACACTTTGAATATACTTTCTTGGCTTCTGGGGACTTCGTATCCTAGCAAATTCCCTGTTTCGACAGCGACACGTGGCACGGGAACAGCCGCGATGCTCCTCTCTCTCGCATCTTATACTTGATCGGTCCCACAGTTTAAACATTTACCAATAAGATACTCGAATCACAGTGTAAAATTTATGATATAGAATGACTCGTGTTGAACGAATATAATTATGGTATCAGATACTCTAAGAACTACTCTGCTCCTCCTCATCTGGCTTGTCCAACGCGTTTTCCGCTGGGCGTTCAGGAACCAGGAAAACGGCAAACGACGTTGAAGGTAGTGAAATGCAGAACATTGCAAAAGCAACAATGAGGTTGGTAAGAGATGGAACCTTGGCGGCACCGACTCCGAAAGCCAAGCATGAGCCAAGAGACTCGAAGGATCGGACAAGGCCGACGGCCAGAGTCAATGTCTCGACATCTTGGAAAAAGGTTCCAATAATCCAGTACACAAACATGTAATGAGATTCGTTCATAAACCTGATCAGTTAGCTTTGTTCGAAATGTATATACTTCAGGAACGTACCGAAGGAGAACTTGAACTGCGAATCCGCGTCCGAATCCAGGATGAGCCCAGTCCAGAGTAACAGGAGGGTTGGCACTGCGATATTCCATCTCCATAGCGAACTGCCATCCGAATAGTGCAGTCATGGTGATAGCCAGGAAAGCCCAGGTGAAGCGCGCAAGCTGAGGTCGGCTGAAATACTTGAGATCAAAGAACCATCCCCAAAAGATATTGGAAGCGGTAGCAGCGATACCAGATGTCAACGACGCCAAAGCACGAGATCGAACGGAAAAGTAGTTGACGAGGTAAATTCCAAGGTACGTGCTGTTCCAGTTGAATCCGACCAGCATGGGGATGAGGAGGAAGAACTGCTTGCGTTGGATGAGAACGCCCCATTTTCGGACTTGCTCTGCGATGCTCGTGTTCTTGTTGGTAGCAGGAAGCTTGGAGCCATCGGATCGAATGACCTTGTGAGGAGGCGAGATGAGAAATGCGAGAGGAAGACCAAGACATTGAAGAGCAATGAGGACGAGGTATGTGGTGTATCCGACTCGACCACGCTTTTCGGAGTCAACATTGAGGGAGAGTTGAATGGAAGAACCGATGAGTTGACCGAGTTCTCGCAGACCAAGCCAAATTCCAGCTACAATAATTAGTTTCCGTGATCGCAAATATGAGGGCTGACATACTGAATTTTCCACGATCCTTGACATCGCCGTATCCCAAAGCGATGGCACCTTCAGAAGCCCACAGAGCAGAAGCTCCGATACCGCAAGTAGCACCACCAAGCAGAACGAACCACTCAATTCCATATCGGTTGTTTGTGTAAAGTGCAGCTGAATAAGGCGCGTATCCAAGAGTACCGATGATGAGAACCCATTTTAGACCAATTTTGTTGGCGAGAATACTAAAAATTGAACAACCAAAGACCATTATACCGAAAGTGAGTGAGTTTGCTCCATTGACGAGGTATGGCTCTTGCTGGCCTCCAGCACCGGTGTCTACCAACGTTAGAGATATTTGGAAGATTGACGAAGTTTACATACTGTTGAGAGCATTCCAGATTCCTGGTTGTGTGAATGAAATCAATCCAACGATGATAACGTTGAATAGAGGACTTCGATACCAGCGTGTGAAGCGAGATACAGGCTTTGACTGCTCTGTAACATCTTGGGCGACATTCTTGACCGGTTGGTCTTTATCGCTGCTGTTGTCTATCACGGCAGACATTTTGACGGTTACTCTTCAACGTATAATCTCACATTGAAATGCAGGCACCAGTATTATATATATCTCTGTATTATTCCATTATCTATTTGCCTCAATAAATTTGTTCAAGGGTGTATCAAATGTGGAGAGAGCAGCGTCCCAAATCTTCCAAATAAGGCTAGGATCGCAAGTTGGCCGATGGTGTTTTTAATGGTTCTTCCCACTTTTATCAACTAAAGAGTCATTTCGTGCTTGACAGGGTCGATGGCGACATATAAGCGGATAGATAAAAGGGTCTGATGGTTGTAGTTGAATCTCTTGGTTTGTGTCTGTAGATTGCGTGCTAACTTATATAATATCCATGTATAATATCCTCGTTTAACATGTAATTGCTCCAAAGTCCCTTCTCCGCCTCTCTCCGATTTCTCGTCGGAAGCTTAAATACTGGCCAATCATGATTGTTTCCGACGCCTTCATCCCTGACTCGATACAAGGGGGGGATCGGGCAAGTTTCCGCTGTCAAAGTCCCCCTTCCCTTCTTTTCGTCTATTCCAATTCCATCTCATCACGTTTCTCCTCTTTAGCATCGCGTGCTTTTAATCCACATTCAATTGCTTCGGTAGACAAAACAACCGCCGAGTTTCGTCAGTTCCAACACCAATAAATGGCGGGGAATTCAAACTCGGACCTCCAGACGTTCACGTCCCCGCTTCAACAAGGAGGTGATTCGCCCCGTCCGAGACAAGCAGCTTGTCTCGTCTGTCGTCGATCAAAGATCAAGTGCGACTGGAAACCCCATCAGGAACGATGCAGGAGATGTATCCAACTCGACACGGAATGCGTGCGACCTGCATATCATCCCGGTCGTCAAAAGGGTATCAAAAAGTGAGTATCCTCCAATTCATGTCAATTGCAAGGCTGACAACTGCTAGTAAACGTACAGGTCTTGACAAAGCTTTGTATCAAATTGATCAAGCTGTCAAACGCGCTCGTTCAGCAGCTCAGAAGAATCCAGAAGATGATAGAATTCTGAACCATCTTCAGGATCTACTCAGTGGCGCGAATTCACCTGCTGATGCCCCGCAGACGAGATACAGTGCCAGCGGCGATGGTGAAGAGGATGCTTATTCTGAAGAGGAAGAAGAGGAGCAGGAGCAAGATCCTATCGTGATACCTGAGTTCATTCAAAGAACACAGCAAAGTCTTGCAATTGACGACGCCGAGAATCCACTGCAGCTTCTTGCAAGGGCATCCTACATTCAACCGTCACCAGAGTCGAGACATGGAAATTCCCCTCAGCAAGCCCATACAGCGAGCACAACTGGACAAACCGAGGATGAGATTCAAGCGTTCTTTGCTCCAGCGCATGTTCATCTAGATGTTGGATCTGACCTTGACCCTGTCACGTTGGGACTTGTCTCAGAAGATGAAGCTGACAGGCTATTCCACTTGTGAGTTCCATGACTTTTACTTTGATATCTGCTGACCATCAGTTTTCATCGCAATCTTGCTCATACCCGATGGGGCCTTGATCCAAGGATATACACCGTCGAATTCACGCGCTCGAGATCATCATTCCTCTACACATCCATCATGGCTGCATCAGCCCTTTTCATGCCATCAGCAGCAGCACTTTCAAAACGACTATCAAACCACGTCAGGACTCTCGCACACAAAGTCGTACTCAAGCGGTACAGATCAGTTGAAATCGTTCTTGCGTTCATGGTAAACATTCCATGGATGTTCCCAGGTCAACATTCAACCGACGACGAAACCTGCACGTACATCTCCATAGCGAACACGGTCGCCACCGATTTATCGCTTCACAAAACCCTCGTATCGCCAGAAATGCTAGGCTCAGGATCAGAAATTGGTCTCGCGAGGGGTGATTGTCTTGACCCGAGAGCAGCTTTAGCCATGGACGGATTTCCTGAGCTTGATCCATGGTCTGAGAAAGGACGTCTGTTACTTCGTAATCGGGAGCGATGCTGGCTTTCGCTTTTTGTTCTGGAACGTGGAATGTCTCTTGCCAGAGGACGACCGTTTTCTGTTCCCATGACCAAGTCTTTGAAGGACTGTGACAGTTGGCATCGGTCTGAATTTGCCGATCCTCTTGATGGACATCTTGTCTCGATGGCTGTGCTAAGAAGAGACTTGGATGCGTTGTTTGCTACTGTGAGAGCTCTTTGTGACGGATCGCAGATGGCTTCTAGTGACGGTTCATTGATCGCCCAATCGTATGTGTCACGTTGCTCTTTGATGCAATAATCAGCTAACCTTTTCAGAATCCAAGGGTCAATTGAACGATTCTTTGATCAATGGTACACAGAGTGGGGGATCTCAATTGGCAAAGGCCCAGGTAAGATAGATGTCCGTCTATCTGTCGAATCACGCTGACCGTCAGACCGTCGACTTCCACCATACGTCGAAATCCTCGTCACTCACACCCGCCTGTCCATCTATGGCGGCGTGATAAACCATCCCACAGCGCCGCTTGAAGTTCGTCGCTTCTTCCACACAGCCGGTCTCTCCTCAGCTCTGAACGTGATGCGTGCCGCTATCCAGGGAGAGTCGCAACTTCAATCCATGCCGAACAACACCGCCATCATGATATCCTTCGCAGCCTGCTTCGCTTTAACATTGAGTTCCTACGCGACTGGTGGTTCAGCTTTGGCCCCGAGTGTCAGAAACCTCATTGACGAAACAGCCACCGTTCTCGAAAGAATCGGAAAAGTAACGAGACATCGAAACGGTCTTTCTATTAAATATGGAAAATATCTCAAACAAATCGTCAGAAGGGCAGCTACAGGAGACGGTATATCTGATCCGAGAATGCCAATCGTCAACGAAGCACCCATCACGACGCCCACATTTCTGGACCAGCAAGCTCTATGGCAAGAACCGATTCATTTCTCTGCCATGTCAGATGATCAAATTGTACAAGCTCTGAATCAACCAGGCAACGACTTTGAGCCCGGATTCGGTGGACTTTCATGGGAAGATATGACAAATTTCGAATGGCTTTACTGGCCCGAAGTTGGTATATAACATAAAAGATAGCAAAACATTAAGCAAGAGTTTCCTTCTCTTGCATTCCACCCAGCCAGTCAAAAGAAGTAAGCTGTCGCAATTTCTCCATAAACACGAATGTCAAAACAGTATGCGGTCTGTAAAGTTAGTTTCGTCATATATGAGAAGGTAGAGCAACGTACGTAAGTCTTAGCCAAGCAGGAGTCCAACCTCTCATGAGGAACCGAGGACCCTCTTCGCGAAGACCGGCTCTAAGAACTTGTGCCAAACCTTCTTTGCCAGCGTTGGACTGCATTCGACTCTTAAGAACGTCAGCTGGGGCGCAGATGGTTGTCGCCATTGTTCCGGCTGCTAGGGACGATAACGCATGCGTTTTTGTGTCGTCTCCGAAGCCGTTGGCAAGGAGATACTGTTTAGCGGATGCGTATCTGGTCTGTTAGTTGAGTAACTGGTATACTTTCAGGAGACTTACGTAGCGATCTGGGAAACATCTACAACTGTTAGCAACCCGTTTGAATATAAAGATGAGGCAACTCACTCATCAAAGCACTCCTCGCAATGTTGGGAACAAGGCCCTTCCAGAACGCCATCATGCCCTCTTCACTATACACTCTGGCCAAGGCATCCAAGGCATGATTATATCCAAATTGCTGTCCAGGTGCCTTTGCGCCATCTGCACACATACGGACGAGAACAACTTCAGCTGGATTACCAACTAGTCCTGCAACACCACCTGCGACACCTGCACAAGCGATGTTTTGTGTGACTGATAGTTGCTTGCCTGTGTATCCTCTAACCTTGTCAGAGAAGTATGTGTGGAAGCCAAAGCGAGCGGTCGAGTATGTTCCTTGACGAAGGATGGAAGCTGATAGACCAGTCCATAGAGATGGGATGCCTGATTGTGTTAGCTTTGTTGTGTAAAGATGATTGGGAATTTACCATCTCGTGCTGCAAATCGGTATAAAACATTGAGCATAGATGAGTTTGACTTCAACACCTGCATTCGATATTTTGTTTGATCCAAAGGGTGTGCTGTACAAGTTAGTTGATGTCTTCTATGTGAAGTTGTAAGTGCTGAACCCACTGAAGCAAACAGCCATACAGGCGGCAGCACCACTATAACTTGTTAGTCACAATCACTGTACTACGCAAGACAAGCAAGCATACCCAAGCCAGAACGGCTCCTTTGTTTTCTTTTGAGAAACCATATTAACAAAATTACTTGGTTATCCTCTGCTCTGCTTCCTATTCCTCACTTACACTCTCATTGTTTTGTACACACCCAAAACCGTCGGCTTCTAAATCTAGCTCCGATGTCGTCCCTCATTCTGAACCCCGGATATAGTGGAGATATTTTTCGGCCTCCAGATCCGTCACCGAGGCATCATCGTCATCGTCTCAAAACCGCGACAGATCCTCGGCTTGTCCTGTGAAAATGCGACAGTAACAAATGTCAAACAACGAGAATAACACCGAAATGTCCAAACTCTCTGCACCTTTGAAGGCGCTTATCAATGCGCCTTTTGCGCGACCTGGTCCAAGACCTGCGCCAGCTCAAGTTCAAGAATTGTTCGAAGCCATCGCAAATGATGCAGCTATTAGGAACCTCGGCCCAAAGTCTTGGTTGACTGTCTCGGTATGTTCTGTCAATCAATTGTGTTCCATCCACTTGTACTAACGACTACTATCGTAGGCCGCTGCTACCTTTACTCTTAACTCTCCCGATTCTCTACCCGTCCTCCATCGCGTCGCATCTTCCAAAGATCCCAATTCCGCCGTCCAGAATGCCGAGTTCATCCGAGAGGTTGGTCTTAAGTGTATCAGCTTCAACGGCATTCCTCGAACCATCAACTCCCTCAACGCATTCCACGCAGCGCTTCCCGAAAGCGTTACATCTAAGCTCAGCACAAAGCCAAGCCGACAACCAACGTCGCAAAATATCGACCAAACATTAGCCCGCGGTCGAGGGCTGTGGGATTCTATCTACAGACCATACGAAGACAAGCTATTCGAGAAGCTCGCCCTCGCACACCCCGATCTACCTGTATATATCCTTAGTAGCCATTACTCTGCTCTCCTCTCCGATCCTGCCGCTTCCGATCGCGGTACACTTGCCAGTCTCGGCCGAATCCATACCTCCATGATTGCTATCTCTTGTCTACGCGCGCAAACTGGTGTCGGACCTCAAGTGCTGTCGCATGTATTTGGTCTACGTAAGGCGCTTGAGGATGGAACATATAAGAATGATCAGAATGGCGAGACAGAGGAGAGTGTACAATACTTGGCAAGTGACGAGGGTGGCCATTGGATCTTGAATACAGTCGATAAGATTGTTCAAGCGATCGGCGGAAGTAGCTTTGCGCCGGGCAGTGAATCTAAACTGTGATAATTTATATAGTAATTCATAAATCAGAATATATATACATGAAAAGATACTTGTGTAGTTAAAGCGTCTCGCAACTTTGGGCATTGCGCAAACCTCCCAATATCCTACTACATCTCCTATAGTGAGCACTGTTCAAGGCGCCCTAAGTCTGTCCCTGGTAAAGAGCGGGACCCTCGCCATCGAAGAAAGTCTCATCCAGAAGCGACAGCAACACCTTCTGCCCAGCCCACTGCTCCTCAACATTGGGCCTAATCTGAGCTGGTGGGAGCACAAAGCCCGTCTCACCAGTGTCCCTCAACTCAATTGTGTACGAGAACTTGGCCTGTCCTACGCTGTAAACGTGGTCAGGCGCCGCACCAGTAGTGACGTACAACACAGCGCCACTAGGACCGAAAGTATAGGTTGTCTTGTCGTCAGAGCTATCGCGGATAGCCGTGCTCACGAGGGCAGCTGCTTTGGTCCATTTTCCAAGCTCGGGCGCGTAGAGATCTTCCTTGTAGCCAAAGGGAGAAAGGATGTATTGACCGTACTGAAGAGTGTTAGCGACGCGGGCAATTCACCACGGAAACTCAGACTTACGCTGTGCCAGTCAATGTAGAGAGCAATACCAACGGTATCTCTCAATTGGCGAACAAACTTGTCCAATCCAGCATTCTCAGGGCTGTCAGCTGGCTTCTCGCCGCGGTAAGTCTGAGAGCAAGGATTTGTCGAAGCACCTCTCTTGTTGGAATCCCAGCCAAACTCCCAGTTGCGGTTGATGTCGCGACCAAAGCATGTCTGGTTTGGTGCTGAAGTTGGAGGAGGTTGACGGTTCTTTCGCCAGAGGCGATCAGCCGTGGTAGAGTAAACCTGATCTATTTAGCTGGGTAATTGACAATTAGAGATGAGGATAACTTACGAAACCGTCGGGGTTGACAAAGGGAAAGATGTAAAAGTCGTATTTGTTCAAGATGGTCTGGACGTCTTCATCTCCGCCTTTGAAGCCCTTGATAAGCTGAAGGGTGATGTATTCAACGGTTGGTGCAGAGATCCATTCTCGGGCATGAACAGTACCATGGTAAAGCACAGCAGGCTTTCCAGGTCCAGCCTCGCCCCAGAGATGAAGTCCATAAATATTCCTGTTCTGGTACGACTTGCCCGAAGAAATGAGCTTCGAATTGTTGGGAAACTGGGCTTGCAAGTCTCGGAAGTAATCGATATGATCCTCATAGTTGTGGAACTCATCGTACCAAGACTCATCATCGGCCTGACGCTTCCACTTCTTGTGAGATGGGCTTTCGCTGACGATAGAATCGCCCAGGTTCTCGTGCAAGGTGGTAAAGTCAAGCTTGAGACTCTCAAAAGCGTCTACATCGTTGGGTGCGACGACAATGTCGGCGTATTGGTCGCCATGCTCCCACTCGTCAAAAGTGACGGGGGCAAGCTTCTCTTTGACGTCTGCTTTGCCGTGGGTGTTTACTCGAAAGACTCTGTACCCGTCATACGTCTTAATGTCAGCCTTGGGAACAGCAATTGCTCCCAAGGCGAGGGTGAGGAGGGAAACGAAAGAGTACCTCATTGCGATGGATGAGTTGAGGATGGACTAAAGTGCTGTATACCCGTACAGCAGGATGTTATATAGAAGATAGATAGATCATCGCTTGGCGGATGTTCTTGGCAGGAACTTTTGACAACTAAAGACGATCATTTCCAGTCATACCACGCCCAGCATTGAGGTTTTCTACCTTCCTTATGTGCTCTGGTGGGAATTGTATCATTCGTGCATTTACAAGCCAAGCTCAACAGTGACCCGCCCTGTCGATCTGCCCTCTACCTTAATTAAAGCCTAACTCTATTTCACCATCCCCCGCTGCGGAGACATGACAACACGACATGGCAGGATTCAATGACGAATGATGCAAAAGTACTAACGTATCTTGACATTATGCTATGCTGGGTATGCTTTGCCGTCTACTTGGTATCAACTACTCCATCTGTTTTAGTTCTCTCGCTTCTACAAAGTCGGCCTCCGTTTTGCTTCTAACTTCATCAACGCTCACGCCCGGCGCAAGCTCAGTAAGAGTTAGAGTACCCTGCGCTCGGTCTACCTCAAAGACGCACTAATTGGACAGTTAGCCAAGTCACAAGCAACTCGAACGGCACAAAACTTACAAGGTCGGTGATGATCGTGCTGACTACATTTGCGCCCGTTAGAGGCAAAGTGCATTGCTGCACGATCTTGGACGACCCATCCTTGGCGCAATGCTCGGTTGCAACGACAATCTTGGTGTTGTCGGGGTTGGCTACCAAATCCATCGCTCCGCCCATGCCCTTGAAAACCTTTCCAGGAATCATGTAGTTGGCCAGATCACCGACTGCACTCACTTGCAGGGCCTGTAATTGTCAGCAATGGAAATGAGATGAGAGGAATTGCGCAACTTACACCAAGGATTGACACATCAACGTGTCCACCCCGAATCATGCCGAAAGACTCGGCCGAGTCAAATACTGATGCGCCAGGAACGAGTGTGACTGTTTCTTTTCCAGCGTTGATGATATCACTGAACTGTTAGTAGAGTTCAAGAGGGAAAAAAGGACGAAAGACATACGCATCAACTTCATCCTTTGTAGGATAAGCACCCATTCCGAGGAT